CGACCTTTGCTATTGCTGGACCCATGGCGACCTTTGGACCAAAGGCAACCTTTGGACCACAGGCGACCTTAACCTTTGGACCACATCCACCGGCGACCTTTGGACCACAGGCGACCTTTGGACCACACCAGACGACCGCTGGACCAAAGTAAGGCGACCTTTGGACCAAAGTACGGCGACAAGTAGAGCGACCTCTGGACCAAAGTAAGGCGACCCCTGGACCAAAGTAGGGCGACCTCTGGACCAAAGTAGGCGACCTCTGGACCAAAGTAAGGCGACCTCTGGACCAAAGTGAGGCGACCTTTGGACCAAAATAAGGCGACCTTTGGACCAAAGTAAGGCGATCTTTGGACCGAAGGCGATCCTTGGACCAGAGACGACCTGTAGACCAAAGGCGACCTGTGGACCAAAGACGATCTTTGGACCAGAGGCGTTTTTTGGACCAGACACGACCTGTGGACCAAGGGCGACCTTTGGACCAAAGACGACCTTTGGACCACAGACGACCCTTGGACCACGGCAGACCCCTGGACCAAAGCCGACCTTTGGACCAAAGACGACCCTCAGACCAGAGGCAACAGCTGGACCACAGACGACCTGCAGACCACTCCACAGGCGACCTTTTAAGGCGACCTCTGGACCAAAGTAGGCCGACCGCTGGACCAAAGTAAGGCGACCGCTGGACCAAAGTAAGGCGACCTTTGGACCAAAGTAAGACGACCCTTGGACCAAAGTGCGACGACCTTTGGACCAAAGGCGACCCTTGGACCAAAGGCGACCGTTGGACCAACGGCGACCCTTGGGCGACCGCTGGACCAAAGACCTCCGACAAGACAAGAGACCCGCGACGGCAGACATCGGACGAACGACCTCTGCCAGAAAAACTGCCGCCCGACCTGTGGCGAGAAGCCCTACCTCGACGAAGATAGCGAGGACCTTTGAAGAAGGACGTCAGTCCGACGAACGCAGTCAGTCTGGCGAAAAGCGTCAGTCTGACGAAGGGGCAGAATCAATCTCACGAAGGAAAGACATCCACAGCCCGAAGAAAGGCCCCGCGCAGCCTGTTCCGCTTCCGACCGACGCAAGGCAGACGCCTGGCGAAGCAGTGCGCCGGTCTGGCGAGAGGCGTCACCTGGCTGGTCAGTGCATCAGCCTGACGAACCAGCGGCGCCATGCTGAAGCAAGCCATCAACCTGACCAAAGGCGTGAGTCTTGGCCCGGCGAGGAATGTCAGCAAAGCGAGGCGCTTCAGTCTGACGAAAGGCGTCAGCCTGACGAGAGACGTCGCCCGACCCTGACGAAGCGCCTCAGCCTGGCCCACGACGTCCGCCGAAGGGCGCCGGCCTGTCGTCCGACGAAGGCCGCCAGCCTGGCGCAGCGCGTTGGTCTGACGAACGGCATCACTCTGATGGAAGGCCTCAGTCTCCATCCTGGCGAAAGACGTCAGCCAGTCAAGAGGCTTCAGCCACAACCCGAAGCGCGACGCCCCACGCCCCCGCGAAGTGCGCCCGTCTGTCTCTGACGAGAGACATCTGACGAAACAAAGAAGCCCCGCCAGGTGTAAGCGCGTAGAGAGACCCGAGCAGCGCGGCCCTGCGTTGCTTATGCTTTGTCTTGTTTGGCCCGCTAAAGCCGCCGCCCGTTCTTGCCTGGCGCCACCGCGAGGCGTTTGCGTGCGTTGGGGCTTGCGGATTCTTGTGCGTGTCTCGTGGCCCTCTTCTGGTTTTTTCGTTGGACTGGCGTGGGGGTCTTGCAAATTCTTAAGAATTTGCATGACCCCCCGGCAATCTCATAAAAAAACCGAAGGCAGCGCAATGCCTTGCACATGAGTCGACGCAGCGACCTAAGTCGGCCACCGTCGGCGCTCGGCTCTTGTCGTAGTTAATTCGTAGGGTGCAACAGCTCACCCGCGGGCTGTCTCTACTCTAGCGGCTGTAGCCCGTGGGAGGCTGCAGAAAAGTGCTTAACTAACTTGAAGCCGGGCGAAGCTTGTGGAGGCTAGTTTATTAGAAGAAGTTGTAGTCCGCTTTTGATAGCAAAAAGTTATATTAATATCATAAGTGTATTGCTGGTGTGCGGCAGCACCTGCAACGCCTGCATATCCGGCGCCCCCTGCACCGGATTCAGCAGCATACTCAGCATTCAGCATCGCCCAGTTGTTCACTTGCTCAGACATATGCTCCTGGGCAGCAAAGCCTCACTTCTTAGAGGAGCTTACGCTTACCGAAGTAAATGCATCTTGAAAGTCTGGCACCCTTTGACTTGTTGTTTTCTTAAGATAAATGACGGCCAAAGGTAGTGATAGATGCAGCATCTTTAAGAGGAATTAGGGCAAGCCTTAACTGATGCTGCGCTACTCGAGGCCGCATTTTCCATGTTGTGGTAGTGGTGCTGTAGTTGATCTTGATAAGAACCACTATTAGCAGAATGGTGATGTTGCTGCTGTTGATGCGCTTGCGCGCGATGCTGCGCATACTGGTCGTGATAATCACCGCCTGTCGTAGTATGCTGAGCCGCGGCACCTCCATGATGTTGCATGTTGTGTCCATGCCCCGCCATGTCTACTGCGCGAGGATTGCCAGTAGCACTTGTCGTGTGACCTGCCCATACGGCAGCTGCATGAGCATGGTGCGCCGCACTCGACGTTCCGGTGCCATAATCCAGAGGACTGCTAGCTATCATCTGGGCACCACGCCCTCCAGCAGCGTAGCCGTGCTGGTTGTAGGCATGATGGTGACCTGCATGCCCGCCGCCTGCTTGCTCCGCGTGATTGTCTTAGATGAGCTGTTTCGGCGTACGCTTACAACAAGTGGATCAACCTTGATTCATCACGAGATACAGATCGAGCAGCTAGTTGCACCTTCATTCTACAGGATGTTGAAAGCTTCAAGTTATAATATCATAAGCTTTACTCAAGGCAGGACATGGATTTTTTTTTAGCTTTACTCAAGGCAACGAACTGGAATTATTACGTAGACTCAAGGCAGGACATGGATTTATTTTTAGCTTTACTCAAGGCAACTGGAATTACGTAGATTTCGAAATAGGAGGAGCCTTAATTGTAGTAATACTGACTAGAGGTGGAAGAAGACGCGTTGCCCCCCGTAGGCATGACCATTCGGGGATCCTGTTCCGCTGCATTCATACTCCCAAACGAAGGCACTTTTTTCCACCACCGTGATGTCCAAGAAGCCCTGCCCTAGTATCCTAGAGGCACTTTTTCTCCCCCACCACCGTGTCCAAGCTGCCCTACACGGAAGAACTGTCACTGCAACCACGTGATCACGATCACTTCGATATCATAGATTTCTTTCAACACCGCGTGAAACATGTTCATGTCCTTGCTCATGTTCTTTTCCTGGGATAGTTTCCTTGGATATTATGGAACATAATTCAAATCGAGATGAAGATCGTTAAAATCTTCTTGTTCCCCGCTTGACGTACAACACCCGCTGCTCTTGGTGGCCCTCAACCTTCTGTACACAGTAGTTCCACTACTTCATCCAACTGTGGAGGACTACTAGTATCATGTTCTTATTCTGTATCATAATAGACACCGAAAATGTCCTAGGATAGCTGCAAGGCAAAATGAGACTTCTTCAAGGTAAGATACCACGCAATCCTCCAGATAGAGATGCAGCTGCAAGATATTATGCAAATAACACTTCATCTCTTCACAACATAATCTCTATTTTGGCGTAACCTGAGAGGCGCAGGAGGAACCAGAAGATGCACTACGAGCGTGATCAGATAACATGAATAACCTAGATGCCTATCTTCACCAGCATGAGGAGCAACATATTTCGTACAAGTTCATTAAGAATGCCAGTACTTCTGAAGCCTGCTTGGTACAGCAATCTGGATCTTTTCTCTCTCCCATTCCCTCGACAACCCGGACTATTCCTCCTCTCTTCACTCATATCTGTGGAGTGTTGTAGGGTTTGGACCTTGCTATAGGAACTACCTATCACGACTATGGATGAAAGGCGCTCACCAGTGTTGATAAAATTCTCGAACCTACCTCCTGCTTTACTCGTCTTTTAGATAGTCCTCGTAGTGACCCTCGCCACACCTGTTCATTTAGATTCATGTGTCGGATGTTGTGTGGGAAAGCCATCATCTTCCACCTCGCATGAACAGCGAAACACTCATTAGGAATGCAGACCCCCACGACAGGGAGGCACAGGACGCATCCTCCACGGCGATGTTGCACTGTCATCATGTCATCATGTCGATGAAGTCAAGGGTGACAGGAGTAACTGCCACAGCGTTATCAAGAAAAGCTAGACCTACTTGCTCGACATCGTCTATATTTCGCCAGGTGACCTCTTGTCGTGCACAAAGCTGTTTGTCGTGACAAATCTAGGATTTCATTCTGTTGCATCCTCATCGTTAATTCTCTAGTATTCGTACTGCTTGTAATTGCAATTTCCTCCTAGCTTCAAGTGGTGTTGTTCGGTGCTATTGCCTGTTCATCACATCTTTTGGCAATCACTCAGGTGAAGGAGCAGGAGCTTTCGCTTTTTCCGCTGTAGCTTTTATCTCAGTTTTTTTTTGCTTTGGCGTCACAGTCTTACGCGGCGTCGTCGGTTGAGGCGCTGATCCGGCTGTCGTTCTGCTCCCTGGGCTTCCTTCATGGTGGGCAATAATGATTAGATTTAGAAGAGACGAGTTCGAAGAAATAATGATGAACACCTGATGGATAAATTCACAATCACATCACCAAAATATGCTTTGAAGCGGAGAGAACAGTGCTTGAAATGAGTGAAGGCTAGTTACACCTAGAGCAGGAGGTGTACCAAAATATATAAATTACATCACAAAAATATTGGAGAAAATTCAACGAAGGACTGCAAAAATCCGGACAAAATTCAATCCTGCCGGGCATGATACGAATCCGCAGAACACTCGCCGCCTACTGCGCTCGCTTCGGGAAAACCTTCCCCCAATTGCGAGCCAAGAACCTCGGGCGCCCTCCAAGTCCCCGCGCCCCTCCAGAATCCCCAGGCACACACTTGCAGGCTGGTGCGGTGGACTCTGGAGGGGCGCGGGGAATCACATGAAACGAAACCAAAAGACAGAAAAACCAAGAGGAAGCAAGTTGCAAAAGCCGCTAAGCGGAGCACTTCCAGGACGAGGAGGCGACAATAGTGACCGTTTTTGTGCAGTTCTTAGCTGACTTAGCGCCATTCTAATCAGCCACCTGCGGAAGCACCAGAGGCACAGCGAGCACGCCACACCGTCGAAACCTAACAAAAAGAGGAGGCGCGAGCCCTTTGGAACTCAAGCGGCAACCGGTCCAGCCCTTCTTGAGAAATGCCACGAAATTGACTAAACCTCTCTACTGTTTGCCGCTTTCCTGACTGCAAGGCCATTTTTGGAAAAAAATCTGAAGACATCTTTTCAGTTTTTTCATCAAAAATGGCCTAGCGATCAGGAAAGCGGCAAACAGTAGAGAGGTTTATTCAATTCCGGCGAAACCCCCGCAAACTTCCCCGCTGAAATACTTCAAAAGAGTGCGAACAACGCCAGCAAACCCCCCCGACAATCTGCGCACACACGGCGGCGCGCGTGAGTGGTCTGGCCAGCATTTAAAGGCGGCAGCGCGTCGCTCCTCTTTGTAACTAATCCCACCCAGCGCGAGAGCCTCGGGGCGCCGGGTGGTCAAAAGTCCAACACTGAACAAGACCAAAAGGCCCAAGAACGAAGAACCTCAGGCGGATTGCCTCAAACCTCTCCGATTATAGCGAAAAACCTGACCACAGACAAGTGGAGTCTGAATGGAGAAAATTCAACGAAGGACTGCAAAAATCCGGACAAAATTCAATCCTGCCGGGCATGATACGAATCCGCAGAAAACTCGCCGCCTACTGCGCTCGCTTCGGGAAAACCTTCCCCCAATTGCGAGCCAAGAACCTCGGGCGCCCTCCAAGTCCCCGCGCCCCTCCAGAATCCCCAGGCACACACTTGCAGGCTGGTGCGGTGGACTCTGGAGGGGCGCGGGGAATCACATGAAACGAAACCAAAAGACAGAAAAACCAAGAGGAAGCAAGTTGCAAAAGCCGCTAAGCGGAGCACTTCCAGGACGAGGAGGCGACAATAGTGACCGTTTTTGTGCAGTTCTTAGCTGACTTAGCGCCATTCTAATCAGCCACCTGCGGAAGCACCAGAGGCACAGCGAGCACGCCACACCGTCGAAACCTAACAAAAAGAGGAGGCGCGAGCCCTTTGGAACTCAAGCGGCAACCGGTCCAGCCCTTCTTGAGAAATGCCACGAAATTGACTAAACCTCTCTACTGTTTGCCGCTTTCCTGACTGCAAGGCCATTTTTGGAAAAAAATCTGAAGACATCTTTTCAGTTTTTTCATCAAAAATGGCCTAGCGATCAGGAAAGCGGCAAACAGTAGAGAGGTTTATTCAATTCCGGCGAAACCCCCGCAAACTTCCCCGCTGAAATACTTCAAAAGAGTGCGAACAACGCCAGCAAACCCCCCCGACAATCTGCGCACACACGGCGGCGCGCGTGAGTGGTCTGGCCAGCATTTAAAGGCGGCAGCGCGTCGCTCCTCTTTGTAACTAATCCCACCCAGCGCGAGAGCCTCGGGGCGCCGGGTGGTCAAAAGTCCAACACTGAACAAGACCAAAAGGCCCAAGAACGAAGAACCTCAGGCGGATTGCCTCAAACCTCTCCGATTATAGCGAAAAACCTGACCACAGACAAGTGGAGTCTGAATGGAGAAAATTCAACGAAGGACTGCAAAAATCCGGACAAAATTCAATCCTGCCGGGCATGATACGAATCCGCAGAAAACTCGCCGCCTACTGCGCTCGCTTCGGGAAAACCTTCCCCCAATTGCGAGCCAAGAACCTCGGGCGCCCTCCAAGTCCCCGCGCCCCTCCAGAATCCCCAGGCACACACTTGCAGGCTGGTGCGGTGGACTCTGGAGGGGCGCGGGGAATCACATGAAACGAAACCAAAAGACAGAAAAACCAAGAGGAAGCAAGTTGCAAAAGCCGCTAAGCGGAGCACTTCCAGGACGAGGAGGCGACAATAGTGACCGTTTTTGTGCAGTTCTTAGCTGACTTAGCGCCATTCTAATCAGCCACCTGCGGAAGCACCAGAGGCACAGCGAGCACGCCACACCGTCGAAACCTAACAAAAAGAGGAGGCGCGAGCCCTTTGGAACTCAAGCGGCAACCGGTCCAGCCCTTCTTGAGAAATGCCACGAAATTGACTAAACCTCTCTACTGTTTGCCGCTTTCCTGACTGCAAGGCCATTTTTGGAAAAAAATCTGAAGACATCTTTTCAGTTTTTTCATCAAAAATGGCCTAGCGATCAGGAAAGCGGCAAACAGTAGAGAGGTTTATTCAATTCCGGCGAAACCCCCGCAAACTTCCCCGCTGAAATACTTCAAAAGAGTGCGAACAACGCCAGCAAACCCCCCCGACAATCTGCGCACACACGGCGGCGCGCGTGAGTGGTCTGGCCAGCATTTAAAGGCGGCAGCGCGTCGCTCCTCTTTGTAACTAATCCCACCCAGCGCGAGAGCCTCGGGGCGCCGGGTGGTCAAAAGTCCAACACTGAACAAGACCAAAAGGCCCAAGAACGAAGAACCTCAGGCGGATTGCCTCAAACCTCTCCGATTATAGCGAAAAACCTGACCACAGACAAGTGGAGTCTGAATGGAGAAAATTCAACGAAGGACTGCAAAAATCCGGACAAAATTCAATCCTGCCGGGCATGATACGAATCCGCAGAAAACTCGCCGCCTACTGCGCTCGCTTCGGGAAAACCTTCCCCCAATTGCGAGCCAAGAACCTCGGGCGCCCTCCAAGTCCCCGCGCCCCTCCAGAATCCCCAGGCACACACTTGCAGGCTGGTGCGGTGGACTCTGGAGGGGCGCGGGGAATCACATGAAACGAAACCAAAAGACAGAAAAACCAAGAGGAAGCAAGTTGCAAAAGCCGCTAAGCGGAGCACTTCCAGGACGAGGAGGCGACAATAATGACCGCTTTTGTGCAGTTCTTAGTTGACTTAGCGCCATTATAAATCGGTGTCTTAATGATCCAGTCGGGTCTGCTGCAGACACTGCACCAGGACCAGCTTTGGCGGTTGCTCCTGCTTTGGTACTTGCTTTTGCTGCATTCACAGAGGCATTGGCTGACTTCGCTAGAGGAACAGACGCATTAGCGGAAGTAGAAGAAGCTGCTGAGCTTCTCGTGCTCATGCTACTCGTTGCAGTTGCTTTCGCGTTTGATATGCTTTTCGCGGTCGCGCTTGAAGATCGTGTTCCCGCACCCGCCGGGGCCCTACTCTTCGCGAACTCAGGAGGTTTAGATTTTACAGCTACAAGAACCACCACATTCACATCTACTAACGAAATTAACAAGAGGGCGGGGGGAGTCTCCTCTTTACTACGTACGTAGGTATGAAAGTGATCTATACAAGTTGCATAGATCGCTTTCTTACACTAGAAGTTGTCAACTTCTGTAGGTAGTGTAAGAAAGTAGTTCTTTCTATCAAAATACATCCTCTTTCACCCAGCATGGACTTCATATCAGAGGAAGCAGAAGCGGACTTAGCGGTTGCTTTCGTTTTCGGTGGACGTGGAGGAGGTGGATGACCGGACGCATCTTCAGCGGAATCCGAATCAGTCGATGAAAGGTCCTCTCCATTGTGCACAAGGTTCGAAGCTTGGACACGTCTCTTCTTCCGCCCATGAGAGGTCTTAGAGGATGACAGACTTGGTCGTTTTTGCGAAAAGGGTAAGTGCTGGTTCACGTAATGTACTACTTTTGCTTTGGGTGCATTGACGTGGAACGCCTACTAAAGTTTCAACAAGAACAAAGTCACAATTTACATCGTCATTATTTTTGGAAGCGCCTAGCAAGGGATGAAACATCAACGCAAGATGAAGTACGAAATCGGAATAGGTATTCTACAGCAGCGGCAAGAATTATGTCTCTATGAGTGCTTCTGCGTACATATATTTAAACAGCTCGTAATTTGTTGACTTGCACGGCGTGCATGCTCATCGCGTGTCTTGGGTCGCATTAGGCCTTTCCCAAATTCACCTTGAAGCGCATCTTTGACCTTTTTGTTTTTCCCCGCCTTGAAAATCATAAAAGTGTCATTCAAAGATCTTTCTTTTTTAGGATGAATTTTAGGAGCCTTAATCGCATATGTTTGGGCATCGAATGATGTTCGTTTTCGTACCATGGAGGCGCTTCGAGCATCTTATCCATCGCAGCACAGTCATCGGTTGCCTTCTGATTCAAACTGTTGTTGACCCCACTGGTAGCCGCAGTCACAATGCCATAAGATCGGACCCCAAATAATAAATCGTACAAGGGGACTTGTTTGTCGACTGGGATGGTGATAGAAAGATGAATTACTACAAGAGGCATTAGTGCTCGTCCATGAGCATCATGTATTACTAGGCAACACGATCCAAGAAACAGTTGCCTCCTTCATCTATCCAAGAAAAGTCATGTTTCCAACAAAATTGAGATTGATGCGCATGCGCTGGACCACAACCTACAGTTTTTACTAGCAGCACGCCCAAGAAGAAAGATTTCATTTAGTGAGGTACCTGGTGTATCCGCCCGGACGAAGTAGTAGCGGTTGCAGGCGAACCTCGCACCGCGACAGCACAACATCAGCAAGAGCACGAAGACGCCGTAGAAGAAGAGTATAATGAAACCAAACCTATGCTGACCAACCGCAAACACGATGTTGATCAGTTCATGACCTGCAAAGTAGGTTAAAGCTTGCAGGAGCATTACACTCTTCAGAACACCCTTGACCGATTTTCTAGTTCAAGGATGTCGATGTAAGAGGATGTAATTATGTGGAAATAGTCCTTAAGTAGAGCAACGATCTGAATTTCGCTGCTTTTTTGTATTTGTAGGTCGCTCCGTCACCTGCTTCGTGCGCCTCCTCGTAACTGCAGTAACCAGCACCAACCCATTCGCAGTACAATGGCGGAAAGAGCATGAAGAAATAGAGATGTGGTAATCTTAATCAATACAACGTCGGAAAAAGCATGAAGAAATAGAGATGTGGAGGTGGTATTCTTAAGCTGGTAGTCTTGTTAGTTATCTTAATCTATTTGAAGTATTGTCGTACAGTAGTCGTAGTAAATTGCCCGTCGTTCTCTGTAGTTGTTGAGTGATCTTCTATAATGTGAGAGGCTCATATTTCTTTCAACACTGCCTTTTAGGAGGTTACACGCACACAATAACAACCAAGCAGGGGGATGGAAGGGTTGCAAAAAATATCTAGATCTACTTACAATTGAAAATCACAATATTTTCCACATCCAGCTCTTTGCACATAAAGAGAGCAAGAGTGAGCTTCTGTGTTCCTCGCACGCTGGTCCGGCGGATAATGTGGTTTGTTTCATCGATTGACAAGGAATAATGAATCCGTGGATGCGAATCCAACGCACCTAGTGAAGGCGGTGTCGATAGCCGTTAAAATATGAGACAATGGACGATGTGAAAGTAGAAGGCTGCTCAAACAAGCAGGAACAGTACTGCAAGTACTGTAAAACTACTTTTAACTTGTACAACAGTCTGCTAGAAAATAATGATACAACTAGCAAAAAAACATACCCGAAAGTTCGAAGAGCTGAGGGTGGTAGGTGTTGTTGTTCCAGCGCAGCTCGAATAGGGTGGGGCTCGTACGCGTCAAGAGCACCGGTGTCGTGGCCATGGGAAATGCATGACGATTAGACCTCTCCGTAATTCATCCCTGTGGAGTACTAGACCTCTCAACAGTATGCGAGAGAATAGTAGTAGACCTCTGAACAATATGCCTCAAGTGTATTCTCCCCCTTGTATTGGTGCGCATACGCTTGATGAGTCGATCCCTATAGAGACGGATCAGGGGAAGCCTTAAGATGTATGTAGCCTTAAGATGACAATCTCGATTCGGAAGGCTTTCGCTACTCATAGTGTCGTTAGTCGAAATCGTTGGCGTGACAGACACAGGCTCGTCGCACGTTGTTACGGCAAGATGGTATGAAAGGCGGAGGTGCAGCGCGATGTGGAGCGATTCTCACTTCATCGAATTCGAAGGATGAAAAGCTACGTCAAGAATCTATCAAGTATTCAGAAACGAGGATTCAGCTCCTCCTTCTAGCTGTAGTTTCTAGTGCTTGTATATTACTAGAAAGAAATACAAACCTCCAGAACAAGGAAAATCATATAGGACAATGTCAATGCCAAAGTCGTAGTCGAAGGAGGTGAAACTTCATAAAAACAATCCAGTTCCGTTATATTCGATGTTGAAGAGATAACGGCCATCCATCGATGGGAAGTTCTGAGGCACTAGGGTCCACTTGGCGGAGGGACACTGTCCGTAGGTAAGCACCTGCGGCTCCATGTCCTCCATTTTGTCTCCCAGGCTCTGTTAGAAAGCGAAAGTAGGTGGACGGTGGTCGTCGTTTACTAGTGCGAGTCACTATACAACAGTAAAATGTCATAGTCAAAAAGTCTGAGTCTCATGCCAGTCCTTGTCCCTGTGGCCATCAGCAAAGTAGCAGAACTTGTTCTTGCTTTGTTGTCGAGGCGTGGATGAAACACGGCTTTCTTCCTTTCTTCAATAATTTACATTCAGCTTTTTAATACAGCTGGCATTCGCACAAGCCCGACTCTGACCAGTAAAATTAATTTCATCTTCCACAGAACATAATCCTAATTTTCTTGTGCTTGCCTTGCACCCAGATACATTTCGCCAGGGTTCTCGATCCATCCACGACACAGATCTTGTTAGACCTTACCTAAATCCATCACGGTCAGCGTCTTGGTTCCCTTTTCCCCTTCAAAATGAGACCAAGATCGATGCTGTGGAAGATGGATTTTCTCAAGCCTTAATCTTGCTGTCGCCCGTAGCGATCTGTGAACTTCATGTAGCCGGTCCACGGCAGTGATGCTCGCTGGAGGTTGTACGGAAAGCGTGTCAAATACCCAGGAGGCCTCTCTCCAGGCACTATTTTCTTCCCAACGCTTGGCAAAAAAGATGAAATAAGGGCACGTGAAAGAACCGACAGAAAAACATTCCACTACGTACTGTAGTTGCGTCTTGACTCAAGTCAACAAGGTAAGGGTTATAAAAGAAACCCTTGTTGTTGTTAATCGATTCTTGAAGACTCAAATCTTGTCTCCAAGTCGCGGGATATTATCAATCCTGTATGAGTCATACCCTTAACATCATACCTCATAAGCCTCACTAGCCTGTCGTGCTTCAGGAGACTTCTGTCCCGAGGCTGTCGCTTTACCGACTTCAGTGTCTGGTACTTCTGAATCATGAAAATTGTGAAGATGACAAAAATACATCCTGTTCGACAAGAACAACGATGATGCAGATCATGCGTAGAGACTATTTAGAAGGCAGCGATGAATATTTGGGACTCAAGATGAGTAAACTGAGGGGCACTTCACCCAGTCCTAGAACTACTAGCAACTATTTGCAACATAGTACTGGAACGAACTGCAAGAACCATAAAAAACTGCGACGTACTCTAGCAATCATACCATACTAGCAATAGAAGTACTGCACGTCCCCCACGCAACATACTTACTCGCACGACTACAGTACTTCTATCTATATAAGTACCATTTTCATTTTTACGAAAACCCATAAACATGGTCGATTCTGCCCATCATTTCTGCGTGTCGTTGTTTGTGCTCTGCTAGTTCCTCTTCGGAAACTTTACCGTCTGGAATGATGAAGACCTGGCCGTTGGAATGCAAGTGCGGATATTGGGCCGCTTGTCTAGCCGAAAGACCTTCGTCCACCACACTATGGCGTCGCGGGTAGACATGACCGGAACGGGATTAGAGACGAGAGAAAGGCGGATAACATTGCGGACGAGAAGAAAGTTCTTGGAGAAAAAAATCTATTGGCATATTTGTAGCTCTCATGCAAAAAGTAATAATTTGATTTGAATTCAACGAAACTACTAGTCAACAAGGAAAAGCTTTGCTGGGCACAGGTGAAGCTGTACCTCGTAGCAGTTTTGATCTGCGGAGTATTCACACGAGCCATACGATGAGATCACTTCAACCGTCGAATCCTCTGCGAGGGGCCTCTGTTGACCCTGCAATTCCTGCTCCGGCTCACTGCTAGTTTCCGAACTTTCATCGCGAGTCTGTTGAAGAACTGAAGAAGAAGACGGCTCTGCGCGTAGGTGTACGACTTGACTGCTCTGGCTCTGATGTAACGCGATTACAACAGGAATCAAGTGGAATAGGAAATGCGTAATAAGCATAAGGAGCATCCTGCTCATTGAGATCGACGCGGTTTTTGGGCCCAAGAATAGCAGGTCAAGGTGCTTCGGAGTCTTCATCTTTCGTGATATTTACTGGAGGTGGTGATCGTATAGGTTGTTCCACTGTCCTCTTTGATACGGAGACTACACGAGCTAAAATCCCTAAAAAGGTCACATCGACATCGATGCAAATAGCAAAAAAATAGCTACAACGAGGGAGTGAAGAACTCTAAACTTATGCTGGAGCACACACAGACACGGTTTGCTTTCGCGAGTGTGTGATACCGTTACCGAGTAAAGCCTGGCGAAAACAAATTCAAATAGTACCAATAGACTCAAATTCGTAAGAAAGTAACACCAGGGTGGGGGCGTGCAGGGCCAAACGCAACGTAAAATGAAAATGAAAACAAGAAGATGATGAGGGCCATTTTTCATTGTCTACAACGAACCTCTAGGGAATCGAAACTGCTACAAGGTAGTCCTCCTTCACCAGCTTCGCATATTGCCAACCGAAAATAAACGCTCCTCCCGCACTCACCCGATTACACCTCCGCAGATTCGTTTAAATAGATTGAGGAGCTGAAGCAGATACAGAATCCAGATGCACTGGTGCTCTACTTTTTACAACCTTCTATTATGAAGTACAGCCGCACCAGAGCGCAGAGTCAGAAATGGACCGACATTTGTCACGTGCAAGGACCTCCAGATAAACAAGCGTATTGACATTGAGGGGACCGAGGCCTGATGTGCTTGTTATAGTAATGCCAGCAGACTTTCAGAGGAATTTTTGACGGTGAATGTCATCGTTGTTGAATCTTTCAACCATATTCTGTGTTTCCTTTTGCGTCTGTCGTGTGCGTAGTGTCCGGCGCACCATGTGAAGCGCGATGGGGCGAGTTTTGTTTACCTAGTGAAGCTTTGAATCTTTCCAAATGATTGATTCGAAGAGAGAACCATACAAGTGCTGTCGCCCTAAGGAAGTCTTGGTACTGTACAAGGCATGAAGCCAAAGGACGTGACTAGGAAGTCTCCCATTTGATTGCGCTCTTATGTCTGTAACTGTGCACAAGCACCTAGAAATAGAAAACAAATATGTACAGGGATTCGATCGCCTGATGAACTATTTCCATGCTGCAACAGGAATTTTTGTACTATCGAGTGTGCTTTTTAGTCTTTCAAGTGTACTGTTGACGTCAGGTTTACTGTTAAATAATATGTTATCGGTTGCATCTGTCGTTTTCCCTTTCAGAAAGGATGATATTTATTAGGTAAAGATATTTTTGCTACGAACAACTACAACTTGCTCTACTAAGAACTATTTGTGTCTTATAAATTTGTCATGTGTGCTGTGCCTCTGTCATGATTTAGCATACTTGCTTCTTAGTCTTAGAAGAACTTCTACTTATTTCTTATGAATGTTTTTCACTACGTTGGTTTGTATATCGCAGTAGAGATCAGTTCCTTTCTTTGTCTTTCTTCTCTTTCTCTTTTCTGTTTCAACAAGCTTACTGCCTCAAAGTAGAACCGAAAGCAGCAGACTCACTGAAAAAAGGAGGGAAATCGGGATGCGGATGCGATTGTTAAGAGGTCGGCCAAAAAAGTTGTAGCTTAATTGCTCCCGCGCATCGTCGCGTGCCTATTTCCTTCCCACACTAAAAGGCTAACAAAAACTGTACAAGTTGGTTGTTATGGTTCCCAGGGGGGACTTTCGTGTAAGTATGTCATGCATGATGGAAGTGATGAAGATGCTCATGAATGATGTCGAAGAAGAGAAAATTGCTTAATTAACAACATCGGTGCAGCTCCAGTTTCGAATTATCTCTTGCTCTTTCTTTGTTCATTCGACTACAATCCTCACGATGATGCATGGACGTTGTCTTTATGTACTTGTAGACATGTTCATGTGAAGATGAATATTATATATAAGGTGTTTGCTATGATGTAGTGAACAACAGGAAAGAATTTTCAAATTCACGAGTACATTCGGTCCAGCCTACAAGGACTTTTCCGACAGCCAGTTCTATCGGAATCTTTACCTCCGCTAGAGAGGCGCCATCCTACAAGAACCACTTGCACTTCTATTCTTGGAAACGTTACTACCTCCATTAGACTCCTGGCAACTCAGAGGGCTCAGAGCACCTCAGCGACCTCAGAATAGGTTTCCGTAGGTCCCGTGGCCGCCAGGACCTTCATCGAAGGGTACTGGGACTGTTCCCCAGTCCTCTCTTGTCAAACCCGAAAGAATGACGTGTTTTCGCAACCACGCTGAGCTCATAGCTTGGACAGCCATTTTTGTCATGCGTTTTGCATTCTTCGATCCGTCCAACACCAATGACGCGGCATCAGTGCGGTCCCTTGGCAATGGACTCGGCGAAGAGCTGTTGTTGAGGGTATTTTTGAAGGAATGAGATGAATCAGAAAAATCAATCATTGTCTTGAAGGAAACGAATTCAACACATTTTCATCTACTGCAGAAAACCAATATTGAAACTGAGGGAATCTGAAGATAGTCCGTCCTTTTTGACTAGGAAGCAAGAGCGACCAAAATGAGAGCAGACTTCTAAAAAAGTACTGTTCTCCTTCGACCATAGTAGGTCTATTTGCGCCTGTTTTCCGCTTCGATGCCTCTTTATTCTTATCCACCACAGCGCTGCTCGAGCTAGGGCCTCCACCAGGCGTACGTTTCAGGCGTCCTCTAAATTTCCGCAGAGCATACTGGACTGTCTTCGAGTCCATCTTTTCTGAGAATACATCCTGTGCTAGCTCCCCTCGTGTGTTTCGGTTGCGGCGGTTGAACAGTACGCGTTCGATGTCGAACTCTTCGCCCATGAAGTTGGGATGTTCCGCAGCGAAAGCGCCACCAGTTCTCTCGTACTTCAAGATGTTCAAGCGCCCGACACCAGTCTCATAAACACACCTGGGGAAGTTGATGTTGTGGAGTTTCTCGAATAATATTGTCGTCGCAACAAGTAATCGAATGTCTTCAGTCAGTTAACTTCCAACTGAGGTCGTTGGAGAGACAGAATCGTTGCAAGAACAACATCACGTGAATTTTCAAATTATCAAATTAGACTAGTATCTGTATCAAATTAAGTATTAAATCTAATATCTGTATCAAATTAAGAAAGTATTATAGATAAAACTAGTACCGTCTCGCTCTTTTCGATGAAGCCAGCAAAACGCGGTCTCGTTCTTCCATTGCCCTCAAGAGTTCCGCATCCTCACCACTGCTGGACTCGCTTTCTCCGTCCTCGTCGCAGTCCAGGTCCGACGGTGGTTCTCTCCCCTTTGCCATGGCCGCTTCAGCTAATCGGTCCCGTTGTGCTGTCGCGGCTTGCTAGGATTAGAAGAAGAAGAAATTAAAATTATATTAACTCTGTTAGTTGTACTAGTACAGGTGAACGACAATCTAAATAGTTTGAAATTCCTCGGAGGTCTTTCGTTCTTCTACTGGAGTGAATCAAGTACAAGTCCGACCATAATTTCTCGCAGACGTGTTGGCCGCTTGTGCCATTTGCCTTCTCCTTTGGAACTCTTCGCGTGCTTTTCTCCGTTTCAATTCCCGCTTAGACTGCGACTTGATGGCGTTGCTTTGCACTTCTCGAAATTTCATCCTCGTCCGTCTACGCTCGCCGATGCCGCGTAGCGTCGCACTCACGCGAAGATTGCGGTATTGACTATCCAAGGCAATGAAGGCCCAAATGAGTTTCTGTGCTGTCGGTCTGGGGTCCATGCGAAACCGCAGAAGCACCATCTTCAAATACGTTTCGGCCAGAGCTGCCTGATTGAAATACAGTCGCGGTAAGGGATACCCAAGCTTCAGCACCAAATTTAAAGGCAGCGATTGCGGTTCCGCAATCTCAAACAGTGCTGCTTCCTCTTTGTTCGGCAGCGGTGGGAGTTTGATCTTCGTGGTAGCGTCAGGGGCGTCATCTTTGACCTTAGAGGAGGGAAGTGAAGTAGAAGAAAAAGATAAACTTATGAGATACTTCTCATGCACATGCTCTCCGAAATGTATGATCTCCAAAGAACATCAAGAAAAAGTGTTGTTGTTGACGGTGACAAAGACAAAGCTTCCGATGATTATTACAACGACAAAGAAGTTCTAAACGCCTATAATGGACCCTACTTCTGAGCCGTAATGTTATCCTTTCCCCCTTTTTTATCCGCTTTTCCTTTTGCTTTCGCTTTCGGCTTGCTGTCTGCCTTGCCCGCTTTGGACGCTGAAGCACTTGGAGAAGCTCCCGCCAGAGCTGAGGCAGCACCAGTAGCTCCCATCAGTGGAGACATGAAGGCCGCCAAAGACACATGACCGTTGCCCTGGGCATCAGAGAGAAACGGTGAATTCCTGCGCACCAAGTAGTCAGACCAGGCGTGACCTGGATTCTTCTGCTTGATGACCCGATCGTCCCCATAAGTGGCCCATGACACGGAGTTTTTCGCCCGAAAATTGGAGAAATTGACACCACCTTTATCGCATTCTGAAGATCCATGAGCGCATGAGCATCTTATTCCCTGGCTTCTTTCATCTCCCTTAAAAATTCATTAAACTACTAGTCCCACTTGACTGAACTAGAGCAATCCCTTAGCAGTAACAGCATGCTCTACTTGAGGTAATGACATAGTTTCTCGACGGACACCTTAACCTAAAACATCACTAGAGAGGAGCAACCATGATGGAAGAAGTCCTTCACTCGGATGGTAAGGAAAATGGGAATAAAACAGCCAAGGATACCTACCATACTCGTGAGATTTGATGGATCTTGGATACTTTTTATCCTTAATGTCAATGTGGTCCCGAGTATCGTCTATGCAGATAGGCGTCCGCATAGCCGGTTCCAAGTCCGTATCTGCGCTACCCGTAGACTCTGACCTAACCGGTTCGCCCATCGGGCCCGAAAAGACTGCAGCCTGAGACACAGTGCGAGAGCAAACTGCAGGAGGGATCGAGCCTGCGCTAACAGGTCTACTTTGGTCTGCGACGCCTATTTCAGCAGTTTTCTCTTCTTCTCCGGCGTCCAGATTCGTGCTGCCGTTGCCATTGTTAGACGAGCTCGGTCGACGTAATTGGTCTTGTTTTATATTTCCGTTATTAAGAAAGTCGTACTCGAAAAACTAAGTCAATCTGATGAAGCAGAACTCTGTTGTGCTGGAAATGAATCAGGTTTAAAATTGAAGTGGAGAGAAGGAGAACACTGCTGGAGCTGGAAATGAATACTTATCGTGAACAACCTTAACTGCAGCCCGCTTTCTCCACAGGGTCGCGGCACGAGCACTCTGCGCTTCAGCGGTGGCCTTTTTTTGTAGCGCCAAAGATGCTCCAGCCCCCTTGATATTGCCTCCTGCGAGAATGCTCTTGATGCTAGCATTCATCGTGAGGATACTCTTGGCCAGGTTCGCGATGGCGCGACCACGGGGTCCTGCTCTATCCCCAACACGGGAAGACGTGTCAGCTGCGGGAGAAAGGCAACCACACTCCGACAAATGATACAGGATTCGCGCATCTTCACGCCCACACGTCAATGGAATTCTTAGATGGTGATTGATGAAGTCTAGTACGTCCTCTAGCATTCATCCAGTCTTCTTCTTCTAGCAACGACAACGAGCAAAGCCAAAGCCTAGATTTGTCCTCATGGCGTTCATGTTCTGCTTCTGTGACTGGTGTGAGAAGATAATCAGCAACTCTCCATATTAGCCATGATGGATAAGATTGTAGTTTGAGGTTGATTGTTATTCGAAGAGATGACGTCGACTAGACCCTGCACATACTTCTCAAGCGTCTAATATTTTGAGAGCCTTAAGACCAATCCCGTTACTTCCATGCTTTTGAGGAATCCCTTCTCACTCATGAAATCCATCTCGTTTTCGAACTTGGGAGGATGTTCAGTCAACATCTGCTCAACCGTCTTATTCGCGTCAGAGGAAGCTGCGGCCAAGGATACCACTGCCGACCCCGCCACAACTGAAGGACCCGACGACCCACCAGCTTGCTGTAGTTTTCCTTTTTTCCCATCTGGAGGCGCCACAGCAGAGGCGGAACCTTTCTTGTCTCCTCCCTTTTTCTTGCCGCTGGGAGACTCCTGCTGTGACGAGGAGCCATGCACAGCGCCCACGCCAACAGCATTGTGAATTCCTCGCGTACCCTCCAGCTCGTTCGGATAATACATGCCTGTCTGCGTATACCGATTCGGCGCCTCGTGGTCGAACAGAGTTGTGCCTTCGTCAAAGAAGTACTCGAAGATTCCAGAGAAGGCGTGCTGGGTCAAGTACTGCGAGATAATCAGCGCTTCAGGCTCGATCAGCATGCATGCAGCGGCTTCACCGTTCACGACTGCGAATGTTCGCTGCATCATTCGCTTCGTCAGGTCTTTAGCGTCTCTTGATGTGTCGAGGTCCCAACGCGCAGTCTGGCACAATTTCAACATCTGTCGTTGAAATTCCCCACGGCTCATCTCTCCACGCATTTCTGGAGGGATATCAAAAAAGGAGCTCTGCGCTGCTAGGTTCGAGATCACGTCTGGCGGTTGCTCTCTGCCCTCAATATCCGTCTTCAAATCCCACATCACGGGTTCCTGCTTGTCCCTCAACAATTGCACGCGTCGCTTTATCACCTCCAGGCGCTCGCGACGTTGGTCGGCTAGTGAATTAGAACTCCCGCGTCTCGCGTGCTCCTTGAGAGACATACCCTTGGAGTCCATTTTTTCCCCTTGAAAAAGATGAGGCCAAGGATGGTGCTGAGGGAGAGGATGAATCAGTGGTAGGAGCCTTAACTAAACTGGCAGCGGGCAGCATGATCTCAAAGAACTGGCGAAGTTCAGATTTGTATCGCTCGACGCGCTTGATCATGTCTACGCCAACCTGCGTCGCACCTTTTTCACCTCCATTTACTACTAGTTTCGCACCACCGTTCAGGTGCCCACTTTTTGAGTCTGCGAGCTCCGTACTCGATAAGCCACCCTGCTGCAAACCTGAAAAGAAAGTTGTTGAAAATATGATCGCGGCTTGTTCAACTTCGAAAGTGAGTCCACCAAAAGCAAACTTTTCACCCGTACAATGAAAACCTTCTGGTGAATCAATCTAAATCACAAGAAAGTAGAAAATCTATACGGCGAAGTAAAACCAAAGCTTATCATGATATAAGAACTAAATGTACAACTAGAGGCACATCTAGTAAATACCCAATTTTGACGTTCCGCCTGCTGCTTGTTCGTTGGCTTTCTTTTCTGCTGCCTGCATCGTGGTGGTGCGCTTTTTGTTGACGACAACCCAAGTGAGAAGCACTCTCTCTAACCAATCTGCGCACTGACGTACGGTCATGACAGTTCCCCAAGGAGGTGTCGGTGAATGACCCAGTTTCGCACTGTGCGCATCGAATCGCAACACCAGTTGCAAAATGAAAAAAAAGTACTTTATCTTACAGATACATTTACTCTCGTCTATAAATCCAATTTCATGATATAATAAAGTTTTCCTCGGACTAGGATATTCAGCCAGCCTACTACAAAGGGTTACAACTCATTCACTTTGAAACCAGGAGAACCAGCCTTCACCTACAAGAATGATCTGAGTGTTCGTCGATAAAATGAATTGGCCATATCAAGATAGGACAAGCCTAATCGGCAAGGCACTTCCGGAATCGTTGTCTCGAAAAACCTGTCAGCGCCTATTCGATCGAAGAATATTTTGTCAGCTGGCAAAAGTTGCGCAAGGTTGCGCTCGTTCCGTAGTTGCTCGCGTTCTCTCTTCTCCCGCTCCCTCTGGAGTAGCTCTTCTTCAGATGGCTCTTCGGCGGCTGCTCCTGCTGTGTCTTTGTTAGAAAGGAAACGCTTTGAGGACCCTGATGAAGCGGACGAGAAGAATATAATCAGTGCTCATCGTCGTGGCGTTGGTGCCTGGTCAAGTGCAACAAGTCAGTGTAAGTAAGTAAGTAAGTAAGTAAGTAAGTAAGTAAGTAAGTAAGTAAGTAAGTAAGTAAGTAAGTAAGTAAGTAAGTAAGTAAGTAAGTAAGTAAGTAAGTAAGTAAGTAAGTAAGTAAGTAAGTAAGTAAGTAAGTAAGTAAGTGAGTAAGTGAGTAAGTAAGTAAGTAAGTAAGTAAGTAAGTAAGTAAGTAAGTAAGTAAGTAAGTAAGTAAGTAAGTAAGTAAGTAAGTAAGTAAGTAAAAGTAAGTAAGTAAGTAAGTAAGTAAGTAGTTGTACACATCACCATAACGTAGTTGTCCTTGTCCGCAGCAGTGTCCTTCTTGGACGGCGACCCCTTGTTACTAGGAGTGCCGAAGTCGAGAGCGACAGCCGCTCCCTGCATGCCTCCATGAGGGTTTTTGCGTGTTGCACTAGTTGGTCTGTGAGGCGAGTTTCGCCGTCTGCGCCAGGGGCTCGGCGCCCGTTGCGGAAGCACCTTCAGGAAGCGCTTACTCGGGAAATTTGGCCAGTCTTCGTAGTCGAGACACAATCTAGAGGCAAGTAAGAAGCGGCAAAACACGGCTCGTCCGATGAGTCGGTCGTCCCCCTCCCTTGCTTCCGCATCATCTTCATCCCCAGCAGCTCCTGCGGCCTTCGGCTTCTTTTTAGCTTTAATATCATTGGCACTTTTTTTACCCGTTCCCGCAGCACTATTCTTATGTTCTCCGGTTGGACCTCGACCTGATGCAGGTTTCTTGTTCCCCGTCAAAGCTGTTACTGCACCTAAAACATGACTACTGTTCGCATAATTAGCCCCACCTCCACTTGGACTTGTGGTCGTCGTCTTTTTACCTCCGGCTTTTCCTGCTCCGTTTTTCCTTGCCTGTGCCTTCGCTCTAGTACTATTCCTTCCTTCATCATGGTCCGATGCGCCCCCATGATCTGCGTCGTCTGAGTCGCTGCCCTCCAGGTCAGTAGAAGCACCCTCTGGCGCGCCTAGTTGCTCGACGTCCACGCCAGAAGCCGCCTGTGTCGATGCCAAGCATGTTTGCATTACTCTTCGGATTTTTCTATTTTCCTTCTGTCGCTTCTTCAAATTCTGCGCGTTGACGCCGCTAGCTGCTGCTTTCTCGGGATCTACGTGCGTTGCGCAAGAGACACTCACAGCATCCGTCAAGTCCACGAATTTCAACAAGACAGTCTGAAGTTTTGCACCCGCGTCTTTTTCCAGCAACGGATCGTCCTTGTCCAGTGCCCAGCCGTCCGTCACAAGTGCAGGCCACTCGGTGAAATTGAAGAATGGCTTGCCCTCTAATGCGCACCGGGTCAGAGTTAGACCTCTCCGCAATTCCTCTCCTCTCAACTGCATCTTCCTACTTGAAGACGTCGAGTATCGAAAGGAAATGTTGCATATATTTCAAAAACTATTTCAAAAAGGAATTTGTCAATGAAGGTGCAATCTGTCAATGATCATGCAGAATTTGTGAAAGCCTTAAGAGAGTGTGCGGCAAGTTCTTGCGCAGACTCTCAGTCCCGAACTGCATGGCGGACTCCCCCAAGTACCGCTCTGCCTGCAGGTTCATGAAGGCCTGTGCGGCAGCGTGGCTGTTCTCGCGGTCTTGCTTCAATCGCTCCGGAGAGAGGCTAGTTGGATTTTGAGTATCCTTCAACATCGTTCGAGACGCATTGCGTTCCTTTTGAACTTCCAGACATTAGAAGACAGAATCTTTATCTTCTTATAGAGTACTTCTAGGAGTGCGCGTGCGGTAACATTATCTTCATCAATCTTTCCTTGTACTTAAACGTGGCCATAAGTGAAGCTTCTGTGAGGCGTAGAGCCATCAGGACGGGCGGCTCCGTACTCAGGTCGCCCCTCGTGCAAAGAAGCTATTCGTGCATCCCGCGAGGGACTTCCCATCGTTACGGATGGCGGAGACAGCGACGCGTACCGTCCCTCAGTATCTCGCGTCGGGCTCAAGCACGGCGATTTCGCACGGGTCAACAAATCCATAAACCTGAGGTAAGGTGGAGGAGGACAAAACTGATCACAACTATACACGACCATCGATCACTACGTAGTCAATTAAATGTACAAAAGTAGAGGTCTTCAAAAGTGTGCATACTCTTGTTCAAAACAACAACAAGACGCGAAGAACCTGAAACTAACAACAAGACGAGGACCCTAAAACTAAATGTTCTTGTAAATCATATTCATATTATTGGATTTGGAAGTATGCTGGGAACAAGTAATCTTCATACTACAGTATGGGAAGTAGTAGCACTTCGTATCTTGTATTCCGCCGTCCTTTGGGTCTGGGATCTGTTTTCCTGTTTTTGGATCTCTCGGCACCCATTTTCGGCTGGTGACGCTCACGCTGCGCTTCGTGAGGTCCTCTTCGCCAAGTTTGAAGGCACGATACTGGCGATCCCTCAGGAAAGTCTCGCTATTCCGAACCTGATCGTCGTAGAGCTTGTCTACTGGTGAAACCGTGTTCAAATCGTCGGCTAACTCGCGTATTTCGTATTCCTCTAACGCTGTTCTGCTAGGAAACGCCTCGTTGGGCCCCTCGCGCACAGGGGGGACGTTTGGAATGTTAGAGCTAAAGACTCTCAAGGCGGAACGCACTACCACTAGTACTAGTAGAACGCTATCATAAAGGCAAAGCATCAACCGATTGTTTGATTCCGGCATTTATCTGATGCTATAATATCTTTTTTTTTTGTGGTGGAGCCGACCTAACTAGAATGTTTCCGGATAATATCAAATGTTTCAACGTATAATCCTCGCGGCCCTCATCTCATTTATCCTTCTAGTACCTCAAAAATAAACACCAGACCACGATGCCTTAATGGTGGACCCCGATAGTCTCTTATTGCCAGGCAACGGTTGCGGGAGGCCTCCAAGCAACGACCCTGCGATGAGATGGCCCTCGCGCAGTGCCAGGTGCTGCATTCCATGTTGAAAATCGGTTGTGACGCCCACACCGTAGTTCTTTGGCAAAAGTTCTGTTACTGTGGTACTAGATGTCGAAAGGATTCTTCTTCTGCCTGCAGGACGTGTAGACGTCACCACTGGGCTCGAACCTGAAGCCAGTTGTTGTCCTCTGTGGTGAGGAGACAAAGTCGGAGACGCACTGGAGATTTTGCTGTCTTCAAACAAACCTCCATGAGAACTACTCGCCATAGTCGAAGCCCCATGTTGAGCTCCACCTCTGCCTCTGCCTTGTGGAGAGGTACAGGTATTAGCATACACCACGGTTTGGGACGTGCCGCTACCAGCAAGAGCATCCTCTCGGTCCTCCAGAAACGTGCTAGACGTCTGTATCTCAAGTCCTCGTCCTCCACAGCCTGAAGTGAAATTCGGATGATTTCTTTGAGGACGTACGGGTCCTCTTGTTCCAGCGAGATTGCCATTCCACCCGAAGCACGTGACGGCAACGCCCGTGTTAGCTCCTGCGCCGACCGAGGCCGCAGAGCCGAAAAGCGGCGCGCCAGGGTTCTCACGGTGGTAGCGATCCCGGTCTGCGGGATCTGGGCGATCATGCACGTGCTCGAAACTGGTGTTGTCTGCAGCCAAAACAGCATTGTGGCGAATGCCTGCCACTACCGCACTACGACTCGGCGAAGCCGGATGGGCCAGCATGGCGTTTGCCGGATGCGCACTCGTCGTGTCGGTCGTGAAGTCAAGGTTATTGATCACACTATAGGGCACTGCCTTGCGGCGCGTGCTGGGACTCGCAAACGTGTTGCGAACAGTCGGATAAGCTGTGCGATAACTTGCGGTTAGGGCTGGATCTCCAACTGCTCCATCTCTTCCTCCACTCGGACTCGACGATCGTACTAGCGGAGGATCCACTAGATCCACAGGCTCATGGGCTGCTACCGAGGACGGTTTTCCCGGTGACGCCCGTGACGATCGCAGATTGTCCTTCTGGGCATCCGCGTTAAAATACCCATGAGCGCCGCTCATGGGCGATTTCGTGTACAACGGGGTGCCCTGCAACGAACTGCTTCTGCGCAGAGAGGAAGCGACAGACCCATTCGACCCGACAGACGGTCGATGAAGCCGCAAAGTCTTTCCGGGTGTGGAGACATAAGAGCGTGCTTCGTTCATTTGCAGCACTGTGCTTGGCGATGGCGGCGGAGGAAGGCGTGGATTCTTTTGTGGTTGAGCATCCTGCGACAACTCCCGCGAAGCACCGGCCGACACGCCGCTCCCGGGTGTCAGAGACATCCGATGACGCAACATCCTTACTCGTCCTTGCCGACCCGTCCGCCGTAGTTATGATCAAGTATAGCTTCTTGTACCTTGTAGGTACTACATTAGTAAAGCTATACTACTGAGTACTGCTCAGTCATGGACGTTGATTTGTGCAGTATGCAGATCGTACTTGACCTACGAGGTGGCGACGTGACTAAATATTCAATGACTTGATTTGTGTAATCTGCAGATCGTACTTTTTGACCTACGAGGCGACGTGACTAAATATTGAAGCAAAAATTTACGTACTCGTCACATGTGACCCTGTGTTATCGAGAAGGGCAGAAAGACCAGGTCGTCATTGGAGCGGAAAAATCACATAATGTTGATTGTCGTTTCGTTTCACACTGATGCAGTCTAGAAAGCACTGCTTTCCGACAACCGAGGACAGATTTACTTCACTACAAGTACGCTGATTCATCTCAGTACTTGAAGGACCGATAGCAACAATATGACAAACCGAAATTTAGACCTTGAGAGGCATGTCGTTTCTCACCGATCATGAGCTATCATGGCACATTGCAGCCAACAAATCAGACGGCAGAAGTCCCGGTCTACCTTTCCTTCTTGATCGTAACCGAGCCGAGGACCACAGCCACTGGATGTGTTGATATAAGAACAATCGTAGTATGACATGTCAGTACAACTGCGCTGCTCTTTCTTGTTTTAGTTTTCCAATACGAATCCATGAGAAGTTTGCAACTGCACGCTGCAAGGGCGGTCGCAGTCCGTCTGCTTGTTCAAGAAAACACTTCAATGACGTCGTCGACCTAGGCGTAGAGCTAGGGGGTGTCTCATTAATTCGAATAGGGCCAGTGATTTGTGTCGAGAAGTCTTCAAGTTCGATTAGATATCATTCCCTCACAGCGAGCTTCTAGAGCTCGGATGAATAGGGAAGTCACAAAGAGAGTTATCTATGTAGTTAAATCTACGAAATATTTGAAACATCAAATCGATGCATCGAATGGCAGGCGGCTCTCCTTTCGCGCGCAATCGTATTGGAATTCAATTGGCATAAACGGGATGGGTAAGGAATACCTCATGAAGACGGGGACCGATTATATGGTAAGCTAGGAATACCTCATGAAGACGGGGACCGATTATATGGTAAGTAAGCTCTGCTACATTCAGGTATAGTCAGCTTTCCACAGACCATCTTGCGGAAAAACCATTTTTGTTTCTTGGAAACACAATTCATTTGCCTCAAGGACTCACTATGGCAGCTGCACAACAACTGCCTAGTTGTCGCCGCTGCTCGAGCCTCAGAAAGACGTGGCTACTTTTGCCGGCAAAGCCTTATGGAGCTTCACACGCTGGACACCAGATGCGAAATCTGCGTCACTCACTGATGGCAGCTGTGGTATTTTCGAGGACAGTGTGCGAGGACTAATATTGAATAATTGTCTTCGAGTAGGTCCTCTCTTCACGTCTTGCTTCTTCTACATACTTAAATAATTCATCTATCATGTTGAGCAGAGCTTGAGCAGAACAGAAGATGGAATCAAACAACAAAAAATCCTAGTATCATTCAATTACCGTTAATCCTGTAGCCGAAGCGTGCTGGGGCAAGCCTGCAGACAGGTGTTTCACGGAAGGCAATGGATCCGTAGGCGCGATGAACGAAGTATGATGGTCGCGTCCTAATGCCATCTGTGTGGAGGCAGTCACCTCTTGCAATATCTGCGACAAAAGTCCCATATTTTCAAGTCGAAGTGTTGTTTTGTGATGTTCTTGTGTGTCTTCTCAACGTTAGGTCGTAACTAAAGATTTTGTTTTTGTTGAGAATTGTGGCCAATTCATTCGGAGTTCGTCTTGTAACGTGCTCTATGTCGAGGATGCTAATATTCAACCGACCCCACCAACATAAGTACGAAAGCGGTGCAAGCGGCCACACAAAAGGCAAAGACCCCTCGAGCGGTCCGACTGCGAGCGCCTTTGGCTTTGTGGCTGATATAGATATTGCCATCACGATAATTCATAAAAATGATTCTAAAGTCGAATCCGAAAAGACGCTCATGACATTCGACAGCGAAGACCATTCATGCTGCCAAAATCCAGCTGCGAGTGCTCTATCTACGAACAGAGAGCGCCTCAGTTGCCTCACGCCATCGTAGGCTTAGACAGTTTCAGTCGTTCTGGGGTGCGGGGAATCAGGAAAGCGAAGGAAAAGAGTCGAGAAGGATCGCATCTTCTTCTCCCTCGCTGACGTGACTGAAGATAATGCTGGAGATGTTGTCATGAATTGGATAACCAGAATCAAAGAGGAAAGTGGAAGGAACTCCTGGTACATTCTAACCCTGAGTCTACTCTCCTGCGCTACCAGATTGTACATTGCTGTCCTCTCCTTCAGGTCTGGTAGTAATACTGCTCTCGGACTCTGTAGTACTGGCTGGTTGATCCGCCGATTGCACATGCTCCGCGTGCCCAGCTAAGACACTTCCCGCTCCACCCATGTCTAGCGCATTAGCACGATGTATAGCCGCGTCGAAATGCCCTTTGTTTGCGTGTACGCTATCTGCAACTCCTCGTTAGAGCCTCGAAATAAGTAGTTTATTTCCATTTTCTTGCATCAGCATACGAAAAATCGCGACGACGTTTTTCTGACGAACAAGAAATACTTCGGCCTCGCCAAAAAACGATTAATCTCATCTATTTCATTTGCGCATGCATAATCTTTGACTGCTGTCTCCACTTTCTGAGCGTCCTTGAGGGCCTTGTCAGCCAGGATACCAGGTTGCGGTAGGTACTTGTCAGGATGCAATGCTTCATCTGTGAGCGTCGCTGGTGTAATCAGCTCACCAGAAGGGCTGATGCGCTCTTCTCCCTCTCCTGATGCTTCTTCCGCACTATGCCCGGATCCGCTCTCGTCCACCTGTGTTGTTGGGAAAATTAAGATTTATGAGAATGGATTAGTTGGAAAGAACCCTTCTTCTGAAATCTTCAGCATCATACATCACAACACTGAAGGAACCTGATGTAAGAATAAGATGTTGTAGTTTTACAAGTCCTTAGAACAGGGAACAATTGCGGTGGTCTCCCGAAGTTCCGCATTCGAGTCCCGGCGTCGGAACTTTTGAACATTTGTTGCAGTTTTGCCTCTGAGTGACACGCTGTGCGCGCAGCAAAAAACTCCGGTGCCGGGACTCGAACCCGGGTCGCGTGGGTGAGAACTTAAGAAAGGTATGCTCCTTACCTGTTGGTCTTTCCGAGCCTCGATGCTCAATTGGTCTTCCACTCGCGCGGAATCTTCTTCCGCAGAATTGACGGCATCTTGCAGGTGTTCAGCCGCTTCTTGAGGCGGTATTGTACTTCCATCCCCCGGAGGCGTCAGGTCTTCCACCTGACCTGCTTGTTCTTGTGGGGTTGTAGTGCTGTCTTTGGCTTGCCCTTTCGCGTCTGCCTTTGTACCAGCGGAGGGCACGTGGCCTTTGCCGTTGTTTTCGGTTTCGTTTTAGGAGGAGACTTTTGTGAATACGAAAAAATAGATGTACAATTGGAGCTACAGCTACTACTGCACTTGCAGACTACCAGCAATAAATATCTCGGCATTCGCATGCGAGTACGACGTCGATGGACCACCAAGGGTAGTATTCGCATGCGAGTACGACGAAGGGTAGTGACCGGATCTAATACACAGTCTGCTTTACTTCACAAACCCATAAACACTTGTTGCTTGTTCGCGATCTTCCTCTTCGCGTCTTAACATTCGCCTGGCGTCCACTGTTCGGTGCGGCAATGTGATTGCAGAAAGGGCAGTTACAAGTCCGAGTCCCAAGCGAGAACCTCGGAAAGTGGAAGACCTCATGCTACAATGAGACATTGTTTGTGACGAACAAACACGCAGGTAAAACTACGCAATCGGAAAACAAGTGTACCTTACTAAGTATAAGTTTGTGAACTAGGGTCAATAAATATCACGTACTTACTTAAGCACAATTGTTGTTGCCCAGGCTGAGAAAGTCCAATATTGTCTTTTTACCACAAGGATGAAATCGGGGTGCAAGGTATAGTGATACCAGTGGAGCACGTCTAAAAATACGGACAATTTCGTCCTCCGATATTCAAGTACGTCCTTCACGAAAGGGTAGAAGATGCAACAGAATCAGATAATTCAGGAAGCCCACATCAAAAGACCGAATTATAGGACAAAAGATCCGACAAGAACATGACGATCCGCAACAGATCTGAGACATGAAGATTGGCTACCGAAGCAAGAAGGTGGACGAAGCTACACGACAGAGCAAGCCGACCATTTTGCAATCAGAGGCAGGAGGAATCCCGCTTACTCTCACTTTTTCGCTCCGGTCATTGTCTTGCACCTTTTGGAAGGAGTAGCAGCACCGTTACCAAGCTTCAGTCAAACCGGTAACAACCGATCGACGCCTGAACCTCGAAGTCGAACAGGCGCTTTCACTGCGCAATCAAGAACAAGACGCGATATATTAGAGCCGGTTGCGACGCATGCTTTAAAAAGATCCATAGATATGATTTTACAGTAGAGGCCTAGTAGATCCATAGATTTCCCACCTATTTCTTTTCCACCTAGAAAACCTATACTAGCTTCTTGCTCATCTTTATCCCCTTTCTCATCCAGGAGTCGTTCAAGCTTATCCTCTTCCGTTGTCTGGGTTCTTGAATCCCCACTCGATCAGCGTTTCCTCGTTTTTTTCTAAGAGTTTTGACAGGTCTTGGAATCCCCAAGCAGATAGCGTTTGGATCAGTTTTTCCTCGTCCGTGAAGATCGACTCCAGTCTTTTGGCTTCTATCTTGCCCAGCTCCCACTGTAGTATGGAGGAGGGGTCGAAGCTATTAGCGCCGGCGAACATGTAACGCATGTCACGGGCTGAAAAAACGTCCCACGACTTTAGCGATTGATGAAAAGACGTCGCGTCGCGGAAGAGTTCTGCGAAAAATTTCACGCGAGACACGTCCCAGGTGTCAAGAGGCTGATTAAATTCTTCAGCGCCAAAGAACATCCGCCGCACGTCTTTCACGGCACTCAGGTCCCACTCGGCTAGCGGCTGGTTGAAGCACTTTGCTTGAGCAAAACAGTAGCTCAAGTCCCGCACGCTCCCCGTGTCCCAGTCATTCAGCGGTTGGTTAAAGGCATACGCCTTGTGGAAGAGGCCATCCATGCGGGCGACTTTGCTGACATTCCAGCCGCCAATCGGTTGATTAAACGCGGCCGCGCCGCAAAACATGTGACTCATGTTCTCCAAGCTCTCAGTGTTCCAAGTGCCGACGTCCTCGTTAAACGACCTGGCATAGGCAAACATACGCTCCATCGCCTCGGCTTTTCCAACGTTCCAGTCTCGAAGCCCCCAACCGCAAAACCGCAACGCGAAGCAAAATGCCGACGACATGTTACGCACCATGCTAACATTCCAGTTGCCAAGGTCCCTATTGAAGCTACGCGCGGATTCGAAGAGCTTCTCCATATTCCGGACGCGACTGACGTCCCACGCGGAGATATCTTGATCGAAGTCGCAACAGCTTTGGAACATGCAACGCATATCCGTTGCCCCAGAGACGTCCCAGCCACTGATGTCGAGGTTGAATCGCGAGCGGTCGGATCTGGCAAAGAGATTACTGAGATCGCCGATTTTGGACAAGTCCCAGATGCGAAGGGGGCCATACTTTGCCAATTTTGTTCCCGGTCCAATATGCTTTTCCCATCGATCTCGATAACGATCAGGGCAGTCAGAATCTATCCAATAGCAATCGCAATCCTTCCAAAATTGTAGGTAGGCGGTTAAAGCTTCATCCAATTCTTCTCGAGACTCGAAAGCCTTCCACTTTTCCCGGAAATAGTACTCGATGACAACGATCCGCAACCGAGTCTGGGTCTTCCCTTGTTCGTGCTCGCCTTCATCTCTTTCGCCTTCTTTAGCTCCGCGCTCATCATGTTTTTTACCTCTACGTTCATCCAGTGGCTCCGGTTCGTGTCCTCTTCTAGTACGTTCATCTTGAAGATCTTCTTTCTGGTCATGATTTTGCTCTCTTTGTTCCATTTCCACAACGCTCTTGGCGTTTTCAACCTGAAGAGCTTGCTCCACACCCTTATCGTTTTCAGCCTGATCTTGTTCAGCGATATTGCCTGCAAGCTGATCGATGAGAAACGTCTCCTCACCCTCTGCAATGTTTCGCTCGTCGTCGACGCTCATCAATACAATATGTTCCCAAAAGCAGCGGAAGTTTTTCTTCTTCTTACCTCCACATGGCTCCCCCTCCCAGTCATAATAGGAAGTTGGTCTAATGCTTGTACTGGTAGCTCTTTGCGCATGTTCATCCTCTACTACAGTGGGTGTGCTGCTACTTCTCTCGGGACGAGCGCCATCTTCGTGCTTTCCTACGGGAGCTACAGTGCCTCTATTGATTCTTTGAAGAGGCTCTTCGCCTTCGTCTCCTGGTTGTACAACATGTCGCTGCAGCTCTAATTGTTTAAGATGAAGGTCATCAACATGTTGATCCTGCTCATCAAGCTGATCTTGCTCAGAACTGCTGATCCTTGTTCTCCCGGAACAAGAAGTAATAGAGGAGCTACCACCTCCTGCGCTAGAACCCTCGAGGCCGCCACTTTCATTAGCCTTCGAGCACCTCTTTGACCGCGCAGCTCGGATCGCGCTAGCTATCGCCTCGCGAACGTCTTTCAATGTAGTCGTTCGCATATCCCGTACTGATTTCTCTAATGCCAGCTCCTCACCAGAGAGGCCATTGCGGACACACAGGCGAACCTGCGTGCTGAGAAGATTACTGGCTTCTACTCGGTCTTCATTACTCTCTGCAGACATTTCTGCCAAAGGAGGCTCCAACATTCTTAGCTAAGTGCGTTTCTATCTATACGACGTCCATGACCGGAATCCAAGCAGTCTCAATGTCAATCACTTCACACTTGCAAGAAAGCTTCGGGCTGTATAAAAGAAAACCAAACTACAACCATCAATCGATCTCCTTTCTTAAACAGAACAAACTACTACTAGCTTCCAGCTCCACAGTAAAGGACTTACTCTTTAGCGACGTCAGGTTATCTGTGCTCGTGCTTCTACTGCTTTTAATAAAATTTAAATCAAAACAACAAAAAATCCAAACTGTTCGCTCTCGACTACTTTGGTCAAGAGAAGTCCCTGTAGACCATCAGAATCAAAGTAGTTTGCTTTTCATATTGGCTATTCTCACTGAGGAAATTGCACGAGAAAGCACATGCGGATGTGACAACAAGACGTCGCGGACGTAGTTATTTAGTGCCGACAACAACAAAAACGACTAGCACTAGAATTCAACTAAGGGATCCTTTGCGTTTCAAATCTTGTGACATCAGGGTCTGACATGATTGCGGGCGAGTAAAATGCTCCTCCTATGAAGTCTCTCTGGTTGCAATCAGCCACGTATTAGAAGTCGCGCAATCTATTGTGTAAGTAGAAGTGATATAAAACGCTCGCTCTTCTTCAAAACTTAAATGTATGACATTTGAAGTGCACTCGAGCGTTGTTCGTTGCAGTCAGTTATTACTGCAGTCGTCCACTCACTCATTCATTTACCTGTTCTCGAAAGTTAAGCATAGGGACGCCCACGGGTGTTGAAGTCAACAGGAACACGCAAGGACCAAGGAAGAAGAGTAAGCATCGGTAGGTTAATCAAGCATCAAGCCTGTAACTCTGCATGTAAATTGTACAATGTGTCACATAAAAGCTCAGTTGCGTTCGTTTGACTCTGTACCACCTTTCCTTTCACACGCTTTCACCATCTGTATGTTCATCTTGATCTTCTGCACTTTTCTGTCGTGTCTGGTCACCATGCAAAGTCTTTCTATGATTTCTTTTCTGCCGTTGGTATGTGTGACCAAATGCTAAAAAATTGACTGATGAGAAGTAGAAACATACGTCGTAGCATCTTAGTCAAAAAAAGAGTGATGTTAATAGTGGAGAACATAGTATGAAAATGAACTCATAAGTGTGTAGAGAGAGAGTTATTGTTATCATCTTCATTATTACTCTTTTAATTATCGCGCGCGACCCTATCGCCGCACTCGTTCTGCGCTCTCAGCGCAAAGAGTCACTAAAAACAGAAAACCTTAACCCTGTGTTCCTCTCCTTCTTGATCTATTTGATGCGCCTTTTCCTGGTCATTCGGTTGCTCTAGTTGTTGTCGTCCACTGGCTGTTGATCTAGTTGAAGTCCGCACGTGCACTTAATTACATTGTTGTATAATCAGTATTAGGCATGAATGAAGTACACAGTTAGTTACTGTTTTCATATGTAAAAAACATTATTATCAAATATGTGGAGGGCCCTCAACATGCTTGGCTACTCCGTACAGGTACATGTGTAAAAAACATGTTAAATATAGTCCATGCTTGTGCATCTTCATCGTCAATATATTATTCCTATTAATTTGAGTATCATGCAGATGCAACACGCTCCTATGATTACCTTCATAATTCTCAAAGATAGAGCACGATAACTCGATCGAATACGAAAATTATCCATGTATCACAGTAAAAAATCAAATTTCTTGATGAACAGCATGGAGGTATTCCAGATCTCCATTCATCAACATAAAAATTCGTCAACGTGTCGTAAAAAACCCAATCCCAAATCGCAAGCTATGATATATCTATATGCATATTTATGAAGACCACTCAATAGACACTAGGAAAACTAAAAAACGATATGTAGAAAAAAGTTCTTTCGTCAAGTTCAAAAGCCGCCAAATGCTCTGAAGACTCGGTTTCTTGCGGAAATATGTAATAAAACAATATGCGTGCGCAAATCTCCCTTGTTTCCCCCATGCTTCTGTTATCAGAGTTACATTCATCATACTTCTTGACAAAAAAAAACGAATAACCAGCCGTCTACTCCTTAGACTCAAGCCATTGCTTTTGCTGTACATCGAGCTGCAATACGTGTGGAAAGTAGGCTTGTATGTAAGGATGCGTGAACGTGTATTTCTTATGAAGGTACATACTTCATGAGCGTGCCGCAGCGCTGGACATGTTCCACCAAAAGAAAAAAAGAGACCGTGTTCCCGCAAATTCGAATCTGGTCTAGGCGCTCGAGCCACTCAAGGATGCTATCAGAGACACCGGATGCTTGCCGTAGCTGATCCCTGCGATACTCTCGCAGTCTGAAGAACAGCGTGTCTGATGAGTCTGACCGAAGAGGTAAAGCTCTAGTGCTCGCTCGCACACTATAATCATATCACTGATCATCGACGGAAAACTCGCACTTAATTGCGGAATTGCACCACAGATCAAAATGTAATCACCGATTGCAGGAGGCTGAGCAGCCCTCGACAACATCCCATTATTCACGATGCTGCGTTGTTGTGTTGACTCTGCGTCTGCACCGCAATCACTGATTGACGCACACAGATATGGGCAACACTAGAATTTGCAAAAAGCACCCGGTATTGTGGATGAAACCTTAGTACAGCGTCACATTTCTTGCAATGGATTCCGGGTTATATCGTGCAACAAACTATGGCTCTGCTTTTAATCTTGATTGCGTTTGTAGTCATGGACATGATGGCAGCTCTGCGATACCCTGTGTTTCTCGATAGAATAACAATAGCAATAGGGTACAACATAGTCGTTGTTATCATCTTTGTGATTCTTTTTTTGTACTAAAAATAGCTCCAAGAAGAAGATGAAAGAACTCAGAGAATTTATCTACAGCCTAGATGTCACTGATCAGTTAATGTATCATGACACGTTGATGTACGACAAGTCGTGCTCACTGTTCATCCATTCGTCCTGTATTTGCTGCTGCTGCTGTCATCGTAAATAACTACCAGTGTATAATCAAGTTTAGGCCTTACAAATAATCACTATCGTCGTCCTCGTCGTCATAATAGGAATCTTCATCGCTGTAGCGCACTCGCTGTGGCGAAGGAGCTTGTCGAACCGCGGCAGAGGAACTACTGCTCGAAGAAGCGCCAACAACTGGAGGTACTTGTTGAGGTATTCTTAGATAAAGTCCACTACACTTGCTAAGAGTAAAAGTAAATGGTCAGGCTGAGGCTACTTTTTAGCAATCCTTTTATCTACATCTACTACAACTACCGCGCTGAGGTCATACTAAATCATGTTAATACATTTCTCATGCACGTTCATCGTTCATAATGGCCGAAAGGCGGCTCTCGCACTCTTGATGTCTTCGCAAACGGTCTCGTTATCGGAATGGACTTCATCTTTTTTGAGCTTTTGTTTATAATGAAGGAGCTCACGAATCAAAAAGTGCATGCGTGGTGCCTTGCCGCTTTCGCTACCTGCAGCTCGCACTAGCGAGGAAATCGCTTTGCGCGCTGAGCTAACTCGGCCGGTACCCACAATCGTCTCCAGCAATCTGACATGGATAAATCAATATGAAACTTTCAATATCTGGTTTCTTTTGGATGCCGCGATTTCTCATACTTATTTAAAAATGAAAGTCGATAAATGCAGATCGAGGTATCCTGGGTAGTACTTGAAACAAACGAAACGGGATCAACAAACTAAGCAAATAGAGGAGATATCAGTAGTGAATGTTTTGTACTCAACGGAATCTTTGAGCGGCGTGCAGAGTTTCTCCTTGTCGCCCATGTAGTCCCCATTATCATTATCCCTCGCTTCCATATCATACAGTATCACGTTCTTCCCAGACCCGCCGCCGCCACCGTAATCGTAAACACTCCTGTCCATGATATTGCTCCCGAATGACCGCTTTGCTTGCACAAAGGCGGATGATTAGAGGGCACATCAAATTCGCGCTGTATCTATCATCGCTCAGCTTTTCTGTGGACCTATTTATCTGATATAGATATGTGATCTTGATGTTGTTTCGTCGTTTCGGAACTGCAGCTGCAATCTTGTGTGTACATAAACATATCATGGTGGACGTAGTAGTCAACATTTTCCATTTCGTATATCGAGTTCGAGTAAATAAATGATTCACTTACAGAAAAACTAACTACGTCCAAATCCAATCATCTAGACTTTCCTCCGATCATGCAGAAAAAAGGTGATCCATAATGTCTTTCCGTGAAAGAAAATCGTGGACGGTCATGGAAGTTCAAATCGAGGTCGACGACGTTTGGAGCTGCGATGGACGAGAAGAGCCGCATGCGAGCGGCAACGTCTCGGATCTCGATATCCTCAACTTGCTCGACATTGTACGAGCAAAAATGCAAGCCATTCGCAATACGAACAGCTTCTGCAGCAGTGATCTTCTTGTAGGGCGGAAGTTGTTGTTGGTCGTCAGAGGACGCTATAGTGGCCGCGCTCTTTTTCGAGGACTTCTTCGCATTTGCTGTGGACACATTGAAAGAAGAAGACACAAGTGTGCGAGCTAGTCTGATGCGCGCACTGGTTAAATTAGAGCTACACCCTTCGCATTATTTTTCAGAGCAAATTCCTTGGCTTGATTCTCAGTGAGAAAAACAGCCAACGATGCTCCTGATCACGAAGTATCAATCTTGGATAGCAAGCCGTAATCAAAAAGTTTTCTCTCTTCGTGCTCAGCTTCTGTTCGCTTGCTTCTGCTTGCGTGCGCGAAGTATAGTACTTTTGCCAGTCCGCGTTCGACCCGACAAAGCTATCTCCCCCACTCAACTTCCACCGCTCAATGCTCTTCACAGCCGCGGTATGAAAAGGGGTTGAGGTGGACAAGGACGTCGCTTTCGCTGCCTAGCCTACGATATAAACATCAGTTCAGTAGTATTGATATCAGCACGTACGACCCTCAAGCGTCATGTTTCATGAATTCGTTATGATCGCCGCAGTGATACAGATATTACTCTTCGGTCTTCTATAGTCCAATTCCAAAAGGTCGAAGTGTAACAAACAACATAACAAGTTGGGGCAGTAGCGCGCCAAGCGGTATTCTTCAAAATCTCGTCGGCTGTGACAAGAGTGTCCCCAGATTTCTTTGCCACCGGTTTCGGGATAGATGCCTCCTTCTTCTCTATTTTTTGTCTCGCAATTTTTACGGCTTCACGTTCGTCGTCACGCTCACGTTTGAGACAGGCCTTCTCGGCTTCCATCCATCGCCAATAATTCACTTCCGCTCCCAATCTCGACGCGAAGAGCTGAGGTTGGTATGAGTTGTTCATTTTCACCAAATCGATCTTATACATACAGGTGAGTAAATTGAATATCATTTCATGGCGCAGAAGAACAACCTTTTAGTAAAACTAAGGACAATAGGCATCCTCCTGTTCGCGGTACTAGTAGTCATTTTGTTCAGCGAAGTTCTTCCTGCAATTTACTCACAACGTACGAGACGCAGGTAATAGAGTGCTAGGATCTATACAGGCGCTTCCACGAATCCCTTCTTCTTTTTGAATTCGAAGACCATCTGCAATTCCCGGCAACATCCGACGCAACCTGTCGCGCTTACCTCAGGAAACGACGTCAATGAGGAGACTGGCTTTCCCTTTGCGATATCGGTGGCACTGTAGCTAGGCGCGTGGTCTATGAAGGGTGACACACTATCAAAACTTGGAGTAATCTATAATCGGAATAATGAACCCGATCTCGTTCTCGTCTTCAAATATTAATCAGAATAATATTAATGCATAATGGGTACTGACGAATAGATTACTCCATTGTCCCAGAACTATCCAGCAGGTATTCAAATCGTCAGTCATATGATCATGATGGCATGCGAGAACAAGCGGCGACCCCGATAGCAAAACTTGCACGTTGTTGTTCCCCGAATCCGTTACACTCGCAACCTGATCGAAACGCCAACAGAGCACTTTGCATGTCGAGTATTCGTTGCGGATGCCTGCGTATCCATTCTCTTTCTCCCATTTTTTTTCGGCCTCCTTCTCCGCATCAAGGTCTTCTATCCGGTTTGGCAAAGGAGGTGGAGGTAACTGTATTAGATCAGTAACACCCTGATCTCGCAATCGCTGCGTTTCCTTTTCGCGGTTGGCGGCGCGCTCTTTTTCCTTTTCGAATTTCCACCGCTGCTTCTCCGCAGCGAACTCTGGGGACCTCCTGTAAGCGCCGATACGGAGCGACTATTAGAAGAAAAGCAAAAGCAATGAGAAAATATCAAGACCATCCAACATCAAAGATGGTATAATCCGATTTCCATACAGAGAAATGATCTTGAGGTTGCAACCACTTTTTCAATCGACATTCTAACTACTTTCCGCGTCTGGAACGGTACAACAGACTGTCTCGGTGGGCGTGGGTTACAATATTCACTAGTCTAATGATGTCCTTCGTATTTTACCTAAAAAATAAACACGAAGTAGCATTGATTCAAATTTATTAAACCAATGATCTACTCTAGGAATGTCGACAGACGCCAGTTGCAGTCGCAGGGAAAACTTAATTCCTCTGTGATGCCGAGCTAATTTCACTGCCATAAAAGTAGCGTTCCGCGTCATTGGCAACGCGTCCCCAGTTCCTCTCGCGGATTTCGATGACCATCATCTTTGCTCCGGTGATGATCTTCGCGACTATCTTTCGCTCTAGATCGGGCTTCTTGCGCCCTTCCTCGACCCGGCAACTCCCCAACACAAAATGCGTGTAGGGAACTTGAGCTCCAATGTCCCCACCTGCGTAGGTTTTTCCACCTACAAACTCGAGACGGCCTAAAACTAGACCTCCCGTAACATTGTTACCAGCCGGCATTTTTATCGCCTCTATTATTTCAAGTCACTCGTATTTCCTTTTTCTCAGACAAACACGTTGTCGTTCATCAAATAAAGTACGTATAAATCTGAGTAATCCACCACTACAAGTCTGACGTGAAGAAAAAGAATGTGACCAAAAGAAGTGAAGCGCATTCTATCAACTGCATCATGTTGCCTTTCCCTAGTCGCCGTTGGCCTTCACTGCGAGCATCATCACGATCTCGCTCAATAACCGATGGAACAAGCATGGAGACAAAAATTGTATAGACCGAGCCATCGAAATACTCGATTGACATGCACACCCGATGATTTTCCAGCTGTCCGCCTCTGAATCCGCTGTGTTATCATCAACCGATCACGATTTTGAGCAACACCCATCATATTTAGATTTACACTGAAGTTCTTCTTTTGCTGATGAAATCTTTTGTTATAGCTAGAGGAATTTTAGCCAACTCGGTGGTAAATAGGACCAGTTTCTACTATACAGTGCTCCATTTTCACCACGATAAGCTTCTTTTATCCTTGGTGGCGGTGCTGTCATTTGTCGTTTAACGCCCACATAACTGTACATGCCTGGTGCGTCTCTTAGCATCGAGTATTTGTCAAAGAGAAACTTCTTTTGTTCTCTAGTATTTACTTGTGCTTTATTTTGTCCTCCTCCGCTTCTAGCGGAACCAGCCCTATCATGTCCTATTGCAGAATGAAAATCTTTCATCCCCTCGTCCTCCACACCACAGAGGAAGCAGTGTCCCGGTGCGCCTGCTTTTGGAGTAAACGCCAGCGCCCTATGTCTTGCGTCGTAAACCCCTGGTGCCTGCCTCGTGTTCCACACTGGTCCCAATGTTAGCGGTAGTTTTTCACTATACCGAGTCGAGTGGGTTGCCCCCTTTGCCCCTTAGTTTCCCCTTTAAATCAAGGAGGACTCCTCCACTCAGCATACTTAGTCCACATGGGATAGTGATAAACTACCCTTAACAATGAAAGACTCCAATGCGTACAGCGGGATCCCGCAGCATCGCAGTGGTGTGCGCAGTCCTTCGGAGTGTAGGTCATCGGAATCCGCTTCAACAGCACATCCCGGTTCTCCGCAGAGGGCGTGGTGCATGTTGCCCGTTTACCGGTGATGCTGGGTGCTTTGATGCGCTGTGTCAGCAGACCCGGATCTGCCTCTTCCGGTTGTGTCCCAAGCACAATGTAGCCAGATAATGGCTCAAACAAGTCGACACTAGTGAGGGAAGGAACACTGGCCATGTTGATTCGAATTCGATTGCAGACAAAGAAATCAATGAATTATTTAATTAGGAAAACATGAAAAAGAATTCATTCTTGACTCATTACCAACATTTACAACGAAAACACAGACTAATTGACCTTGTATTTCCATCATCAGTTCATCTAAACTCAAACAAGAACAAAAAATTTCATCACGCAGAAAAGGCATAACAACGGAATCATCATCACAATGTTCTTTGTTTTTCATTGATACGTTTGTTCGTTCAGCTACGTCAAGTCAATTGGGTTTGAATAAAGATATTTTGTTGCACGGGATAAGTCTAATAGTGTCGAGGTGAAAACTAGCCGGCTGTTTTACTTAGTGCTTTGAGCGCCGCTGGGCCTAAACCTTCACCATCGGGTACACGTAAGATCGTCGAAGTTCGAAAACTCATTCATCAGATTTGACACATGATCTTCGACCGACAACGAGTTTCCGCGACGTGTCATTCCATCACCAATTTTTCATCTGCCGAGAAGTGACCGAGGAGTGTAGCCACCACAACTACAACGACGAAAACGCAACTGTACGAAGAATAGATCGACGCGACACAGAGGTAACCGAATCGAGGAAGACAAGCAGCACATTTGGCCCAACGGAAAACACCGTTGGTAAGTCAAAGCCAATACTGTACTTTAGAATCGCAATCAGGATGAGAAAATTCTACCAAATTATCAATCATATTCATGTTTCCTGCTTGTTGAAAAGCGCACCTGTAGTCCCTCTCGTCTTCATCCGGCTTCCGCTGCCTCGTCTTCTTGAGTCTTCTCTGGTTCTTCGTCGCCTTCCCCATTCTGGCCTGCTGCCTCGTCTCCTCCACCTTCTACTGGTTCCATAGAGTCGTTTGAACCTTGTGGTGCAGGGTCAGAACCTACACCAGCAGGTGCTGGGGGATCCGAGGCAGAAGCAGGCGAGGGTTCATCCTCTGGAGCAACTACTATTATTTTTGGGATTTCATCTGATGCGGCGTCAGCAGCTTCCATCCCAGGTGCATCGGCATTCGCTACAACTTCTTCTACGTGCTCCTGCTCTGTCCTAGCTGGATCACCTGAAACTGTCGTGTCTTCTTCTTCTGCCAGGGCAGCTGTCTTCTCTTCACCTTCATTTGGCGGAACTTCGTGCTTTGGGGTTGCTTCATCTATGACTTCGTGCTCCCGTGGTAGCGCAGCTTGCGGCGGCCTATCTTCTGCCTCTCCGTCGACCACTGGCGCCGCACCCTCTTCTAAATGTTGTGACTTCGATCCTGCGTCCGCAGCTGCTTCTGCCGGGAGTGCCACCCCTTGCTTCAGCGCTGAGGGCAATGGTCCATCACGTGGCATCACAGCTGGAGCGGCCTCGTCTGATCGTTCCTTCGAGGCTATGCGTGCGACTTTTGCCGAAGAAGAAGCAGCTTGTTCCCCTTCTGGAGGTCGCTCCTGTGAGTCAGCGGCTACTCCGTCTACTAATTCCCCTCCTTCCAAAGCCAACGGGTCAACACCTTCCAATGCACGGATCCTTTCGCGTGTTAGAGACGTTGAACTCTGCGTAGGGGTCGAACACTTGATTTAATGTATGAAGATGGCGTGACATTGGGCAGCTTGATGACGAAGCATCAAGATTTGCCAACAACGACGATGACCACACTCGACGTCCGAAGGAAACGACGAGTCGTGGTCGTTTGGTTCAGACTAGAAACATCAGTATATCATAACTCTTCTTTCCGCTCTAGTCGAGCTTGCTCGATTTCTTCCATGAGTCTGTCTTCTTCGTGCTGCTTGAAAAGAAACTTTGCAAGCGCTAACTGAGGTTCGGCTGGTCTGCCATCAAAAAGGAAATCCGCGCAATCTTGCAACAAATCTTCAATCCCAAATTCTAGGTTGTATCTGGGATAGGTCGAAAGCATCAGGGTTACAACACGCAGCAGTGCCCGAATGATACAAGGAGTCTAGAAAAAACGTCCTCAGAAGTGTTGACTACCTAGACGTACAATAGGATTTAATTGTCTCGAGACATTTCTACGCTATCTTGAAACACGAGGGATAACAAAGTAAAAGTCCACTCCACCTACCTCTGATCAGCTTCGGATAGCTCTTTGTCTTTGTACAAAACCGGAATTTTCCAAGGCTTAGCTGGCAGAATTGCCTTACCGTCACGGTAAAACGCAAGGTCGATCTCAGACGCCGCAAAACGAAATGGTGTACCTGAGTACTACTCGTGGTCGTGAAATTGAAAGATTATAAATGAGATAAAGATTGAAAGAACGAGTTCGCATGAATAGAGGTACTTGAATGTGAAGGGTGATGCGAAAAACGTCCTCCAACTGTATTGATACTTTAGGGAACCTGGCGCCCCTAGTGGCAGATCCTTTGGTCGAAACTCAAATCGATCGCCCTCTATCGGCTCCAGCAGACTGACCTCCATCAGCATGTCCGGTTTTGTGTACGCTTCACGCCGGATGAAATCTGGCGGAAACGGAAACCACTGGACAGAAAATGGGTTGTTCATCGTCAGCCGCACAAGCTCCAACCCGTCGTCCTCCTCCGCATATTCTTCGGTGCGCGGCTGATATTTTCGTTAGGAAACTCGGCAACATCAAGCAAGGTACCAGAAAAACCAACTACAGAAGAAACAACTTCAAAAACATTTTCTTTGACGTTATTTCTATAAAGTTTTCACTCCTGTTTATAGTACCTTGGCAACACAGGACACTTGCAGAGTGTAGTTGGGCCGTCCCTCATCCTTCCGGTTGCCCCAGGGGTTATACATCTTCACCGTCGTTGGTTTCGGCATCTTGTCGCGATTTGTGTAGCCCGCACGGTACTGCCAATATCAAACAAACCTCTTTAGTAACCGCAGTACACTGGTCGCCTCCAGATCAAGCTCGCGAGTCGGGATTCGATCCTGGTCGAGTTCGGTCTTCCCTTTTGCTGTTGCTCTGCTATCGGTGCTCTGCTCTGATCGCTGTGGAACGCCGATACGATCGAAATGCGTCGTCTACTTCGCTACAGTGGAAATCGAAGCTGGACAATACATCCAATTCTCTGGCACGACACCGTCATGGATTTATTTCGGAGCTTCGTCAATTACCAAAATACCTCTTTTCCTTTCCTTGCAATTGAAAGCCTAGGTCTAGTGTTGCTTTACTTTTTTACCTACTACTTCTACCAGTACTTTGCTTTTGGTGGCCTCTTTCTTTCTAATGCAAGGCTTTTTTACAGATGCCTGAAGATAAGTATCACTTACTTTTTTATTGTGGCAACTTTAGAATAATAAGGGAATGGCTTGACGAATTCGCGGTTCTTCCGGTGTACCTGCCGCGTCTTGGATGCCATAAGCCGCAGCTCGACATGTTGGTTTTGGTAAGGGAGGTAACGGTCCCTTAGTAATAGATATCGTACAGCGTAGTAAAAAACATTTCACATCAGTCACAGCAAGTACAAAGAAGGTGTCTTCAAACATAGTGAAGCACCCACAGTGTTTTGCGTTTGCATGCGATAGTAGCACTCGTATTGTCTTGTGACCCAATTGGTCTAATGGATTTTACCACAAGGAAGACAAGCAGTTCTATTATTTGTCCAACCTTCATGACGTAATTGTAGACGAGAAATTTGTATGTAAATGTCTTTCTTACACAGGTGCAGGAGATTCTTCGAAAGAAAAATGATCGTCCACATTGACGATGGCTAAGAAAGCTAGGTATCACGTCATCCCAAGTTTTCGCAAATCAAACGCTGCTTCCAGATCATCCGCGAATAGTTCACGAATAGGCAGATAACCCTGATGCTCTTGTGGCATCTCCTGGAATCGCTTTGCGATGCGGGGGCTCAGCCTACTCAGCTTGTCTCTCCATACACGTGGGGGTTTGACCCATAGGTGGCGCGAAAGTTTCTTGCGCAACCACCATCGACGCATCTTATCGGTCGAAAAAGGACCACGCACTTCACCTTGTCGGTCGGAATAAAACCACAATGTTTCATTTTCATTTTTCTTCTCTGGAAGATGTGGCCGTTCTTGTTGTGCTACACTTTGAGAACGTTTCTTGTTCGTAGTTGTTCTTTCTTCACGAGTCTTGTTCCTATTTGTTGTATTTTGTTCTTTTGGTCTACTAGTTTTGATAGTGTTATTATCCTCCGATGAGGTGCGCCGCGACCTCGAAGCAATACCATCTGAAACACGAAGAGGATGATGGCGCTTGGGAGGGGACGAGAGACCCGGAGACGGCGCTATCGTCTTTCGTTGGATCGGTGGCGAAGCTCTCTTATCTGCTTCCTCTTGTTCAACTGCTCGTCGTGCACCTCTTGGACTACATTTCCCCAGTACCATTGTTCTAGCACCAGTTGTATCTGTCTTGGAGGCCAACGTCGTTCCTCTGCCCCGCACAGCTTCTCGTGGCGCAGAAAGTCTCTGACCATGATGCTCATAATCTTGTTCTGTCGGTTGAAAGGTGGGTCTCACTAAATGCACTACTCGGCTTTCGCTCTCCCTAGCCATTAACGGCCTGGGACGGTCGTGGCGGTCCAGGTCCTTCTCCTTGGCGGTGGTCGTAGTGCCAGTGCGCACTTCTCTAGCCTGCCGCGTAATTACTTCCCTACTTCTACCAATCTCATTCCCGTGGTATTCATCGCCGGTTTCTGTGGGAATCGCAGGAATATCCGATGTTTCAGGTGAAGGAGATGACGCTTGGGAAACTTCTAGACCATTTTGCAAGACGCGACTAGCTGGTGCTATCCTTTGCTTCGCTTCTTCATCTTCCTGTCTCATCGTCCGTTGTGGTCGAGGCGCCGCAACAACTTGATCATGGTAGTACATCATAGAAGAGCTCCTGCTAGAAGACGTGATTGGAGGAGGCGGCTGTTGATTGTGCTGTCTTTCCACGTTGACGACCACATCATGATCGATTCGGGTCTGTGGAATCGATCTCGTTGCGGATTGCAGAACAGTTCCCGGAGATTGGAGCTCTTCCCGGTGAATGACTCGAACTCTATCTGCTGTTTCCCCACAGGGGGCAGTGTGCAGAACTACATCACTGGGGCAGAGTGGCGCCATCGGATCGTGTGGAGCTATAAATGGAAATAAGTGCTGCTGATCATGAACACCCGGCAGCTCATCAAAGCGCGCTCCATTATATTGATCATGATAGACACGTTGATCTGCATATCCTCTTTGTTCATGGTTGATCATGCCATGCGAATACGTGAACGTGGGAGCTGTTGCACTAGCATGACTGTGATCCTGGTAAGGATCCGAAAAATCGTGGTAGAATGGTTCTGCGTGACGAGGAGGATGTTCATGTTGATTAATATCGTACTCCGTGTGGGGGCTGCGCTGATCATTAAAATGACTCGGCGGACCAAAGCCGTCAAGGTGATGTATGATGTGACCCGGGTCCTCCCAGTGCCGAGCTTCATCTTCGTGATAGTACATTGTAGGATGATCCTCATCCGGTGCAAACGAAAAGGCATCCTCCTGCGCGCAGATCGGTGAGCCCTCGCCTAACGGGGAGCCAGGATCTCCCTGATAGAAATCTAGATTCCAACCGTCTTGATCAACATCGTAAGCTCCTCGATTCTGAGCGTAGTTTTCTCCATGCATAGTACATTCTTGCCCTTCTTTTCCAGGATCATCTTCTCCCTCGAGTTCCTCCTCGTAGATGCCGTTTCGCGCTGCCGAGGACGCACGGCAGCAGTAGACCCCCATGGCTGCAACACCGAAAAAAGTGAGGAGGCCTATGACAACCAACACAGCCATCGCAGCGGTGCCTACAGACGGCTGTTCCAGGTTGCCACGTGGAGGCACTTTGTGCTTGAGTACATAGACTACCAAATCCGCAGCAGACCATCTGTCGTGCAATGCGACTCCAGCTGTGTTGTACAGCTGCACGAACGTCTTCTTTAGCCGCGTGTCGTCCTGAACACAAGCGGTAGGAAGCTGCAGCGCCACGTTGGCTGCGATGTCCTTCGTGAAGTCCGGTTTGTCTTCTCTACTAGCATCTTCTGTATTGCCATGATTACCGGTCGTGTCTCCTGGAGTTGAAGACGCAGAAGAAGTCCTTGTTCCGTCGCCCACCTTACTAGCACCGAGCGCTCGTAGTTGTGCTGAGCCGCGGCTCAAATCCGCTAGGCCGATTTGAGGAGATCCTTGCTGCGTAACCAAATCCGCTGCGAGGCCAAAGACGTCGGTTTTGGCTAATATTGTGAAATTCAGCGCTTGTGAAAGCCATGGCTCGCGCGCGAACAGGTTCTCCGGTTCCTGTGTGCAGACGCGCGTGAAACCTGTGACGAAAACGGCTTGAGGATTACGCGGCGACCGCATGAGCCAGGGCACTCCCTGGATCAGAGGCGTGCGGTCCGCCTCCGCTATCCCTGCTGAGACGAAAAGGTCGTAACCAATTGAGAGAGCCGCAGAAATAGGACCTCGCGTGCTAGCGATCTTTGCCGAGGAGGCGCGTTGTCGCTCTTCAGCCGTGAGGCAAAACCGATCGGATGAATCTTTCGTAGAGCTCTGTTGTTCAAGGACCTCGTGCCTCGTGCGAATCAGCGCCTTTTGGTCCGCGGCAGAGGCCAGTCGTTTCAGCGTACAAGCGTGCGTGTCGGGATCGAAATCGCACACGAAAATGCGCTCGCCCCTGAGGCACTGGAACTTTGCTGCATCCGTCTCTCTCGGAGAGGGATCTTCTGGAGACGTTATGTTCGACGCAGTCTCTGCAGCACCATCGCTTCCTGCACTTTGATCTCCAGTGCTTGTCTGTTCAGCAATTGCAGGCTTCGAAGATGTAATATCACCATGAGGAGCATTGTTCGTTGAAGATATAATTCTGCACACGGAGTTCGCGCCACCAAGCCGCTCCCTGCCGGCCAAGCGCTCCCAGGGAGGCAGACGCGGTGTGGCGCCCAGCCATTCAGCCGTTCCAGATAGGCTATCAGAGGGTGGCTGACAGGCTCCAGACCCTGTCCAGACACAGTTCCAATCAAGACAAGAGGCCGATTCCCGCAAATCCGAACATCGAAACACCGACCCCTGACCTGGAAAAGGCTTCGCAACACAGAAGGGGGATGTTGAGATTGGCGCAGCCGTAGTAGTTGTTGTTGAAGCCGCGTCCTTGTTTTCGGAAGATTCTGATTCTCCATCTTTTACTTCGGAATCGGATGAAGAAGTCGAAGTCGTTGTTGAGGAAGAAGGCGATGAAGCAGAAGAGTCTAGCATTGGTACTTGCTCACACAAGGTGCTGCTCACATCCGTGTCGCCACACTTGTCAGCGGAAAGACTGGTACAATACGTTGTCGCATCGAACACTGCGCGTCGAAAGGGTGCCTCATCATTCGTTGCAGTTGTCAGTTGCCGAGATGAACCAACCGTCGTGACCGTTTCAAGAACATCTTTGTCTTTCTTGTCTTTTACCTTGAAGATGTCCTTATAATCTTCTCTCTCATCATCTACAAGCAGTTGTCGCGATGAATCTGAACCAGCACCATGAATATCCTCTTCGTCCACCGCAAAACAAGGTGATTGCCACTCGGCAGGCAGTGCCAAGTCACTCTGGAGCTGGATCACACCCAGCATATCCGCCAAGACCCCATGCAGTGCTGACAAAAGACGGCTCTGCACGAAGACACGAAATGTCGTTCCTTTCTTGTCTACTTTACTCCCATCTTCTTGTTCGCTAGAGGAAGTCGAGGCGGAAGTACTAGAATTAGAGGTATCGGGAATGGTGCATCTCCAAAATTATCTGGGTTCCTTTTCCTTCTTATCTTCTTGGTCCAGATGGCAATGGAGATGCACTTCGCATACTCATAATAGAACTAGAAGTTGCACTCTGGAAACTATCATCAGACCGCCAAATGACCTTTGCTTCCGCAGGAGCGTCCGCAGTGAGATACACCAGCCGCACACTCCGTCTAAAAACGTGCTCTTCGCCTTGTCCGCTATTCAACGTGTGACCGAGTGGCGCGTCAACGCTGAGACTAGCTACTTTACGAATACAGTCTCGCGATGCCAACAATTTCCGCATGTCCAAAGCAACGACTTGGCAAAGTATCCCATCACTCTCCTTCTCAACGAAAAATAGCTCGAAGTCTTGGGCTGCAGTCTTACCGACGGCACTGGAGGAGAGGCCACAGAGGGGTCGCGAAAACCTAGTATCATGATTGGGGAAGCGGGTCGGTTGTAGAGAATCAATATCGAATATGATGTCTTCAACAGGACACAGCCAGAGACAACGAAAACGCATCCAAGTGGATCTGACTCGGCGAAAAGTAGTGTACCGACCAGTTACAGAACGAGATACTTTTTATTCATCATGCCTACTTAACTAGTACCCCATCCGCACAGCTGCCTTTCCCTGCTGTGCCGCAAAAGTCGCTTCCTCTGAGGTTTCTGCATCGTCGTCCTTCTTTGGTGGCACGACGATCCGAAATTCGACCTCAGGTGTCCCAGGATGATGGGTCCAGCCATTCAACCGCGCTAGGTCTCGAACAACGAGGCTGCCTTCGATGTGCGAGCTCGCCGCTGCTGCGCCCTTAGCCACACTGGCAGCGAGCTTGTCCAATAACGAGTTTTTCGGCACGGCCGCCACCTCACTCCCATCCAGGTCCACCGCGTACTGAAACAAGCCACAAACTCTGAAACAAGAGGGGAATACCTAATGAACCACCGCGTACTGAAACAAGCCACAAACTCTGAAACAAGAGACGACTACCTAATGATCTTTGGATTTGGATTTGGAGATCCAGAGTTTGTGGCTTGTTTCAGTACGCGGTGGACCTGGGAACAAGCCACAAACTCTGAAGAGGGGAATACCTAATGATCTACCGCGTACTGAAACAAGCCACAAACTCTGAAACAAGAGGGGAATACCTAATGATCTTTGGATTTGGATTTGGAGATTCAGAGTTTGTGGCTTGTTTCAGTACGCGGTGGACCTGGGAACAAGCCACAAACTCTGAAAAGGGGAATACCTAATGATCTACCGCGTACTGAAACAAGCCACAAACTCTGAAACAAGAGGGGAATACCTAATGATCTTCATCAAACTCAAACTTGCTACTGAAACTCAATGTTATCTTCAAAGACGTGCTTACCTTTTTCCTTGAGCTAATATAAAGGTGGATTTACCAGGACATCAGTGCTGCATGTGCATCACCTGGGATTTATTAAATTTAGACCTATTAATTTATTATTCCTTACTCTCTGAAAACCGTTGCCATACTATCAGATGCCACAAGGTTAAGCGAGTCGCCAAACAATCCATGTTGCGCCGCGGCTTTCAGTGATGCGCGCAGGGTTGCATCTGCTGTGCGAGCACAGATTAATGCAAGCGAAGCGAGGACTCTAGTGCACATGATTTTTTTCGATTAATGGCGCGCTATTTGCTTTCATTGCATTGCCTTGTGCGCATGAATTACATGCGAACAGTTCTGTTATTAAATATGTTTCTGCGTGTTCCGTTCATCTTTCTTCAATGTCAACAAATTCAGCAAGAACGTGTGATTTTTTTTTTGACAATTTCAAAACTGTTTTATGACGTGTGATAATTTTCCTCATAGAACAAAACCGTGCTGCATACTTGTGACTCTGTAGTGCTTCCCTCTGCCCTCTTCTTTCCCTCGTGCCATGCTTTTTTCATGCGCTCCATCGCACGATACCGATTCTATTTCTCCGTCCTCATTCTCATTATTCCGGCACTCATCGCCTCATAGTACTACCTTCCCTCGCTTTTATCAATATCCTGTGGTAGGTTAATAGAGTAAGTATGACTCTCAATAGATCGATACTAAAAGAATGCCAACTATTCGTTCTTCGCTGGGTATCCGAATTTCACACGCCTGGGTAGGACGGTTGCACCTTCCAGTACGCCTGCCGACAAATTTGCAAATCTATACAAGAAGAAGGCGTGATCTTCCTACAGGAATTCAGATGTTGACAGCCTCGGTTTATGGAAAAAATAAATGAGAAGAAAGGTGAGATTCCAAATAATGAGTGTGCTGGATCTCTGCAGGTACTGTGCAGGTCCAGTCAGGAGCCAAAATTAGTCACTGGAGAATTCGATTAGACCTAGACAGGGACCTCTTAGAGTCTACCTCATCTACTTATTCACAATGTGGACAGAAAAGAATGACGTGCTGTTGGATCTGTGCATCTGATGGTACAACATCTTCACGCTGACGAAAACTATCTTCACGGAAATCGGCCTTCTTGCTCAACATGTTCATTCAATTTCAATCTTTACTCACCAATAAAAATCTTTTCTTGACTGCATCTATTGAATAATTTTTGACTACTTGTACTGATAGTACACAGTATAAGTACGCCCACTTAGCTCGGTCTAGCTCCCGTAAGATGCAGGCCTCCCGAGTCCGCCGTCTCCGTCTTATCCGCCAAGACGTCTGCTTTTGCAACGAACTTCAGCTGTTTGTGGTCGAAGTCGAATGTCGTCATGAAGTTGCGCAGGAATGGGTAGCCGAGCACGAAGATCGGTCCGCGACCCGTATCGCCAATTGGCATCATCGCAATAAGGCATTCGTCCTTCTTTTCTTAGAGTCGGTTCACTCCGGAGGTGGAGCTTGCTCCAAGAAAGATGGTTCTGTATCTTCTGCTAATCTCAAATCATGGATGATTATAAAATAGTGACTTACAGATGAAAATGAAGCCATAATTCTCATCGCGATCCAGAAATTCCTCCGGTACCAATTCGAGATTGTGGTCCTGCACTAAGAAGCCGATGGAGTCGATGTGCTTCTTGTGGCATTTGTCGTCAATATTCAGCTTCTCACTGATCTCACCTAGGAGGTTCGCAGGTGCCATAAGGAGAGACGAACCCGTGTCCACAACCGCTTGGCATTTGCCCTGAATTTATGGTTGTCAAGGACGAGAGTACACTCAAAATCCAAACACAAAAATTAAAGGAACTTATAGTAAATTATAGAAATAGTAGGTAACTTTAACTTATACATTATAGTAGATTATAGAAATAGTACCCCCTTGTAAGCTTTGCAAAGACCGGTTTTCTTCCCGCCAATCGTAATGTCGTCGACCGCGAACTGCCAGTAGCCATCGACGCTGACAGGCACCGTGAAAACCTGTGCCCCAGGACGTATGCGAGATTCAACCGCCTGTGGACCGAAATTCATTTCTCCTCCAAAATCATGCAAAAAGTAGGAAAAGACTGATGACGTCGTGTATGGTGCAGCTTTCCCATTATCATTTGCGTTCCCGTTTGCGTTTGTCCGGAACAAAGCCTGCAAAACTGCGAATTCCGGATTGTCGGTGAGATCCTGGCCTAAGCCTAGCACGCCGTCCCACGTGCTGTCGCGGAACGGATTGTCGGACTCCTCCTGCATAGCAATGAAGTCAGCCATTCCGCAGAACCCTGTTCCGAGACAGACTTCGTCTCGGTAGTAGTTGCCGACTACCTCTCCAGCAGCGAAGGATATCGAAGTGACATCGCGATCCTCGGAGTCCTCATCCACAGGGGTCACTGGGTCGTCCGTCCAACCTTGGAGGTGGTTGTTGAAAGAACGACTGTGATGTGTGTCATGCTATTGCGAACGAATCAATCACGTTAAACTAACTGACTGTGATGTGTACTCAGAAAAAAGTCGAAGTTTTAAGCAACTAACTAAGAAGCACGCTGCTAATCCGACTGCGGCTACTAATACTACTACCACTGCTACTACTACCACTACTACTACTATTAAGCAATGATATCTACATACCGATAGCCATTCCTTTCCCGCTTTGTTTCGAGTTGTAGACGTGTCGCCCCTTCTGTTTGCATGCGGGCGACTCGCATTTGGGACCAGGAATTAGTAGGTGGCCACTTCCACTGTCAAAAATGACACCGAATTTCTGGCCTCCTACAGTAATATCTCAGATATTAGAGTGAGAGGGCACGAGGGGAAAAATTCTTATAAGTTGATAGATAAAAAACATAACAAAAAAAAAATCTATATTATTAATCTATATTATTAATTTTCTATATTATTAATTTTCTATATTATTAATTTTCTATATTATTAATTTTCTATATTATTAATTTTCTATATTATTAATTTTCTATATTATTAATTTTCTATATTATTAATTTTCTATATTATTAATTTTCTATATTATTAATTTTCTATATTATTAATTTTCTATATTATTAATTTTCTATATTATTAATTTTCTATATTATTAATTTTCTATATTATTAATTTTCTATATTATTAATTTTCTATATTATTAATTTTCTATATTATTAATTTTCTATATTATTAATTTTCTATATTATTAATTTTCTATATTATTAATTTTCTATATTATTAATTTTCTATATTATTAATTTTCTATATTATTAATTTTCTATATTATTAATTTTCTATATTATTAATTTTCTATATTATTAATTTTCTATATTATTAATTTTCTATATTATTAATTTTCTATATTATTAATTTTCTATATTATTAATTTTCTATATTATTAATTTTCTATATTATTAATTTTCTATATTATTAATTTTCTATATTATTAATTTTCTATATTATTAATTTTCTATATTATTAATTTTCTATATTATTAATTTTCTATATTATTAATTTTCTATATTATTAATTTTCTATATTATTAATTTTCTATATTATTAATTTTCTATATTATTAATTTTCTATATTATTAATTTTCTATATTATTAATTTTCTATATTATTAATTTTCTATATTATTAATTTTCTATATTATTAATTTTCTATATTATTAATTTTCTATATTATTAATTTTCTATATTATTAATTTTCTATATTATTAATTTTCTATATTATTAATTTTCTATATTATTAATTTTCTATATTATTAATTTTCTATATTATTAATTTTCTATATTATTAATTTTCTATATTATTAATTTTCTATATTATTAATTTTCTATATTATTAATTTTCTATATTATTAATTTTCTATATTATTAATTTTCTATATTATTAATTTTCTATATTATTAATTTTCTATATTATTAATTTTCTATATTATTAATTTTCTATATTATTAATTTTCTATATTATTAATTTTCTATATTATTAATTTTCTATATTATTAATTTTCTATATTATTAATTTTCTATATTATTAATTTTCTATATTATTAATTTTCTATATTATTAATTTTCTATATTATTAATTTTCTATATTATTAATTTTCTATATTATTAATTTTCTATATTATTAATTTTCTATATTATTAATTTTCTATATTATTAATTTTCTATATTATTAATTTTCTATATTATTAATTTTCTATATTATTAATTTTCTATATTATTAATTTTCTATATTATTAATTTTCTATATTATTAATTTTCTATATTATTAATTTTCTATATTATTAATTTTCTATATTATTAATTTTCTATATTATTAATTTTCTATATTATTAATTTTCTATATTATTAATTTTCTATATTATTAATTTTCTATATTATTAATTTTCTATATTATTAATTTTCTATATTATTAATTTTCTATATTATTAATTTTCTATATTATTAATTTTCTATATTATTAATTTTCTATATTATTAATTTTCTATATTATTAATTTTCTATATTATTAATTTTCTATATTATTAATTTTCTATATTATTAATTTTCTATATTATTAATTTTCTATATTATTAATTTTCTATATTATTAATTTTCTATATTATTAATTTTCTATATTATTAATTTTCTATATTATTAATTTTCTATATTATTAATTTTCTATATTATTAATTTTCTATATTATTAATTTTCTATATTATTAATTTTCTATATTATTAATTTTCTATATTATTAATTTTCTATATTATTAATTTTCTATATTATTAATTTTCTATATTATTAATTTTCTATATTATTAATTTTCTATATTATTAATTTTCTATATTATTAATTTTCTATATTATTAATTTTCTATATTATTAATTTTCTATATTATTAATTTTCTATATTATTAATTTTCTATATTATTAATTTTCTATATTATTAATTTTCTATATTATTAATTTTCTATATTATTAATTTTCTATATTATTAATTTTCTATATTATTAATTTTCTATATTATTAATTTTCTATATTATTAATTTTCTATATTATTAATTTTCTATATTATTAATTTTCTATATTATTAATTTTCTATATTATTAATTTTCTATATTATTAATTTTCTATATTATTAATTTTCTATATTATTAATTTTCTATATTATTAATTTTCTATATTATTAATTTTCTATATTATTAATTTTCTATATTATTAATTTTCTATATTATTAATTTTCTANAATTTGCATGACCCCCCCGGCAATCTCAAAAAAAAACCGAAGGCAGCGCAATCCCCTGCACATGAGTCGACGCATCTGAGTCGGCCACCGCCGGCGCCCGGCTCTTGTCGTAGTCAATTCGTAGGGTGCAACAGCTCACCCGCGGGCTGTCTCTACTCTAGCGGCTGTAGCCCGTGGGAGGCCGCAGGAAAGTGCTAAAGTAACTTGAAGCCGGGCGAAGCTTGTGGAGGCTAGTATATTATACTATAGTACTTGGATTTGGAGGCTATATAGTATAAATGAAAGATTCGATAGTATAAGAACTTCTGGCTCCATGATGATCCCGCCTACAAGTTGTTCCCTCCTGTAGGTTCAGTACAATGACTATCAGTTCGAGCCATAACATAGTATTGCGTCGCATGCATGATTTGTGTCCGTAACGCTGCGCTCTCCTGTAACAGAGACTCTTGCTGCTCTGCTCCGCGGTGAAGAAAACTTGTACGCCCTGGAAAACCCGAGTTGATCGTGCTCCGGTAGGAGTTAAAACTTCTTACCGTGGGCATCACCTGCATATTTTGCGTGTGTGCATTGCTGGTTCTTGTGTGTTTCCTCAACGCAATCCGCGAAGCCGCAGTCTCGTGTGACGCGAGGAACAGAGAAACGAGAGAAAAGCCGACATGGCGACAAAGGTTAGCCTTGCGCCTGGTACGGTTTCTTGAGGACACCATCCTTGCCGGAAAGGAAAAAATACTTATAACAAGAGCACCAACACAAATAGGAAAAATGGACTGTTCAGTTTTCTATACTCACTTTCTACTATCACGTCAATCTGTCGGTAAAAAGTTTGAAAGCAACTCGCATGATCTTGATCATCTCTCGAAATCACTGTCAGCTCTCTTGTAGTGTGCCGTTTGATAAGATGAGACGGGAAACCGATCCTGAAGGCAACATCTCGAACCTACCAGAGGACCAGAGGACCACGGATCGTCAGCATGATGGCGTAACACACTTAAGAGTTTTTTGGACTTGCATTTAGAGACTTCAGAAATTTTTTTATTTTTGTAACATCGGGGAGATTGAGAGAATCTCCGAGCATTATCCACTTCCCAAACCGGCAGCAGTCGGGGCAGGTTAGATAACCCCTCTATCAAGCTGTACTCTACGAACCCGCTGATTATAAAAAGGGCAACGGACTAGGAGGCTGAGGGAATGACTACGCCACAATTCCCAGCGATATGCCGATCGCCTCACTCATAGCGCAGACACTCAGGTCGGGGCGAACAGGGTGCCACCTGCTACTTCTACCCACATCGACGCGCTCAACCAGCATCGGTGAAACTGGTATAATGGAATAGGCAACTGTTTGGCGCAAGGCCATAAGTACTTACCACAGGAATCTAGATCAGACAAGTCAAGAAAACTAAGATCATATCCGTGTCGCGTTTCCTCCTACTTTGCTCCAGTACTGCTCCTTGTATTTGTTCCTGGCTCGCAGACTGCCGTAATCAATCATGGTAAAGTATCCCGACCCAAAGCCTTGCCACCCTGGAAAGAAGGCGCCCGCAATAGAGACTACCGTAGTAACAAGAAATACACAAGTCGCAAACCGGCGCAGTAAATAAAAGATCAGCTTCGAACTCATGGAGCACTTAAAATATCCGCACTCAGCCCCGCATAGTACCCGTCCATAATCCCCTTTGTCGCCGTTCAGTTTGCTTTGCTCCAGTGCTGCCCCTACCTCTTACTATGGCTCGCCAGCTGCCCATAGTCTATAAGTTTCAGTCTAACAACATAGTCTAGTAGTTAGGACTACTCATGTACGAGGCAGAGACACGGCCAAAAACCAAACATAAAGAGGCAGAAGAGCAGATAAAGAGCCTTTCCACCCTAGAAAGAAGACACCCCTTAACAACAACAGCTCCTATAAACAAAGCATGCGAGGCACATGAAGTGCCGCAAGGATGCAGTTAACCATCTATTAATTGCGACGCTTAACCCATCCATTTCCGGCGCAACACCCCTGCTTATCGCATTTTTGGCATGGCTCTCTTGGTCCTGTGTAGGCGCCCTTTTTCCAATAGTGTGACGCCTGCGGTCGGCTGTATCTTGCAGCTACTTATCCACATTCCAAGCAACTCGTTGTTTGTGCACCACCAAAGTAAGTCGAAATGGTTGAGAAGCTACCTGATCACGCACTTCGTGGCCAAAAGCACTAGCGTGACTTTCTCGTTCATACTGCGCAACGTTACCACTTGACACCACCATTTTGCTTGTAAATTTCTTGATAGGTGGGACGCCTGGGATTGAAATAAACTGCGCAAGAAATTACGCCACTAGTACAGGCGAACGCCATAGATGTTGTACGGGACCGAAAGACGAGAACAGGTTGAGAAAGAAAAAAAGTAATTACTAAGTGCGCTAGTACGAAACAGAAATGAGCAAAAGTTCTTGTTATTTGTAAAATATAAGCAAGTTATAAAACTTGAGTAAGTAGTAACAACGGCCAGGAACTACTGCTACTCGCCCATTATTTGACGAACAAAGTATAGTGAATGATGATACAAGAGAGATCGGGATCTTGGAGAAAAGGCGTAGCTCATGATCTTGATCTTCCAGGCCTTCCTCAACTCGGGAACTGGATTGCTGATCTTTTCTTTTCGACCCTGATCTTTTAGCTTACTTGATGTACTCCTTGTCCCATTTCTTGTCATCGCTGATTTGTAGTCTGTCACTCGCTCGAGATCATTTCCTTATGGCTATTTCTCGTTCCTGCTTCCCTGCGGTGCTGTCGTGCCTTATCCTCTGTCCCTCGCTGGTGTCGCTTGCTTGGTTCCTTTTAAGTAATATTCTCATTATCACTAAACAGAAGCACTTGAGGTCAAGGTCTCAGTTGTTGTTATTATTGATATTCATTGCCTGTTGACTGGAAGAGCTAACTACAACTTACTATGTGCCTAGTGCTTAATAGCAGAAAATTTAAAACCGTGCATGCTTTGGGATGCTATCCCATCTTAGGATGACTCTACCTGACTGCCTGATATGAGTCAAGCTTCCGATGGATTGCTTGCTGGGAATTCGAAGTATGGCTATAAGTAGACCCGACGAAAGCTAAAGTTTAAAAACAGACAACCCAGCCGGGCTGAAGCTCAAGAAACAGACATCCCTTTCGTCCTTTCTTAGTCTAAGAAAGAACGAAACGAGTCAGCAAAATATAACAGTCACACGTTACTCAACACTTTGGTCGGAGTCAGCAAAATATAACTACTGACAGTCACACGTTACTCAGAACTTTGGTCGGAGTCAGCAAAATATAACAGTCACACGTTACTCAACACTTTGGTCGGTCTCTTTTCATGAAAAGAATAAAGTATGCTCTTTTAACCTCCGATCAACCGTTGATCGGGGTACCAATCTGGAACGCGACGCTCAAGTTGCTCAATATTTATGCTAAAAAGGAAACTCCTGTCGCGTAAAGGTCTATCTTCTACTTGTTGTTCTTCTTGTTCCTCGTTCTCCAAGTCTGATTCGTTCTCCACAATTTGGTCCATAATGGAGGAGACTAGAGAATTTTCTGTCACCAGGCGCCACAAATCAAATGCAGGCTCATTCAATTCAGCAGCGTATCGAGTATCATGGTCGTCTAGAGCTGGTGGAGGACCCTGGTGTACCCCTGGTCGAGGAACAGGGCCCTGGTGTAAACTACCTGGAGGAGCCTTCGGAACTGCTGGAGGAACTGAAGGACCCAGGTGTAAACTACCTGGAGGAGCCTTCGGAACTACCAAGTTGTTCTCATCGATGTCTGTTCTTGTTCTTGCAAGAATGTCATGACGAACTTGTCCTGCTCCTCTCACGTGTGAACGTGAAGTAGATGCTTCCATCTCGACATTGGACGGACTAGTTGGGCTTGGGTCTGCTCTGGTTTGAGGCTGTAAAAACCCTGCCACTTCCCCTGCTACTTCATGGTGTCGCGCTTCTCCCGCCATCAAGGCTTGTTCCCTTGTAGTTTGAGCCTCTTGTGCCTCTTCTTCTAGTACTTTTAGAGCTACCACGTCGCATCCTTGAGTCCATCCGTGAGCCCTTTTTCCCCTTGAAAAAGAAGCCAGGGATGGTGCTGAGGATGCTTCAGCGGTAGCCTTAATACTTGCTGGGGCACCTGAGGCGTAGTTGTTCTGCTCTCGCACACCTGGGCCAAAGCAGCCAGCCGGATGAAGAGTGTAGTTGGTAGAGACCGCATTTTCTGCAGCTTGATGTCAGGTGCTGCGGGTAGTTCGACTTCTAGCGAGTGGGTAGTTGATGTTTTGACTTTGGTCTTTTCATCTAGAGAAAAAATGGCAGTAGCGGCTGCGTCTGCAGCATCTCAAGAACTAATACTTCTAGTGCTAACTACGTTATAAGGCAAATACATCAAAACCAAAATGACCGATTTTGGAAAAATATAGGTGCTCGACCTTCCCGCTAGCGGTGTCCTGAGTACTCAATGCTGGAAATACACACACTGCTCATGAAAGATTTTCTTCACTCAGAGAACAGGACCTACAAGTGATAAAGCAGAGCGCGCGCTTTCGATATTGTTCCCAACTCATCCAAGACTCACTTACTTTTCACAATCGCTTTTGACAAAATTTCTTTCATGTGCTTCATCTTTCCAACAGCTGAATCCAAATCTACATTTTTTATTGCAGTCTCGGAGTCTTCTTTCAGATTAGCCGAAGCCGCATTGTTGAACATCCCATCGTAAACATTCGCCCCTGTCGTACAACTTCCTGATCCAGAAGCAGAACCAGAATCATGTTGCTTTTCCATTTCTTTTTCATCTACCCCATCTTCCCCATAGATCTTGCTTCCTCGATGGGCGAGGTAGTTGCAAAGCAAATTTTCCACACAGTAATCAATGTTTTTAAACTTCCCGTCTCGAATTCCCTGCTCTAGCTGTGGCAGGATCTCCTTTGAAAAAACTTCGTCTGTGTCTCCCTTTTGCACGTCAATGATCTCCATTTCTTCGCAGTCGGTAAGATGCTGCAAAATAGTATCTTCGAGGCGATCTATCAAATCTCTTGTTAATGAGTCTACTTCGCGGAGGTGGACCACGTGGTCCCCAAAAATTTGTTCTTCTTGTTGATTCATCAGATTCTTCTTCTTTTTACCAACCTTCTTCATGCTCCTGCTGGTGCAAGAACAAGATTTCACCGCTCTCTTGATCTCTACTCGTAAATGGTCGTGGATATCCCGCGAGTCCCAGACGAAAAAGGTGTTCTCAGTCTCTGTATCATCAGTTCTCGCGTAACCCAGGAGTGAAATGACTTCGTGTACAGATGACAAGCACTTGTCGTCTTGGATGATGTCCATGAAAGATGGTACTATAGGGCCTGAAGTGCCCTCTCCAGTCGTCGAGCTCAACTTGTTGTAGTTGGTGCTAGTTTTGTCTCCCGTGCGGGCCGCCGTCTTTTCCTGCTGCACATCCTCGTCTTCATCATGATCATGATCTCGCTCCAGTAGTAGATCCTCATGGTACTGAACTTTCTTCAGAATATCATCCCTGTTGTACTCCACAGTCCGCGCCACGGGGCCGGAGTCTGACATTGTCGCTGTACGTGATGGCACGACCTCATCTCCTGCAATTTCTGTGATAACGGATTCCTCCAAAATATTCCGGATTGCAGGGTCTGTCGATTGTTTTAAATTTTGAACCTTGTCAAACTCGCCCAATGTCTCCAACAAACTGCCGATGCTCTCTGTTCGGAAAGCGAAGAAATACTTCATTTCTTGTCCATGTAATGCTACCTCATGTTCGATCCTGTCAAATGGATTTGAGACCCTTCCAGTCAAATTGTACCTTCAACTAAGAAGAGCAATGAGACCGAACGATGAACAAACTATCAAGTACTTTCAAGAGTAGCCACGATTCTTGTTCGCTGCCAGTGCGTTACTACACAATTTCAAAAGCTCCAGTCCGTCGCAAATTGTGTTCACGCACCATCAGAAGTGATTCTTGTTCACCTCCGCAGGCAGTCATTGGCGCTAGTAAAAGTCGATTCTGATCATGTTTCAGTAGACTTCCGCATGACTACCCTTTCATTATTTGTGCACTTTAGTTTCTTTGATACAAACATGAAAGTTTGGATTTGGATTTGGAGCTTTCAGAAAAAGTTTCTGGCCACCAGTCGGGGCACGGTACGTTTCGCAGTCAACAAACATGAGGGAGACAGCATGAAGGACTCACCACACAGAAAATAGAGAAGGAAAACTTTCTAAACAACCTAAAACCAAAGCAGGAGAACCTCAAAATGAGGAGCATAAGAACAAGTAGGGACTCACCTCTCTTGACACTCGATATCTCTTGACATTTGCTTCCACGATGTGAGCACTTTTTCGAACTCCACGCTCATTTGTCGAACATCAGACTCAGGAGCAGCAATCTAGAAGAACGATTAAATTTGTTGAATGCGCTTCTTGTCGCATATGATATTCATACCTTCATCTAGGTAGCAATTATTTTATGCATCATTTGTTAGCATCTCCCCGCCCGAAAGCAAAACCTAGCCGTTATGGTTCATTCCAACAGATCAAGATTGAGTCTAGTTGTACTTATGTTAACACATGCGCAAGAGCAAACCCGGAGGACACATCCTCGATCACAATCAGCAAGTATATCTGAATAAGTACTATCCCCCCATCTTGTTAATATTGTTATGCCACCCATCAACATCTGCGCAAAAATGACCACTCTTCATGATCTAGCAACCCGGTAGCTTCCCATCGTAGAAAATGCGAATCCGTTGCTGCGCCACGCACTGATCTCCCGATAAGAAGCGTGGTGTATTAGAGCTACCTAAGAACAACATCTTCAACGTCGGGAAGCCACGGGCCCCATTCCGACTCGGTTGTTTTGGATAGCAAGTACTTGCTTCCACGAAACCTTTGTCTTCGAGATTGAGCAATCTACTACTACTTCTCCTAGGAACGCAGTACGTAATTTTTTGACGACCTACACGACCTATTATACTTAAGTACGACCTACACGACCTACTCCGATGATCCTCCACAACTAATTGCCCATAATTTCCAGAACTACGTTTCCGCTGAGCAGTTGTGGTGGCAGCATCTGTTCTGCACCCACGATTACCTGTTCCCATGTGTGATGAAAGGAAAAAGTGCAGTCATACTCAAGGAAATGACTAGGACGTAAGTGGGAAGCTAGCTAGTTTTTCCATGATTTCCTTTTTGAGTTGTAAGTATCTATAATTATAATGAGTGCACTTTCTTCTGTCATATGTGTTGGTGCTGTTTGGGATCACAAATCCGAAATCGAAATCCCACGTCTCCAAAACTGCATCTCTGAAATAAACAACTTGCTCCAGTCGAAAACCCGCTATCTGTTCCGCAGAACTGAACTCGATCTCTCGCGAGACAGCGCTACCTGGTTCAGTTATTGGTTTGATTGCACTTTACTAGGCTGGAGTCACAAACTTTTAACACCAGATGGAGATCATGACGGGACTACAAAAAACTTCTGCAAACACTTCCTCATCTCGAACAGCTGCTTCTCGTTCGTTGCGCTTCACAAAGAACAAGAGTCACAAGTAGGCACAGGAGGGGTGGATGGCAAGAAGGCACCACGTGAAGTAGTCAAAGTCGATCTAACTAAGTGACCCCAATCTAAATGGTGACAACTGAAACAAGTTCAGCCTTAAAAATATTACCAACATGTATTTTTATACATAGGGTGGAGATCATGAGGAGCTTTTAGGTAACTGAAACCTAGGTGAAAGCACAACTACGTTGTACACCTACTAGAAAGCACAACTAGGTTGTACACTGCAAAATCTCTGGAGGAACATGTATCGACACTTCAGGCGAGTTTGAATCCCAAGTCCGCGACTGCCATAAAATTCCAAGTCTGTTCGCTTTGTCCGAAGCGTCCTTCATCAGCATCCGTTTGATCTGAAAACCTCTACCAATCTTTTCCACATCAGGGGCGGGAGGGGAGCAGTCATCTTCTGTAGTTGTAGCTGGTTCTACTGTAGTGCTTGTTGTTCCTGTTGTTGTTGCTTCTTTTTGTTCTGCATCAAGAGCTGTTGCTTCATCTGTAACTATGATGCCTTGACGCAGGTGGCGATGTACGTCAGCAGGAGCTCCGGGATCAACATAATCCTTGGCATCGTTGAAGTTCTGGCCGTGATTTTTGATTGATGTCGCATAAGAATCACCTTGTTGTACTAGAAGTTCTTCTGACAAGAAATCCCTGCTTGTGGTCACTCCTGAGAAAGTAGATGTGGTGGGTTGCTCCCATCCGGAGGGAGAGATCCCAAAATCCGGATCCTGTTTCCTGCTCTTTGCACCAAAAATAGGAGACGTGCCTGCAGGATGAAACGAGCTGCTGCTTGGCGTCGCTGCTAAGGATGAGTTGTAGTTGTGACTACTCGTGTAGTCACGCTTGGCATTCGTCCACGCCACAGGCATCCTCCTTGACGTTTCTTGTTGCTCTCTTCCTCTGGCGAGTTCGTCCTGTGAGAGATCGGGAAAGCCGTGTGGTAATCGGCCCATCCTCGTTCTCGTCTGCGTCGCATGAATTGGCGAACCTCCTGGCCTCGGTGGTGGCGGAGGCGGCGAGCCGCCCTGTCGAGGCGGCGGAGGAGGAGGCACTGCGAATGACGACATGAGAATGATTCTGTATTTATTTTTTTTGTGTAGCGGACGAGTACAACAGAATTATAGAAGCTATAGGAGCATCTATAATAAAACAGATGATATCCAAGTAGACAACGAGAACGACAAGCCGTTTCTTTAAACGGAATAAAAGAATGAGAGTCACTTTTTCATCGTGACTTTTTTGTCACAACAACGACCCGATTCATAGTTTCGTAGCCGTCTTTGCATGTCTCGCTCATCAATCAAGCTCTCACCTTCTCACTCACAAGCACTGAATTGGCACCAACGTCCCCAAAACCCGACTCTAGAATCCCCTTACGGAAAAGAAGCTCCGAGATGACATCAACATCTTCTTCACGTTTACAATTGCAGTAAGAAAGCGGCATAGTAGAAGTGTGATCATCATGATGATCATGATGTAGTAGTACTGGCATCCACATCATCAACGGCAGTTCGTATTCGACATCATGCATGAAGGGTTGTTCCCCCTACTTGCTCCGTTTGCATGCACGCGGCATCCTTCATTACATTTTCTGCAGCTGCTTGCAAGGCTACGAAAGCCTTTCGTGCCAATTCGATGCCAGGTAGCTCTTCTAGTTCGGAAACTTTCACTTCAGTCCGCGCGATGCCTGAAACAGTTCCGCTTGGTAGAGGCTCCGACATGGCTCCACCCTTAGTGGCTGAAGGGTCTGCCGATCCAGCATCATCTTCTGAGGTGCCTTGCTCACCTACACATGCACTCGTAGACTTACTAGTTGGCGCTGATTCCTCTTGACCCGGTGACTCCCCAGCACCGTCAACATCGTCATCCTCATCGCTTTTACTAACGAATACCAATTCCTTGTACTTTTTTGTCTGTGATTTTCTTACTTCCCTGTAATCATCTAACGCATTCTGGAAAGCCCTCATATGCCTTTCTATCGTTTGCAATCTAGCAGTGGTGCCTTTGTCAGACGATGTTGGACCCTGTGAGGGCAGTGAGGAACCTTCATGCTCTTCGTCCATGTGCAAAAAGTCACGACAATATCTCGGATCCCGCGGCATTGGTGCCATCACCTCACGGTAAACATTGCGCTTTTCAACATGCGTCGATAGACCACTCTCTGGTGGCTCTGTCGCAGCGTCACCATGCGGGTCTTCACCCGGTTCGTTCGCCTCTCGAGTCGAATTCGACATGCCGTGACCTCCAGACGCTGCTCGAGTCCTGCCGACAGTACCGAGATTTCTTCCGAGCATGCCAGCGAAGGCAGAACTCATACGCCTTTTTGGCCGTCGAAAAGGCTTCCGAGCTACAAATCCGTCCGCTTCCAACACGCGACGTGACTGCTCTAAGAACGAAGACGCGTTGCCGCTCGTTTTGCCCCCAATCGAGATCATCGAAGAATCTCTGCTGTTCAAGGATGCAAACCTACTGTCGCATATCGGAACAAGACTTGTTATGCTCGACATCATTGTTCTGGACAGGCCTCCGCCCTATGTGTTCCCTATCATGTCGTGTGGTTCCATATCATGTGTGTTAGAAAAGAAAGGGAGTGCTGGAGAGGCCTCCTTCTTGTGTGTTAGAAAAGAAAGAGAGTAGTGGAGAGGCCTCCTTGTGTGTTAGAAAAGAAAGAGAAACTACGAATCTAAAAATGACTGGGCATACATTGTCTGATGTTGGGGAAAGGTCTCGTTTAATTGTTGGCAAACGGAGCCTACCTAAATCCTTTTTCAAACATCCTAGACAGCAGCAGCGGGATTCGAATCATCATGTAGCCAGTCCACTTGGTCGTTTGGGGTGTATCTTTAGGGAAAAACGGACAAGGCCTGACTCTCGCGCTGGCAATCTTCATGTCTGTGGTTTCTAAAACTTACCGATGGGCATCGAGATAAACCGAGAAACATGGGCGGGACGACTTCGAAACTATACTATAGATGTATCCACACAATGTCCATTATTGCCACGTCATCAATTATATCACCTAACGACGCTCCCTTGCAAGAGTTCACAGATCGATTCGACTTCCGGCAGGATTATAACTTCGTCCCGCCTCTTTTGATAAATCTCATTTTTTTTTTTCATTGGAAACCTGCCTACTTATCTTCTTGGGAAGATGATATGAATGAGTCTCATTCCTCGAGGCAATGACGTCATCATTGCACGCAAGAAGTAGGGCGCAAAGAAATTCTTAAGAGGTGAAAACTATGTTCATAGGGCGATTTGATGCAAAGGAAACTTTACGAGCAGGACAAGGAAAAAGGAGAATGAGCATGATGGTCGATAAGATAGAAATAGGAAGAAAAACACGCAGGTCTTTGTGCGTTTCTCGACTAGCAGATTGTCCTGAATGTATGTCTCGATGGCATGTCTACTGAAACTATGTTGAATGTGCCATGAATTCTTTTGTTATATCCTGCCAGCAGCCATGTTTTGTTAAAAAAAATCTTTAAAATCTGGAAAATATTATGCACTAACTGGTTACAAGTAGTTAATTGATCAATCGATCTACTACTACAACATAATTTGTTAGAGATGAATTTCGATTTCCTGAGTATTTAAGTACCAAATTGTAACCGCGATTCACTCCTAGTCTTGCGGCGTTCTCCTGGCAGGGCAACAATACGCACCACGTATCCTTCAGCGTGATACTCCATGTTCCTGTGGCTACGTTGCATCGACGGACTACGAAGGGAGTCGCGAGAGGTACTTCTCTTGTTACGTCGAGGCTGCAGAGACGTGGTTGCAAAATGCTTGCGCATCATGAAGTCTTCGGTTCCTAGACGCTCAAGGCGGCGCGCAACAAGCATCCCCACTTGAAGATCGGTGTCCATTCCTACATCTTCGGTCTTGCTCTACTTACCAGGATCATCTTGTTGTTTTTGGTCCAGAACATCGCCTAGTATGCGTTTTTGGTCAGGAAATCGATTCTGCCGATATTGCGCATCTGAAGTCGCATGAACGGCGTGGCGCGGGCGGCCTTCCTCTCCGAGGACTCTGTCTTCTAGCTAAAAAAATAAACAGTCCTCGACGTCTTCACTGGGACGACTGACACTGTTCATAATAGGCTCCGTAGCGTCGCCTGTGATGCATGCCCGTCTCAGCGTCGTAACACCTGATACAACACCTGTTGAGCCGCAAGAACATTGCTGGTTTTTTTCTTGCCATAAGAAGACTTTCTCCTCGTTTCAAAAACTCTTTGCTCGCGACGCCAGAGGAGACGTAAGAGCACCTGCAGCGTTGCTTCCGGGAGACATTTGAGCTCGTAGTGGTTAAGCCGCCTCAAGAGAGGACGAAAGAGTTTGTCCTCGAGAAAGGCGTCACCTATATCGCCTTTATCTGCTGAAGTACTAGATACCCTAGTCCTCGGCGTGGATACAAACTCATCCGTGTCCCAATCCAGATCTACTTGTTCCAAGCGCAGCAACAAATCGCTATTCTTTATAAGGAGATCCGTGAGTTGCTTATAAACACGAGATTCTGGCTCCCGACGATTGGAGGAGGAGCCACGACTTCGAGCTTGATCACGACGTGAGACTGCCTTACGACTTTGATGCGCAGCACCGGCATCGTCACGCATCAATGCTCCATCTTCCAAACGACCAGTTGCAGTTTGTTCAGCTGTACTACTTCCTTGTCTTGTATGTCAAGAAGTGGTCCGATTTTCTTTGGCCTACTTTGTCCTTGTCTTGCTCCAAAGAGCGACGAAGACAGAGCCGACAACCATGGTGGAGCCAGCAAACGTCGAAGTCTTCGACAACCATGGTGGAGCCAGCAAACGTCGAATGAATGCGCCCTCGTGGGCGTCCCAGAAGTTGTCACCAGTATCCCACTCTTCACCAAGCTCTCGTGATCTACAAGTCTCTCGCCTCGGTCGTTCTCTTGATGAGCAGCATAACAAATAACAGGTGCTGTCGTCGTGTGGACCCTCGTAAAAGTTTCAGCCGCTAAGGGTGCGGCAGCCAAGGGTGCGCTTAGCAACTCACCCTGTGCTTGTCGTGCTTCGAGAACATCCGAGCCTGAGGAGAGACCAACCACATCACGCTCACCGCAACAGGACTTTTGCCATCCAGTAAACTGAGGATGCAGCAACCAAAACCCAACATTTGCATTACTGCTACAGATTCACTACCATAATTTTCACTTTTCTGGACGATCAGCGATCACGTAATTCGCATTCTCAATAAAGTCTTGATGGAACTCAGTTTTGTAGTAGCAATCTCTCTGCGACAGCAGACGTTGCAGATCATGACGAGCTGTCTCCTCGATCTTCGCATTTTCACTACCATCCCCACGTGGAGAAATACCTCCATGTTTAGGAAGGAACACTTAACTATGATGCTTGTTCACGATGCGACCAATCCCCAGCCGGCGCTGAAAATTTTCCTAGAGCCACACGACGAGGCGTTCAATCAGGCTGATTCGATCAGTGTCCTTCACCTGGGCAGCAGCAAAAATCCTGTATAGTACGATGATCGTCCCTGCCATGCTCGTCTTCAATGTAGAATTTCATCAAATTTGTAACTCTATTCCAAAGCGGACCGCGACCACTTGGAGCCGTCGTCTGCGGTGGATCTTGTCGGAGCACAGCATGGAAACAGTATTTTCCAGCATATCACGCCACCCGCTTTCTTTCCGACGCGCCCCGTTACGAGTGCAGAGATTAGCGGAAGGCAATTATGACAATGTTGAATCACTCTGACTTCTATAATCCGTGGTTCTTAAGTGGATTGCTCCATGCCGCCCCTTGTTCCTCGCCCTTAAAACAAATCCTTTTGAAAAAAGGGGAGATCCACTCAGCATAGTGGTCGTCCACACCACAAGACTGACAGTGATCGACTAGGTAGTAGCCATAAGTAAAGCAGCCACGTACCGCTCATCCCGTTGAGAAAAATGAATATCGCAAACGCCCCACAATAACCGGAGACAAAATCCGCATAATATTCTACTCTCTCCGCGACTGCTGGAGTGCCGTTCGTGGTAGCCTGAGTTGATAAGGAGTCATCGAGGAACAGACACTGCTGATGATGTATTCGGTATTATGTAAGTAGTTCGACTTCGACGACATTGTTCTAAATGTAATGATGAAGATACGCATAGAAGAAGATGAAGTTCCTATTACTCATATTTTAGACTTAGCACGTCTATCAACGACAAAACCAAAGTTTGTAGTACCTCGCACATATATTTTAGCGTCTTGCATCCGCCCATTGCTTTGATGAGCTTTACCCTCTCGTCACACAACGCTCCACACAGTGGTGGTGGAACTACCTTTTTTTTCTTCTTGCCGTCTTCGTCCTCTGATAACCTCCTTGTCTCGCTCTTGCCAGTTGCAGCTTGCAAAGATTTCGATGTTGAGGGTCGAGCGAGAAGTCTTCTCCCGCTTTCGCTGTAGCCGCTTTGTGGTGGTTCGGTCGGCCGCGAGACGAGCTGTAGTTGATCGGTAGTGGATAACGCTCTGGCTGTGATTATCACGCAGCAGCTGAAGCGATCATTCGTGCTCATAAGTTGTACCATGAAGATTTGAATAATCGCAAAAATAGCTGGGATGGATGGGATGTCGCCTTCCCAGAAAATCTAATTTTTTCGGACTCAACAAAAAAGTCTCAGTCCTAAAGAAAATTATTGTACCTCGCACGTAAGGTCAGCGTTCTTCATCTCCAGTTGGTAGACGAAATTCTGGTACATATCTGGCTCGCACATTTCCGCGATCTGTCTCTTCATTGTAGGTACTACTACCATCTTCATGTCCTCCATTATGACGACGGAGGCGAGGTAAAACAATCCCACAAAAAACGAAATGGGAAAATGAAGAAAGCAAGAACATCTTCAGAGATAATGAAGTTTTTAAGCGACGAGAAGATGGAGATAAAGTACAACAGGAACGATTCTATTTGTAAGTACTTCTACCAAATCGAGTACCTGGTAGTAGGTACTAGAGAAGAGATGAATTATTAATACGACGGAGATGGAGGGAAGAAGTGATGCCGGACAGATAGTTCAAATTTTCGTGTTTTTCTAAGTAAGGTGTCCAAATCATCTGCAAAGTAGCCTTCCATAAAACACAAAGATGACTAGTGGTAGTCTCCGCTTCATGGCGCTTCCGAAACATGCTGCTAATGAGCCAAAAAGAAGCGCGACAGAGCCTGCTAACACACAGAGAAACGTCAAGCGTAGCGACACCGGCACCCCGTCCCCATCCGACGTTCCAGCCATTATCATTTCGTCCGCGAAGCATGAACAAGGAGGAGTGCGAAAAGTAGGAGTTAGTAAGGACAACCGAATTATAGGAGAAGCAAGAGAGACTTCCTGAAATATCAAGTAAGTACTTGCATACTCAATAATACCAGCATTTTTAAAGTAATTATCCTCATTTACCATTTTTAAAGGAATTATCCTCATTTATAGTACCAGTATTAAAGTAATAATTGCACCCTTATTCATACACGTTTAAGCCCTTCGCTCTGCAGTGCTATGTGTGCGACGACAAAGAGGCCAATCGCGTTTATCCATGTCAATACGGCTTGTACGATAACGCCACTTTGTAAAGCTAGGAGACCCCCACGGGGTCCACCGGAGCCGTAGACTGCGAGCATTTTCTTTGTTCAATACAGTTCTAGTACCAATTTAGTAAAGAAAAGATCCACCCATTTCGGGCGACGTTGTTGAGGATCTTCGACGGTAAAGAAATCGCTTCTCGATCTTGGTGGAAAAAAATAAAGCAAATATTTAGTTTACATTAATATCATGCACTTGCTATTTTCATTACTTCTTCTTGCCTGAGTTGTATCCCTACTTGGCCACGCAATACACGGTTCTCATTCTCTTGGCCTTTTTGCTCTACAACTCTGTCTTCGGACATTCACGGCCCTTTGGTCATCATCATCATCATCATCATCATCATTATTGTGTCCCATCTAGTCCTACTAGCCTAATGGCGGGACAAAACTTTGGTCTCTCCTTTTCGCTCCTCTTTTCTTTTTCAAATCGAGCACAGGTGGCCACCGAAGACGTAGCGTCCAGCCTCTTCCTCGAAGTCGAAGAGGACGATCCATTCGCTTGGTGATGTTAGTTGATTCGGATTGGACCTACGACTTCCCTGAACTCATGTTGGTTAATGGAGAAATATGCAGCACCAAAAGATACATCTTCCAGCTCGTCCATGACTTTTCATTTATTTATCTCTCCTCGTGCTCGTCTTGGCGCAAAGAGAAATGATCATTGCTGACAAGAATTAAAAACACGATCCCCAGGAAAAGCAGCCTATGATGGTTCGATCAAGCGAACTACCTCTTCGTGAAGCTTATGGAACTCAATGTTGTGCTTGTGTTTGTGATGTCATAGATTTTTAGGAAGAAGTTGTAAGAAGCTATAACTTCTCGGCCAAGTCTAAGTCTATGAACAACACGAATAAATGGTCGATATTTATACAATATATTTTTATGCACATGCGAAACCAATCTTCTCGACGTCCCCTTTCTGCCACTTTGCTGCAGGACGTCAGACAGACCCCCTCTCCCTTTCGACAATCACTCATAAATTCTCGTATCAGTTTCGAAAGAAGTACTAGCATCTTCCTGGAGTTTGGGTGTGAGGTCCTCTTCCGGATGAACAACATGAATATCAACATTCTTGTTGTAGTTCATCTTTTCCGTAGCAGCTAGCTTCCTTCCTTCTAGTACGCCTTGCTCTGTGGGCTCTTCCTCTATGACAGAAGGTGTTGAGGCGAGTGCAGTTATCGCAGAAGTGCCTGAAGATGCCGTAGACGCACAACTCCGAGCATTGCTCGCACTGCACGTCCCAAGTGTCTCGTCACGGGTGGGAGATTAGAAGGGACCGGATAAGAATATTAGCTTCCGAGCAGAACTACGTGCATGAGTCTTGGTCTTCATTAGCACCTTATTGATTCGACAATCCGATGGTGCTAATGAAGACTCATGTTCATCAACAATGACGATGGCGATGATGATTGTACCTAGAGATACATCCTCTTCATAATGTAAATCGTGCTTTGCATATGCGCATCCGTCGGCAGAACCACATAGCAGGTTGTGGATATTGCAATAGTTGGTGCTGAAGTCAAGCCACGAAGTGACTTGAGACTCTGAGCATCCGCGGACGCGGCAGCTGGCGCCACTAGGTGCTTCATCACTGTTTTTGCTTTTCATGAAGGTGAGTGGTTGCAGGGAAGCTAATGCTTGTGCTTGTGGGGAGTCAAGATGTCTTTTGATCTTGTCATGTTGATCTTGAGATCCTCGAGGAGAGTTGAAGCGGCATTTGACAAGCATTCTTCTTGGAAGTGCTTATGATCAATTCTTTCTAAAGAAGAGCATTGTGCCTCTGAAAAAGACATTTTTATTTACATAGCTTCGTCGTCCACGAATTGCAGTGTGATCAGATCGGTATACGCAGGCGTCGATCGCGTGGTGCGCTGGAGAGATACAACCGACGAGTCATCTTCTCCTTCGATTTCTTAGTGAGTTCGGATCTGCTGGCATTGGATATCATGATCACTAAGGTCGTGCCGAAATTAACTAGTACAGGCGCAATGAATATTAATGTAAATCAAAATGTGGATTAATAGACGAATGTTAGAAGACCATTCTAAAATAAATTCACAATATAAAAAGTCCTCGTCAAGCAAGCGTGAGATTCCCGCCATAAGTTCCTTGATCCTTGTTCTTGGCGATAGCATAGGTACCGTGGTTATGCGGGTCCAACCAGTGATTTTCTCCTGCCACTCTAGCGAGAACCTCTTCACGAACGCTTGAGCAAGTTAAAGCTTTTCTTCACTATCCCTGATTGAGTATGAGTGAGTTGTTACAAGAATTTTTGCTCTTATTTTCACCTTGATTTCATTCATTCATTCGAACCACGTAGCAACTCAAGGCTGCCTGGTTCCGTAGCGACCCGTGATTACTAAGAGGAATCCACTCAGCTGCATAATGTAATGAATGGGTGGATAGCGAAAAAGTAGCCTTAAGCATGGCATGTCCGTCACCATCTCCACTTGGCAACTAGCATGGTGTATCCACGCCGCACTTCCAGGACATACAAAATCTCCAGAAGCTGACGAACCTTTTCCTGGTATATTAGAAAGATAAAGTAGGGGTCGTGAGGATTAGTGCAGCACTATGCTGTTTGAAGGGATAGACCTAGAGCATAGAGGTGAAAGCTAACCGGTTGCCTTATTTCCTGCGTTAAGCGTCGCTGGACCTAAGCCCCATCCTTATAAAAAGGAAGAAGCCAATCAAGATTTGCAGCACACCTCTAAGTGAAGGCGCAACACTATGTTTCACTTCTTTGGAGGAAGGATGGCATTATACTTAGGCGATTCCTTGTTATAAAGTGAGAGGTAACTTATAGGAGATTCCTTACAAGTATATAGAGTGAGAAGGATCGGGGATTCCTTATAGAGTGAGAAGTAAATTAGGAGATTCCTTCCAGGGTGAGAAGGATAGGGTCCTCCTGCTTTTTCCAAAAAAAAAGAAGGATAGGGTTCCCGCAGACATAGAAGAGTTCTGGTATCTTAAATGCTATGCTTGGAAATCGGAGGCCGTCGAAGAAAGCGAAAACGAACCCATATGGCAGAACAGCGGCGCCTAGAAGCAGCTTCATTTTGTTCATATCTTCTCTTTTTTGAATTCTATGATTCAGTTTACAAACAAGGACAAGCAACTTCTAGGTGCTGGTAAAAGTTACCAAGTTATTTAGTAGTACTCTCGTTTTCTTCTTGATGTAATATTGCTTGAAGGGATAAGTATAAGGGTAGAGGGAAAACTAAACGGTTGCTCTACGTATGTGCTAGACTAATCTTCTGGTCTTGACAATGACGTATTTCGCAACAATAAAGGCATAATGGACATGCGCATGCAATACCTCTCACTTGTTTCGCCGTAATGAACGTCGTTATAGAGGGACAGCACTCGTCTCGATCGAATCAAGATTGCGATCCTTTCTGCATGCACATGCAGAAGATGTCCCACAATTTATTACCAAAGACAGCTTGCGTCTCGGTGTCAGCAAGGAGCTGCTTCTTTTGGACGACTTCGAACACAACAAGAATGCAAAAATGCTTCAGCTCCACCCGAGTTGTTCTCTGCAAGGACTGGAAAGCGATCTCGTTTCTGGAAATTTTGGCTGATACAACTGGATATGGTAATCATCCAACCATGGCCAAGTGTATAATCATCCATGGTCATGAAGACAAACTGGCATATCCATGATCATCTTCATGAACTGACCTTACTAGTGCGCACTTCTACTCGTTGTAGGCCTGCTCGTCTAGGATGCTTTCTCCTACGCAACATCCTCTTGTTCACGATTACAAAAACATAGTATGTAAATTACATTAGACTTGGACGTGTTTCACCATTTGTTGAATGAAGAGTTGTAAACAATCTACTAGTAGTACCAACATATTAACATTACGACGGACGACCACTACAACAAGATGCAGTAGATGTTATGCATCACGTTTTACTATTAGCATTACAATATGATATCTTCTGGAGAGGTATATCTGGAGAGCACTAGTAAGCGAACACTTTCATCGGAAAAAGAAGATATTTGTTACTGTAATTCAAAGTGGAAAAAATCTTACTTGTAGCGTATTAACTGATGATTTGAAATTGAATCTACTCGGCAAGGTGCTGCCTAAGATTGCTCTGAGGACCCATGGCAGCGTATCAACTGATGTAGGTTAGGTTAGGTCGGGATCCACCATGCGATGTGGCAGACTTCAACGGCTACTGAAAAGCCTAGCAACATATTCCCTGAGATAGAGATTTCCCTAGCTACATATCGTCCACTTTTGTATTTCTATCTCATCGATCTTCTTGCAAATGTCAGTCGTTGGCACAACCTTCTAGGAAAACGAAGTCAATCAGGGAAAACGAAGCAAACGACCAGTCCGCCCAGAGGACCACGATGATTCTGGTCCAAACGCGGGTCCAACTAAGTAGGCCTCGAAGGGATCATCTAACTATATAATATGACAGTAGATATGTCGGAAGAAGTGCATGCACATCCTTCGAAATAAGTAGGTCATCAACTTGTTTTAGGAGTAAGAAATACTTAGACTTGCTTTAACTATGCAATCAGTCCTGCTAGGCGATAGAAATTATATTCATTCACTCATCACGCTGCCACCAATACGAGGGCCAATAACAACAGTATTCCCTACGAAATTATAATCGTCGGACTAGAGGACGACGTAAAAGTGGCTACTAGGTAGCGTTGCAAGTATGCAAGAACTTCAAACAAGAGCGACCCCTTCAGTCCTATTTCTGTATTACTTTTGATTTCAAAAAAATTCACGTCTCCAACGAGAGTAGCAGAGGACTTGAACGAAGCCACTTTTGTATGTATTCCAAGGTATTCGAAGTATGTGCTTTTTTTAGTCACTTTTGTTGGTTCGTTCAAGTTTGTTCTTTCTACATCAGTGGAGATTTTGCTGTCTCTTCCCCAGCCACCTCAACATCTGTGGCAAGAGCTTGCTTGGCCCGTAGTTCTTATAGCTTCCTGCATGCTGTACAAAATGAAAAGAGTATATTATAATGAAGGTCTGCACGTTTCAAAACACTGGTGGCACAGTTACGACTATATCATATTTTTCATTTGCGCCCCTTCAGAGTATACGGCTAAGGTCTGCAGGTTTCAAGTCACTGATGGCACAGTTACGACTATATCATATTTTTCATTTGCGCCCCTTCCTTGTTATATACATCACGACCATCGTGATCGTCTTCTTCATCATCATCATCATCATCTTAAGTGCCAACGAACTCCGTCTCCTCATCTTCGACACCGTAAATAATTCCAATCTTCGACTGCTGTTGCTGTTCTTCACCTCCTCCAGCAAAACCTATCCACAATCCACTTGGGCACACATCATACACGTGCTGAAAAGTGGAAACCCATCTTCATCCCGTACTCCCAGTCTCTTCGTCTCGTTTACCTTGCGATGCACGACAATATTCTCGTCTCGCAAAAGCCGGAAGCGGGTCAACAGCAGGCACCAGCGGTTTTTGCCTTTGCTGCGATCGCTTCGTCCTGCGCAAGTTCAGACCCATCCGCTCCACCTTCCGTTGATGCTGCATTAGGAGTCGCCGCCGCGTCACTTGCCGTGAGTGCTCCAGCGCCAGCCCCCGCTTCCGCAGGCTGCATACCATCTCGAGAGCCTCCACCTTTTGCCTTTGCTTTGACACGCTTGTCCTGCGCAGACTTAGGCCCAAGCACCGTTTCTTCCGTACGTGCGGTCCCGGCATCTGCACCAGCACCAGACGCCGACACGTCACTTGCCGCGAGTGCTCCATCCCGCCCAGCCACCGCTTCCGCAGGCTGCATACCATCTTGAGAGCCTCCACTTTTTGCCTTTACTGCGATAGGCTTGTCCTGCGCAGACTTAGGCCGAAGCACCGTTTCTTCCGTACGTGCGGGCCCGGCATCTGCACCAGCACCAGACGCCGGCACGTCACCTGCCGTGAGTGCTCCAGCGCCAGCCCCCGCTTCCGCATGCTGCATACCATCTTGAGAGCCTCCACTTTTTGCCTTTACTGCGATAGGCTTGTCCTGCGCAGACTTAGGCCCAAGCACCGTTTCTTCCGTACGTGCGGGCCCGGCATCTGCACCAGCACCAGACGCCGGCACGTCACCTGCCGGGAGTGCTCCAGCGCCAGCCCCCGCTTCCGCATGCTGCATTCCATCTCGAGAGCCTCCACCTTTTGCCTTTGCTGTGACAAGCTTGTCCTGGGCAGACTTAGACCCAAGCACCGTTTCTTCCGTACGTCGTGCGGCACCTGCATCTGCATCAGACGCCGGCGCGTCACTTGCCGTGGGTGCTCCAGCTCTTCCTCCCGCGGCAGGTTGCATACCATCTTGAGAGCCTCCACCTGCCGCAGACAGAGTTGCGTCAGGAGCAGCTGCATCCGCACCAGGTGAGTCACCTCGTCCTCGTCCGTCCTCTTGATGTAGTTGCACTGCATCTGAGTCATCTTTCGCACCCGGTCCCGGATCAGCTGCTTCATGAGCTTTCGAAAGATGTACTTTGGCCTGCGGAGGCAGAAATGTCGGCCTTCCTTCTTGTTTTTGCTGCTCCGCGTCTCGCTGTGCGACTGCCTCCTGTCCTGGCTAATAATTAGAGAAGGGAGCAGTTCTGAAGACGCTCTCGCAGAATTACAACACCCGCGCCAATTCTAGTAGAATTATTCAGATGAAGAATAAGACATACACAGACACATAATGTCGCGTGTGGACTATATGAAGGTCGCGCAATGTTGAATAGTGTCCATGTCCTAGCAAACGAAAGCTACACTGTCAAAGTTTACTGTTTATATTTTCAGCTTTTCCGAGTTACAGTTATGGCTGAGCAACATCTTGATTGGAGGGATAAGCCTAGAAGGCTGAACAAAATGAATACACTTTTTGGAGGAGTTAATAAATAATTGAAGACTTGAATATATTCGGCAAGATGCCTAAGATTTCTTTAAGTTAAATACTTAAGCCATGTTATGTCCAAGTCCGTTCATATCTTGTGCGCCAGCTTTAGGCACAGCAAATGGAGCAAGCCCATCATCGCCTGACACGCGTTGGTATGCCAGCTTTTCACCGAGGGAGCCTGGTCGTCCATTCTCATCAGGGATCGGCACCAGCATCGCAGTAAAATCGAGGCACCCTGCCACAAATTCACCAAGACCTTCCCACTCTGGTTTTCCTAATATCTTAACTGGACGAGAGGATAGGCGTCCAAATCCATCCTCATGATCAGCCCCAATTTGGAAAAGCTGTGTAATCCTCGCCTGCTCGAAACCATTGTAGCAAATACATGCGGGATCGGGCCCACGACGAGAATTCCACATTTCAGCTATCGACGAGCGGCCCCGATCCTGCAAGGAGCAGTTTTCATGAAGGTTAGGATCACGTTTGTCATAGGGCAGCTTCCCGCCAAGCCCCGGATCCCCCAAGCCAAGCTGATAAGGCTGAAAAGAAGGATTGCCAAAGTCCTCGAAACGTCCAAATGCAATTGCGGCCACGAAAACACGCGACATATCTCTTTTCCCAATGGTAAGAAAACAGTCCTCAACCAGGCTTACCGCCAACGCATATAGATCAATATGCAGCCCAACATTCGGAGGATCTGCGTAGCCCTGCTGTTGCTGAGCACAACTTGGAATCCGGAAAAGATTCGGATGCATGAATTCTGGTGTCCCAGCGAACTGGCCTCTGCGCTCTTTGAATTGTCCGGCAATGAGATCGAGATTACCCGTTTTCGGGTCTTCGATCCACGCCGTCGACAAACCAAAGTCGATAAGACGGAGCGCTTTAGTCTTCGGGTGTACCTGGACGTTGTCCTGTTTGAAATCGCCGTGCGTGACCCCAATCTTCTCGTTCATGATGCTTAGGCACTTCTTCGCTTCTTCGGCTCTCCTCAACACTGGGTTGGTACCGTCATCGGATGTGTCATGAGGCAACTCCGTCTCTCCCTCTTGAGTCTTGCGTTTGGGTAAAGGGTCCATCTTCTCCATGACAATAAAGGCAGCTTTGTCCCTCTCCCGGATCGCCAAAACCGACACGAACGGAACACAGTTATAATCCGGAAGTGCTGGGTCTGCCTTGTCCGACGCAAAGTAAATCCAGATAAGCTGCTGCAGCAGGGTCTCAGCTGCCAAGCCCTGTGCGTCCCACTTGTTGGAGGGTCTAATCATTTTTACAGCGCAATCAGAGTCAGAAAACATCGCACGCTCATCCATTGAAGCACAAGGGCCCGAGTCAAAAACTGCTCCAAAGCTTCCAGAACCCAGAATACCCCCGCGCATCGTGGCCGCAGCTAACCCGGTCCCAATCTGATGCTCATCCGCTGACACTATCCTAGGAAATTTGTCATCGTTGACGTCGCAATATTGTCCCAAGGGATGGCGTTTATCGTTCAAATTGTTACAAATCTCAGCTGCCGCATCCTTAACCTGCTGAAGAAGCGAAGGCTTTGAGGGTTCTTGAGGTTGTTGTAACGAAGGTGACTTTTTGCCTCCGGCCTGTGGTTTTTTCCACCAGAAGAGGTTGTTGAGCAGGCCTCGAGCAAGATTATTTTGCTGAAAAAACGTGGACGGGGGATCAAGCCCTCCAGCAGGACGAGGGGCAAGATAAAATGACTGTCTTTTCGGGAGACACTGTCGTGGTTGATCAGAGCCACGATGTTGACCAAATCGGCTCAAGTGCGGTAGCTGCGTCCACGTTACACTTAGCATCCAAGTGAACGACGTCGCGCATTCCTCATTGTCAGTCTGTATGTGTGCTAGCAGCTCATCACCGCTGCTGGCTCCTCCGCCTGGACGAACCACGTCCACTAACATATTGGAGTTGGAGGAGCTCGCACTGCCCTGTAGCTCTGCGCCGCCGTGAAGACCCGCGGTCATTTCATTCGCGCATCGCTTCGCACTTCCTCGAAGACGTCGAGGAGCCCAGTCACTGTTCCCAGTGGTCATTTTTGCCGTCCCTGGGAAGCTCAAGGAGCTCCAGCCTCGCATAAAGTGCCCAATCCCTGCCATGGTGAGTACGAGGCAGAAAATGAACAGCGCCAGGCAGATGATACACCGCGCGAGTGGGTGGTTCTCGAGTGGGTTCTTATAGTGTCGAGCAGTCTGTTCTTGCAGATCTCCGCGCGGCCCGTGGAGGTCGTCGTAGGTAGACGTCGTGGCGCCGCGCCCGCCACCTCCATGCCCATCCTCGTGGTCCTTGTTTTCATTCAGCAGGCTGCCGTAGCTCTTGTAGCAGTTGTAGCCCATATTTGGGGCGAGCTTCGGGCTGACGGGATCTTTCAGAGTCATCGTCTTCAGTGGTTGCAGTTACTTAGGTATGAAAGGTCAGGAGCAAAGGCACGGGCTCCACCTGCTACGGTTCTCCTAGTAGAAGTAGTATTAGTAACAACTACAAGACTCGATCTTTGGAAGGATTAAGATTGGTAGCTAGTGCTAGACATCAGTCAGTGACCCATCTGGTCGGTGCTCTTAGTGCTGTGATAGATTGGTATCTGACCCGAAAAAAGTGCTAAGCTGGATATCTAAGTCTATTACCACTTGAGAACGCTAGTTCCTTGCTTAGTCCCTGTGATCGAACGGCGAAGCTTCCCTACCAGGCCTACTTGGAAAGTCGATCAGAAAATCTTAGACAATCGAACATAAATGATATCTAAGATAAACGCGAAAACGAGAGGGATTATTTTGGAGTCAATTCACTCAGACACCACTTACTTTGAGTGATATTCTTGACTCTGTCGCAAGGTGGGATAAATGGGTTACGTTAAAGTCAGATGATCATATCGTGCAAAAATCATAAAAATATATCGACGATAATTGGCAAGACCAAGACTCATCAATCTAGTTCTTGTATCTCAACTAAAAAGGCCAAGACTCATTTACCATCGTCTCAGTTAGAAGGTACAGTGACTCCCACTAGGTACTATCATCGACAAATCACGACGCTCAGCCAAGATAAAGGGATAAAACAGAAGTATCCTCCAACAGACCCTCCAGCAACAGACGTTCATCGCACTCATCTCTACTCTTCCTCTCTGGTTAGGGGTTGAAAGTTGGCCGCTCTAGCTCGCATATCTAAGGCTTTCATACTTGATGAAGCCATCGAGATGCGCATAGAGACGTCAACCTCCAACCCTTAGTCTGGTCCTCACTTGTTAGTTTACCCACGCACTTCGCCGTGGTCTCTATCTCTTGTAGCTCTTCTCCATCTCAACAGAAGTAGAGGCTCAGGCTTCGTCACGCCGCACTCGACAGAGTTCATTGCGCGTAGTATGTCTCTCAACACGAATGCGCAAGTAGTCTCAACCGAATTCATTGTTCTCAACAGCGAACCCTTGGACCTTTTTTCACTCCATTGAGTCACTGGCGAGCATGCCAGCCCCTAGGCTATGCGATGCTATCCTGAATCTGACAGAGTCTACTTGCTCTCTACAACATATTCAGGCCACGCTCAACTACAGAGTCATCTTGCTCCTCTCTACAGTGTTTTACATTTTATTTTCATCTCGTTGCCTGGTAATACAAACAACAACTGCAGTCCCTGATTATGATACGAGCCTCAGCCTGCCAGGGGTAGTGTAGTATTGCGTGTCCGTACAAGAACTCAATGGCAGCACAATCACAGCAGGGGGAACACTTCTCAGCCCTCTCTCCGTCACGAACAACTGGGCGACCCCTTGTTTCCTCCAACGCCAACTCCTGTGTTTCTTGCTATTAGTTTTTCGTTCCCAAAAAAATTCAAATGCATCCAAGTCCATTCAATCAATGTCGCCAATAGCAGTAGTTGCGCTTGGTAAGGTCGCCTCCAAAATAAAAAAAAACACATTTCCCATTAACAATTACACTCATTCATTCGCCCACCCACGTATTTGAACGCGCCATCTCTGACTATAATCAACATTTAATGCACACGCAGGCACATCCTTGCTCACATCGAGCAGCGCTTTCTCATTTCGTCGCCATCTGCATTTTCCTACTACTTGTCAGTGGCTCCTCCTGAAACAGTATAATTCTCAACTAAATCTTTTACATCGGTCAAAAATATGTAGAACGCCTAGACCTATTCACTTCGTACAACTCTACTTGCAGCAGGCAGCCTCAGCCAGCCATGCTAAAAAAATTTATCCTTATATACTATTAGCTGATGCCGAAAAAAAAACAAAAGAAATCCCATTCCACTACCTAGAAGATCTATCATGCGTAAACTCGTTTCCATTGAAGAATGCCCTGCTTTCTACTTATCAATGGCCAAAGAATATGACTGCGCCTCTACTATCTCGCGCTAGGTCTGTGTGTGAAGATAATTCGCCTACATTTTGCAGCAAGTACTATGTGCAATTTGCATTCTTTTCTACTACTTCAGCAGGGTCTTCTTTTCTTCTCCCAAGTCTTCACCCACTCCGACGCTATTTCAAAACTTTGACGGTCTTCTATAAGTCACACCACTGCCACTGCCGTAAGACTGGTGCTCTTCTTGCGTATTGAGGAAAATGGAGCTAGCCTCTTCTCTTGGCTTATTGCGGCAGATGCAGATCTTGCGCAGGAACTTCTTCCACAGAAAAAAGGCACAGAGAGCCAGGAGCAGCCCAAAGGCGTAAACGATGGGATCCTCAGGAAACTGAAGCTGACGCAGTCCAGAACTGGAGCCAGAAGAGTTGGCGTCGTCGAAGCGTGGCTCCAGGAATGAAGTCGAGTGGCTGTTCGGATCGGAATCTGCAATAGCATCGGCTAAGCCGGCTTTAAGAAGCGTTTCCTTGGCGGTCGGGAGAGAGTTCCATCCATTAAAAGCAGGAGAAGCTCTTGCCTGGCTAATCTTCATCGGGTCATAGTCCTCTAGATACCATTTATTCTTCTCCCGAAATTCAAGTAGTTTTTCCCGAAGTTCAGTGTACTTTTTTGCCTTGTCGACAAGGCCAAGGGTACTTATATTCGTGAGATCCAAGACTCCGCCACGACCTTGATATTAGAGAAGAACGCGCAAGAGTGTATTTATTCACCCGAAGGCCAGCGCTCCAGACCAGCCTACTAGACGGACGGCGGTCGTGAGTTCTGAAGACTCACACTAGATGCTATGTTGGTCATGGGTGCCAGCTATCCGTCCGTATGCCGAGAGTGGGAAGAGGACGAGAATGTGCAGACTTTAGCAAGGAGTGGGAGGGTGAGAGAAGAGAGAGAAGCGAATGGATCGAAATGGGCAAGAGAATGCGCAATGGAGAATGGCGACTGGGCGAGCGCCCGCATGCAAGTATGATGGGGATGCGCGGCCCCCAAATAATGCAAGGACGAGTGGATCGATGTTCTGTCCTACCGTCGCTCAAACCTGCAAATAAATCCATAATTTTCTTGATGTGCCTTGACCTTCTCTACTTCCTCATCCAGTGCTTTTTTCGCCTTCTCTGCTCTTTCAAAGGCAAAGATGAAGTGTCTGACCTCCTGATTTGGATGGTTCTGCTGATTGCGAGCGCGGTTATTAGAATGCCGATCCGTATGATCTGTGCCGAAGCTTGCGTTGACCGGATAGACATTCCTTTACATTCGTTCGCAATCATTGATCATGCCATAAACGTGGCACCGACTTGTGAAGTGGCGGAGGGCCCAGCAGGGTATTGCCCATTTTGTCCCTTCGAGCAGCAAGGTTCAAGATTGTCTCGTGTGTTGTGTGCTCGTGGTACGCAAACAGGGAAGGAAATGCAAACGTATCTTCAGGAAAACATCATGAGCTTGAACATGTAGAGAGTAGGGCTGCCGTCTGCTCTTAATTCTATACGTGCTTGAAAGCGTTGATGATCTAGGCACGGGCGTGCCTCTACTTGTTCCTTCTAGTATCTATAAGAACCTGCAACACAGCACCTCCCGGATGGTGTATATAGATACATATACTCGCGCCATTGATTGTTATCTACTTAACCGGAAAAAGTGCTAAGTAAGCTCGATATAGAAGTCTATATTACTACTTGAAGACGCTAGCTCCTTGCTTAGTTCTTGGTTGTGATCGAACGTCGAAGCTTATCAGTCCTGGTTGGAAAGTCGATGAGCAAATCTTAGACAATCAAACCTAAATGGTATTAGCTAGAAAAACGCGAAAGCGAGAGGGATTATTTTGGCGTCAATTCACTCAGACACCACTTTGAGTGATATTCTTGACACTGTCGAAAGGTGGGATAAATGGCTCGAGTGTTAAAGTCCAAAGGTCATACTGTGCAAAAATCATAAAAAAATATCGACGATAATTGGCAGTACCAAGATTCATCTAGATTATATCTCAAGTATAATAAACACCCAGACTCACTTACTAGCAACTCAGTTAGAAGGTGCAGTGAGTCCCACTATGTACTATCATCGACAAATCACGACGCTCAGCCAAGATAAAGGGATAAAGCAGAAGTATCCTCCAACAGACCCTCCAGCAACAGACGTCCATCGCACTCATCTCTTCCTCTCTGGTTAGGGGCTGAAAGTTGGCCGCCCTAGCTCGCATATCTATGGCTTTCCTACTCGAAGAAGCTATAGAGATGCGCCTAGAGACGTCAACTTCCGTGGTCTCGTGTAGCTCTTCTCCAACAGAAGTAGAGGCTCAGGCTTCGTCACGCCGCGCTCGACAGAATTCATTGTATGTAGATCGCTCAGCAATGTTCAAGTCTCAACCGAATTTGTTGTCGTAAACAGAGGACCCTTGGACTTTTTTTCACTCCATTGAGTCACTGGCGAGCATGCCAGCCCCTAGACTATGCGATGCTATCCTGAATCTGGCAGAGTCTACTTGCTCTCTACAACATATTCAGGCTACGCTCAACTACAGAGTCCTCTTGCTCCTGCTCTCGACTACAGAGTTTTACTTTATTCCATCTTGTTGAAAACAATAACTCCTGCCGATCATGTTCATCAGAGCAAAGAACGCACCATTGAATATTGATAGAAGTACTTGTACTAGTACAGGGACTACTACGAGTAGCTCGTACGTAGGAATAGAGTAGAGGCAACACCTGTACCCAGTCGGCGGGTACATGAACTGCAAATAAGTGCTGTTCTCTCAATCCTTGTAAGGAGACGATCCTTGTCAGGAGATGGAGAGTTGTGAGGAGCGTCTTAGTTACTGTTACATCAGTACTCCTGCGATGACGTGAGACTTTGATAATTGTCGTCCTCTGCTTTGACAAGTGAGGACGTTCGAGTTCGTGATGTTGTAGAATAGATATCTTGTTGTTCCTCATGTAACACGTCGTGTGTACGCTTCGTCTTGCAATCCTTACTCGATCGCCTAAGGAGCCCTATCACATAGAAGCTCTGCTTCTGCCGCCCAATGGTAGTAAAAGAAAGCCCTGGAGCATGAACTACACAGCTCAACTAGGTACCGTTCTACTTTGTGTGGGACGATACTACGAATAACTTCTTATCCCCAACGTCATACAACAGCAAGTTTTTCTCCAGACTTTCTTCTAAGCTGCTCTCGGCATCATCGTCTACATGTTCAGCCTTTTTCCTTCACCTCTGATGAACGCTGCAAACTAGTCGTCACCTCCTCTTCATTCATTCATTCATTCACCTAGCACGAGGTTGAGGTCATCATTTCCTTTGTCCGCAACAACAGCATCAAGAACAGCATGATAAAGATACAGGCAGCGCGTCATGACAAACCTTGAGGTACAGAGCAACTTCAGAATCTTGATCACTCCTGGATACAGGATCATGATAACAACGAATACAGGATTCTACCATCCAAAGCGGTCCGCCAGCGCCTTCTCGCTTGCCAAGTCCCATAGCGCAACCGTGTGCCCACTGAGCAAAAACATGCTGTCCCCACTGCTGCCGTGCGTAGGCCCAGCACACGCAAATATAGGCCCGATCGCCGTCGTCTTCTCAAACACCGGAACGTCTTGCTTCCATAACTTAGAGAGAGAGCGCGGGTGTGTGTGTGTGTGTGTGTGTGTGTGTGTGTGTGTGTGTGTGTGTGTGTGTGTGTGGAGAATGACACGCAAGGGAAAAAGAGAGAGAGGGAGAGAGTGTGTGCCTGTGGGTGTATGTGGCGAATGATACGCATGATGAGATAGTAGTAGTACAAGCTCACTGATAACAGTACGCACTAGGACTGGTAACAAAGTACAAGCTCACTAATAAGTTCATCTTCCAGGATGACCCATTGATTGATTGAAATCCCGAGTAGTTCTCCTTGCAAGATTGGAACTCTATGATGATTCATGAAAGATTGGAATTATATACTACTAAGTTGTAGTTCTATTAATTTTCTAGTACAAGTGGGATCTGCTCAACAACCTCATCTTCTAGCCTTACCTGGGAGGTCGCGCAGATCGTATACTTTCGCAACGCCGTCTGTGCCTCCCACTAGCAATACGTCTTTACGCTGGGCTAGACCACTGCAAGCGCCCTATTCTGGGAATCTTTTTGAAGCTCTTATGCCTACAATTTCAGGAAATGCAGTTGAAGACAACTCAGAGCTGCATGATGATGTTAGTCGGTTCGGGATTGTCCTACGACTTCCCTGAATCTCTTCTGAGTTTTACGGATTTCCCTGATGTTAAAACTGTTGCGTTGAAGATGTTGAAGATGTTGCTATTGTTGTTGCTGATAAGGATGCGGCTCTTCTACTTGCTTGCTATTTACTTCCATTACTACTACTTCGCCAGTTGTATCCTGTTGTTGAAGAAGGTGATGATGTTGACTCAGAGCAGCTGCATATTATTAAATATAACTGATTATAACTAAATCTTTTGTCCTACTACTAGTACAACAGGAACAGTTGAAAACTATGCATAATATTAGTGCACCAGACGCAGACCAGCGAGTTCCTCATCCTGGACAAAACAAGTACTATCTCTTGTTTTTTTACCGCCCTGGGCTTGTTCCTCTTCATTGCCCGCTCCCCGAACTCATAGGACAGACTTATTCTTATGTCATGATATGCACAAATTCCAGGACATTTTTCTCTCAGAAAAAAGACACCTCCTTCGCGAGGCTTTTTTCGAACACGATTAAACAGTCCTGGTCGTGCGGGAACGGTTCGAGAAATACTCTTCGAAAACACAAGACCACGCTGCTTCTCTAAACTAACATCAACATAGTTGCAACAAGTTGCACAAGCAGTCTCCACAATGAGGATCAACGCTTCGAGATGTAGAGATAGAATCTTCTCGTTTCATGCTTCCTATATAGAGTATCCCATCTCCATCTTGTTCTTTCATATTCACAGGTGACAACTCCTTATATTGCTTGTAGGGACACACCTAGGCTATGAGGGAAAAGCGCACCTGTGACATCGTCCGTATATATCAGTAATTAATATTTTTTTCATTGTCGTCCTAAGTGGATAAATAATCCTCGAGGACGCCGAGTCGGCGCTCGCTAATACATGTTCTTGTCTCACGGAACGAAATGCATCCTTGAACAAACGATGGATCGACAAAGTAGTTTAGTACTTTCTTATTCTTTTTGTTTTTACAAGTGCCTCGCGCTCGCCGCTCCCGCTGCACGTATATCTTCAACATTTCATCAACATACCTTCGAAGATATTAGAAATAAAAGCAAGCTCCATTTATCTTATAAGGCTAGCAGAAGATGATTTCATCCCTTGTTCTCCTTGATAAATCGATGCCGCAACGTATGAAAATAATACCTCCATACACACATAAAAAACCGAAACATTACCGTCGCCGTCCGTGCGTCAGAGTTCTAACATACATCGTCATCGATTTTCATCTCCTGCTCCTTTAGATTAGAATTAGAAGGTCTCTGGCATGCGATTTTGCAGGGGCCAAGGATCCTAGGATAGGATAGCTGCTTTTTGACTGCAATCCTGGGACGAGTACTTTTTGAATTAAGAAAAATAGCAACGCAAGCATCAACTCGAACTCGATGATCATTCATCAACTACAGCACGATATCAAAACCATAATCGTACTTAGAATTATAAGTACAACTATAAATCTTCAGTATCGGCAACAACTAAATCTGAATCGGTCTCGCTGTGTTGACACGATGTCGCATCATGAACAAAACGAGGATGAAGATGTGCTCCTTAGTTAATATAGATACAATTTAAGATAGTAGTAGTAGGGTGCCCATTCGTGAGGTATCAAAGATTTGAATTAGCACGCTGCGCTACTTCGGCTACTTCAGTCTTCGTTCCTTTTCCTTCTACTTCATTCTGCACAAAAGCATCAATTAACCAAGAAGTTTGACAGCACGACTGATGGACGACGAAGATCATATGTAGGATCGCACATCAACAAGTCGAAATAAAAACGCTTCGACTTATATTACGGCGTCTAATCGTACTCTGCAGTAAAGACATGACATTCGACCTATACGACGTGTACCCGACGTCGCCTGCGCGACGCCTACTCTGCTAATTATGAGTACAGAAGATACACACCAGGACAACTTCTACTAAGGGCGGAACAAGAAATAGATTCTTACTGGTGGTACAACAACGCCCTTGAAAATAAAAGATCTACTTCAACTTCTATTAATGATCATGAAGGACTAGACCGACGCCCAGATGTAGTCACAACTCAACTGACTAGTTCAGTACTTGTTCTTTGAGATTAGTAATCTACCACGACCACATTTCTAGAATTCGAAATCTCTTGATGCATCATCAATCAGACCGACTTCCCGGTGAGTGACAACATCAATGCATACCAGTACCACTCGCACGTCGATATACAAATAGTTGTAAGATTAAGATTAAGAGACTTCTGGCTTGCGACAGGCAGCGGCCAGGGCTCCAGAAGTCTGATCATAATTCAACATTCTTATAATTTCGGTTCACCAGTATTACGTCCTAGTAACTAGAAAAGGAAAGGAATGTTCTTCTTGAAAAAGTCTCAGTACGTATTGATGTTAGGTGATGGAGAATCCAGGCATTTCAACAACAAAATACTCTCCAAGCATACTGAGGACGCACGTGTACAAAAAGACAAAACTTGCTTCGCTGAAAGCGAATCGCGGCTTTGAAAATCATTTTTTCACTGTTGTTTCAGAGAATTTCTTCGATAGTTTTAGTTAGTTAGTGTATAACAAAAACACAAACTACACCGTCCTATCAATATATATAGCTCGTAAGCAAAAGATAAGCATAGAATTTCTGCGACTAAGACTAAAAATTTTGCTACACTAAAAATCGTGATAGCTCAATATCGAACGAGTGATTGATAGATGAACTAGGAGTGTAAATTGTAATTTTATCTTTGCAATTCTTCAAGAGATTCTGTACTCTTCTCAAAGACGAACATAAGCACCAGCATGACCTATATCTACCGGTTTTGGAAATAACACTCCATCCACCTAGGGGACGAAGCGTCAGAGCTCAATCATGTCTGTCAACATTTTCTTTGAAAAAAAAAAATCTTCTTGAGTTTTTCTAATATTCTAAAAATAAATAGCATCTCAAATCATGGTAACCAATTCCGATAGGCATGCTGTTCAGTTTTTCAAACTTCAGTTCATCTTGTATCAGACGTCTGGTTCGTAATTATAGAAATAACGAAGATGAATGGACTAAGTAGATTGTAGGTTGTATTCATGTCACTACCCTGCTTGTTAGTTATAGAAATAAATCATGCTTCTTATAATTGATGCGGATCTACTATTTCTCGATAGAACAAAAGCAAAACTGGTTCCAAAAACAAGATAGATGAACTGTAAACAGATACGATAGGGAAACTGATATTCCCAGTCAAAATCTGTCGCAACAGTGCCAGCGAAGACTCGAGACATGATAGACGCGGAGAGTCCTGTGCTGGCTACTGCTAAGGACCTAGTGGATGAGGCTTTTTCCATTCATCTATTATCATCATCATCATGCATCTCTGATGATGGTCATTCTCTACGAGAAGGACCGGAGAGATAGTTGATTGATTGATTGATGGAGTTCAGAACAAAAAACTACAAACTGCTATCATACTCAGAAACACTTTCACCTCGTTGACGATCATAGTCACCTCGTTCCGATGGATCATATGATATCAAGAAACAATCGCAATGAGTCCTAGAAGTAGAAGTAGTTCTAGTTAGAAGTAGCAAGTGCTGACTCATAATTCTGTGTGATGTCCCAAACCACTATACGAAGCGCCAACGTGCTATTCGAGGCCACGTAGTCGTGCTACACCAAGGTACAACGTAGTCCCTACAACGGTCAACTAAAACTCAACAAACTGTGAGGAACTGTACTCAAACTGTGACCTGGGACCTGGCTGACCACCTCCATGAACAAGCACCTCCATAAACAATCTTAATCTTTCCTCTAGAGACAACATGTTTTTTGCCACTGAAATTGCCATGAGGCGATTCGTTGCATTATACAGTCGTACTGTAGACAGGAGTCCATATTCAAAGTGCTAGAGTCTTGTGTGTTTCGATGTGCTGCGCCAGACCAAGTCCACTCGTCCCTACTTGCTTCTAGTTTATAGTCGTGCTGTCCCTGTCCAACCACAAGTACTATGTAATAAATTCAAATATTTATGTCTAATAAAAAAAACTACATAACCTTCATTCATTTTCTTATTGATTGAGGTGTCCACTCACTCCTCGTCCAACATGAGATAGTACTCCCAACGCGGGGGCTCCCAACGCCAAGCAGCTGTGCTCGAATGCCTTTCGATGGTGCACTAAATCTATAATAATGAGGTAGACCGTGGAAGACCAAAGGACTTAATATCTTTTCAAACGAATAAAATCTATCAGAGCCTAGAACTCAGAACTTGCACACCGAGTATGCTGTTGTAGTAGTACGAGTATAGCATCAACTCTATCTAATAATCTATAATAAATTTAAATGAAGAGTCGTTGTTCATGTTAGTTCCTGATACATGGCCATCCTGATGCATGGTCATCTCCTGAGGTCCTCTGAGTAGTATCTTCATGATCTCCGGAATGACTATACTAGAATCGAGAAAAGGACGCTCACAACTACTGCTAGTGCTACTGGTGACCATTCCTCAGACGTAGTGTTCTTTTTTTATCGTTCTTGCTAGTAGCAGTGTTCTTTCTTCTGTGCTAGTGCTGCGTAGCGTTCCATCTATCGGTCTTGCTACTTTGTGGTCGTTGTAGTTGAACCTCCCCGGTCGTGATTTGATTCAAACAAGAGGTTTTTTAAGACTTCTCGGACGTTTCCACAGATCATCTGGATCTAGTAGCAGTAGTAGCTGTGCAGCCGCCATTCGTGATGGGGCATACATACTACTTCAACAACTACAACTTACTATCTACATTTAGCAGAATTAAGAAGTTCCTCTCCGTCCCGACGATGGCCAACTCCTGAAGGTGGTGGTAATCATTCACGCCTAAGGCTACTCCTGGACTCACGCACACTTCTTCTAACAAGTAGTCCTTGGCATCCGTGTAGAAAAGAGCCACCTCATAATGGTCAAATGGCCACGGCCTCAACAACAACACACGCGCGCGCTGATTCTTGAAAACAAGGCATTGAGTCAGTGTTGAAAAGGATGAGCAATCTCAAAGAGCAGCTGTCCTTGTCCTCATGTCTTACCAGTACGCACGACAACATGTGTGAAGAACAAAAAAAAACACCTTCAGGAGATCTACTTCTCAGTTCTGATTCGGAAAAACTCAAAATACTCGTTGCTGAGTCTGAGAATGCTTCAGACGTAACTTCAGAGGACATGAGTCGTGTCAAAGTCAATCATTAATTGATTGATTGATGTGCCTGGCATGAGGTCGATGTTGAGGAGTTTAATGCTTCTTCTTTTTTTTCTCTTCCTTTTCTTTTTGCTGGAAGAGTAAAAGTCGGGCAGAAGACCCACCAGCATAATGGGATGTAGTCGACCAAACGCCAAGTCGCTGCGTGTTGAGCTCTTACATCAAGACTGTAACTCTAGTAAAAAGTTCGTTGTGTAAATTGCATCACGATCATGCGTCGAGAATAAAGTAGATGCAAGATCGATTCCATACAGGTAAAAAGGAGAACAAAACAGTCGCCAACAAGTAGACTAATTACATTAGTTACCCCGATTACAACATCAACACTACAACAACAACGCTAAGCCCAGACCGCACGAGGAACAACCTAGTATCCCATCGTTCACGGGGACACGGCCTCGTGGTCTATTCAGCTAGTAGACCCTCATCTCAGAGGACCTCCCACGACGACCTAGTAGGAGGACTCACCAAGATAATAATCTTCAGATTGATAGATACACTTTCTGAGCGATCCGTCTCCTTTATCTTCATTCCATGCGAAAGCGATCTGTCTCCTTTATCAAATTAGCGACATCCACTAGGTTCATCTGGATAGTCCTCTAAACTTTTTATCCCTATGCACCACTGGCGAAACCCAGTCAGCGCTGCGCAAGCATCAAACGAGTCAGATTGTGGCATCTTTTACTTTATTTTTTAGTACTCATTTTATTCCTTCAACGAGAACATCTTCATTTACATTTCTTAGTACCAATTGTACGTAGTTCTTCATTCCTCATCATGATCTACTTATTTTTATCCTTATCAAGTACATGGTCCACGGACATGCTTGTTCTAAGGAACTTACAGTGCTTTTCACATAGAACTAGGGTAGAAGAAGCTCTAGAAAATTAATCAGTCAAGATGAATTAGCCTCAGTCAACTTTTTAGAGTACTAAGAGTCAGTGAACTTACAGTTGTACTTCTGGTGGCGAAAAATAAGGCAGCGTTATTCGGAGACGAGTTCGGAAGGTGTTCGTTGCCAGTTGTGTCATGATTCCACGCCTTGCTTGTGTAAAAAGAAAAACCCGAAAATTGTAAACTTGTAAATTTATCGGAAACTTGTAAACTATGTATTGCCAACTCAAAGAAAAAAACGAAATATTCTAATCTAGGCTGGACGCGTTCGTAGAGCCTAAACTTTCTAAATGTACTTGTAGAGACATGAAGACGAAGAGGGTGCAGCAGCTATGCTGTCCGAAACCCCAGTCCGCCGGATGGGGGCGCAGAAACTCACAAACCAACGGCGCGAATTATAGGCTGCAGAAACAAGAAGTAAACCTACTAGTAAAACTAAAAAGATCTTCATTAACCGCTGACGTGACTCTGCGGAACAAGGGGACTATATCAACAGTGATTTTACTCAATTCTACAACATGCGATTACTATTTGTTGTCGTTTCCTCGCAACTTCATCTACGACTTCGTTGTTGTGAAAATAAATGCGCATCAACATGGAGATGGAGCGCCAAAGAATACAGAAGGGGAGGGAGTAAATCGAGAGTTCTTGTATTAAGGAGAAAATCGCACGTGTACTATAAGTCAAGTTGAGAGTTCTTGTTATATTATTAATTTGAAAGTAGTTGTGTTCATCTTGTAAACCTTCAAACAGACCAAGTGTTGTAAATTTCAGACAGCAATGAAGATTAAGATTAGGAGATTTCTGGCATGCGACAGGCAGGGGCCATGGCTCCAGAAGCCTAACACAGAGACGAAATTAAAAAGACGTAATGTAATTGTGCTTGAAAGTACTGGTATCTGATCATTCATTTTGTGAAACCCCCTCTGGAGTTGTAGAAGACCACGACTAGCAGAAGTATGTACTGAGTAGTCTCGACTACATTGGAGGTAGCTTGTTCTTGTAAAAACAAACCGAAAAATTATTGTAACTCCCAAACTCTTGCAAGCAGAGCCACAACTTGTTCGACTCGTATGCGTTCTTTATTTTGTGTTCTCGTCCCTTTACCGAAAACAATATTGATCATTCTGATAGATATTTATATTTTTATATGTTCTCACACCCATCTCAAAGAACTGTGTGCTCTTCTTCATTCTCTTCACCATTTGAGGCCCTATTGCTATTAATACTTTGCGAATAGGGTTACGAACGACCTCCGAACTATCGAGGGAAATTGACTTTATGTGCAATCATCTAAGCTCCCGCGTGGCACTTCCTCCATCATCTACAAAGTCGACCTTTCCACTCTTCCATCACGATCCGGCAGAACGTTTCGCAAAGGAAGCGGCGGTACGGCACGGCTTGGAGGATGAGGGATGCTTCGCGTCGCTTCTCCAACTGGCGAGTGTTGGAGGTTTCCACCAGAAGCCGAGGATATTCCCCTGCTGTCCAGTTCTCCAGCCAGAGCGGTAGCGAGCGCATTGTAGTCTTGTTTGTCTTCTCCCGCACTACTAGCACGTGGTCCTCCTCTGTTCTTATTGACGAGGACTGCGTTAGAAGGTGGCGACCTAGTAAAGCCTTGCTCGGCTGTGTTCATGTCCGAGGCAGAGACTTCCGCGTTTTTCATCGCGATCCGGAGAGCGAGCTGGACTGCATCTAGCACGTCGCTACTGTCCTCATTGTTCTTGCTTCCGCGCGGCTCTTGGTCTCCTGCAGCTACCTTATCATGTTGTTGCAGACGCAGCTCTCTTGCTACCCGATAGAGGAAATCAGCTTCCACGGTACTGCTTGCGCCTCCACTCTTTGCTGGTGACGACAGATTCGCAGCCACTTCCTGAGCTAGCAGTCGCGAGACGTCTGCTCGGGAGACTGATGTCTGCGTTTCATAGGGAGCTCCTGTGCCGGACCCGGAAGCATGATCCCTCTCGTTGGTACTCAAAACTACAGCGCTAGCACTAGTGTTGCTACTCTTGCTGTGGTTCTTAGATGCAAGGGTGCCGGGAACATCTTGTTCTTCGGCGATCTCGCTCGCTAGGGGACCGGCAGCACGCACAGCTGCGTCAGCGCGTCGGCCGCTGTAAATACTCTGATCTAAAGCCGCCTGAAAGATAGCCGCGTAATCCCCGTCGTGAGCAGCCGTGTGTTGACCATTCGACGTAGCACCATGGTGAGCACCGTGGTGGTGGGTCCCAGCAGCCATCATTTGCTGATATGCCGCTACATCCGCAGCCGCGTGTTGTCCCGCATAGTCGTGCTCCCTGGTCGCAGAGGATAGGGGAGGATGCGTTGCTAGGTTCCTCCCGTACGCATCCACTTGGTAAGCAGGCCCACTCGCGGCTTGCAACCAGGACTGCAACATAGCGAGCTGCGGCAGCATGGCTCCAGCGGGTCCGGCAACAGATGCTCCCTGGTGGATGCCGAGATGCTGATGTAACAGCGCCAACTGCTGCTGGTGTCGCGCAACGATGTGTCGGTGTATACCCGCCAAATGACTTCCGTGCTGGTGTGCGGCTGGGTCATGATGATGCATGGCTGCCAAACGAGTTGCCTGCAGATGTTGTGCAGCAGCTGCCGCACTCAGCGGAGTGTAGCCTTGTTCAATATGCTGCGCTGCGGGATCCAAAGCGAGGCCGGGTGGTGCACTCGGCGGCGCGCGAGCTCCGTCTGTACGTCGCGAGCCATAACAAGGCTTGTTTACAACCGCATTGTTCGCAGAGGCAGTCGTGGCACGACCCAAAGGTGTCGAACTTGCACTGGCGACACTCGCCGCGGCGTGCGGAAGCGCACTTTTCTTGCCATGTTCCTCGCCGGGCACAACTGCATGTAGTTGATCGCCGGCTCCAGCTCCACCAGGGCCTCCTCGTCCTGTGGTCGTAGCTCCTGCATCACCAACGAAGCTCTTCTGCTGTAGCGAGAAGAAATTGGGCGAGAAGATTCCACCACGGAGTAACTCGTCACGCTCAGCTGGACCATTGAGACGAGCGCACTCCATTGCAACCGTAGGAAGCGCATCTGACTCCAAAAACGCAATCGTGTCCTGGATCGCGGACAGCAGTTTCTGCTCGGTTTCACGGTTCACGGCTGCAAATTTTCCCGGAATGAAGGGCTCTTCGACGAGCAAGCGCCCGCGGTGGTAGCTGCCGTGCGGCCAGCGACGCTTGTTCTCCGGCAGGCTGTGCAGGTAACTTTGTCCAAAGGTTCCCGGCAGAGTCAAGACGCTCGTAATTTTCACCTCCTCCTTGTTGCATTTTTCAACATAGTCCTCCCCACCGCACAACCGCAACTGTTCTTGGAACCTCTCCAGCTCACTCAGCCCATCAACCTTAGTGGAAGTTTCTACTTCATCGTTCTTGAGAACGTTATCCGCATTCGGTTTTTCAGGGGAAGTTTCTACTTCATCATTCTTGAGAACGCCATGATCCGCATCCGGTTTTGCCGCAGCAGGGCTCGTCCCGGTTTGCGGAGTCCACCTTAGAGGATCATGATCGCTGCTACCGTTTTTCTTCTCCGCGTCCGCATCTTCAGCAGTAGAAGCTGCGGAGTCCTTCTTGTCTTCATCCGCATCTTCAGCAGCAGACGAGGCTGGGGAAATTATAACTCCAGCTGAACTTTCGTTCTCAGCTGAACTTTCCTTCACAGCGGGTGTCGCGACGGGGGTCGCCTTTCCGAGAAGCGAGACCTTCATGTCCTGGAAGCGCATTTTTGCGCCACCCACGCTGATGCGAACGACGGCGGCACCCGTATCGTTGTGGATGAAACGGTGCAGAAACTTCAAAAAGTCCAGAAAGCGTTCGGCGATGCTGGCCGCGTTGCTCTCCGTCGTCCCTGCTTGTAGTGCTTGTTCCACTGCTGCTCCGCTCGCGCCGTCCCAGGTCTCGTCGTACTGAGCAGGATTCTCCTCATCTTGGAGCTGCGGCAGCAGTCCTCTGTGCTGCATGTAGAAGATCACCTGGTGGTGCGCAAAGAAGATTTTCCTTTTGTTGTTGATGTGGATGAATAGAATGACTTTATTATTTCTCAGTGGAGTGAGTTCTGCATTAAGTGGTCACTGGAAACATCTTCAATATAAACCTGACCATGATGACGAAATTGAAATTGCTAGGTAGAAGTACTAGATGAAGATTTCAAGAAAAAAAAAGAAAGACAGACTTACTTAGCCTTAACATGCAAAAAAAAATAGCAATTAGAAGAAGGGGATGATTGACATGTACCATTTCCAGCCAGGCACAACTCGTAAGTCCGCCAGTCTTGGTGTCTCCTAGCTCTCTGCTGCTAACCCAGCGACGCACAATGCGTGCAAGATTGTGGCAGTGGGGGTTCGTGAGGTAGAGAGCCAGCAACCGGGAAGTGCGCAATCCGAAAATGTTGTTCACCGTGATATCCAGCTCCACCGACGCTCGGTAGTCGCGGCACACCAGAAGCGGCATAACCTTGGCGTTCACGAACTCCGCATTCTTGTACAACTTGGAAAGCTTGCCGCGAAGGACTTTCTCGACGTCCTCGAGCACGCGGGTGATCTCGCGGCGCACCAGTTTCGACGTGGGGTGGTCGGGGCTCAGCACCAGCGTGGCCATGCTCTCCTCCTGCGTGCGCATCTGCTCCACCGTGCGCTCCCGGAAGGGGTAGCCGTCGAAGTAGAGGTCCGTGTCCACGGAGAGCGAGACGTCCACGTCGCCGCAGCCGTCGATGCCGTCCGCCAGGCCGTAGAGCGCAGAGCCGAACAGCTCCACGCGAGACCAAATGCGGTGCTCCTTCAACACGGACTCTAAGCGCTGGAGGCTCCTGCCTTCGTCCAGGTTCTTCATGAAACGGCGGGACCGCTTTTTGCCTTCGTCCACGATGCTCAGCAAGAAGAGATCCACCAAAGCGCGGCTTCGTGTGTCCAACACAGGTTCGTAACCACCTTTAGTTGGGTTTAGTACAACGTTGTTGTCGGCATCAAAGACGCTTTGTATGAAGAACATTTTGACAGCGAGACACGAGGGCTTCGGATTTTCAGACGTATTCTCAGACTTCTGCGCAGATTCGAGCAGCGCGCGCTCGTCCTCGGCCATCTTCGCCAGGCGCTGTGCAAAGAGTTGCTGGTGTTGTGGTACGGCCAAGGCATAAGGTTCCGCCCTGCCTCCAGGAACGCCCCCGGTTGCCCGACGACGACCACCTTCATTCGTAGTACTAGTGCTCGCTTGATCCTGTTCGTAAGTACGACTGCCGCCATTCGCCGCAGCTGCACCATAAAAATGTAGACCAGGAGCGGTGTTGGCGCGACCGAAAAAGTGCAGATGATTTACGCCACCGGCACCGACTGAAGATGAATCTCCGTTGCCTAGTTCTCTGCCACGCGGAGGTGGCGGTCTCTGGCCGTTCTTGTTGTATTGTCCTCTAGTACAACTAGTAGTAGCTTGATGAAGATGTTGCTGTTGCAGTTGCTGGAGCTCTTTGGTAACACCTCCTACAGAAAAAGAAGTATTACCCGGACCATTCTTTCCGGATGATCTGGATCCTTGCTTGCCGCTTCCCGTAGCATGCAAGTGCACATGACGCTGTTGCATTGGATACGAGTTGTCTCCTCTGGAGCTTTCTCCCTTGCCCGTTTTCGACATAGAAGAGCAGCCTTTCTTGGCTCCTCCCGTAGGACCACCTGAAGAACGCGGATTGTTGTAGCCACCTAAAGTAGTAGATGAGTGTTCCACCCGATGATCCCAGTCTTGTTCTGACCCGCGAGAAGACGTCGAATTATTATTGATGTTATTCAAAGTCCTACTAGGTAGCGGACCATCATCATGATGCGGAACAAGGTTTCCTCCGCGTTGTTCCTTTCCTCGCATCATCGCATTTCCTTTTCCAGCGACACCAGCGCGATCCAGCAAGCCGCGACCTCCAGCAGGTTTGCCGCCTTTCGGAAGGCGGTCCACGACCGCGTTCTTGTTGGAGGTACCAACAAGTCCCCTCGAGGCGTAGTACTCGTCCGGTGGCGTACCATCATTGCGACTGCTGGGTCCTCGATACTCGCCTCCACTTGTATTGCTCGACGCTTTGTCGTAGTCCTGGCCGTTGGCTCCGCTCTCGACGCCCTTGCCCGCACCACCCAACGCCTGCACACAAGGCGTGCCTCGCAAATCTGCACGCTCACAGTCACCTCCTCGCGGGGGCATGCGCTCTCCACTCGTGGTTGCGTCCCAACTACTGTCATCAGAGGCACCTCCACCTGGGCCACCTGCTCTGTTATAGTTGTCGCCGCCACGCGCCGCTGGTGCCGCCCGCTGCCCCGATGGGGTCGTCATGTTCCCCGCCTTGGCCGCTCTGACTTCAGCAGCAACTTTGTCTAGCTGATTGTGCGCCGCAGTCTGCATCAGGTCATTCAGGCGCTGGTAGCGAAGACGCTCTTGCTCATTTTCCGGCAAAACCTTCCGCCCATTGCCATTGATCAGATTTTGAGTTTGCGACGGACCCGGGGCGCGTAATTTCTTGGCTAGTGCCGCAGCGAGAGCACCTCCACTGGCTTCCTTCGATTGGAGCATATCGATGATGGTTTGGTACTCAAGGTTCTCACTCTCCGAGTCTCCTGGAGATCGCTGCATCAACTGGTCCGCAATTTGCGCGGCAAAGCCCTGAACGGTGGTAGCCGTTGCAGCGGGAAGGCTGCCTCCTTTCGACGCCGCGGACGACGGCCGCAACGTCGTGCTGCCCTTGCCTCGACTGCTCTTGCCCTTTGCCCACGGTGGCGTGCTGTGATTGCGCTGTGGAGGTCCCGAACTACCACGATTATGATTTTCTAATCCACCTCCTGCGCCCTTATTTTGATAGTCTCCTGCACCCTTATTGTGATTTTCTAATCCACCTCCTGCGCCCTTGTTTGTTCGCGACGCTGCTCCGAAGTTTTGATAGTCTCCAACATAAGGTCCGTCGAGGGCACCGTCGCCCGAAGGGGAGAACCACTCGCAGTCGTTAGCACTACCTTTATTGGACGAGGATAGTAGACTGTGTTCGTAGTTGCGGTCGTGGTAGTAGTTGTCATGCTGGTGCGGTGGGGTATAATATTCCTCCCGACCACCGTCACCGTGGTCATCTACCCTGCCTGACCCTCCCGGTCCCGAAGGACCACGCATGTTGTTCTTCACCTCTCCTCGAGTGTTAACCCCGTTAGAGTAGTACTTAACCCCCTTGCAGCTACTGTTGTTCCCATTCTTGGCTTGGTGCTGGTGCTGGTGCGCGGTCCGATTGTAGTGCGACGTGGGTTCCGGTTCGTTTTCAGCGGACGATCCGTAGTCCGAGTGGTACATTTCCGAACTTACTCCTTGACGGTGTGGTGGCGGACCGCCACGTGCTTGGCCACCTGCCCACGCGCTTGAGCCGCCACGAGGAGCGGAGCTTGCATTGTTGTGGTAAATCCCGCCACCTTCAGAAGATGAAAGACCACCACGACCTCCACCTTTGCTGGATCCATTACCCATAATTCCTGATCCTCCTTTACTGCTGTTTCCAGAGAACGAGGAAAGCGATGATTGTGGTGCTCCTGTACTGCTGTCATACGCCTTACGACCTCCTCCGTTACCGCGGCTCATCATGTTGTTGTCGCCTCCTCGTGGTCCTCCATTAATATGTTGCTGATTCCAACCATCCCGATCGTCATAACCACGATCATGCGGTGGAACAGCGTCCAATCGGGACAGCTTGCCGCCCTCTGGACCACGCGCTCCTCCTCCTCTGTTGTTGTTCGACACTCGTGTGCGATCCTGGCCTCTTGGAGGATAGTCGCCTCGAGGGTGGTCCCGAAAATGACCTCCGCCGTCCAGAGACCGATCAGGAGGAAGTAGATCAAAATCAACATTGTAGGCACCAACATGGCCATCGTTTTTTTGAAATTTTTCGTGTGGAACTTCGCGGATTCCATTTCCACGTCCTCTTTCGTTTTCCCGCAACATGTGTGGAACTTCGCGGATTCCATTTCCACGTCCTCTTTCGTTTTCCCGCAACATGTGTGGAACTTCGCGGATTCCATTTCCACGTGGTACATGATTCCGTCCGTGCCCAGCCGAATTAGCAGAAACTATGAATATGAGTAGTTGATCCCTTAAATCTTTAAAAGAGGAAACATGATTGTAGTTGATCCCTTAATTAATTATATCTTCAAAAAATATGTAAATGCAATTCCTAAAACCTATAGGTCTCCTTCTTGTGGACCAGGAGGTCAGTGATTATGTTAACTACGATCTAGCCTCCATTCCATCAGGATTTTCACTATGTTGATGATAAAATGCAAGTTCACCTTGTTCATGCTCCTACATCCTAAAAGTAGACAAAGAAATATACACGTTGTTCCTCTTCAGAAGTACCTCCAGTAGTGTCATTTATATCATTTAGATACTCAATTAGCACAGGAGACGTTCTTGTCGTAAGTTCGTTGTACTGCGGCCGACGTGAGTAATATTCGCGGTCCAAATCTTTATTGTTGTACCCAGGAGGAGGTGGATTATGTCGATACTGGGATCCTCCACCTGACGTTGTAGAAGCTCCTCGCGGCTCCTGATGTTGTACTAGGTCTTGCTGTTGCGGACTGCCCACGGCCGCGTGTTTGCCGTTTCTGGAACCCGAAGTAGCCGGGACACCGATATCGCGAGAATCACGCGGTGACGACATCATTTGATTCGCGCCAGGGCCTCCTCCTCCTCCTCTCATTTTAGAATTCACTACAATCCATCTTTTCCCTCATCTGCTTCCGTTTTTCTTCTTGGAAACAACTCACAGATGGGCTAAAAGATAGATTAAGTTGTGAGGGGCCTCAATCATTGCACTGGTGCCACCTTGACGAGGAGGTGGAGCATCACGCGGCTGACGATCACCACGCTCACGATAACGTTGATGATCTACTCGATTACTCGTGTTGTAGAACTGGTCCTCAGGACCGCGGCGTCGATCGAATTCGAACCCTCTGGTGTCCTCACCCCTCATCGTAGAAGCCGGCTCAATGTCGACCAAACGCTGCGGCGGAGGCAAAACTTCGTGAACCACGTGGTTGCGTGTGCCCCCTTGCATTTGTTCCCCACCACGAGGTAGAGGGCCACCTCCCGAAGGTCCTGCTGCTGCGCGGTCGGGACCACCACGAGGTAGAGGACCACCTCCCGAAGGTCCTGCTGCTGCGCGGTCGGGACCACCACGAGGTAGAGGACCACCTCCCGAAGGTCCTCCCCGCCTTGACTGATTCTTCATCTTCATTATTATGAATCAATCAAGGGACGAAGCGCGGTAGCCCGAGACGTGCGGGCGTGTTTTTTTTTTGCTCGTCGTGCCTCAACGAGTATGCCCGCCTTCGCGAGGTCAGAAGAAGTAGAAGTTGTACTGCTCGTGCTGCTTGGTCGAGGTGATCGCCTACCGTGCGTGGATTATAGTTGCGACTCGTAGTGAAGATCGACAGAGATAAAAATGAATACCTCCGTAAACGTTGTACTATTGTTGACGTTGTACTTCCTCCTCAGCGTACTGTTGCTTCCGGTTATCTCCGGGTCCGGATGCAAAGACCAAGATATCTTTGACTTTCTTTTATTTCGATATTCATATAAATATAAATTGACGGAGGGAAACACGACGAGATCAACTCAAGGGCGGGGTCGGTGTTCATGGAAAAGTTATCCACCACCATAAATACTTCGAAAATATTGGTAGGCGCAATTCTGGTTGTATGTCTATCTTGTTCTTCAATACTAGTTGGGTTATAGAAATCTGCACATAATAGGTTGAAAAACAATGGGTGTTGTCTCACTTGCGCGAAGATAGACAAACCACAGGCACTTTTTGATAGTTGTAAATGAAAAAGAATTGGATTTTTCTTGGAATCTTATACCAAAAATCGACCACTCGAATTTATTCCGTAGTAGAGAGGCTTACGTAGGAGCTTCTTATTTCCATGATGTGATCCAGATTCAAGGGGAACAGGAATCAATGGATACACAGGTTTGAAGAGGCAAAAAAATCTTCGAAATTAGAAAATGATCTTTGTTTACATTCGCAACAATCAACGAACATCATTTACTTCATCTCTTTTACGTTAACAAATTGCTAGGCATGATAGGGAATCAGCTTGGCGATGATAAGTCGTCAGTCTTCTAGTTCTAGTTAATATTTTTTTTGTGTTATTTTCTACTCTCAGTTTTTTCTACAAGTACTTTCATGAAATAGCTCGGAAAGCACGCTAAAACTACAAAGCATCCTCCACGTTTCATTATCTTGTTCTTCGGGATGAATTATCAGACAGTAGGAATTAAATCATAAACGAAGCAATAACAGCGAACATTCTTCATTGATTTCCAAAAAGTAAGCCGAGACACCAACACCTTCTATTTCGTACTATGTTCAGTTGTTCCCTCCTAAAAGTCAAAAGCGTGAAATCTATGATCACTTAAACAATTCGATAGAGAAACTCACTGCTCCTGCTCGACAAGATGAAGTGGCGTTTTATTTGGCAACCTGATTGATAAAATCACTGTGTACAATTTAGCAACTTCTAGTGCCCCTCGTGACAATGCTTCAAGATCTTCTTGCAGAGTTGGAGGACAAGTGATGAATTATATGGTAACATTCAGTTGAAGATTTATTAGATTTTATAGAAATAAATGTAGGCTTCATTATTAGCCCTGTGCTTGAAGGGGGTGTACATGTTGCGTTGCGAGCGTCTTGATGTGGAAAAAATAATCTTCATCAGTAGTCCGCTGACCACCGGTTTCGCCGAAGACGCCTAGGCGATGATATAATGATTCTTTGTGGTAGAATAGAGCGACCACGAAAAGTTTATCTACTTAACTCCAAAGGGAACGACCCGTGGCCGACACCTTTCTCGCAGTCTGAAACCAAGTACGAGCAAGTGGGAACTTCCTTGCTCTATTAGAAACTTCCTTCTACTAGATATTACTCTAGGTATAGGTAATAGTAGAAACTCATCTACTGCTAGCAGGTAGGGCTCATTCAAAAAATAAGATCCTTGAGGACCACCTTCAAAAGAAAACATAAACAGCTTCTCTTTTCTTGTATTTGTTTGATGTAGTTCTAAGTGAGGTACCTGCTCTGGCAAGTGATTGACAACTGTGCGATTCCTGAAAGAGGACAGAGGACAAAGTATTACGAACGTTAGCAAAACAAGAGGAGGATTCAAGTCGCCGCTCCTGCGAGCACCTCCTGCTGTCTAGTAGTGAAAGATAACGCTCGCGCGATTCTCTAATCACGAACAAGTAGCGTACTCTCTTCTCGGACACGACGTCGACGAGTTGTATCTATTAAGTTTTTAGTAAAAGTGAGAAGTCTATTGTCACAAAAATAGTATCCATCTGGTCCTCGTTCGATGATATGATCTTAATGCCACCTCAAAAAAAGCAAAGCGAGCGATTTTTAGAAGGTGGATAGTACAACAGGTACACTCATCTACTAGTATCAGTATATTATAAGATTGACTGTCAATAAAACTTGAACTCGTCATCTATTTGAAGATTTTGACCTTTCAGAATGTCGAAAGGGCGGCACTTGCTCATGAATAAGGTTCAAGAAGGCAAACAATTTACTCGTTTGTACCAACGTCCGCTAGACGAGTACCATAGTGCAGCGTTCTTCTTCGTTCTATCGATACTTTTTTTCGAATTTTTACAAAGAAGAAGTGGTCCTGTGTGCTGTCTTATCGAATAGGATACAGATAAGAATCGTATATTTTCAAATTGTAAGAAATCTAAGTTCTTCTAGTAGAAGTAGCTTGTTGTTGTAGTTTTTTGTGTTAATTTTTTGTGTACACATTATACAGAAGGAGAATACTACTGGTTTTGGAGCAAATACAGACTAAGTATATCCAAACAAAACCACGAGTACACCCCGCCCTTGCGTAAACACATCACACTTTCTCCTGCTGTTGTGGTAAATCTGATGAGATTGGAATTGTGATTAAGATCATCACACACCACAAACTCACTAACAGAGTCGTATTAAGATTAAGATTAAGAGATTTCTGGCTTGCGACAGGCAGCGGCCAGGGTTCCACAAGTCTACTCTTGCATTCTCATTTTCGATCATACGACAAGCGACTATAATTTCCAACGAACAATAAAGCTACGCAGATGCGAATTCAATTTGGTGCGACTCCGACCACTCATTTTCTCAAAATTCTCATTCTCTTGAAGTCCTCATATAATTCGCCTCAACGCCAGGGCTTCATCTCCATTTCGATTTCATATTGAAAGTCTTCAAAGAACATCACGGATGTTTGTCTTAAGTCACACGCTGGACAGTCCTGTGGACTCTTAGAGGATATCACGCAACGTTAAGATTCCTTCGATTTCAGACGAAAAGATTTGCATTCTTTTAGATTCTCTTCACCTTGCAGATTCATCGAGAAAGCGCTCCCTCCACGAAGAACACTCAGTCTCACGACAAGTGGAGGCATCCACCACGATGACAAATCTTAGTAGACTGGACTGAAGTAGTGCATTCATTCATTTACCTAGCAAGAGGTCGCTCGCAGGACTTAATTGTTGCACTTCCTTTTTTAGAGTCTACTTAGCTTGGTTGAAAGGCATGGGCATCCTCTTCTCGTCGATATAAAACGATACATAAACCATTATAAAAAAAGTCCATCCAGTTTGCGGATTCACAAGTCGACGTCGTCCAGGATGTCGTGTCCTTTCGGGGCAGGAACGAAGAAAAGTTGGTGAAACTAATTGCACTTTCCTACCTTAAAAGTTGTTGAGCCCGTAGTTGATGTGTAGTCGACTGCACACTTCTGCACACGTAATTTTTCTTGTATAGTTCTATAAAGTGAACCAATACAGAAGATTCATGGTATCTTTTTCTTCGTGAATAAACTACGGGATCGATATACTGCTTGGTACTATCTCCACTTATACAAGTATAGAGCTGTACTGCGAGAAAAGTAGGCTGAGTAATTGTAAGCTCTTTTTCTCGAGACTTGTTTTGTTTGTGCCTTCGCGTCTTCCACCACGACCACCAAGTAATTGTAAGCTCTTTTTCTCGAGACTTATGTTGTTTGTGTCTTACCACCACTTCGACACAAACTCCTGCCTCGTTGTCCGCCTACGAGTAAAATCGCGCTGGGTCAGTATCCCGTCGGTGCTGCGTCGGGATAGGGTAGGCTGCTCCAGCATCCTTGCCCGCTCCACAAATATCGTCCGCCAATTCTGCTACTTCGGCAAGTGCTAGACGCAGATATCTTCCCGCCCATAGGCCCATGTCTCTCGGTATCGATATTCGATCGCGAATATACCTCATGCCGACAGCTGCCTCTACTTCGAGCTTGCTTGTGTCTAACAAGTCGCCTTCCACCTCGCTCGTCCCTTGCGTAGATTAGTAAAGACAAGTACATCTAGTCTGACTCTGAGACGAAGCTAAGATTAGTTTTAGTATCTATGACGCTCACAAACACAAGGCTAGAAGACTGGTCGACGCACACCAATACATATTTATAAACCTGATGTTGAACTACAAGCTGAGAAATCATAATGTTGCTCGTTTTGCCGTGTAGCGAGATGCTCGTCAACGAGTTTTGAGAGTGTCCACCGCAACAATACGTCATAGGATGCTAACCCCCCCATGGGATTCGCTTTCTGCAGCCGCTCTTTGTGGCGCAACACTCGATAGACAGCCTCTAAACGCGCATCTTGTGGCTCCGGAATTGTAGTACGTTCATCGCCACCGAAGAGCGCCTTGTTGGTGTAGTTCGTGACACCCCCATCGAGGAGTCCGAAATTCACCAGGCGCTGGCAGTCGGGAACTGAGGCGGCATTACCCGTGGCGCATCCTCCTAACTGAGGCGGCAAATCGTGCACATGCGTATGAAAGTCGCTCTTTGTACCGCGATACACAGGAAGCGACTCCATCGATGCAAACCAACGGTCAATGCCTGAATGCTCGCGTCGCAAATCAAAACCCACAGATTAGAACAGACGTGATGAAGATGTGGTTAATAGTACTGAGGAACCAAGAAGCCTAATCCATCGTCTGAGTCTGTGGCACAACATCAACATTATCATATTGAATTTGAACTATTCGATAAACTGAAATAAGCGAGTAAAAACTACATAAAATAAGCGAGATATTGAACAAGGAAGAGTAGCCCTGTCAAAGCTACCTCCCTTACTTCAGTCAGTAACTCGGTTATTTTCAGTTTTCGAGTACATCAAGAAGTTACTATCCTTCTAAGTTGTAATGAGTGCTCCCTCGTCTCGAATTTACAAATACAGATTTACAGTCACGACACTAAAGAGGGGGAGGTCGTGGTGCTATTATAAATTTACGAGGCTTGTTCAAGTTGCTGCCACTTGAGTCATAATTGTAGTAGAAGAGACTGGCGCACATTCGTTCCAACATTGGAGTCACCACGCAATCAAGCACTCCCATTCCATCTCCCCCACTGAAAAAGTACCTTGGTGGAGCTTGATCTGGGTTTCGTGCCTTAGAGATTCTGCCATCGCATTCCTCAGATGGTTCTTGACTTGTTTTCACGTAGTAAGTTATGGAACAAATAAACACCTTGAACAACTTCATCGTTCCTATTGGAAAACAAGTCAAGAGTGGTAGTGCGTGCGGAATGCAATGAGGGAGGTTGAGGCTAGTGCTCAAGGCCGACAGAAAGAATTTTTTCGCACGAGTGTGATTGCAAGACGCATGCCTTTTCTAAGGTAAAAACCAAAAGTCAAGCCATGGAGTTAGTGTTCAAAAATAGTACTCTGCTTCTATTAAATATAGGCCTTAACTCCTGGACGACCTTTGTTCACCTTCTCCAGATACTGCTCAAGTCGCTTGACTACTGATTGGAAGCCTGCTTGCCCTTGTCGATCCGGACAATTGGGGTTGCAAAGCCACTGACACCAGGCCGAAAAAAGCATGCGTTCCAGCTTTCTGCCCTCTAGCGTCACCGGGTCAGTGAGGCTTCGAGTGCCCGCAAGCGTCCCAAATTTGTGCTCTAGTTCCGCTAAAATATCGTCGGATTCCGTGACGAAGTACTCGAACGACACTGATTGGCTCGATGAAGAGGTTCTCTTGCTGCCACTAGCGGAAGATGACGGAGCTGCTTCTAGAAAGCCGAGTGCTGGAAGCATTCCGCTTGGCACCAGCTTCTTGTACCAAGCCTCCTTACTTCCGTAGCAGAACATCGTTACTTTCTTCACGTCGTAAGGAATGCGTTTTGCCTCTAGAAAAAGCCACACCTTCTGACAGTACGGACACCAAGCATGATTGTCGCGGAAAAGCACAACCTGAGCTCCAGCAGTAGGGTCATCGAAGCGCCGCTGTGTAGAATGAGCGTTGGTTGGTCCGGAAACGGCATCCGGGACCACGTAGTGCTTCCGGACGACCTCCGCGAGGTTCGCCCAACTCCGCACTCGGACTCCCTTCATCGAAGATGAACTAGATGTAATCAACGATTTTGTCATAGTAGTTTTTTCATCAACATGATCTGTATAGTTTCTTATTCTGCTGCTCGTTTTTTGTTGAACAATTAAATTCATTCATCAAAATCAAATTATATGTAGTTGGATCGATACAACGATACGGATGTTGAGGCAATCGGCGCAATCCGTTTAAGAGCACTAAGTAGCAAGTCTAACCATAAAGGTCTAGACGACTAGGAACACCAATTTTACTCGTACTTTATAATTCTTTGTTGTGATCAAGTCATGAAAAATTTGACACTCGAGGAAACCGTTCCCTCTTGATATCTTCTGCTTGACCTTGAAACTAGTACTACTATAGTTAAATAATGTACAAGATTTGAGTGAAAACAGAGGGGGGACGGGAAAATGATAAAGCACAGATTTAGGTGAATTTGCCTAAACGGGAAACAGTGCCAGAGCCTGCCGATAAAAAATAAGTCACAGCGAAGATGGATCCAAGCGAATCCACAGACAGCTCGACCTGTCTGATGTGCACGCGTCTACCACTAGCACGATTGAGATCCTGCCTCGTCCTTAGTTTTTGATCATCCTCAATCAAAACAATCATGTCGTTTCGAAGAACATTATTTGTTCAGGACGTGAAAGTGCACTTGTCCTGCATCTAGTAAGTCGCCACAGAATTAGGGATCGACTCTCTACTCGTCATCTAAAACGAAGGTACAAAAAGAATAGAAACTATCTCGTGTCGTATGTTTTCGTTGCCCTTTTGTTGTCGGAACACACGAAGAAACAGAGGTGCAGGCGGTTGTACATCACTAATTTGGATGAGCAGAGGTATTCACCTCAGCGATCGGAATCGATTGATTCGCTTTCTGTTGTGATGCATAATGTAGTGGCTCTCATCGGGGTTACGATAGGGGGAGAGGGGTCGTCGCATATAAAGGTGGTCATTCTCGGATCCTCAGACTGAAAGTATCTATAATGATGAGCACTATGAATTCATCTTCATCATTTTTGACTCTTCGATCAGAAGATTGTGTCAATAAAATTGTGGTCTTCTATTCCTTATGCCTCGTTCTCCAGAGGTTAAAGCAAGTTCTTGCTCTTCGTGACCAACTTCATCTTCATGGGCTGCTCCTCCACGTCCGTCCTGCAGCGCTTGAAAACTTGTCTGGTAATGTGTAGCACCTCTAGTACTCCCAAATCCGCCTCCAACGCTCGTCGAATGCTGTGGAGGTTCCCACGAAGATGTAGTTGACGAGGAGGACATCTTCCCCAACATCTTTCCTGTTGTACTAGTTGGCCCTTGTCCGAGATAAAGCAACACATTCAATAAGGATACCACAGTAAGGAGGAGTAGCGGAAAGCCTACTATTGTTTTCCACTCCAACTCCTGGAAGAAACCGTTCAAGGCCTCGCCAAACGTCGCACCTGAAAACTTCGCCCGATATGCGACCTGCATCGCATCCTGTTCCATGCATACCTTCCACGTTCTACAAGGCCCTTCTAATGCGGGACGCACGTCGATGCCACACCTGATCGATGTTGCATTTACAATTGGAGAGTTTCTTCGAGGAAATAGATCTTGCACATCTTCATCTAATCGAGGAGTCAGGATGCACCGTTCCAATAATCTGCAACATCTTCATCTAAAAGAACTACATCTAAGTCTGACATCTTTAAAAATCATCAATATCATGTATGAAGCTGACTTATTTGTTAGTTCCAACTTATAAGTAGACGTACTAATATTATGCATGTATAAAACAAACATTATGCATGAGTATAAAACAAACAAACATCAAGTACATATTGACAGCATAGTCGTGCGAGCACTTGTCGATCTGGTCGAGCACCTCTTGGCTGTAGCGCACCACTTTTGTGTGAATATCGTCTCGGATCGTGGAGTAGAAAGCGTATACGAAATAAAGACCGAGAGAGACAATGCCGATATTGAAAGCCGCGCGTGCATAGGTCGTCAAGAGCGCCGGCAACTCTCGCAGCAGAGACGATGACGAACAAGAAGAATTATGTTGGAGGTTATAATTCTGCGCATCAAGAAACTGTTGTTGATTTTGATTGTGGTCATGAAGCTGTTGATCCTGGCCATTGGGTGTGCGTGGATACTGATGCTGCATCGCTAGTTGACGACGTCCGTTGGCGAACTGGAGGCTGTTCTTGTGGTTCCACTGTTCATGTCGGAACTGTTGTTGATTGCTGTGGTAATTTGGGTTTGTTGATGCACTCGCTTGTTGGTGATCATTTATCATGTGGTGCTGGAGGAAGTGTGGGGAGGCGGCGTACTCACCAGGGCGAGCGCCGAATTGCACAGATATGGTCGTTCCAGGAGGGAGCGACGGCCGCGTCGCGCCAGCCCCTCCTGCACCAGCCTCGCCGACGCCAGTCGCGCCCCCGCCGAAGAGCGAGCCAAATAGACCCCGTGGTGACAGTGCGGGCAGCAGGCCCCCACCATTGGTCCACCCACCTCCACTATTCTCAGATCCTTGATGCTCGTCCACCAACATCGGTCCGCTGTCGGCGCTATCTCCCTCTTTTGGACCATGATGTAGTTCTCGTTCGTTTCTCGCTGTTGTTCTGTAGGATGTCGAACCACTACTTCTGTTCATCTCATGCTGTACGTCCTCCATATGAGCATCTGCATCGCCAGCTCCTGTCGGTGAATCTTCGTCCATACGCGCAAATAGTTCTCGCGCAGACCTCTGAAAGACGCTCCTGTTGCCTGTTCTCCTATTCATCCCTGCCGTGCTCGACGTCGAGGCTTGGTAGCCCATACCGCAGTCGGGCATTGAAGAAGTACCTCCGCTGTGATGGTCGTCCAATGACATATTGCTGAAGCGCTGCAGCTTACTCCGCTGATACTCGTTGCTGTGCCTGCGGTGTGAAAACAAATCAAATAGATACGTCACTAGGCATAGATCCAGATCTTAAGATGCTTGATGCTTTACCATTTGTTCCGGTAGATTTAATATACACTAGACAAGAATATACAGCCTTTCTACCACAGCCTGCGTTACAACTAGACATACATTATGTACCGTCTTTGCGCGAACAGGCTTTCTCGCTGCGGAACCGCAGAGCCAAGTCCAGAGAGGCAACCAAGCTCGCTCGCAAGATGATCCTCGATAACAGCCATTTTCCTCTTACTCTTTGGTAAAAAAATTTATCAAGCTGGACTGGATGAATCAATTGGAATTGTGATTAAAAGTTGTAGAATGGCGAGTGCTTGCTGTTAACAGGGGTGTACCAAATCAATACCATATTTATTCCAGACCGTTCTGTAGCAGGGAGACACTTCTGGCTACAACAGACAACTTCTAATTATGTTATGGTTAGGTTAGGTTAGGTTAGGTCGTGAATGCTTGAATATAACGACAGAGAAACAATAAAATGAAGGCTACAAGGTCCGAATTAGGGTGAAATCTACAAGGTCCGAATTTGGATGGAAGGGTCGCCGTCGAAAGTTCTCTACTTATATACTATAGGATGCACTTCTGTCGTTTAGAGGTGACCGTTTTCTTCTACCTGCGTACCACCTGGGCTCCTTCCCTCCCTGAGGTAACAGTGAGATAAGAATGTTGATTCAATGATATCAAGTCATTCATTCATTCATTTACCTGTTCGACAACAATTGAAAATGGAAGCATGATGAAATACTTAAATCGCGTTGTTGCAAGAGGACCCTACTATGCAGTGAGAAAAAGAAGATCTACATTTTCTTAGACCGTCATGGTGCTGTTGATCTAAGGTGTTAAGCAAGATCGGTTTTCGTTTTTCGATATTATCCGACTGAACTTGCCGTTCAGTACGAGGCGTGTGCCTTTTCGACACACGAGCATGATAGATGATTTCTACATCACAACTCTGTGAATGATTATGGCAGATCCTCATCTTGTTCTTGTTCGATCTAGTTGTAGAATCATTCGCCTATTTTTAGATCCTCATCCTTTTGTAAACATGTAAGCTTCCCGAAGACAACATACAAGCTGCGTTGTTCGTTCTTCTTTTTGAAGACACTGATTTGCATTCTTAGTCGGTATTGCAAGCATCTTCATTAAAAAAAAAACCATTTTCATTTTCGAGCTCCTTTTCTGCGTTTGTTTGTAAAAGTTCGTCGAATTTTGGGACGACTAGTTCTAGTAGTAGATCAATAGACCACAGCAAGACTAACATTGAACGTGACTTCGAGGCATCACCTGGTGTGCACATCTCTACATATAATACAGGTTGTAAGTATTCATGATTCTCATCTTGATCGTAAATATTCTTGGTCTTTAAACTGAGTCAACTCCTGCTTTGGTTGATTTCATCCTACGCTTCGGCGGCTTTCCTGCTGAGTCTAGATACTTTGCTAGTTTTGCATCTTTTTCGCCGTCTACCTTTGGACGACAGCCAGCCCCTTTACGTTTAGGAAGGAAACAAATAATCATCAGGACGATATATGTCAAAAAGTAAGTCTTCGAGGGAAAATAAGGAAACAGAGTTGAATAAGGCTGCGAAGTCATCTTCTTGATTGAGACAATGAATACATCTTCTGGAAAGATACTGATAAGAAACGTAAAGCTCGCGTTCGCGTACAGTAGTACACACGACTGCGCTAAACCACTACTTTGCGTGCATCCATACTCAGAAAAAAAAAACTAGACAACAGCAAGCAATGCGAAGACCACAATCCTTTTTTTGCGAGGAAAAGAACGATGAAGTTCAAATTTCAACAGGTGAGCAGTACTTTCTTCTTCTTGAATTATATCTCTCTTTTCTGGCTGATTGAAACATCGCTCCGATTTCAAAAGAAGTCCGCTCCTGTTCCTGCTCTAATATAGCATCTTACGCCCAGTCTTCATAGAGTTTTTTGATTTGTTCGTCTGACTCTTTTTGTTGCTGGGCTTTGTGTTGTTCCTTCTTTTCCTTCAAGCGGCTGTGGCGTTCTTCCCCGATCGGTGCTGGTGAGCTGACAGAACTATGCACTGTTGCAGAAGTTGATGGAAAAGGACTATTCAGTTGTTGGACCACTCCTGTGGAAGAACAAGTTGCTAGCGCCGGACCAACCTGAGGACCCTGATAATTCAGACTCTGATGGCTTAGGTTTTGTAGTTGTAGTAAATGTTGATGTTCTCCCAACATCAACATGTTGTTGCTAGAAGATGAGGAGCATGGCTGTAGGATTCCTGCAGAGGATGCAGGGAACAGGTTGTCTAGTCCTTCCCTAGGACTTCGATCGAGTAGGTGCCCTGTCGTCATCGCATTCTTATTGACCATGGTGCTGGGGTTCGTGCTCCATGCACCCATTGAATCTTGTTCCTCCGCTACATCATGACGAATAGCTCCAGAAGTTGATGTAGGGGGCACAGAGTCAGAAGCAGTGGTAGGGGGCGTCATTTGAGGTATGCCGGGAGGTGGAGCTGCTGGTGCTCCTGCTTGTCCTGCCACATTGTTGTTGTTGGCCACCGCAGTTGTCGCACCAGGGGGAAAGGATGTTGCCGGGGGAAAGGACAAGGGGGGCAGGGACGGTCCGCCTGGTGCATCGAGCGCACTCGCACTGGCCACGTTGGTCGGCGTACGGGCTGTACATGGTCCTCCATCAGAGTCCAACACGTTATCCATCAGAGTCGACGTAGTCGCCGCGTTGCTGCTTTCCGCTGTAGGCACTCTCTCTAAAACCTGAGGACGCTGTCGCTGATCTCCAGCACCTTCATGCGGTTGTTGTGGTTGTTGCTGTTCTCTACTTTGCGGTCCCCCTTGTTGGACGACCGCACCCGCAGTGGCACTAGATGAAGTCGTAGCTGCCCCAGCGCCAGAGGACTTGAAGAGACTTTGAACCAGGTGATTTTGCATGCGACGGTCCGGTGACTCCCTGTCCACGTCGGATGTGGACACCAAATCTTGAAAAATGTGATTCAACTGCGTCCTTGTCATCGCTGACGAAGATGCTGTTCCAGGGTCTGGCAAATGTTGACCACCATGTTGTAGTGTACCTCCTCCTCCATTGATAATCACCGTCCTGTTATTCACCGTGCTACCTGCGATGCTGCTAGGATAGGACCCGTTATAAAAATTACCTACTTCTAGACCTGCTGCTGCGGCTGAATCGGCTATATTCTTCACACGATCTTCGAGGTTATTTGCTGAAGCTGCTCCTGCATTTATTGTTCCGGTACCTGTTGCACCTACAACTTCAGCAGCACCGCCAGAAGACGTGGCTCCTCCTGTAGCAGTAGCATTGTTGTTCTGTTTGATGTTGTGGTTTGTTGATGTGCTTTCGCTGCCTAGTACTCCATACTCCTGTCCTGCTATTCGTGTAATCGTACTCATGGGGCTCTCGAAGTCGCCAACGGACGCCGTGTTGACCCCAACACTATCAGACTTCTCCGGTGTCCAACCTGGACTGGTACCATCCGCACTTGGAAGAGGTGGCACAAGATGATGGTTACCAGAAGGTGGAGCAACACCTGCTCCAGGTCCAGAGACTGTTTCACTGCCCGTCCGTTGCAAGTCGCCACCTCGTCCAGGCGTTGTCGTGGTCTGCGTCAACGACGACGCAGGAGGGGCACCAGCGGCGCCTCCTGTTGTACCTGAATCCTCATCTGCTAAAACCCTTTGCTGGTGTTGTTCCTGTCGCTGTTGGACCTCTTCCAGAAACACAACGTTATCCAGCGGGACCCGGCGCAGCATGCTCTCGGGATAGGTCTTTTCTGCAGTTGTATGAAGAGAAGTCTCACTCGTCTCGTCCTTCCCTCTTGTTCTCGCTGCGAAGCTAGTAGCCCGGGTCGCCGGCTCGTGGTCGGGTAGCTGCTCCGCTTGAAGATGATGTTCCTGAGCTTGATGTCTACTAGTGCTACTATTAGAGAGAGCACCTTCTAGTACTCCACCTGCAGCTGCCCCTGCTGATACTATTTTTGCGGGTACTACGATATTATTCCCACCCCCACCAGGCACAGGGGCCGGGGGAACTTTAATAACTGCGCGCGAAGACCGACCTTCCCCTATCGTCCCACTTGCGTCAGTCACAGTCTGTGGTCTATTTACTATCACATTCGCTGGCGCCAGTGTCCCATTTACCAAAGTCGCCTGAGCGTGCAGAGACGACCCGGTGGCAGCTCCCGTTCCTGCTGTTGTGGTCGGGTTGGAGACCTCGTTTAGGGACGTTCCGGTGTAACTCGAAGGAAGCTGCGGAATAGTCAGACCTCTTGCAAAGTATCCAGTGCCGGGATGACGCGAGGACCCCGTCAAAGAAGTAGTTGTTGTATCATGTACGGAAGCCCCTCGTGGGGTCAGCGGATTGCCTGAAGAGCCCGCGATGGAGGGAAGGACGGGGGCGCCAGCGCCGACGGGGAAGCCACCTGCATTAACAGCCGCGGGATCAATTGTAGCGATACCAGGCTGCGTGTCTGGTCTAAAGAGCGGACCCTCCAAGCCCGAAGGCCGGCCGCCTCCTGCTGCCAAGAGTACTGGTGGAGTGGTGGCAGTGCCACCCGTAGTGATGCCGCCAACAGTAGTGAGTGCACTCGTGCTAGTTGCTGTCCGCTCCGTGACGAGCTCACGATCCGTGCCCCAGTCCTGCAACTGGCTGAGTTCGCCGACCATACCCAGAGGCATTGTCGGCACCACGACTCCCGTCCCGCTCGCGGCCAACGTGGACGCGTTCGTGGTACCACCCAGGGGTCCGCTGTACCCGCTTGCAGCGCTTAGCGCGGGTGTTACTGTCGAGGTGTTGTTCACATCGGTGGTATGTTGGTACAACAGAAGATTCATCCCGCTCCCTCCTACCTGGTCCCCCTCGTGCATTCCTCCTCCGCCCGGTGTACTAGCCTCGTGATTGCCACGTTCTCCGGCGGTGACGGCGATGCGAATATCCTGTAGCTGCGCAAGTCGCACCGCCTCGTCGATTTTCGCAGTCAGAAACCGCAAGTCAAAGTTCCAATGCGGCGGTGCACACGCAAATAGCTCCTCCGCTACCTTCTCCGGCGTGTCCTCCACAAAGTCAAAGTCGAACACGACGCGCTGACTTCGCAACATCAGTTGCACCTCAGTGACGCGCTTGTTCAGTAGGTAGTTACGCGCTTGCAGCTGTGAGGGATGCACTACGTGAGGATGCCCGTTTATGCCGGAACCGGGCGGATGCAGCAGCTGCGGAGCTGCAGACGTGATCGAAGGGCTCGTGGCCTCTGAAGTCGACGCCTGCTCGATAATCACCTCGTTTTCCCGCATGCCCTGTAACCTACTACTTTTCTGTTCTTGCAGTCTGGTGCTAGCAACTCCGAGTGCTTTTGCCATCTCCTCGCTCATAATATGCTGCGGTGTCGTCCACGCCTCTTCTCGTTCTCCAGGAGGAAACGTCACGTTGTCCTGCTGTATCTCCGATGGCCTCGGCATCACAGATGACGGCCCTCCAGCAATCGTATTTGCTGTAGCAGTCCCCTCGGATGGATAGGAAGTGGAGACGAGTACTGGCCCAGCTACACCAGCACCGCTGTCTGCTGTCACGAGACCTTGTTCAGCGCCGTTCTTAGCGGCGTGTGCTGCTGTTGGCGCCAGTGGCACGTCCTCGGAGGCATTGGTTATTGACGGATGCGATTGCAATGCCGAGCTAGGATTGGTTACTTCGCTACCGCGAAAGTGCTGTCCTGTCTCCGGCGCATGCAGCAGACCCACCCCAGGCCCGACCACCGGCTCAAGCACGGTTTCGGACACCCGCTGGAGACCACCAAGCGAGTCCTGGGATTCGAATTGTCCGCTGCCAGCCTGAAATGTCACACCCAGCAAGTGGTCGACAAGGTTCTGCGGCATTCTTGGCTCGTTCATGTTGCCTACAGGAGCGTTGTTGTTGATCGAGCTCCTACTTCCTTCGTCCACTTGAGGGTCCACCTGCGAGGCAATTGAGACCGGCGGGCCTAGGATGTTAAGCTGCGGTATACTTCCCGGCGCTGTGCGAACCACTTGAGACTCAAAACTCGCAAACTCTGGCGTTGCGCCAGTCGCGATATTCTGGACCCCAATTTGCGCACCAGTGGGATCATCTACTTCTCTTGTCTGCTCCATATGGTGCTGTGGATAGGCGTATCCTGGAGGACCTACTGCTCCTAAGTGCAACGGTTGCTGCATTACAGTTTGGTATTGCTCTGATGAACTACCTGGAATCTGCGGAAGAGAAGCGCCTGGAAGACCTCCGACTGCTCCCCCTGCTGCCACGTTGTGCTGATAGGCGGGGTGCGCCGTACCCTCAGAAGGCGCAGGGCCCGGCGCTGCAAAACTGGGCGATTGCAAGGAACTGTTGCTGGAATTCGCCACGCCAGCGTGCAGACCCAGACCCAGCGTCCCAGGAAGACGCTCTGCTTGTGGTGTCATATGGAAAAATGCAGGACTTTGCGCATCATGCATTGCAGAAGGTGTTCCGGGTACCGCCAATTCGGATGCACCCCCTCCACCTTGATGCCCTTGAACTACTGGCGCTGATGAGAACTGTTGCTGGGAAAGATCGTGGTCAGGTGCTGACCCTCCTCTTCCAGCCTGTTGATCCCCTATTGCTATCACAGCTCCGGGAGCACTTGACAGCTGCTCATGCTCGAATAACTGTCGGGTTACCTGCTGCCCAACGAGATGAGGGAGCGTTGGCGTGCTCGCATTTACTTGAGACAACGTGGATACCCTAGCACTTGGGGCGCCATCGGGTGCCGACGGAGTCCGCCCTTCACCACCAATTTGCATCACTCCACCTGGTGGCGCTACAAGCTGCCCTCCGGCATTGTTGTTGGTGGATGACGCCGCTGCTTTGTCCACCGCTGGAACGATGGTATTGTCAACACCTGGAGAAGCGCGAACTAAAAACTCGCCACTGGTGCCTGTCAAACCTGGTGAATCTTGTTGCAGAAAACGCAGAGGCGGCAGCGTTGGCTCGTCTCCGAAGTAGTTGGTCGTGCCATTATCTGTCGTCAGCGTTCCTAGTTGCGGTGGAGGAGCACCACTCGTAGACGAGGTGTCTCCCGTAGTCTGCGTCGCGAGACCTCCTGTAGTGCTGTCGCGATGTAGTGGAATATCCGATTGACGATCTGGGGATGCCGCTGTGCCCGTGTTCGATATTACAGCCATTGGAGAAGACGCGTCACGTCCTGCTAGGGCCTGCTCTTGATGTTGTTCTATGGCCCGTCTTCTACGTATTTCCTCCAACTCCGAACTCACCTCTGGCGTGGTGGAAACCGCGTTGTTCATCGCAGAGGTTGAGATCGGTGCCAAGTCTGCAGAACCGCCGAAACGCAAAGGAGGCAGTGTAATGGATCCCTGTGTCACTCCACGCTCGCCTTAGACCTTCCGGGTATCCATCTTGAAAGTCATCTTGGACGTGGATGCGTTTCCCCCTTACGCGGAGGTCCAAGATGCTTCTGAAGATGGATTTCCGCTCTTCGTCTTAATCGTCATGCTCGTTGTCTGTCGTGTGTTCCGTTCTCTCCGTGATGCGCGACAGGCCTGGGCCTAACAAGCTCCCGCCATCTCTTCGATCCACCAAGTCAGTGTCCTCATCCGGAACTACGCCACCAGCGTAGTCTTGTACTTGTTGGCTCACGTTGCTACCAAGCTGCTGGTGCTGTTGCATAGAACTAGTATTGTTTGCTCCCTCTGGTCCACCTGATAATAAAGCAGAAGACGGAGTTTCGACATCTACTACTGTCGCGGTGGTCTCCTGTCCGTCGTCAGAAGTAGCTGCCGCGGCCGCACCGGTTGTGACTACATCGCCAGCGATTGCCTCCCTTGCCGCGGCAGCTCTACTAGCCGCGTTTCGCGCAGCCAGAATTTCTGGATCTAAGTTCATCTCGCCGCGCAGTGTTTGCGCCAGCTGTTGTTCGTAGTCTTGGCGGACAACCATGTTCATCTGGCTTGCGGTGGGATCCACCATATTGTGGTGATCTCCTACGCCACCATTCAAGAGGCCACCCTTTCCGCCATCGTCCGACATATCCCCAGAGCCCGTTCCCGACTCCAGCTGTTGTTCCGACCGGCCCCCTCGCGGCTGTTCCTCGGGATCCAGGCCACAGAGCTGATCGCCGTTGGAACCCTCTTGTCGCAAAAACGAAAACATCAACGCTTCCGTCGCGGTGGGTCGCTGCTTCCCGTCTTTCAACAAACACGCTTGAATCAAACCGCGCAACTTCTCATCCTGGATGCGCTTGATCACACGCGGCTGCTCGCCGTTCATAACCTACAGCAGATATTTTCGATCGAAAATAACGATGAGCTACACAATTCAGGGACTTGGTTTCTTGAATCCTCGAGAAAGACAATTATCACTGGGTAGATGGAGTAAGTACTTACAACTGCTTACAAGTACCTTGTTGTAAACTTGGACTGTGGTCGTGCACTCCGCAAAAGGAAACTGGCGCGAGACCATTTCCACGAGGCACATGCCGAAAGCGTAAATGTCAACCGGCGTGCCGTAGCGTTCTTCGTACAGTTCCGGCGCCATGAACTCTGGTGTCCCGACTACACTCTGGGCCATTCCACCTGTTCGCGTCATCTTTAGCGTGGACGAGAGGCCCAAATCTCCGATGAGAATTTGGCCCACGTTCCCGTTGATAAAGATATTATCACACTTCAAGTCGCGGTGAATCACTGCAGGCTCGCGGGTGTGAAGATATTCGAGACCCTCTAGGATCTGGCACGCCCAATTGCGCACAACTTTCAATTTCAGGGGACCTCCAAGACGATTCACGTAACTGCGCAAGCTACCACCAGTCACCCGCTCAGTAATAAAAATCACCTCCTCACGCTCCTGTGTAAGTTCATATTAAAATGTGATAAGTCTCAATGTCGTGGCAATCTTGAAGTTGTGTCATCAATTTGTTAATACTACTACTAGTCCCTGTTAATCATGATAGATTATCATTATGGTACTTATTTCCTCCTGCTATAAGTGCAACTACATGATAAATTTGTGGTGGAGCCGACCTAACTAGAAAAAAGACAGACCGGAAGAAGATGCAACTACATGAAGATAAAGTTAATATGAAAGAGAAAGAGTTGTAGTAGAGTACGCTATTTTTCCACGCGTTCATGCAGTGTATGATGCGGCGATGATCGAGGCTTTTCGTGATGTTGATCTCGTCCTGGATACGCTTCTTTTCGGTAGGACTCATCCTGGAAAACGGGATGACGTTCCAGGCGACCTCACGGCCGGTATCGTTGTCGAAGCCCAGATACACTTGCTTATAACTACCAGAACCCAGTTTGCGATTGAACCTTGAGAATCGGCCTTTCGGAGAGACCTCGACGACCTCGTCTTCCGCGTGCTCTACGTCAGAGCTGCCGCGCGTTGGTCCGGCTGCAGCGACGACGGTGACGGAACCACGACGACCGCTTTTTGTGGTGCGTCCACCGGTAGCCGTCCGACTCGCCTTGCTACTGCTGGAAGCTGTGCCCGTGCCTGTGCCCCTGCTTGTGGCTCCTTTGTCCTTGTCAGTAGCAGTCGCTGCCCCCGTGACTTTTTTCGATCGCGAGGTGGTCCCTGAGGCAGCGGTCTTGCTAGAAGAGACAGTGCCCTTCTTCAGCTGTCGCGTCGATGCACCACGAGCAGGAACGTGCGTATCTTCTCTTTCATCCTCCTCAGCGTGGGCCGCTTCATCCTCCTCGTGGTCGTCGGTCTCCGCGCTCTCTCGTTGTTTTGGTTTCCGCTCCTCCTTGACTACTGAGCGCCGACTGTTCCGCCGCTTGTCTTCCCTCGAGGGTGCCCGCTTTGCCGACGACGTGCCTCCGGTGCGGCTGCTTTCTGGAGCTCCTGTTGCTGCAGAGCGTTTCGGGCCAGCACCACTAGTGGTCTCAGAAGAAGCTCTATCCTTCTTGCTGGAGCGAGCTGCAGGTTCCCTCGCCTTCTTTTTCGCAGCCGCGACAGCTTGAGCATCCTTCTTTCCAACACGCGTGCTTGGAGCATCACGACTGGCATTGTCAGGAGCTTCATCGCCGTCGTGTATAATTGAGCCGTCCTCGTCACTCTCGGGATGATCTCCTTCCTCATCCACTTCTAAATCACTTACACTTTTCTCGTTTGCCACCTCGTCTTCATCGGTTATTTCTTCGTTATCGAGACCTCCAGAGTCAGAGTCCTGCTCACTAGGCTCTTCTTCATCTTCCTCCTCTTCCTCGTGGCTCTCCCGATGCTCTTCGGAAGACATGTCCTCCTCTGAGGCAGCACGGTCGTGTTCCTCATTCATCGCATTCGGTCGTCGCGCATCCTCTGAAGATAAAGCGGAGTCCTCATACTCATCATGACTTTTTTCGCCTGAAGAGTCCGTCCCTACTGCGTCTGCCTCGTCGCTCTCATCGCTCCTTCTACGATTGCCTGGTGCGCCGTCTGCATCGTCCCGACCACGCGCATTTTCCTCGATGAAATTCACTGACCGCTTGGTGGAAGCAGCCTGCTTGTTTCTCGCCGGCAGTGACGGCGCCCGCTGTGCGCTTTCCGTATTAACACGGCTGTCCGCTCCTTCCCCAAGTCCTGTCGAAGACCGACCGACGCGAGGCTTGTTTGATGCACGACTGCGGTTGACTAAGCTAGCAGTGCTTGCGCTGGTTTTTACTTTCGCTCCCGATGTAGTGCCTTGCTTCGAAGTTGAACTACCGGTATAATGTTGCCGCTCGTCAACCGCTTGCTCTGCAGTGATCTCATCCGGCTTGTTTGGGGTAGAGCGTGAACGACGTCGCGATGGCTCCTTTGTTCCTGCCTTACCACCTCCAACTGCTGTACCTGTTGTTGTACCTGACGTGAGATAGACTACCCTTTCCGTTGACGTCGCCTGTGAGCCTGGGGGCTCCCGAGAGCCACGTGCGGTGGCGCGAACTCGAAACTCTCGTCGCTCCTCGAAGAGCCGCTCGTTCATTTCCTCGTGCACATCCAAATCCACATCGCGGCGCTGTTGGCGCTTCGCTTTGCTCTTGGTATCCTTATTCAAGGTTCCTTGTTCAAACGGAGGTGCTTTGGTGGTATCGTTGTACGCTAGCTCCCGCTTTGCCATGGCACCCTGCTTTGTACCCCGAGGAGTCTGAAGCTCACTATCACGCCGACGCTTTTTTTCCGAAACAGCCTTTTTTTTCACGCCACTAACATCCACAGCAGCTGCAGACACCGAATTTATATCCTGCTGCCCGTCCGCCGCGGCTGTGGCCTCCGACGAAAGCACCATTGTTGACGATGACTGGTTTATATCTCCAGTGGTGCTACCCATAGCTCGCTTGTTACCGCCTTTCTTGTTCCTCACCTTCTCAGGCGTTCCAGCGGGACTGCCGTGCGACGGTTTCGATGCAGATGCGGTTCCTCCTCCTGCCCGCCCTCCTGCCCGCCCTCCTCCGGCTTTATTCGCGGCTATCTGCCCTTTGTCCCGCCCGTTTCCCTGATCTTGTGTTGTTTTTGATCCTCGGCCAGCGGATCTTTCTCCTCCAGCAGTCCCTTGCAGCGCAGCCCGTGCACGCTCACCGTCTTCATGCGCATCTTCGTCATCACTTTCTGAGGGGGCGTCATCCCTGCTCTTCGCGTTGTTGCGCTGAGATGCGGGTTGTAGTGCTGCCGCGTTCTTTGTTTTCGTTGTTCTGTCGCCTTGAGTCGGTGGCGCACGAGATGACAAGTCCCGGCGACTTCGCTGGTCCTGCTTAGCACTTGGAGGTTGCGCATTCGCCTCTGCTGACACCTCAGCAGGTTCGATACCTTTCTTGATGTTCCTTGGACCTTTCCTAGCAACAGGAGCATTTTTAGCGTCATCGCGGCCACGAACGAATGAAGTCGCATTGGCATCTACAGCTTCACTCCCTTCCTCGTCATCTTCATCGTCATTTTCTCGTTCGGATGAATGAGCGTCATTTTCGTCATCATCCTCTTGACTCCCAACCACACTACTTCCAGAAACTTCTTCCTCCACAACATCTTCATCTTCCTCTTCATCGTCGTCCTCCACCTCCTCCTCCTCACTTCCTTCTCCATCTTCGTCCTCTCGCTGAGAGCCCTCGGCGCGTATTTTTAACCCTGTAGTTGCTGCTCTATGATTCGCATTCGCAGGGTCATCTTCATCGGGTTCTGATAGAGAGCCCTCCGTAGCTGTGCCTGACTCAGCGGAAGAAGCGCTTACCTGCTGCCGTTTTCTCAACGCTCCCGGGGGGTCCTCATCTTGCCCCCTCGGTACTGCATCTATCGGCTGCCCTTGCTCGTGCTCACCCGCAGACGACGACTCAACTTCACTAGCAGTTGCGTGCGAACCCGACGCCCCCGCACTATGCCGAACCGGAACTTGCTGTGACTTGTTGCCGACTTTCATCTTGTTATCTTCTGTTTTAGTTAATGCTGGACCACCAGTAGATCGAAGCGCCTGCTTAGTCCTCTTGTCCAACTCCAAGGTGTGCTCCATCTCGTCATGCTCGTGCGAGGAGACGTCGCCACCGGAGGACGACCGGTCGGCATTGCTAGTGGAGTCGTGATCTTCGCCTGAACAATACGCTGATGAATCGTAAGAAGGGCGGCTAACGTCAACAACTCTACTTGTACTTTGCTCTTCAGTTTTGTCTTGGAGTGGCTGTTTCTTCATCTTGTCTTGGAGTGCACTCCGTTTCTTAATAGCGATTGATGTTGTACCAGATGCTGGCTGCGCAGGCGACGTCTGTGCAACTCCAGCGCCTTTGCCCAATGCTGCTGTATTCGTCTTTGATCCGGCAGCAGTGGTAGAAGCTGCCGCTGTCACATCACTCCTGATCGCTCCCGCGCCGGTTAAAGGTTTTTTCTTTGTGGTCACTGGCACAACATCAGGAGTAGAAGTCGTGGCACTACTAGTCATAGTAGTGGTCTTTGCTGATGCGCCCTGCCGTTCCTTTCGCACTTTTTCCGAGACACTGTCGGAAGTCTGACGCGGAACTTCGCTCGTCCGTGACGTACTCCTGTTGCTGATCGCGGACGCCGTCGAGGTGACAGGCTTTGGCGGCAGAGGTGGAGGCAAGTCTTCATCGTCTTCCTCGTCGTCCGACTCATGGAGGTCTTCATCATCGTCCTCTTCCTGTTCATCATCGTCCTCCTCTCGTTCAACATCATGATGATCTTCCTCTGCAGCAGCACCCCCGCGAGAAGGACTCCGCCTTGAAGATCTCCGGAGATTAGTCTGCTGCTGTTGACGCTGGGTTGTGCTAGTAGTAGTAGTAGTAGCTGCCGTTACTCCAGGCCGAGTCGTGGTCACTACAGATTCGCTGTCTGAGTAGGACTCCCCATCTGCCGCAGGAGGTGCCGCAGGAACCGTTCTATTGCTTCGCCGTCGCTTCGCAGTACTAGCCTTCGCTTGGTCCTTTGCTGAAGTAGTAGGTCCTACGGGCTTATTACCGCTGGATGGCCCGGCGACCGCTGATCCTCTACTCTCAGCGCGCCTTTGCGCACTGCTTTGCTGCGGTTCTACATCGGAGCCGCTCTTTGCTGGAGCAGAGGTGGTTTTTTTCAGCTGCCCCTCTCTATTCGACCCGACGCCCCGCTTACTACTGCTTGCCTTGATACTGCCAACGGCCGTCCCAACCCCGGTCTTTGCACTACCTGCTGCAGCACTCTTGCTGCCAACAGCAGACGACACAATCGGAGGTCGGCGACTACTGGAATTTGAATTTCCTGCTGCTGCTCTACTAGAGGACGCGAAAGCGCCCGAAGTGGTAGAAGATGCTGAATCGTCACGTCGAGTAATAGAGTTACCGCCTTCTACGCCTCTCCGACCGCTCCGACCGGTGCTAGAAGAGCAACTGCTGTGGGTACCTCCGCTGTGGTCCTCCTGCTCATCCCGATCGTCGCGGAGACCTCCTCTACTACTATCTCCGCCACTGTCCCGGACGCGAGGTGGGGCCGAGGACGAAGCAGACCCCCCTTCTTCTTCTAAGGGGCTCAACTTCCGAACCGCCGCCGCAACGTCCGGCCTATCCCGCGCTTTGCGAGAGGTACGTGGGTAAAGCGGTTTTTTCTCGGTGCCGTCCACCTCAACGTCCTTGCTGATGCTTTTCGCACCTTTACTCGTACTAGTCTGGTTTTGAGAAGGAGCGTCCGATTTTGCAGATTTCACATCGTCGACTCTTTCAAGAGCAGTTTTCTTTCTGGTGTCACTAGTAGCCGTGTCACTTCTAGTACTCGCTACACCTTCTATAGTTCTTGTTGTGTCCGCCCCATCTGGTCGTGCGACACCATTAGCATTACTTCTCTGCTCAACAGCGACTAGGTCTCTAGTACTTTCAGAACCTGTAGTTGCAGTCACGACTGCAATCTGCTGTGTTGATACAACAGAGAGATCCGCGTCGGAGCCGCTCGTCTGTCCTGCCGCGTCGACGTCAATTGCTGAGTCGTCGAGTGCCCGCGTAAACAGAGAATTCACTACATCCTCCTCTCTAGTTGTTCGCTCAATGTCCTCTCCTGGATGTTGGCTCTCGGTTGCACTCTCTGTTCCCAGCGCGTCGCTGTCGTCGGCTTCGATGACCACCGCTTTCTTCGATCCAACTCGTTCTTCCATTTTTCACGTTGTGGCGGCGGCCTCAAGCTGGATAACTACGGCCTCTGATAAAAAAGACGACGGAAGTGAAGATGCTGGAGCCTAGAAGCAAAAATGCGGCTAGTTATCTATCCACTTCCGCGGCGACCGGAGGAGTCTTCTGGTTCACCACCTAGAGCATTCTCAACGAAGGAGAGTCATCAAACTGGTAACCACGAGTCCACGTCTCTGAACTACAGCAGATGAATAATCTTTTTCGATTTCGACGTAGAAGTTTTTTCCTTACACATAGTCCTGGTAGAGTCACCATTGCTCCCTGCATCAAGGCAGATGGTGCGTATCTTCTTCTTAGCTCATTTTTTCACATGACAAGTACATTCTTAGTAGTACGTCAGAGCAAACAAACGACGCGTGGAAAGTCTTGATGCTCAAGGCGGACACTATTTTTGCCCTCTCCACCTCTAAGTACTTCACTATCATTTGGGAAAAATTTTCCTGGAAAATATCACGGTCCGCTAATTGTTCGCTGCTTATCAGACCTTCTGCACAAAACAAAATGAAAATCGCAAGCTAGTCCCTAAACGTTTTGGTACGAGTAAACAAAAAATCACGTTCTCTAGTTTTTTCTTCTCGCTGTATCTTCATGGTTCACGCAATAATTTTCAACAACGAAGCGTAAATAATGTGAGAAATCTCCGCTCCTCCCAGATCAAACTTGTCGTGTTCTGTCAAACTCTGTAACGTGGTGTTCTTGTCAACATTCCATTCTGCCGTAATGGATTTGCATTCATCTTTCAAGAACAAAGCAGATTCCAAAAGCACGCACGAACTCGAACCGCCCACGATCTATAGCACGAGGAACCCCGTGAGGTAGATCCTGATCGCTTCATTATGAGAACTATTGTTGCTCCTGAAGCTTCATTCGTAAGTCATTCTGCAGGCGAGCAGCGTTGACGTGCAGTGGACACGGGTTCTTGTGTCAGAAAACGTCGATGAAAACCAAATCCAAGTCCGAACTAAAGATTAAGTCAAGAATATCGAACTTGAAAATAGAGAAATTCGAGTTCTTGTTCTTTTTTAGGACGTCGAGGAGCGTGAGACAGATCGATTACTTAGAATTAGCTCGTCAGCACGTCGTGTAAACTCGTCGATGTATTCTAAGAAAGAATCGGCTTCCCTATCCCTTGCGCGTGTCAGATGATGTGCGCCATCGCGTCTCTCTCGAAATTTTGAAGTATACGTTCGATCGTCGGCTAACATTCCAGGAGTCACCGCCGCGGCCAAGGCTACCCGTCCGTTCAGGTAAAACGCGTTCATTAGAGACTACTTCTAATTGTAGCTTCGCTGAGAAATTATTTTGAGAGGCAACTACGTTGACAAATTCAAATGTACACGGATCCAACTTCTTATAGCTATAGGGTTTTTTATCCGTGGTCTGAAGATTCATTGCCTAGTATCTTCATCCTAATTCTGCATCCATCTGTCGTCGCTTGCTCGGTAGTCGTGGGCTCTCCTCCAAGGCCTCTTGCTCCAACAGAGCAGGCTTTTGGCCGTTCAGGTAGCGCTCCAGCTCTATGGGCTTGGACAAAACGCGCTCAATGATTTCAGTACGATCTGGCGAGTCGACGTACCCTGTTCCTCTAGTTGTACTTTGAGTTCTGCTCCCCTTCGCAGTGGTAATATCCTCGTCTGGAGCAGCATGTCTGTGCTGGCCTTGAATTAGAGATTTCGTATTCTTTTGAAAGGTAAATAAACCGAAAAGAAGTCACAGGAGTGCTATAATTATGGCTCACCCTTATCCATCTTCGGAAGCATCTCAGGGACGTTTGCAAGGGGATAACGGTCTCAGGATGAACTTCGAGATGGATTACGGTGAGCTCTAATATAAATCACTTCCAAATAAATACATCAAATACATTTTACTCTGCAGCCTTAACTCCAGATGAACCATCGGATCGCTTCGGTTTATCGTCTCTGATGAAGCTCTAAATGTATCCAAGTCCTCCGCGAGAGCACGTGGATTAGTCGGAAGACCTCGATCGCGCATAAAGGCTAGCTCGTGTGCGCCTATAAGGCTTCCTTCTTCACCAGCCGCTGTCATCAGGCGATCCCTCTTACCTGGAATCGCATGCTCCTCATACAGCCATCGATGCACTGTAGAAGTAGTTGCACTCTTGTCACCAGCAGGGGTAGCAGAGTCATGCTTCTTGTCTCCCTTGGAAGTTGCATTGGAGCCCTGCTCGCTTGTCGAGGTCATCTTCATGATGTTGCTCATCGCATTATTTGCAAGACTTGCTCCACCGTTTTCTTTATCCTCATGCGCAACAGTGATTGATGAACCGCCATGTTTCTGCTTCGTCGCCGCAGCACACTTTGCCAATAAAAGATCTCGCTCGGCGACAATGCGTTCATTTTCCTCCACTAGCTCATCAATCGCCATGCCTAACCGCTTCTCCCGATCCCCGCTCTCGACATTAGACTTATCAGATGTAGTACAGTAGTGCTGTTATTAAGTTAGTAGTCGAAACTAGTACTAGCTTGAGCTTCATCTTCTAGTGGTTGTAATTACTGTAGAAAATAGTGGAGAAAAGTGAAAGTTACAGTACTGACTCTTTCACAAGTACTAGGTTGTATTCAGCAGATGTATGACTGACAGTAAAAGAACATAACTGCAAGCGCTCCACGCAATCGTCTGTTATCTTCTTGCAGAAGCTCCATCCCCTGAGCCAAAAAAGTTGTGGAGTATGCTGACCCCTTCGTCGCGCCTTCTGAAGGCGCTGGAGGAGGTGCACTTCTTATTGATAAATCTTGTCGGGGATCCATCTTGAAATCGATTTCTCTTTGTGGTTCCTTCCTTGCAACAGTAGTATGTTGTTCAAGGTGTAGGTGACGACCATCCCCGATGCCCGTCCACGCGGAGCACACTCTAGCCGCATCCCTCCGCAGCCTCTGATGCTTTAGCCTCAGACAGAATCCTGTCGGCAAAGGGACTAATTCGGTTAATGGTGGCGGTTTCCGAAACCGTGCTTCGAGGCCGATCTCTGCGTCTGTTAGTCCTAAAAGCAACGCGGCAGCATGCGCGTTCCTCAGTTCCCGGCGATCGGTATTTATTGTTGTCGTGCCAGAACCTTCAATACCTCGACCTCCATTTTTACCCATATCAATAAGTCCTGCTCGTAGAAAATCGTATCCGCGTGTGGTCGGGAGTTCTTACATTAGAGAAGTTAGACATCAACAATGAGATGATGTCTCTAGACTTCCACAAATAACTGATAGTGCTAAATCGGTTGTCTATACTCTTCCTCTTGTCCTCTTAGTTTGTTGTCAGTAGTTCTTGAACCCAATCAGTAGTAGTAGTAGTCAATTGATTAGTATGAACCCAATCACATGTAGTTGAACCCAATCAATTAGACTTTTACATGCAGCCATAAGTAAAGAATCGGTTCGTATAGTTTTTCGATCCAGGCTAGAACAACTTTTCGCATTCTCTGCCGTTCTGCGCGACTTCGACCACCAGCAAATACTAGATCCGCACCACCAGCCTGATGAAGCACGCGCCGTATATCCTGCATTAAACGCTGAAATTCCTGGTCCTGTTTTTTCTCTACACTGTCACCGAAAACATGCCTCTTCTCCGCGTAGTCAGGTCGTGCTCCTGGCACAGATGCAGAGTACGGTGCCAAGGTCGATCTTGTTCTGGTTGGACGCACAGGGCTAATAGCATCGTCCTGCTCAAGGAACAAATGCTCTCCGGCAGCATAGTCCCCCAAGTGCTTGTCATCAGGCAAGACGGCTTCCAACGACTCTAGCAAAGAGCTTGACATTGCAGACAAGGAGAAGATGCTATGATCCGTAAAAATATCTTGAATCAATTAAACTACTAGTTGTAACCCCTTATACATGCAACACAGCTGCACAAGTCGTTGTAGTGCAGCTAAGAACTCATTTCCGGATCAAGCATGGTTGTGCGTTTTTTCTACTCTGAGTAGTCGCTAAGTCTGGAACTGGAACCGTGATGTTTACAAGCAGATACTCATTTCTACGTTGTGAGCAAGTCACCCAGAATTGTAATCGTAACTAATTGCTGGGACCCTGGCTAACTATTCAATTTCAAAGTTAAGTAGTCTCTTTGCTTGTCAGTACAAAAAAACTCCAAAGCGAAATTCGATAATATGTTGAGTTCTTTACTAGTGTCAAAATGGTACTAGTTGATGTGGTGAGCCGGAGAGACCAAGGTTAGGCATAGAAGTTGCTGAGGGGGAAAGAATGTTGGGGTTGAAGATCAACTTACTTTCTCATAAATACTAATCCAGAAGTACAGAACAAGGCAAGATTGATCACTACGGAGATCACAGAAACTTTCGGCCTATGATGTGACGCGTTTCGTAATCGGATATCAGCACAAACCGATTGAAACAACCGATCGCATTCTTCGCGTTGATTTTCCTTGTTAGTGCTCAAAAGGAACGAGAGCATGATGGATGCGTAGAAGAAAACGGCTCACGAGGCTCGAGGACTTCTGAGGTTCAGAAATCCTACAAGGACTTCTGAAATATGCTATGCTGGCTCCACTTGACGACGTGTTAGCCGACTTAATAAAGTTGCTACGTTGAAATCGATTTCTACTTGTTTCCGCGAGGCATGCAATCGCGAGCATCACAGATCATCAACGACGATCATGAAGCGCGCGACTATGTATGACAGACATGTTTTGAAAATTGACTATCTAGTATCTTCATCTTGATTCATAGGATATATTGACAACTTTTGATCTCCGGACCAGTGGGTTCATTCACCCAGATATATGAGGCAAGCTGTAGTAAAAACTGCATGGTACACATAGATACATGCTTTTGTTCTAATGGTTTGTGGGCGTACAAGAACTAATTAAATATAGAAGTACTCATTAGATCTAGTTATGAACATGATCTCAGAATATGTTGAACGCGAAAATGAGGACTTGCTTAGAAACAAGTGGGTTTATCTGCAGCATCGGAGACTATCTTATAGTGCTCTCTTGTCCACGGCATCACTACATTGATCCGTTCAGGACCCTTGTTTTTGTCTATCCTGCAGGTCGAATTCCAGCAATACGCTGCTAACGTAGTCCACGTCCTCTAGGGTTAGGCCATGGTGTGCGCCGATCAAAAAACCATCTTTCATGATGCGATCTGCGTTCTCGAAAACACGGAAATGATGTCGGTACGCCGGATGCCGTGTCACATTACCGGAGATATTAGAACACGAAGGGGTGTTAGTCCTTTTGGGACAAAGATAGGTCCGGGAGGCGAGGCTGAGGAAAGGAGAATACGATATTCTAAAATCAAGAGCAAATGTGTGTCATGTGTACGTTCCTGATGTCATTGTTCAGAATGACCGTAGAAACGATTTCTGAGTTTGTTACCGGTTGCCCGTGACAAAAGCAGAAGTCCAAAGACCCACAGGGCCAGAAGCAAAGCATGCTATTGCTATCTATCAAGAACATTATCATGTTCTTCAATCTTATCTATCAAGAACATTATCATGTTCTTCATGCAAATCAAATCGTAACAAAAGTGACGCGGATCTGCACTTGTCGTTTTTCCAGATATCGAATAACGCCACTCCGGTTCGGATGTTGCAGTGGCAGAGCTAACCAGTCCTGCGTTTCATAATCGTCACGCGGTAAGACGTACCTGAACAAAGAACAATGTCGACGTTGATACCTCGTCGGACTCGGAATACAATCTTGCTCGTTCGACCACCTGCATAGACTATTTCTTGCACATTTATTGATTAGTATGATATCTTTGCAGTTTGGAATAGTACCTCATTCCCTTCACCGCCCTCAAGTTTTGACAAAATCTGGCAATATTTTCGCGTCGTATTTTTGTGAAGCGTGGTAGCTTCCGGAATTGCGATAGACCAAACGCTGCATTCATTTCACACGCTTTCATATTGTAGCCTTGTACGGAATACAAGAACTTTCCGTCATACTCGATGCCATCCACGTTGTCCTTGAACCGTTCATCCATATCCTCAGAATTGTTGCCCACGCGACCCCAGTCACGGTACTGAAAGGCCTTCTTTAAAAGACTCTCGCTGTTCATCATAAGAATACCTGTCGGTGAGTACGAGAAGAAAAAGGAATGTACCTGTTAGTAATATTTATTATATGTGTTGTTATTTATAAGTAAAATAAGAACGAAAATGTTCGTTAGCGTTATCGAGTGATATCTTGTAAATCACTATCGTTCTTGCTTATCATGAGGAAAATGCAAATAGATGAACTACAACGTAGTAGGTAGAAAGCAAGAAAAATTAGTCGTACCTCCCAAGCCACCAGCAGTTATTATGTGACTCGCGTAGAACGAAATTGCGCTGATGTCACTAGCCGGGGTGTGGGTCATCGTGTCACAACTATCCTCGAAAAGTATGATATCCGACCTTCCCAAGTCGGCCAAGCGTCTTCGAAGCTCCTCCCAATCGATCTTGGATCCGATCAAATTTGGCACCATTATCATTTTCGTCTTCGGAGTCACCTGACGATGTGAGGAAGATGACAGCCCAAACATTCTTGATGTATAGCTCTAGTCCGTTCGCGTTAATACTGGCGACCCCATGTCTTCCGTCGACCTACAGTATCTGTGACGCTAGGGCCTTACCTACTACTTCGCCATGCCCTAAAAAAATGTGCTAAATCCAAGGCCAACCCGCCACCCGAACCCCATGCGCAGCGCGTTTATATTCATTTGTCTGACCGCGATACACACCTGCGCAACCCTAAGCGCCCCCGCGCGCTGGCTCGTCCTTTGCGCTCCTTCTCTTTTGATCTTCACCTACGGCACCCGGCGTCGTCCGTCCCTCTCGTTAGTTAGTACTGCGCCCGCCACACCTTCTACTTCTTCAACTGTATCACAGCCAGCAGGCTGCTCGAGTACGGCCAAACTTCCACCGAGGGCGGGGGGAGAAAGATGAAGAAAGTTGTCGAAAAGTAATGAGCTCGACAAACATGGCATAAACCAAAAAAAGCAACAGCCTGCGCATGCATTGGAGAACTTTGCTAACTACCACTTCAGCGACTGCAGCAAGATGAGGAGGAGCTGCGTCGCTTATAATAATGCACAGCACCCCGCGACGCCTTCCTCTTGCCGCGCCCCATATTGTTGCTGGCGTGAGTCGGCGCAGCATCGGAGAGAGGGAGTAGATGCATATAATTACCAGACGGCTCACCAAGGGCCCGCGATCAGTTTCCCGGTCGCGTTCTCGTTCGTGCTCTAGTGCGCAATCAGACCCCAAAGAAGAGAGCCACAACAAAAAGGGAGAACAAAAGCAACCGCCTGTCGGTGCTGGTGAATTCAGCTGCCGAAGTGGCATATGCGGACTCAGAGCCGGCGGCGCATCGTCCTCTTCCTCTTCCTCTTCTCTCTTCAACAAAGTCGAGAGCGTCAAGCACTGCGCTGCCACGCGAGAGCGCGAAGTGTGCCCGTGCGTCTGCTTTCTTTGCTGCTGCGGGTTCTCCCTTCTTCTCAGCTGCTTTGATAACAACCTTTCAAGCAAGCCGCCCGCCATGCCGTAGCTCGCGCTAGGTAATACGCCGAGCGCTGAAGCAACAGCCCCACGCAAGCGCCGCGCATGGTAAAGCGAGAGGCGAGGCTTCCTTCAACACATTCATCGAAGGAGTCCCGCGCTTGTTGCTGCCGTTCATGCGCCACCAGAGCACGCCGCCACCAGAGTCGGCACTTGGTTTTCGGGAATTGAAAGTCTTCGCATGTAGTCGGCCACGAGTTTCCGGTGCTCCCCGCCCGCGCTGAGGTCGCGCGCGGCTTGTGAGTAGCGACATGCTCAGCCCTACCATCCATACCATTCACCACGTCACACGATACTCGCACCCAGAAGTTTTCGCGCATGTGAGTGATGACATTATACGCGAGGCGTCCGATCTCCTCACGCGGGTACTCGCCAGCGGGGTCTTTGCGTCGCGCTACTTGGCGAATCAGCGCCAGAACATAAACCACGCGCGTACTACTGTCCCACCCTCCAAGCCTGGCACTTCTCGGCTCGGGTACAGGTGCCAACCCTGCAAGAAGAAGAATACACACGACGACGACACTCGCTCCGACCACCACCAAAGCAGCAGAAGCACCGACGCCGTTCAGATCAGGCGCACGACCTGACACAGGTCCACACGAATGACAAGGCCCCACTCTGCCCACCTCAAAGCCACCAGCTTCCCGCAAAGTTTGCGGCGCTTTCCCTCTCCAAGGTCCTGCTTCCTTCCCGCTTCCATTCTGGGCGCGATGGCTGCGCAAACGCTTTGGGCGCAGTTTCAGGAATTGGGCGCGATGGCTGAGCGAGTATCATGTCTGTGACACTGCGTCGCTTTGCAAGTAAACACCCGAGGCGGCGGCGTAGGCTGCCGAGGCGCTTCCTGACCGACCTGCCAAGGCACTGGCTCAGCGCAGTCTTGCCCGGTTCAGTCTCCCTGTGGGTCGCTGCTGCGTCTATCCTATGGCTGCACTGACGCGAGAGCGTCGAAGCCATAGATCCGACACGAGCCCACGCACCCGCGTCCCCTGTCCCTCATGGCGGCCGCGGAGGCCACGTCTCTGCACCCTCCAGACAACCCGGGCCAACGGTGGGCGCGCGCGCAGTGCGCAAGCCGTTGCCCCAGATATAGACGGCGGGCGCCTGCCTTTGCGAGTTGCTCCAAAAGCTCCAGCCAAGCCCTGTCGATGTTTTCAGTGAGGCGCCTGCACTTGTCTCAGTGAGCCCTCCGCCCCATCCACAGCGCGGCCGCGTCCCTCCTCTTCCAATAGAGAGCGCGGGCCGGTCCTTCGTGAGCGATTGCACACCCCATTACTTGGCTGGCCCTCCAAGGCTTTAGCTTTGAACACACTCAAACAGAAGAAACAACGGAGGCAAGCGCGCCCGTTTTACTCTTCCCCAGCCTATGCAGATGGCTTGCAGCTATGCCGCCCCGCCGCGGCACTATGGTCCCTGCCGTCACCAGCGTCGGCTGCTTCCCAGAGCTTGGGGCCCCCGCCAGTTGGGTCGGTCGATCCTGAAACGGGCGCCAAACACTAGCAGCCATCCAAAAGCGACCCCATCTCGGCTCACTCTGTATCAGGCACACGAAGAGCCGGGGACGGTGGAAGTGTACGCCACAAGCTGCGCCCTGGCCCCTGGTTCGTATCTGCTTGCGCTTGTCTCGCTGCGTTCTAAATTTTGGCCGGGCGCAGCGTCGCGCGTGGCTAGTAGCCTCGGCAGGGGCATGGTTCAAGTGCGCGAACGCGGTGCCATTCGCATCACTTTGCGGGGCGCCACATCAGCAAAGGTAAGGAGCTTGTTCCTTGGTAACATAGATATTCAAAATCATTTGAGATTGGGTGCATTGATCAAAGAAATATACCGCAGCCACAATGTCTTCTAGCGTCGGCACGTAGCTTGTGAGCTCGACGTCGACGAAAACAGGAACGAGGGAAAGTTGCTCTAGTGGCGCCAGCACTGTCGAGAAGGTACACGCAGGCGTGATTATTTCGCTGCCCTTCGGCAGCTCGCACATTGCAATTCCGATCAAATTCGCGCTGCTGCCGCTGTTTACCATAATTCCATACCGTTTACCGAAGTACGCTGTCACCCGGCGCTCAAACTCTTCGGTCCGAGGACCAGGCGCGAGCCATCCATCTCGAAGACATTTAGTGACCGCGGCGATCTCTTCCTCCCCATAAGCCTGAAATTTGAACGGCGCATACCAGCACTTCTTGCGACTCTGTAGAGACGGATGAGCGGCAATCGCTTCGCGCAACCCTGGAAGCTGAGCATCCTTAGCGGATATCTGCATTTCACTAGTTTCGATTGGCCAAGACACCCCAATCTCGGGATCAAGAGCGTTCACATTGATTTCTGTGGCGGAATCGTACTTGTCACCCTGAAAGTTTGGTGAAACAAATACGCATGACTGGTAAGATTTCTACTTTGTGATTAAGATGAGTTTCTGAATTGAGCAAGTCAGACTGCTCAGATCCTCTCTTGACATCTTGAAAATAACGAAGTAGTTATAGCTATAATACCTTGAAGTAGAGCGTCAGCGTGTTATCTTGCGTAGCCAGATAGGCATGTGCTACGCCGGATGGGAGAAACAGACTGCAACCCAATTCTGGTGACAGTTTCGTCGCTTGCCACGCGCCAAAAGTCGGACTCTCCGGTCTTAAATCCAGTAGAGCGTCGAACATTTCGCCAGCTAGACACGTAACAACCTTCGGAAACGGGGAGCAATGGAAACCGCGAAGTACGTTCTTGTGCGACAATGCGGTGCCTGATTCTAGAACGGCCATTTCCGTAGACAGGTTTACGTAGTTACCACGTGCATCATCAAACTTCGCAACCGGAAACGTGTAAACGCCTTGAATCGCTGCAGAGTAGCTACGACCAGCCCAACAAATGAAGAGAAAGAGAGGCGCGGGGGATGGGTGGAGGAACATCAAGCACTCTTTATTAGTCGAAAATGAGGTGTCTATGATATTGAAGATGGGTAGTAACTCTTACCTGTGTAGTAATACCACATGAAAAAGAACCAGAGTTGTGGCACATAGAAAACTACGAATACATGATGGAAATATATAATCTGGCTCTGGATGTTTCAATCATCTGCTTCATAACTTTGGCCCCGCTACTTGTCGCTCCTAGTTGCTGCAGAAAGGGTCCTGTCGCAGCACTGCGCGTTCCACGTGGCGTGTCTGCTCTAGACGCATCAAGCGCATCGTCTGCAGCTTTCTTCTGTGGTAATCCCATAACTCCCTTTTCTCCTGCTCCAGCTCCTGTCGTTGGAGCTTGCGTGATGGGAGACTCATCGTCCTGTTCCACAAGCATCTTTTTGGCGCCATTTCCTGCGTCTCCTCGAGCTCGTGACCCAGAAGGAAAGTAGGAATCTAAAATCTCACATGCTCGACTTTGACCAGAAGTTACAGAAGCTCCTTTCTGCACACCAGGGCCGACGCTTCCACCGTCAGAAGAGTCTAGAGGAACCGCAGCCGAGGACACCATCGCGGCCATAGGTTTGTTGATCCTCACTTTGAATTTTTTCTATATGATCAACTGGTGGCGTACGCCAAAATGACACTTCTTACGAAGAAATCCTGTAATCATAAATAAAATACCTTCTAGAAAGGTGATACTGACTAAGAACTGATGACACAACGCAAAGAGGGAACCACCAGCCTGAAGAATCGACTCTTCTTACGCAGAAGAGGAAATCAGTCTGTCACTCAACCTCACATGCAGCAACCTTACCATACTAGGTATGCCTAGTAACAATCTTTCTTCAACCCACTACCTCCTGGAAGAAGAGAGTTTGTCAATCACATAATTGAAGATAAGTATACTAGATAGTGAAAAAAGAAGGAGAGCATGCACGTGCAATTGCAGCAGTGATCTTGCTGCGATAGTATCTTCTATTCCAACTACTCCGCAGTTACGCAGGTCGTGCACGGAAGAACACTATACCTCACTCCTTGGAGCTTCTTTCTCTACCTCAACATTTCTCGTTCTCTCGGTACAAAAAGTTGCAACTCCAAACTACTCGGATATATACTATTATGACCCACCTGTTCCTATCAAGGAGGTTCATAGACTTCATACACTTTCCACAAGCGAACACAGAAATGGGATCGATAGACCAGTCCGATTCGACAGCCAGAAACTAAGTGGGAGTCTGCTTAATATTGTACTCGTCTCAATTCACTGTTTCAAAATTTTTCACCCCTCATCTTTGCGATTGCGTTCTTCTTTCTATTCTTGTTTATGCTCTACAAAACTTAGTGTACAAGAACATCGAGTAGATGAACATTAGGAATGTATGAACATGTTCATATGATGCGTGGTGATCCCTATGCATTCTCTATCCAATTTATATCTAGACTACATATTCTTGTCCCAAACGTCCCATGTTTTCCTTACGTCGTCTATCAATTCTATGTACATTCATATGAGATGTCTAATTTCTTACGAGGTCATGAAATAAATTTTTTCATCGTTACTTCTATTAAATCAGACTACAATTTTGTTATGGATTATACGAGCAACCAGCGTTGATTCTTCAGGTCTACAATCTCAATTTTCTTTTCACTCCTAAATCATCTGAATCTACTTATGCGTCATTTAAATGCTCATCTTCTACTTTTAAAAGTCGAAAATTCCACTCGGCATTTCGTACTGCACATCCACAGGGATCCTTTTGTCGTGCTTCGGTCCATATCCTGGCTTAAAGCGAAGGCCTGGTGGTGGCGACGCACTTGCTCTCGACGAGTTTCGTTTCATGCTTCTTGGTGACGAAGTAGAATTTGCAGTAGGTGACGTCACGTTTTTTGTTCCAGGCGTTGTGTTGAAGATGTTGTTCGCGGCGGATGCTGATGAGCCAAAAATCTCTCCCGAATTCAGTCCTCCCAGGTATCCCTCCATCAGAAGCGACTCACCCCCAAATACCATGTTGCCATTGGGTTCGCGGAGAGATCTACTGGCTCGTCCAGCTGTAGTTGGTAGGGTTAGGGACGACGGACTTCCACTACGTGAGTTTGACATCTCCGTTCTTGGTACGTTATGATTGTTCTTCTGCGAAGACATCATTGGACTCGAAGTCGTGTTTGGACCAACTGGAGGGCCACCTTTGCCTTGACCTCTATTAGTCCGAGTACCAAGCTGATTTGCCCCAGCTTTTGAGAGAGAAACTCCAGCTCCAGCAGCGGCACAGCCTTTCCATTGCTTGAAAGGGATGCGATCGGTCAAGCTTCCATCCACTTTACGTCGCAACTGAACAACGACCTCGAAAGGATGTTCTCGAATCAAGGTCTGCATAAACGATCGACTACGATTCACGCAACTCACACCGTTTGGATTTAGAGCAAAGCGTCACTACAAATTCTTGTCCACCTCTACAAGAACTGAGACGCCTAATATAAATTTCATAAGCCTATCTTCACATTGATCGAAAATAGAGGGCAAAGGAAGTAGTAGGAGTAGTTGTTATGGGACTACGATCATATTAAAATCGAAGCCATAAGATTTCGACGATGCGATCTCCCACTGAGATTTCCTGCCAACCGACCGGGTAACCAGGCGCAAATGCCTCCACCCGAGCTCCGTACTTGTCGTAGGCCAAGAAAAGATTTGAGAAATCGTTAGCCTGAGTGCCAGCAGTTGAGAGTCTCCGTGTTACAGGTAAGAACTCAAAGAAGAGAAAAGGAGATGGAGATGCGGATGCGGAAGTCGAGCTCGCGTTGGCTAGACTTCTCCAAAAGGTTTCAACATCGTTGCGGGAATGGCCTGTGAGTTCCATCGCATTTTCCGAGGATCCTAGACGCAATAATTAGAGGTAGGGTCCTGGCGTTTCTGTTCCCCGTTTGTTATGCTTTTTCCCCTTAGGAGAGTCAAAACAAACGGTAAGAGAAACACCCAAAACCGACCCTTAAAATAATTGCCATGCGCGCGCTCCAGGATAGGCCGCCATTGCCTGTATACTCGATCCGCAGACTTCTGCAAGCTTGTCGACGTTCTGCAACTGGCAAACGTAGCACTTTCCGCTACGCGACCATGCGAATCGTACGTTATCCTCCCACAATGCCCGTTTTGCGAGTGGCACCCGCACAACGAAAGTCCCGCTGGTGCTCGCTTTAGGCAACAACGGGCTAGAGCTCGTCGACGAAAGTGTTTGGATTGGCTGTGGCACCTGTGCGCGACCTTGCTGCAGGCTTTCTTCCTTCGACGACAATGTCCGTCCTACAGAGGGAGACTTCACAATGGTGTTAGTCGCTGCTGCCGAAGTAGCCGAAGGACCATTCATCGGATTGCTGGTCGAGGCTGAAAGCCGCTCACGGGCCACGCGTGAAATGCTATCGGTACGACTCAGAACAGACTGCAACTCAGTATTCCGGTGTACACTCTGCGAGACAGCAAGGCTATTCTCCTCATCCTCCACCAATTGTTCCAAATGCGACTTTCGCGAGGAAGCACGTTGTACGAGCGACGCGCCACGACTACTCTTCCGCGAAGACTTGCGAGACCGCGATGCCGATACTCGTGGTTGCACTTTATAATCGTCCTTCAACGTTTCGTCATCGCTCTCTTCATCTGTGGTCGTGTAGTACTCATACTCTTCCTCCTCTTCCTCTTCATCCGTGTAGAAGGACTCAGCGTCATCCATATGATCACCATAATGACGAACAGAGGACACTCCTGTACTACTCATTTTGCGAACAGAAGTGTCAGCCTCACTCTTCCCGCGCACTCCCGTGCTTTTTCTACTTGCGCGACTTTCATCACTTTGGCGCTGGTTATATTAAACGTCGACATTCATTGGTCACTGATGCTGAAAGAAAAGGGCCCTTTACCCCTCTGCTTGTTCTCCCTCTGTTTTCCCCTGTTCTCTGAAGGGAGCCCCTTCGATTTCAGTGACCAACCTCAGTGACCAATGAAAGCTGAGCCTTAACTATAATCCTTGTCTTCGTTTTCGATTTCGTATTCATCCTCATCTTCCGTGTAGAAGTAGTCCTCTTCTTCCTCCTCTTCTTCATCTGTGTAGAGGTCTTCTTCATCCGAGTAGAAGTCTTCATCCCGCGAATCTAATGCTGCGGTCGACTGTTCGGCAATCGATGATCCTCGCAGACTGGAAGCCAGACTTCCCTTTGATTTCCGAGCACTCAATGTGCTGACGACAGAGGCATTAGCCTCTAGTCCAGCAGAAGTGGAAGTCTGCTTCTCAACTTCTTCTATCTTTTGAACGGCGGAAGCGCGCGAAGTTGGAGATCTTCCCTGAGACGCTCGATGCGAAGACACGGAGGACACTTTGCGTACCATATGAATGATGTATTTTCCATCTAGCCAGACCATCGAGGCCCGCCTTCAGCTATACTGTTTTAAGGGGAAACAAGGGCAGCCTCGATGGTCGTCAGAAAGGAATATAAAAATCATCCATATACCACTGGACTGAAATTGACTGCGTGCTCTGTTTCCGTAGCAACCAGCTGCCTCGGCCGCTTACTTTTCTGCGATCGTCGCATTGAGATTTTCTTTTCTACAATCGCAGCAGCGGCCATGTCAGTGCTAGGATTTTCAGATGTTCTTCGAGAGGGTGGTGTTGAGGCAGCAATATCATTTTCCATGCTTTTCCTAGAAGCTGTAGATCTGGATGTGCGTGAAGAACTACGACTTAGCAAAGGAGAAGAATCGGTGCTCTTTGTTCTACTAGCAGCATGCGCGCTGCGCCGGCTGCTTGAACGAGACGGATTCTGGCCGTTGGACACTAGTTTTGTGATCGTGTTCCGCGAGCTCGTCCTCCTGGTCGGGCCACTGCTGCTGGAGACGCTGCTGGAACGAGGTCCTTTCTGCAGAAGTTGTGCCTTCTGAGACTTTCTATCACTTATGCGTCGTTCCTCGACTGGAGCACGAGACCAGCTGACGGTTTTCGACACGCTCATTGGCGATTCGGTCGGGCTCTGGCTGGCCGCAGTAGCACCAGCAGGCCCAAAGTTGCTGTAAACAACTGCGCTACTGCGCGAAGCTGTTGAATTTTCTAGACCGACGTCCGTATTGGCATTCTGTTCGGGTGCCAGGGGCGGGTAGGTATCGCGACGCGACCCCATGCGTGGTTGACCGCTTCCAAGGGTGAGGCTTGATGTAAAACCACCAGACTCATCGGCCTCTAAATGACTCTTTACTCGCCCCTTTTTAGTCTCCTCGGGTACAATAACCAAACTGCTTCGCGCACTGTTCTGCTCTTTAGACGAAGTTTGTGTCGAAGACCACAGGCGGGACACACTGGCTCTTTCTGCTTTAGAAGATTGTAAGCTGCGCACCGATTGGCGCGACGCCGTAGAGGCACGGGAGGCAGCCGCACTCAGTCGCTTAGCACTCGAGCTCTTTCTCCCGTTGACAGAGCGAAGACGAGTTGAAGACCGAGACTCGCGCATTCCTTTGCCACCACGACTTTTGACGTCTACTTCACTTGGCTGCTGCTCATTGGCTGTTATAGATGTGCTCCGACTTCTGCTCGAAGATGAACCCGACGACTTCGCACGCAAAAGACCCGATTCTTCTCTACTCTTGTTCACGCTTTTCCTAGAAGCACGACTCGAAGATGCTCCATTCTTCCTTTTCCGCGCATCTTCACCCAATTCCAAAGAGATCAAATCAATTTTCGTGGAATCATCTTCAACTTCATCTGATACATCTCCATTGCTATCCTTACCACTGAACTCGGAGCTCCGCACACTGGGTCGAAACGGAAACGAGTGCCTTACTGACGATCTCCCATGCTTCGGCGTCGGAGTTCCGGTTCTTTGGAGGTCAACATATGCCTTGGACATGGTACTCGGTTCACCCGTACTAGTTCTAGGGGCAGTGCTATGGCTCTTCTGTACTTGCAGGTCCGGTGGTGCTGTCCTTCGCGATACTGCATGATTACTTTTTCGACTTTTTACAGTGGATGATCTTTTACTCATACGAGACAGAGTCGTTGGGCTCTGTGAATTGCTTGTTGAACGATTCTTCCTCGACGTCACACCCACAGGAGAAACACCATTTGCGACGATATTCGTGTTGCTACTTTCTGTAGAGGCATTTGGATGGACATCTTCACTCGCAGATGTCTTCATGGACCGCAGAGACTTTCGGCTGCTTCTCCTGCGGTGCCCACTCATCTGTTTGGCAGACGACACACGCGACGTCGACTTAGACTTATCATTAGTACCATGACTTGCCGGCTCCTTCCCTGCAAAAGAAAGACGTGAAGAACTTGCGTTGTGAGACTTTCTCACAGTACAATCACCCCTGGGACCATCCACGTTATTGGAGGCTTCGGCAACATCTGCATTCGTCTTCGTCGGACTCGAAGTTTTTATTACGCGGTATTGTCCTGGACTTTCGGGATCCCGAGCAAGAAAGACCTCAGCCAAACGCTGATCTGTCACTTGCAGACCCACGTTTTCCACCACCACATCAAACTGACCAAGCACCGATAAGCGCTCTGGGTACTGAAAGGCGGCAAACGACATCTTGTTTGTAAGGGTTCAGGTACGAAACCAGAACAATAGCGTCGAACAACAATTTAATAGAGATCACAGTTCTACTCTAAAAACTCCACCACCTCCATGGATTTTCAATACTCAAATGGCCAATGCCGTTAAACAAACTTCACATTGGTCACGGGGAAGAGAATGGGATACTTGAAAAGATGCTGGAATCAATGATTTATCATCGTCTCAAACAAAACTTAAGTTCTCACTTTTCACGAAGTTGCATAGATACATTGATGGGCCATTTTTCTAATCCTTTCGTTTCTGTGTAAGTATGCAAAAAAAGACGCTCAGACTGACCATGCATGCCAAGAAAAGAGACTGAAAACAAAAAAGAAACATATCCTCGCCACTCCAGAAATAAAAAGAAACAGTGATAAACCGATCCTGACCGACACATCTTTCAAACAGTAACAGATGAGATGTTTTCCACATACTTATTGTAAGAGCTTCTAATGAACCAATCATCAGGACAGAGCAAACTGAGTCCCCTTTCTGAGCAATTAGTTGTAGCGTGTAGCTCAGGAGTCATCAACTAGATCTTGACGTAGAGAATGACGTATTGCTCCAAACAGAGGGAAAGTCAAAAAAAAGCAGGTCCAAACAATGTTGACATATCTTCTGCGTAAACGCAAACCCATGCTTGATAGCAGGTGTTGCGAGACCTTTTTTCGCGTCTTAATCGTCTGTTGATGCTCGTGTTCTTGTGGTTCTAACTTCGAAAATGACATCATCGTACCACATCTCCAAAATCTCTCAAAAATACAAATTTTTATTGACCAGTTTCATGAGATTGCATTTGGTACAACGAATAGTACGCCAAATATTGATAAGTTATAGGATGTAGGATGGACTTGGATGGATCGGATGGACCCCCCTGATTCTTCCGGTCCCACTTGAAATGGTGGGAAGTCCATCCGTTTGATCCCATCCCGGATCTGGCAGCGCTATAAACTGCTCTAATAGCAGTATTCGACATTCATTCCCTTCCCTCTCCCACACGAACTATGTGTAATTCCTTACAACAACATCAATCCGCTGTCGGCACATAGGACAGCGACCGTCACGTCGCATCGTCTCCATAGCGCATTGGTAGCAACAGACGATGTGAGCGGTCGAGCCGTGAATGAAGCTCGCATTCCTAGGCTTCTCTTGACACACTATGCACAGCTCCTGTTCGCTCAATGGTTGTCTTGGAGGTGATGCTGCGAGGGAGGGGGGACGAGGATCTGACGAGCCATCTGGTTGCCCAGGTTCAGGTGCAGTTGTAGAGGTTGAAGACGACGAAGCGGTAGCTCCTGCGGATCCTCCTGGAGCCTGCGGTTCCGGAGGTTCTTCATGCACTATATTATGCCTCGTTCTCGAAGACCTGCCAGGGTCTTGCGCTGACGTCGACGCAACTCGCATTGCGCGCGATGGCGCATTATTCACGCGTCTGCCTCTGGTCGTCGGATGATCATCGGACGATGACGACATCGCAGTGCTGCTCTCGTCATCTGCTCCACCGCCTCCCAAAGAAGGCACACCTGTCATTTCCGCCAGTGCGCCCATCACTGCGCCGGTCAGCGCCTCTATCTGGCGCAAACGACTACGACGCCGCGTTCCTCCAGCTGGCTGCACGTCAGGCGAAGGCGGCTCGTCCGTTGTACCTTCATGATCTCCACCTCCTGCAGTCGAAGACGCACGCCGCCGAGTCGGACCCCCGATAGGCACACGTGCTGCAGCAATCGCAACCGAACTTGACGAATCTTCTCCGCCAGTAGAACCATCTAAGTTCTCAATCCCACGACCTGCCCGATAAGCAGCTAGATCAGCTGCTATCTCTGGGTCCATGCCAGAAATAATGCCAGCAATGGAAGACTGTGGATGCGTGTCGTCGTCACTGCTCTCCACGCCTTCGATGAAGCCTTGCAAACTGCTTTCGTTAGCCTGAATCTGCCTCAAGGCTTCAACTTGCTGCTGCAGAAAAGCCTCATCGTCTATGTGCAACGCACCCATGGCTGCGCGAAGCTGCAAGTGCAAATATAAGAGGAGTTTTTTACACATTCATAGGCTTATATAAAAAGAAGAAACTAATATTAAACATGTTGCGATTCTAAGTACACACACTCACGGCAAGAGCAATCTTAAATGACAGTTCCGCTTTCTTCTAAGTACTAAAAGTCTAAGAAGTTGTACATCCGCCACTTCAACTAGCTCCCGGCGCACGGCTCTTTGCAAAGCCCGTTCCTGTCTCTCCATTTCAGCCGCGATCGCTGCACCGCGTTCTGTCGGAACCAGTGCTAGGACGTCATCAGCGGCTGCTGCTGTTGTCTCTAGTATCCTTTGCGGCGCTGTTCCAGTAGGCTGAGATTGTTCGTTTGTCGATGAGGTTGAGGATTGTGGCGGCGCCGGTGGCGGAGCCGCAGATGCGGGTTGTGGTGGAGGGTTAGCCGTGGGTTCTTCTTGTGAAGCCGGACCAGTAGTTGTGGGAGTAGTTGTGGCAGCTCTTGGGATTGCAGGACGAGCAACTGCGTCGGCTACACCGCTGGAGGTGGAAACGGCATTTGGCAAAGAACCAAGGACATCAGATCTGCTAGACGCTGTCGACAACGTGCGTCTCGGTTGTGCCGCACTGCCCATTGGCGTGCCCAAGGGCGACTCGACCACACCACGGATGGCCTCGACAAAGGCGGGGACGTCGTCTTGGTTGCGCGGTAAGTTTACACCAAAACGCTCGAAAAACTGCTGCCGTGTTTCTTCTACTCTGGTACTGGTCGTTGGAGCGCGAGAAGATGTTGTTCCTCCTCCAGCTGCTCGAGAGGAGGTACCAGAGCTAGAAGAGGCGCCATTCGTCGGCGCCCTACTACTAGTGGTTGCAGAGGTTGGTGCACGTCTCGCCCCCCGCTCTGTAGTAGAAGGAGCACGCAGTGGCACGTCACTGTCAGAGCCATCCTCTACTTCCTCGTTCCGCGGCTGATTTGACATCGTAGTGATTGTTGTTCGACTTGGGAATTACTGGAGCGAATTCAGGTGCTACCTAAAAATTGCACAAAAAGTATCTACCTACAGCCTACTTCATCTGACACTAAATTAGTACTATAATTCCAGAACATACAAGCTTCTATATTTACATCCGAATCATACACATACAAATTTAGTCTAACACGTGGTGCGACAGATGAAAACATTTGTAACCACCGTAAAAGCGAACTTCGGGGAGCGCGCAACCATGATCAGTATCAATCTATCCGGGTGAGGGAAAACAGGGGAAAATAGCAACATCGCTGTGACTGAGGTATAGTGCTATTGTTAATACAACATTTCTGGACCGATATTTTGAACAGCAACAGAGACAGACGCGATTCCATGAGTGATGACGCAACAGGTTTACCCAGAAGCACCTAGAAGGTCTATACCTACGTAGATAAAGCAGAGGTAGCTAATAGAACTACGAGAATAATACCGAGGACACCGAATGCTCGACATTATCATATTAAGCATAAGTACAACTCGTGTGTGAATCATTCAACTTGTCTTGTTGTACAACTCCACCTATATTCGAACACAAAATTCAACACTATAAGCGGTACTTGTTTCAACTTAGCAAAGCAGACATTTCGCAAACATACGATCTGCACATGTTCGAAGTAGCTAGAGCTAGACGTTTCGCAAACATACAATACCACAATCGGCGCAAAAAAATATAGTTCAAAAAAACACGAATTCTGCTCATAGCGACTATTCAAGAAAGTGTTCAAGTTAAATGTGAGTACGGTGCGTGTTCAAGTTAAATAATAACAATCCAAGCGAGACAGCAAGACAGACAAAGATTTAAGTGAGTCAAACAAGAAAAAGAAGAAGAAGTGTACCTATGATGTGTAAGTAAAAATACACTGTGTCTGTGTATCAAAATGCAATATTGAGTGATGTCTAACTACTTAAGTAAGTGAGAGTCCATAATCTGAAGCCATTTAGCCTTCCGCACCGGTCTCGAGAAACCACACTTTGCATTCCTCGACAAACTGGAATATCGTTTTCGCAACTTCCTGGTCGTCTGGATTCTTGTCCGGGTGCCATTGGAAATGCAGCTTTTTCAAAGCTTTCTTTCGCTCTTCTGCGGATGTCTTGTTGTGCACCATCATCTCCATCTCTTTCAGGATACCTGTCAGGTTGAGAATTATTTTAAGAGACCATCATTTCCATCTCTTTCAGGACACCATAAAATTTCAAAATTGAAATTTCAAGAGGAAGTACCTATCTTATGCTACTGATAGCTATGTTGGTGTTCCATGATCTTAGAGACAAAGAATCATTGGTATCTTCAGACTTAGTGACGTTGAGGTTAGCAATCTTGAGGGGACCGCGATTGGACATCTCGATGAAGCCCGGTTTCAACTCAAGGTAGGAAGCGGTGATCACACATTGTACCTGCTTTCATCAAATAGACCGCGCGATCCTCGAATCTGGCGTCTAATTCCGGTTTCGCTCTCGGGTCGCGACGACCTGGCACCTGTTCCTGCTTTGCTTTCTCCTTCGAGTCTGGAGACGTCCCTGCCACACCTGGCTTACCCTTGCTTTTGCTGCTTCCGCGACTGGAGTTAGACGTGTAAGTAGGTGGTCTGTGCCCCCTGGCAAAGAAACTAATGTCTGATCAATGGCAACGTGAACTACTACCTAGCCATATTCTTCAAAATGAAAATTGAATGCGAAAAATCTTTATTCGGGTAGAAGCAATTATAATTAGGACGTAGTAGAAGCCATAATTTTACTGCCAGCTCTCTGTTGGCTTTGGTAGTTCTGCGCAGCTTGAAAATCGTGCTGGGAACCAGCGCGCTGTTGACCGTACCATTGCTGGTATTGTTTGTACCATTCTGCCCATTCCTGTTGCTGCTTCTGCTGTTGCGCTTCATGTTCTCGCAAATTCTGAAACGGATCCGCCTGCTTCTGCTGTTGCTTTTATTAGAAGATGAGAAATGGAGGGCCTCTTGATATGATTGTTGCCCAAAGAAAGAGTTTTCCTCGCATTATTTTGCTCAAATAATCTTGCTTCTAGTTCAGCATTCACCGGAAAGACTACTGAAATCTTATCGAAAAAGAAAAGTCATGTTAGAAAAAAAAAGCATTTGCAGATTATGCCAATTCAGTCCTTAATGCTGTTGTTGCTGTTGCTGTGTCGCTGCTTGCTTCGCATAGTACGCGTCCTCATATGCTTTCTTGTTGGCATACCCGTATTGCTGATAGTAGGCATCCTCTTCCTTCTGGCGCTGGTCCTCCACGTTTTGATCCTGTGCGCAGTTCGTGTAGTCCACGGCAGCCCCTGGCGGCAATTCCCATACCGACTCCTGCGTCTTGTCGTTGTAGTAGAAGACATGCCCATCTTCTGTGGAGTAAGGAACCCACTTGCCTGCTGTTGCTGGTGCTTGCTGTTGTTCTTGCTGGTGCTGCTCGTACTGCTGCTGACGCTGCTGCCGTTCTTGCTCGTCGAACCTGAAGATCATCGGGATAATTATATCGCAGTAGACATAATACAACATTTAAGCATCCGAACGAATGACTATGTTGAGTTCGAGATGAGAATGCCCATACAAGAACCCACAACTTCAGCGACATATTGAAGGTGACAACTGCTCAGAGACAATGAGGAAAGTACTTGGCTTGATCTGTTTGCATTCGTTGTACACTCGGCAAACCGCCCAAACTATTTTTGCGCTCTGCCCTTTGCTTTTGCTGCTCGGCTTGAGCCGCCGCTGCCTGCCTTTGCTGCTCCTCCTGTGCCCTCCGTCTCTGCGCCTCCTCCGCTTGCTCTTGTTGTCGTTGCCGCTGCTGCTCTTCTTCTTGCTTTCTTTTCTGCTCCTGCGCCTGATCATAAGCTCCTGCACGTTCTTTGGAACCAACTGCAGTTGTCGGATAGTTCATCTCCGCCTGCGATGCCCGACGCTGCGCCTCCTCATACCTGTTGTACGACTCTAAAATCTTATTAGATGATCAGGACGAGCATTGTATTGCATTGGTCACAACTCGATTGAGATTGTATTAGACTGGTCACAAAAGAAGAAGCTTCAGGGTCCGATTCTCAATCACGCGCTTCATCTTAGACCTCATCTACCTACAACACATGCTTAGAAGTTGTACAAGAAGAAGACAAGAGCATGTCATTTACGTACCTCGTCTGATCAGACATGTCATTCGGTTACCTCGCTGATCACGTCATCAATAAAGTACCTCTGCTGATCGCTCTGTATTTTTTCCATACTAGGTAATCCGCCAAAGGGAACTGCGGCAGGCTGTGTCGGAGTTCCGGAGACGACTCCCGTCTTGTTGTATTGAACTGTCCCTCGACCTGCCGCTTCTTTCGAACCAACTGCGCCACCTGGATACTCCCTTTCTTCGCTTCCCGCGTTGCTCGGCCGTCGTCTACTCTCCAGATCTGAACTTAGAGCATCATTTAACTTCAGGACCTACGACCCATCTAAAGGTTATTTTTGTGCTAACTTAGCATCATGTATAACTTAAGGAACTACGACCCATCTAAAGGTTATTTTTGTGCTAGTGTTCTTATAAACCACAGCAATTACTAATAGATGGAACAGGTACACGTAGATTAGTGAAAAGAGAGTTCTTATAAGTAATAGATATCTTTTATACATTTTTAGAAGAACTATTCCTGTGCTAGTGTTCTTATAATAGGTATCTTTTATACAGTAGAAGAACTATTCTCGGTTCCCAGGCCCTAACGGAACATGAAATGTTTCCCGTGCTACATGCGCTTGCGGATAACTGCTTGCGCCAGGCGGTTGAGCCGTATCCCCACCTGGCGAAGAGGCCCCACCCGGTGCCCATTTTTTGATGGTGTGTAGACTAGGCATGCCTGCCGGTCCCATACCTGGTTGCCATTTTGGTCGCGCAGATATTGGTCTTGGAATACTGCCTCCTGCAAGTCCACGAGTCCTTGTCATGTTCAGTGCGTCACCACCACCTCCCGCACCGGAGCCCGGAATCAGCAATCCTGCGGGCACACCGATTCCAACGGCCTCGCCTCGACCTGTGGGCCCAGCCAAAAAGGAACCCATGCTTTCAGGAGGCAAGCCAAGACCCTGGTTGTCGCCGCCATGCTCTTAGAAGGCACACCTGACTGTAAGTATTTCGATGAGGTTTGTAAACTACTTGGAACCAAAAACTGCTACACCCTCCATGCACCGTCCCCGTACTAGTGTGCGTTTCACATTTATTTTTACATGCCATCAATTATTATTACATGTCCAGAATTTGAACAATCAGATGAACATGGTAAATTTCAGGCTTCATTTTTCATTTATGCCAGTCATAAGAGGAACAACCATTAGTATTTTTGTTGATCTCGACAAGAAGCATCAAATAGAAATAGTCAGTCATAAGATTGATTTCCTTGCAAGTTTTCGACCTCCAGTTGCTTAAAAACGCGTTCTAGTTCCTCGTGATTGCGCTGTAACTCGTATGTCGCGGAAGCCAGACCCTCCTCAGCCAGTGCTATCTTTGACTCCAAGTGGTCTATCCCGCGCATCTTTGCCCTCGTTAGACCTTGCAAAAATCTATCTTACTGAGAATCCTGCGTCCTGTTTTCTCTTCAAAACGGGAAGAAGATGCTGGGGAAGATGGATTTTCTCAAGCCTTAGCCTCACTTGTCCAGCCTGAACTGGTGAGAGAGCTTTCAATTTCGAAGCCTCTGTCCCGACAGTTTGGTCGCCTCCATAGCACGCTTGGACTAGGTGTTAGAAAACGACAAGAAGTCACTTCTCTTATCACTACTTAACTATAATGTCGCCCACTACAGCTTCTACTCGTGCAAACAAGCCGAACGACGTCGACTAAAAAAATGGAAATTTAACTGTTTTGTTTGTGTTTTTACAACCAAAATCCAACATTTCCTCTTACATTTCCTTTACGGCATCATTTCTCCAACATTTCCTTTTAATACAACCATCACCCACCGAAGTAACTTAGATAGGACATAATCAAAGTAAGGCGGGTCTTCATTCCAGTGTATTTGGACAACGGTGCAGAGCTTGCCCTTTCGAATGACGAATTCGTCCACGTGGAATTCGTAGGTGTCACCAGGCACACCGTTCGGCTCAATCTTCAAGACTGAATGTTAGAAGAGTGTGCTGCTGTGCTGGGTGAGTGTGCTGGGGTCCTCCATCTCGGTGCAGTTCTTCCCTTCATTTCAGTAGCCTTGTTGTTTTTCTTGCTTCCCTTGAGTATTCTTCTATCGATATCGAAACACCAAGGAAGGATAGAAGTACCAAGAAGATGATGCTGAATTCAATCCAGAAATTAGAATTAGAAGATTTCTGGCTTGATTTCAAAGGCCATGGCCCCAGAAGATCTAGGGGCCTGGAAGACAGCAGTGCATTAAATCCTCTAACCATAAAACTGATCCAACTCGTGAATTTGCGCGTATTTCTGTTGCTCGAACGTTTCCAAATCGTTCTCGCACTTCTCCAGTTGTGCTGACGCTTCTTCCACTACGAGGTATGAAAAAGGCAGACCAAGAAAAGGGCGCCGGGTCCCAAAAGAGTAGAAGATCCTCCTCGAGCAGCACAACATCATACAGGACAGGAACACAGGACAAGAATACAAGACAGGAGTACAGGACAGGAGTAGCAGAAACCTCGAGCGAGGCCCTAGGGGTCTAGTATTGTTAGTCATATTATTTGTACTTAATATCATCTACTTCTGCGTACTTCTACAGCAGGTAAAACTGAATCGCTTCGATACGTTCTTGGCAGTGATATTTCTAACTTCCAAGTGTTGATGTAGCAGTAGCAGCTATAACCATTCATGCTATAACCATGCATATCTTCTTCAGCTCAAGCAATTGCGCAGGGTTCGTGCTTGGCGCGGCCGTCCCTGCTCCTCCCATCGCAGTGGTGGAAGTTCGACCAGCTGCGCCAGAACCTTGTCCTCCAGCATCTTGGCGTTGCTGTTGTCGGATTTTAGACTCACGCATTATCTGCTCCCACACTCGACTTGCCGCGTCCACTAGAGTGTTCTCGAAGTTGCCAACTTGTAGCTTCTCGTGTTTTGTCACCAACTCATCTTGCAGCTGCAATGTGTTGCTACCTGTGCTGCGACCGACGATGCCGAACTCTCCGGATTTTAGAGCAGGTGGAGTACACAAGCACAAACACTCTAAAAGAAGTAAATCATGTAATACGAGAAGGTTACACTGCTAAGCTCTGCTCATAATCTGCTTCCCCCTGGTATGGAAAACTGACTTGCCGATCCAGCTCCACTGTTCTCCAATGCTACGAGTCCTGCACCCGGTCGCTTCCCAAACATTCCTCCTGCCTTGTTAGAGGTGGTAGCTCACATTGATACTGCACTGTACTAGTACTAGAGTCAGAATCTAACTCCCCGCCAACTACAACGATCACAATAAGTCGAGTTTCAACATCAAGATCAACCTGGCACTTCACATAATTTTTTCGGTCCGCTGTCTGTCTGCCAGCAGCTGCTGCTGTGCTCGCCTCCGCCGCTCTTCATCCTCCCGCTCCTTGCGCTTTTGGTCCCGCTGCTGCGCTCCGATATATTCCGAAGGTACTACCTCGTCATGCTCCATAATGTTGAAGATACCTCGCTCCGCCTGACGCAGAGCGGCCTCCGCGGCCCCCTCGGGTTTCGCAGGCGCAGCTGCTTCCTCCTGCAACAGCGCAGGGTCACGGTCTTAGAGGAGATAAGCCCCATGCTGAGTCGCAGTGAGGCAATTTGATCTACTTACAGAGTACTTACAGCATTTTCCTTCTTTCCAACAACAATTGACATTATATGCGCGAAAAGTAAAAATCTTGATCTGGTCTGTCATGTTCGCACTCGCAGTGTGCCCCGTGCCATACTAGTGCCAGTACTCATTCGTTTCCGGATCCAGGTAGGGTTCACCCGTCTCCACGTGATAGTAATACCCATTTTCTTCGTTGTAGTAGTGGCTATCGTCGGGAGGCGGCGGGGCCGAAGCTGCCGCCAAGTACTTGCGGTGGCTGCCGGTCGTAGAATCCAGGCTGCTTTGAGCCCGACTTCGCGCTTGACTGCTGGTACCGAGGTCGGCAAAAGATGAAGAAGATACATCTGTTACATCACGCGAACACGGCACCAACACGAAGAACTAGAATGCATCTACTAAAGGGATCAAATTTGAGCTGAAACAATCATATCCATGCTATTTAGTCAGAGATTACACCGAATGGTACTGATCTTATTCTTACGGAATCCTTGGCTTTTACCGCGGCTGATTTTAATCTTACGGAATTTTTAGGAACAAGTACTACAACATTTGGCTCGCTTCATAAATTAAATTCTGCACCTGCAGGAGCTGCGCCATCGACCTCCTCAGCCTGGGAAAGGCGCTGCCGCTCTTTCTCTGTTGCTTCGACACGTTTTTTTTCCGCTTCCGCAATGTCCTTTTTCCGCTTGTCCTCTGCCTCCTCCTGCTTGCGTCGCGCGTCATTCTCCTTCGGATTAGCACAGATGCGCCATCGTCTCTCTCTAGATTCAAATCACCTCAAACTCGATCTGTATCACGATAATTAAGTAGCAAGTTAAGTAAAAATACCACAAGAACGAGCATTTTTAGTGCCCCTCGTAATCTTGATGGTTTTCAGATCTTTCGGCTTGCGCCATTGTTGGTGGGTTTCTTTCGGTTTCTCCTTCCCGCCCTTAGCTCCACGTGAAAGCAGCGTGCCCGCCGAACTCCCCATTAGCGGTATGCCACCAGCTCATTCGCACAGCCGGCTTCCTCCACCAGCCTTGTATCGTTCTCTCTGGGCCGCTAGAACTCGTTGGTAGCATGAATATCGGTGCTACATGATCTTGTAGTTGTCTTTTGCCGTGTCAGTGGATGTGGCATGTTGGTTTTTTTGACGTGATTTACGGTATTGCACGTTTTCGTTTACTTACGATTGTTTTTGGAATGCAGCGTTGGAGATAGATAATTCATATAAATATGAATTGTCTCGAGAAAATATCCTGTATTTTTCTTGAACAGGCAGCTTTTGCTATTTTCCTTATAAAAAGGTCCCCGACGTTCTTCGTCCTATTATTTTTCATTGGAAGGTGGAATGGCATATCTTGTATATTCTGTCGTCATTTTGTCTCTCGGAATCGCTCATCCAGATATACAAGGTATTCGGCGTCCTGCAGAAAAAAGGCTAAAGATTTGATCTCTGCCGTGCACACGTGTAAAAAAAGCCTTCTGCGTTTCACGCTCCGGAGACCGCAACACCCGTTCGTCGTGCTTCATTCAGCAAACAATGTCTGTCACCTATCTTTGAAAAACCTCACAATTTGCGCGATACAAAATATCTCAATCATCTTATGAGTCATGGCGTGCTTTCAACCAATGTTGTTCTTTCAACCAATGTTGCCCAGTTCTGGTTCTGGGCACGACAGCGTTCAAATCGCGGCTCTGTGAAGCTGACTGCAAAATCTTCCTGTCTCAATGCCGCACGTAAGTACTCATATTGGGAATTCGTTCGCGTTTCTAGCGGCAAGACGTATACCTTCGGCAGTCGCCTTGCAAATTCTTCCGTCAGCTGCACAAACGGGAGCTCGGTCAGATCCATGCTTTTCTCTCGTGAGGCAACCGAAAACTGCAACTCAACGCACTGGAGACCAGGATACACACTGAGGATTGCATTCACCACATCCACCGCAGTATGCCCTGACCAACTGGGCTCCTCGAAATGGCCATCGCCAAAAATGATACGTAAAAAACGTAAACTCTTCGGAAATCTAAAGGGGTTCTCATCTATGTCCTGCGCCTTCGAAGATCTGCTAGGAGTTTGGCTGGTCGCCTTCCTTGACCCTTGTTCTTGTATTTGTTGCTGAATGTTTTTAGGGCCTTCAGCAAGCACATCGGCGCGTCTTCTACCCCTAGTTGTGCCATCAGCTGCAAGATCAGAAGAAGAAGCCGCCGCCTCTTGCTTCCCACCTTTCTTTTTATCTAGCATAGCGACTCGTCGTCGGAAAAAGGAAAACGGTACCCCCATGCGATACCCGCGACCTGCAACCTCACAATGAAGCATTAGTGGTCCCAAGGATTCTAGCGTCGTCGGAATGCATCGCGGGTTGATCTCATGCATTTGGAACGCGCGAGTAGTTCCCAAGTCAAGATACCGAATTTGAGGGGGCAAAAGACTAAAAAACGCCGATAAAATATCTACACTTTCAAAATCCTTTCTAGATGAAAACGATGAAGCAGCACCTCCTGGTGAGCAGTCTGCGGTATGTTCATGAATCGTGGGAGCGGGCGTTCTTGTTCCCCCAACAGCCGGCTTTTTTGTCTTCTCTTGCCATGACTCGCGGCTTTCGAGCCTTCCCCTCTGCCTCGACGGTCTTTCTCCTCCTTCTTCTCGTTCTTGGTCTTCACGCGATAATTCGTTTTCGAAAAAAATGTCGTCGCCCATGCAAGATGAGCCACTCCGACTTCGCTGCCGTATTTCTTCGTGAGCCTCTTCCACTATTTCTCTTGCAGAGGGTGGCAGAGAACTTCTGGTCTCCTGTGGAAATACGTTTGTACTTTTCATCCCGTAGAGGACTTTTAGACGGCCTTGTTTCTCTTGAGCAACGAACCGCTCGTCTGGGTCCAGCAGAGACTCCTTTATGACCAAGGTCTCTAACCGACAGCTGCCGTTCGTGTCTTCAGCAGCAACCTCCCCATCGAAATGGTCGTTGAGAACCAGGTTCGGTAATAGCGCCACCTCTTCGCTGGTCTCGATACTGAGGATTGATAAGTACCGCGGATTAAGATGCGCGAGCTTGTCTACGTATAGCTTGATGTTGGGAACGTTCGCAACAGCGTGTGTGCGCATACGATCTCCAAGCCTCGAAATGAGGAGACCCGGTAGCTCCGGTCGGAAAAAGTCATTCCGAAGCTCAAATACATGTCCTGACTCAGTCGTCACCTCCGCGTGATAGCGCCGATGTGCTATACAGGGCACAGTTGTGCCACTTCTTTCGGCCCCTTCGTCTCCCACACAGCCAGGCTCTGTCTTCTTTCGGTCTCCTCGTTCACCACCATCCTGGTCATCCTGTGGGAGTAACTCTATCGCTTCAACAATGTCGCTGTCGATTGAGCACTCGACCTGTAGTAGTTGATAACAAGTAGCTAGAACATGACCGTCGTCCGAGTGCTGATAGACTCGATGAGGGATACTTGACTGGTCCTCTCGTCGTGCATGATGAAAACAACAACCCAGAACCAGATGAGGGAAATTCTGTGTTTGTCACTTCTTCTCTGTCAAATGAGCCGGAGAAATGCGACCGTACTAGTCCAAAAATATCGTAGGTACCCAGATCCGTCCTCCGCTGTCCAAACTTTGCCGCATAAAATTTGCTTCTGAGTTCATAGTAACCGGGTCGTCGTTCTTCATGTCTTCAATGCGTATGTGTCTAGGCTAGTATGGATGTACTTTGTTCCATCTTTCACAGTTTACCATCTAGCAATCTAGGCTGGCCCTGTCATCGTTCTCCCTTGTACTTAAGTAACAGATTGGCTCCTTAAATATTGTGTGCGCGGACCACTGGAATGAAGTCATGACTCATGAAGTAGACCATCTACCATGGCAATTAACTCTTCGCATATTGAGGGAAAAATCAGAGGCGCCTTCTAGAAGATGCTTTAATAAAAAGATGGAAACAAACTCCGTTCATAATCCGATTCTATCTGTCCCGTCGGGTTGCGCCATTAGGGATAAAAGTTCGTCATCCAGTGGGAAAACCCGGTGTTGTGAATATCCGCATTCGTCTACATTGTGCGTAAACAGGACCATTTCCACGTGGCGTATGTGGCTGGGTAATAGGTCGTCCAGGAACCTTCGCGACGTCTGAGCGAGACGGAGGATATCTGCTAAAGTCAGGTACCGCAAAATGCAGAACCAGACGTCGTGACTCGGAGTGTCCAACAGCCGATGAAGTGGTCGCGACATTTTCTTTGTGCTAATTGACGGAAATCTTTCGTTTCTGAAGTCAGAATTTCTAGCGAGATGGTAAAAAAAAGCGATAATTGATTCTGTAATAAATGTTCATACTAGAGTTCTATTCTAAGAACAATTATCGACCCTGACTAAAAGGAGCTAGAAAAGGGAATCACGAAAAATGTCGTCTAATACAAGCACGGAGTTTCTCGTCCATGAGGACAGATTTACGACTATGATCTGCTCTAAGTTGGCGGGTACGGATTTTCGTTTTGGGACAATAAAATGTGTTTTTTCCACGCATCCAACAGAATCTTCTTTCACCACGTAATTCTGAAGATCCCAAGTAGCACCTAGATCGACAACAGGATCAAATACTATTGCTCTCAGCAGTAGCAGCACAGCAGATCCTGCAAAAGAGCAAGGGGCAAACTTCAGTCAGAAGACTGTCTTCGTTTTCACACGTTGTCATCAAGCCTTGCTAAACGCGTACTTGTTCGCGGAGAGTGGTTGAGATTTTCAGAGACCGACATCCATCAGCTCACAGAATAGATCAAGAAACCGAAAGGAGGACAAGATTATACCGCTACACCCCACAACCGAAGCGAAACAATATCAACGGAGAGGACGGACCATCTTAATAACTGAGAGGGAAATGGTCTTAAAGTACCACAATCTTGTCGGTTTGAAAGCAGAACAGAGAGATCCCTCGCCTATAGTACGTGGCTGCTCCTTGATTTTCAAATTGCAAAGATTGCCGAGCATACTTCCTATGCCATCATCTAAGCTGTTCTTTATCGTTGCCTTTACCGTGCTAGTCCTGCACTAAAGCTGACCCCACGACTTAAATCTCGTTCACCGTGCTGCACACAAATCCAGACTCATGTCTCTCAAAAAGCGATGAAATCTAGATATAGATGGCTAAAAATTAGAATATTAAGTGAATGAGATTGTTCATTCAAAAATTTCAAATCTTTGATCGGAAACTTTTTGGAAAACGAAAAGATAGTTCTAGGACTGTGACGTTACTGAGAGAACCGCACGACCCCACAGTCTGTTTACGATCCGAAATCACGTGAACTACTAGACGAAACTAGTGACTAACTCTTCTACTACTTTCTTGGAAATTGATAGATTAATGAAATTGATAGATTAATACTAGTACTTTGAAATACTTATATATACTGTACTTTTTAGTACTGACTTTGAACTTAATCGACTTAAACTTTTATGAGACCAAAATGTGAAACCATAGACATTGCATAGCATAAATTCGGATAGGCCACTGGTGGGGTCTATCGGAACCCGAAGGATTGCGTCCCCCCGCATGCAAGATGTGAATAATCATTCTTGACAAGACATAGAATCCTGTCGAAGCTCGCATTTGTTGGACAGTTAAACGTGAAGGTTCACTTGTCAAGTTTCTGCTCTGGCTGCACACGTCAAAAAAAAGAGCAGAAATCATCGACCTCACAAATGAAGTAATATCATGCAAATGATCCTACCGTCTTAGCATAATTTGCATTTGCAAACAAAAAACTTGCCATGCATAAACTAACACATTAAAGAGTGATGTAACGTCATCATCCAATAAGAGGACCACGACTCAGACTCTATTTCTTAAACTAAAGCTCACGACCGCCTCGCATGAATGTAAGCCCTTCTACTTCCTAACCTCGAAGGGTCACAAGAAATAGAGAAGCGGCAGCAAGAGCAGCCAGGACAACGCACTCCCACTCCGTGATGCGCTACCAACAGACGCTCGACCGTCGATGTGCATCGTGCGTCCTTCCGCTGTCGCGGTGCTGCCACTAAGACGTACTCCACTCGGAACCACCTGATTCAAACTGGCCTCCATCGAGGCTGGAGAGCGCGAGGCCTGACGCTCGTAGTAACCAGCTTCCTCTGCAGAAGTCGCAGTTATCCTAAACTCAGCACGAAGAACGTAGCTGGGGGAACCTGGGTTGTAAGTTGACGATGATGATGTACCCAGTCCGTAGACGGGTATGCACAGAGGTTGTAGTTGATAGAGATATGAATCTGAAGAATGTGACACTCTTGATTTCAGACTGCTAGAGCTAGGTATTTGATAATGATATTTTTTCCTGAATATATTTAAACGAAAATAAGAGCACTTGATTTCAATTCGAAGCTGTTATTCAATAGCAACTTTATCAGTACTCTGTAGACTTCGCTCGTCATCCGAACCCGAACCCGAAGCAGCAGTTGCCAACGCTCTACGCCCAGAAAAGACATTCAGCGAAGTGACGGAGCAATGGCTGGATCGTGTGCCCAACCGCTGTGCGAAAGCCGCACAAAGTCTCGTCGTCAGCACTGAGTTGTCGATGTTGAAAACCCTTCGTGCAGACGCAAGAGATACGTATCCCGTCATTTGCGACTCCATTGCCAGCCGCGTTGCCAACGTTCGCGGAGCTGTCGAGCTGTAACCGGTCGTCGGATCGTAAGTAACGCCAGTAGAAGTACCGCTACTGGAACCAGAGGACCCCATGGGTGAGCCAGAAGATGAACTTCTAGCTCACGAGGAGCCCACAGAAACGCGCGCACCACTAGACCCTGCGGCAGCTGCTGCCGCAGCAACTGAGGGAGAGAAACTCGGCAAAATCGCGGGATTCTTGTCCCCATCATCTTCTGCCGGTGTCGTAATGGCAGCCGAAGAAGATGGTGTCGCGAACGTCCTAGAACCCGCAGAGGGAGACGATCCGCCACTATATGCAGAGGAAGAACTAGCGCTACTAGATGAACTACCTCCTCCAGCACTTACCACACTCGTGCTTCCTTCCGTACAGAGCTCCTTGTACGAAGCTCGACCACTCAAACTGTCTGTCTGGACCGCCATAGCGCAAAATTTATCGGTCAAATGCGTCCGCTGCTTCTTGCTACGGGCTTGGTCGATGCATTGTGCGACAAGTTCCTCTACTCCGTCAACCACCTGATTCGGCAGCTCGTGGCCGTTCCAGGTATTCCATTTTCCCACATACCTGTAATCCAAAGCCGTCTCTGGAATCGCGTCGCACTTTAACTTGCCGGCTGGCAGCTTCTTGGACAATAGAGCTCGGCTAATACCACGTGGCCGCTGCTGCTTAATATTCTTCGTCCTAGTACCAGATTCAGATAACGAGGTAGTAGAACCTTCTTGTTCGAGTAGTTCAAATTTCGCGTCTGATTCCTCCAAGATTCTCCTCCAGACCCGGCTAGATCGACTGCGCTGCTGCATCTCAGGGGACCTTGGAATGGACGCAAGGCCTCCTACAGCAGCCTTAAGAGGATCTGGCGACTTAGCCTGCTCTGGTGCTACCCCCATCGTCCCTGCCACGTTGTCGAGTTCCCTGCGTCCTCCTTTAGCGACGAATAAAGCCCACGCGCCCAGACACACGCAGTGGTTGCAGTTCTCACACCGCTCGTCGGACCACGCAGGTTGGCCTGTTTTCTCGGAAAAACCGGCTCCTTTGATGTTCCGGTAACAGATTTGATGCACGCCGCCACCTTGTTCGGAACACACATAGTTGTTATCCCAACTGCCGCTGCCTTGGCCGGCGTCGCCGCAGGTCTGACAGCCATCACCGAACACCGACTCTAGCTCCAAATTCGCACTGTGAAACAAAGACCGGCGTTCTCTATCTTCTGGGGTGGGTGCTGCTCCTGCTGCTCGGTCGTGGTCGTCGTGTGCAACGTCACTTGCCAGAACGAGACTTGAACTTATCGACCACAGTGCTGCTGAGACGAATACGCAGTGCGCCAAAGGTCGAAGCGGTCTTCTCCTGCTCCCGGCTCGGGCAACATCTTCAGCAGGAATCGAGGACGTCATTGTATAGATTCTTGAGGAAAGGACGTATATCTGAATTTAAATACTTAAGGTTAGGTTAGGTTGGGATCTACCATACTTAAATCGAATCTAAGCTGTGACTTATAGGAGACGAAATTCCAGACTCAAATTGAAAAAAGTTGACATTTCCACGAGTAGAATCTCGAAAAACTGCACAGAACCTGAAAATTGACATCAGCAAAGAAATACGTTGGGTGTTCGCGTTCGGGGGATTAGTGCGATCTACTAAAAACGCGCAACTAGTCGCTCCAAAGTAACTCTGAAGTCTATGAATCTTACAAGTAAAATCAACATTGTACTTGTGTTCCGCTCCTTATATTGAGGGGGCATGGGAATGGGGATATGAGAGAGGACCTGATATTCATTGTGGTCGTCGTAGAAGATACTGTAGTTTCTTGAGAGTTATGAAGTTTCCAAATTAGGAGTACGTGATCTGTAAAAACCGAAAGCGAAACTTCAATCTTTGTCACTCTAACTACTCATGCTCGTTACTAAACAGTAGATGCGATGAGGACAGCCAACTTCAAGGTCAGAGTACTCGTCTCAAGGAAGATACAGTTACAGAAATAAGCTTGTAGTTACTAAAATACAGAGAAGTATAGTGATCTCTATCTGATCTCGTCCATAAAAAATAAAGCTTTCAGTACTCGCGTTGTTGAACACGAAGGCTGGCACTGAAGCAAGTTTACTTCACTACGCGTACTGCAATTCGATGTTTGTTTGTGTAACAAGGAAGACACGCTAGCACGTTAGAGCCGATGTATGGAGCAATTCTGTTGCTAGCTGCTTTGGTCTTCTCTGCACGCTATAATTTCTGACCTTGATTCATTGATTTTCAAAATACCCTTTTTCTAAATCCTTATGGCGTTGAAGTTCGTAACGGGATAATTGGCGTTTTACCCAGACAAGGACCTCGTGACGAAATATCAATTCGTCTTTACTTCTAGTTCTACGTATGTTGACAGTACGTAGTGATTCATCCTGATTGACATTGATTAAACCCTAGCTAATGCTACTTATAGAGACTAAATGGCACACTCGACCATGTAATAAACACTTGTCAAATGAGTTTCTTGTTGACCTGTTGTACTGAAAAAAAAGCTAAAAAGGTAACTTGGAAGTTTGACATTGACATTGTAGTTGACTCCTGTAAACTTATTAGGTGTGTTGACTAATTCCTGTGACATTCTCTCTTGAAAAATCCCTAAAGCTGTGCTAAGAGGTCGCACTCAGGGATAGTGCGGGAAAGGGGACCATCATTTTTAGCTCTCACCAGGTGGACAAAAAGCTCAGCTCACGCAGTGACTCTAAATCCACGAACGCTAAGCATGCCGGTTCAAGAGCTGGACAAACCTGGAGGAACGAGAGAGCAGGGATTTTGGTAGAAGTAGTCATCATCAGGTGGACTTAGAAAGGAACGGACGATGCAGCAGAAGTAGAAGTAGAAAGCAATAAAATTACTAAAAGTTGTAGTAGCTAAGTACTCTCTATAGAGGTCTTGGTGCTCGGAGCCAAATATCCTCTGTGCCTCGTCTAGAGTCTCATCCCGCGTTTGTTGGTGATTGTTCAGTCGCTTGATGTTCGCTAAGAAACCGTTGAACGCTTCGTACCTTGAAGATCATTATGGATTAAGTGCGTTGAGAGGGTGAACGGTGGGAGCAGGTGTGGGTTTGGGGATGATAGATAGATAGAAAATAGACATCAATCATCATGGTGTCTAAAATCCACAGTACGAGAGTCGTGCCCTAGCATTTCGGAAAAACTGCTTTCCGTCTACGCCTGGTGATGCTCCTGCTCCTAATAAATCGCCGCTTTGTCGCATGGCTGTGAGAGGAAGATAAAAGAAGGTGTGGGACGGATAACCACCGCATCACGTCTAAAGAACAATGATCATGAAAAAAAGTATAGTAGACGTGAAGAACGCACTACGATAACAATTCTAATCAAAATCATAATACCGTTCTGAGGGCTGCTATTTTCTGGCCTCTGATAGACATTACTAGGCACTCCTGTAACGCTCGCGGCTGTGAGTGGCACTGCTGACCGCAGATATTCCTCTGACATTAACCTGTTTAGATGATTTCAATGTTTCTTGCATGTGACATAAGTGTTATGCGGATGATCATTCGATTCATATCTCAAATCGAAGCACATCATGGGTCTACAGGTTCTCAGCCATCTCCACCTCGTCGTCAGGTGGCGTTGAATAGCTCCTGTATTTGAAGAGTGAATGTAAAAGTAGCTTAAAGCCTAAAGCTAGTCCTAGTGCTAGTCTATTTCTAAGAAGTCATCGTATAATAAGTTCGTAGGTAGTACAGTGAACTGGCGTCCTCTACTGCTTGCTGCTCCACGTCTGACAGACTTGCCATCAGCGTCTTCTTCAAATCGTCTAGTCTGCTTACTTGTTTTCTCAAAGCTTGTACCGTTCGGAATAGTTCCTGGTATAATAGATTCGGGGTACAAGAAAGGGCTTTTACACTTGCATACGATATCCATCTACGCAAGCTTGGTGGACATGGATAAGGCTACACATCTAGTATCACAATCACGATAAGCAAGACCTGTGGGACTTTTCCATTTTTCATATTCATTGAAGACGCTGAGGCATAGACCCAAAAATAACCAACAAACGAGGCGAAGCCAAAAAATGTATACAACAAAAAGAGAACGCTGGCGTTTGACTGTCCTCGCAAAAAAACACTCACCGCGCGCAGCCTTCGCGCTACTATACCTACAGCGCACCAGATTGGTTGAAGCTGAACGAGCCAAGAATGGCACGAAAGGAGCCGCGTTCGCTACCAAGTAGCCGCCAATCCCTTCCCAACTAAGCCGGGCCTACTCTGTCCGCCCCGGTGCTCCTTCTCCTTCAGCGGAGCGCCTACCACTCGGGGGCACTCAACCCACCCACGACACGGGGACACACATCGGAAGCAAGAAGCAATCGCTTCTCGCTTTCCGCTATGAATGTGCCTCCAAATCCACGCGGGTGGGCGCGGCTGCTTCCAAACAGTAAAGCAGGGAAAAGCCCAGAAGCCGAGCGCGCCTTCATGAGATTGGGAAAGTCTAATGAACTACTTGTGACTACTAGACTTGTACCTTATTTTCCTCGCCGAGCTGCTGTGTTCGCTGGTGGCTTTCTATAAGCTCCACCTCAAGGCTACTATTTTTCTTCTGCAGGACTGTTACTTGCTGCGTCTTCTCTTCATTCGTCAATCGCTGTTTTTCAATTATAATGGATGAGTCGTCAGTTTAACAATGCAGTCTCTAAGGAAGAAATGAACTACGTACAACATGATCGATGCTAGTCAACTAGAACTACAGCATACTACATTGTTTGTTGAAATAAGTACTTAAGCTGAGTCCTTATTGTCGTTCTTCTTTAAGCGAAGATACTACATTGTGTGTTGAAATACTTAAGATGAGTCCTTGTTGTCGTTCTTCTTTAAGCGACTCTACAAGTGTGTGTGTTGAAATACTTAGGAGTCCTTGTTGTCGTTCTCTTCTTTAAGCGACTTTACAATGTTACTTAAGAGTCCTTATGTCGTTCTTCTTTAGCATCTCCAGTAGCAGTGTGTGTTGAAATACTTAAGAGATTCAGACATTAAGGTAAGAGGTTCTTAGAAGATGAAGACGGCTTGGTGCTAAATTCAGACATTAAGGTAAGAGGTTCTTCTTTAAGCGACGACTATACAAAAATGTGTCAACAGTACCAGTGCTCGTATTTCTTGCTCCAAGCCATGGATTTTGTTTTTGAAGGCGTTATCTATAATTCGGAAACCCAACTGCAGCTGCTCCTCGTGCTGCTCTGGGAGCCATGTCATTTCAGATCCCTCCCTCGCAGCCATCTTTCCTCTTCACGCTGAGCTACGAAGGGTCTAAATTACGAAGGCTCTGGCTCCTCGTCCTCCCTATTATTTAAGACACTTGTCTATTCTTGAGTGTCCTCTCCCCTATAGTTTTTATGAAACGTTTGCTATTGCCGGCACTAGTTACTTCTAGCGGCTCAATGCTCATGATGGGTAGTGCTAGTCCATTTTCACGTATTTCTCAGCCACTGGTGTCTTCCTCTATCACTTTCCTCTCACGTTACAAGATGTTCCCATCGTCGAGGCTCAGCATTCGAGTACGGCTTCCATTTTCAGAATCAGGTCTGTTTTTCCGACTCAAAAAAAATCAAACCCACAATTTCAAGAAATCAAATAATTGTGTCCATTTTGTGTAGCTGGAATCATTAACATATTCACAAATCGACGATGGATTACGAAATAATATTACCTCTCCGAGTATGATGTTAACTACACTAGCGTCACCATATTTTTAGAAATCTATCTTCAGATCGAAAAACCTACTCTCGCACCCTGCAAAATTCCATTTTGTTTTGAATTCATACCGAATAAAGTCGCTTTTGTTTGAGTTCGATTTGTTCGACGCTTACTGCTATCCTTTTGGGGGCTACCTCTAGTAAAGCACTGATCTGCTGCCGTTGAATCTTGTTATGCACCTGCTGCCTAAGAACGAACCAGCAACATTAGGAAGGACGACTATAGACCTTCGTAGAGAACAACCAGGCACCATGAAAGAACACTGACCCACGTCTTTTCAAAGTCAAAAGCACAGACGTTGTGCTGCTGAACAATCTTCTGTTTAGAGTCGATCTGCATACTGTTGACCACGAGAAATACAGCTCACGTTAGTTTTCTTCAAAAAAAAATTGTCCTCCATTGCTCGCATAGAAAGATGCAAAAGGAGAAAAAAAATGTCGCAACACCAACGCCCCACTTTATTATCAGACACCCCACTTGTTTGATAGCAAACTTATCAAAGGAAAAGTAATAATCATTACCGTAACATCGTCACACGCCAGGAGATAGCCAGGTGCAGACCTCGAGTTCGAGCTCCGCAAGTAATCATTGATTCATAGGACCCAAATCCAGAAGAAATCAACATAAATGTACGCACTTAACGAAAATTAGTTCTGCAACCAACAAATTTCAATTTGTTTGATGAGCCTTCAGTTTTTGAAAAATTTCGTTTGTTGACAACTACATTGTATAAAGTGCCGTGCTGGAGCAGACCCAACTGGAATCTTATAAATATGTTCCTCAAGAAGAAGTAGCTGTTGTAGTTCTTCCAACCCTTCTTCCAGTACAAATTTGACTCTTTATCTTTAAATTTCAACTCTGCTCTGCGCCAGGATATGAAGGAAGCGCGATGTTTCCGCGTATGAAGAACCGGAAGAAGTCTGAGTAGTACCACCAAAACCGTATGCACCTCATCCCAGCCGATGTCCTCTATGATTTATTTAGGAGAATTTCTCATTCCGCGTCGGAGCGCACCGAACCCCGCTCGCTTCGTGTAGTTCTCCGTGTTTTTCGCCGAGAAGGATTCTGTGAAGTTGTAGGGCAAGTCGCGTACTACAACATTTCATGAACGATAACACGTACTACTTCGGAGCGACAGACGTCCTCGACTTGTATCAAGTGTGCGTGTGATGGTCAGGCGCCTGCATGTTTGGTAGAAGTAGAAGATCATGTTGTAGAACGATGTTTGTGTAAATTGGTGCCCGTGTTTCAAGAAGACAAACCGGAGCGCTACTGCTGCACTTCACTTCGCGGCCTCCCACACTGGTTCGTAGCTACGGCATGGGCAGTAGGCTGCTAGCCCTCCAGCGCCAGCCGCAGCAAATTTTTACACTCCAGTCTACATGTTTCCGCTAAAAGGATTGAACGCACCCTCACCGCTTCATCCCATTGCCTTTGCGGGATACAACTCGCCGTATACACTGCGATGCAGAGCAGCCGCGAACATCCAATAGGTTTCGCATGTTTTCTCGTGAACTTGCTCACAACTAGTGACGAAGTCTACCCAGGCTTCATCCCATGCGCTTACTGTTTTTTTGGGTCGTAGATGTGGATCATGATGATCACTTAGAGTTAGAATCTCAACTTAGTGTCATTTTCATACACTGGAATTGGAAAGGACAATGAATAAGAAGATGAACTTTACCGGACTGATGGATATCTCCAGCACTGTTTCATCAAACAAAAACTTCATCAAACAATTACAATGTCTACCATTCATCAGATGAATACTTATTATAAGTACTTCTTTGTTTCGTGAGTATTTTTCGAGGAATTTCTGGAACTGTCTCTTCAGGATTCGCATCTGCGCTACTTCTACTTCCTTTCTTCGCTTGCTCCTCTTTCTTCCTTTCAAATTCCAACTCTGGCGGCCCTTTCAGCTGTGCGCACCGCCTATTTTGAGAAAATATATGGCTGGTTGTAAATAAAAGAGGAGATGCAGACCTGTGAACAATAAGAACAACAACAAAGTGGAAAGCGAATCTACTCTACCAATGCTCTGCTGTGGAATCCAATTATGCGACGGACTTCAGTTGGGTAGCTAGTTAGATGAAGAGGCCAAGCTACTCAGCAATATGCGCCAAATTGTAAATTTCTGTACGCAAGTAAACACACCGTATCCCATTGCAGTCGACAATATCAGCAACTCAAAGAAACCTGGCAAGCAAGATAAAGCTAGCGGGGCCACGTTATCTATGACCTAAAAAAAGGAGAAAGAAAAAGCACCCAACGCAGCGCACCAGGGGGAACCCAATGGGAGCCACTAAATGAAACCCCAGCGGGGGCCACCGGTGCACCCGAGGGGGCACCACAGACGCGGGCACGCCGCGGATGCTTGAGCAGCTGTCTTTGCTCTCACGCCACTCCCAGCGCCAATTTTGCACCCCGTACGCCCTGCGCGGCGAGCCAAGTCGAGACGGGGGCCGAACGACAGCCCAAGGCCACCGCCGCCAAAGCCCCACAGGCTGCGCAGCATGCTCCTGCTATTTCTGTCAGCCCTGCCCCTTGCTCTGCGTTTTGTGGGTTGTGCGGCTTAAGAGCTAGCCAAGACACCCCCGAGGCCAACCCGTGGCGCACAGGCATCCCATTCCCCGTCCCCGGCCCACCAGAAGCGCCGCACCCTTTGCGGGTGAAGTCGAGCGACCCCGCAGAGAGCCCCAGGCCGGCCTCTCTGCCTGCGTCTTTCTGCGTGCTTCGATCCTTGCGAGGGAGAGCCCCGGCGAAATGGCTCAAGAATGAACAGGAAACCAGCGCCGCCGCCAGTCTGCGGGGCTTCATTCTCCCCGGGCACCAGTAGCAAGGCCGCACACAGCGCCGACGAGCCCCACCGCAGGAGTCTGGCCCTGTACGACACGCATAAACCTGCTACGCATTCTTTCACCGCGAGCGGCTCGAGGCGCGCGCGGGTGCGTGTTATACAAACGCAGAGCACCGTCTTGCAACCAGCGGCACCACGCTCGCACACACGCCAGGCAAGGCCCAGCGAACCCCCAAGAAACACCAAGCAGCGCCCCCTGCGTCGACTCATTGGAGCCGCCTGCCGTCGCCACTGCTGCGACGCACGCAGCCAAACGCATCCTAACCCATGCGGGGGCGATTCCAAAAGCCTCAGCTGAGATAGTCAGCGAGAGCGACGTGGCCCACTGTTTTCAGGCTTGGAATCAGGCGCCCCTCATCATACATAGAAGACCAGACGCACACACAGTCGAGCGCCGTGACGCGAGTATCACTGAGGACCCCACACAGATGAAAGCCGCAGGAGGTCCATTCTCAATATGCTGCCCCCCGAGCTACCTGCGCACGGTGCCGCACCCGTTGGCAGAATGCCCTGGGCCACTTAGTACCACAGCCACCCATCCCCCAAGCTTGAGGCGCTGCACACTACACACGGGCGCCAAAGGTTGCCAGGAGTCCAATCCTACCGCATCCCTTTGGGCGGTCCCTTTCCCCTACTGCAGTCGCGCACTCGAAGGCGGGGCGGAGTCTTGTCTGCCAGCTCACTACTTCCATGCCCCTCACCATCTTCAGGCCATTCTTCCAAAATTTGCCCGCCTCCGTGCGAAGCGTTGGAAACCAGTAAGGAAGCACCGAGCGACAGCCAAGCCCATACAATTCGCCAGTGCGATCTGCAAACTTCACGCAGAGAGCGGGCCCGCTGTCGCCGTTGCCGATCGACTCCGCGCCGAATATCTCACACCAGATGGCCCAAGGCGGCGCCGTCGCGCAGCGCCGGACGCTGTGAGAGCAGCTGGAACCAGTCGCGCCGCCTTCTCCCCCCGGTTTTCTATCAGGTTGATTCATCACGGCCCTCGCGTAAAGACCCCGAACGTCAGCCGGCACAGCACACGCATACGCTACACCGCTAACGCCTCCGCAAGGTTACCCTCCCACGCGAGCCAATATCTAACGGGCCACATGGGCGCCGCCTAATTTTCCACGTGCGGCGTCGACCATAAGAGATTCGACCAGTCTCAGCCAGTCATGTCGTTCTCCGCTCTGCCGCGTAACCCGTCCAAACGAGCACGGTAGCGCGTACTACCGCCGCCGACATCGTGGCGCGCTTCCGATGGATAACACCCGCGACCCCCGACGGTTACCCACATCGGCAACGGTCCCGACCAGAGAGCGCATAATACCGCAGCACTCAGCCGATACGTGTCGACCATCATGCAGGCAATTCCCTTCGACCCAAAAGCGACAAGCCCCCGCCCTCTTCCATGGATCCGACGCCGAGGCACTCCGGTGCCGGTGTAGCGTATACGAGTGTAGACCATCGACGTGATCACCTTCGCCGACAGCTCTCGGCAAATCCTATGGCACTTTGTCCATGCGGTCGCTCTCCCTCGCCATACAGCGTAAAAAATTCCTGGGCCTTCTCATATGGGACGCCTTTCCCCTGCAGTTTTTTCCCTCTTGGCCAATAGTTTCACGCGCGTGGCGTGGCGTACTCTACTCCGCCCAAAAAAAATCCATAAGCCCCAACGTGTGTGCCGGTTCTTCACTCTGACCAAGCTCAGACCGACGGCAGCCATCTTCTGCGCAGGGCCACACAAGCCAGAAAACGGGGCCGGCGAGCAATTTTCTAGGAGCTTACAAGTTTCAAAACCAGCCGCCCTCCCCTCTCTTTTATTCAATTCCGCGGGCCTGCTGCCGGTTGCTGCCCCGAGGGGCAAACTTGGTCGCCACCTGTTTGGAAGGCAATCAGCCACGAGGGTGCCCGGCTGGATGTTGTGCGGATACGTGTCTACCCATTGTCGTGGCTATGAAACAAACGGTAAAACAAAATAAACAGTACTGCTGCACGAATGGCAAGTCTTCTCTGACTTCAAAATGAAGACCGTCTCCTAACCCACCGTCGACAGGAAATGGCCACAGCAACGGATTTTGACCCAAAACCGACTTCAAATTGTGGTAAACGTTAATATCGTACATGCCTCTACGCCCTTCTCCGATGGAACAAAGCCAGCCACAAGGAGCCCACAAGAAGCCACAAACTGTTCCGCTTAGCCACCCGAGTGCGCTGCATGTCGTTGAGCCAGGGATTAGAACAAATGCTACGACGAACAACTTCAACTCAGAGCGGAAATAATACGACATCAACTACTGAAAAAGTAAGTAATAGTCATAATCTATCACTTACTGCCGGTAAGCTTTTTAGTGAGAGGCCGTGAGAATAATACTTCCACAAACACACGGAACTGAGACTGACGGCAAAAATCAGTGAAGTACCATTAACAAGTTGCTGTAGACATCTCTCTGTTGCTGTCCATTCATAACATCAACGCAGTTGTAGACCCCGACGCGGAGCTACCAAAAGAACCGCCAACCATGCTGTGACTCGGCATTAAATTGCTGTATCTGCTGTCTCTTGAAACCAAGCTCGACGCTGTTTGGTCGAAGTTGCTGCTTCCATCACGCGCACCTCCTGACGTCGAAGACGAAGTTAGTACAGCGGCGTCTTCGTCGCGTAGTGTCTTTTTCTCGCAGAATTCAATGGTGGTCATGTTCCGGGAGATGAGCCAGCAGTGAAACGCGAGAAACGGAGTCAGGACAGAGCTCAGGATCACGCTGAGGCCGCTCCCTTCGGCTAGCATGAGCTGGTAGCCCGCATTTAGCATCACGTGCTTCGATGCCAGTAGCTTGAAGAGGCCGTACGTCACCATATTCGATGCCACACTAGTGTACAGCAGGAAAAGGAAGAAGTACTTGTGGTTGAAGTAGCCGACGCAGTTGGACAACCAGGGGCAGTAGTGATCCATGCGCAGTACGTTGCGGCTCATCGCGGAGCAAAAGTGCGTCCTGTCCGGCTTGTACTTGCCCTCTTTTGAGCAGAATCGGTACTCCGAAGACTTCTTCTTCTTCTCCATGAGCTCTATGCCAATCGGAAGATCGTGCCATCCGGCGTCTGGAATACCTCCAGGGTCAGTGACGAGACCTTTGTAGTAAGCTAGCATACTCGTTCCGAGGCAGATGTGGAAGACGCGGCCCTCCCACACACTTCCAATCGTAGGCAAATAAACAAACGCGTAGGCAACGTAGAGCATACCTGACGAAAGAGTTGAGAGCGAGTGAGTGAGTGAGTGGGTGAGTGAGTGAGCGAGTGAGTGAGTGGGTGGGTGAGTGGGTGGGTGGGTGAGTGGGTGAGTGAGTGAGTGAGTGACTGAGTGAGCGAGTGAGCGAGTGAGCGAGTGAGCGAGTGGGTGAGTGAGTGAGTGAGTGAGTGACTGAGTGAGTGGGTGAGTGAGAAGGTGGTGGACGAGATCAATGGTAGTAAGGGTTGATTTGTCAAAGTAGGCTGACCACTCACAATCGGAGTTACACTTACGACAGGAACAGTCCAAAAACTAGTCATAGATGTACCCATCATTGTTCCAACCATGAATATCGGTAACGTTGCTTGTAATGGTCGTTGCTCAAAAGTCTCGACTATCTCGGGTCGCCAATCCGCCAGTGCCGGACATATTGCTACTAAGGACTCGTAAAAGCGCATATAGCTATCGATCAAACTGTCACACACGCCATCGGCTCGGTCTAAAGCGGCTTGCAGGCAGAAGAATTCACGCGTCGCGTGCAATAACCGGACACATTTTCCGCGGGTAGTATAGGCTGCTCGACCTAGTGGAGGTGGTGCGCGACCCACACTCATCATCTTTTTCTGGTGTAGCTGTTGCGCGGAAGTAGGTATAGCACCCGAAGTCGAAAACGAAAGAGGTTGCTGTGGAGAAGAAAGCTGATGCTGTTGTCCTACTTGCTGTTGTGCTGTTCCAGCAGTTGATGAGTTATTTGTCGTTCCTGTTGTTGCCGATCCACCTCCTTCTAGTGCTCCTGAAGCTGATGTCATCCTCATATGGATCTGCGGTGACCCACCAATGGCATTACTGCCATTCATGTAATTCGCATGTTGTGCCGCAGATGGTCCTGCTCCTGCGTTGCTCGAAGTTCCAGAAGTAGACGCTGTCGTAGTAGGGCCTCCTGTTGTCGAAGAGCTCGCACTACTAAAAGCAGTGGTCGGAGCGGTCGTTGGATCCTCCGCACCTCGACTCGGAGACACGACAGACATCTTGACAACTCAGCCTGCTCTTGTTCGTTGTTGTACTTAGTCTAAGTTATAGCCCTCTAAACTTGATATTGATGACAAGGTCCTAAATGCTCATGTAGTAAGTTTTCGCCTAAATAAATTGGAGAATCTATCACGCCAAGGCGATGAACAAATTACAGTCAAAACAGGAGAACAAGAAACAACAGGACAAAGCTTATCAATGTGAACTTCGTGGACAACAGCAGAGTGATGTCATCTCCGCAGTACTAACGATGGACGAAAATATCGAGGAGCCCGCATTTTCTCTCGAGGAGCAGACTTCCCAGCAAGAAAAAAAATGCTTAGACATCAAAAAGAGCCTACTGCCTCTCTGCTCCCTCCCTGGTCGTGCATGATTGATGATTGATGAAATTGATACGAACGATACGATATTCATAGAAGATGAGACTGTTGAAGAACTCGTGGTGAGTATTCTTTTAGCTCGAAAATTTACAAAACATGAATCCCGGTTGAAAAAAAAACACGTACGAACAAAAAAACGACGCTCCTGAGACTTCTTTGCGTTGTTCTGGCTGAGATCATTACTTAGATTTATTACATCAGAAAGTGAATGGACGATACCCGACGAGACGACGATGAGTAACCGACAACGAAGATGGTAGGCCTTCTACGAAAGAAAAAAGCATTGGCAACTACCGTCCGTTGCACTGGAAGACGAAGAAGCAGATCTTGTAAAAACGTTTGTTCTTTTTAACATTTTATTTTGTTGTGAGTTTTCTTTCATATCACATGAACATTTGGTGAAGTACAGTAGTCAGTGTCGATTTTTCTCTGTAGTTCATCTCTGCCGAAAGTTTCTGACGTGGTGTTGCCTCGCGCACACGCTTTCTGCTGATTCGTCTCACGTGCACATCGAAATCCCTGTTGGCATGCAAGGGAGACTCGGCAAAATGGTATTTTTCAAAAAAAAGCTGGCCTAGTTTCTGAGCTCTGTACATGAAATTCATCGCCACAGTGCTGCAAGATGTCTTTCTTCTATTCTTTCACCATAATACCAGGTGCTTGTTTTCATCTTCCACTTATTGCAATGGTTCTAGTTTCACGCCTTTTTCGTGCTCATTTAATTCTCGTGTAGTTTGAAAAAAACTACTCGGAAACTCAACGACATCATGCACTACAACTTTAAATTGTAAATCACTAGTTGTACTCCAGGACTTGCATAGCTTTGCACGAAAAAAAGAAATCATTCAGGGCTGCAGATCTAAGCTGCATCTTCTACCTCAACTATACCAAATGGCTCTGCTGATTTTATCGTGATGATAATCAGAGATACTAAAGATACTACGAAATTTTCCCTATTCGTCGTCGAAATCAAACCAAATCTATTGTACATAATTACAATCCAATATTATACTGAAGAGATACAAACAAGACTCTCAAGAGTCATCATCGGTAGATATTCGGCAAGTTACAGTTGTGCTGTTTGTTTTGCTGAATAGCAATAGCAAGTACTACACGACCGGCAATACGTCATAAAACATCCTTGGAAAGATCGCATCGAAACCCGAAGTCAAGCATAAGTGCACTTCAGTGCCCTGTCTGCGGTGACGAGCCTGAGACGTTGTCATCGTCCATCAAGTCTCGGAACCAGGGTAAGGCCAGCGCTTGCCCTGCACTACGTCGCAGCTGGGGATCCTTCGTTAATAGCAGCTCTTTCGTTAGAAGATGGCTCTCTTGCGATATCAAAGTTGGGCTAGAGTCTTGGTCTTCAGAGCACTGATTTCATCTTGTAACAGAGTTCATCTTGTGCCGGTGACGTTATGCGCGGTACTGTACTGGCAATCCCACCTGAGTAGAACAAGAAGAAACTCTGAATTTTTCACAATGCTAAAAACAAAGATGCTGGACAAGCGGCGCAAACGACCTGTAAAGTACCTAGTGTAGGTAATTGAATTCAAAATCTCTAAATCGCAATTCATAAAGCTGTGTCTCGTGCCTCCTGCGTGACCAAATCGTCATTCACGCCACCACGCTGAACTCCGTACGCTGGCATGACCCCAGGGGCAACGACAATTAGACCTTCCTGGAGTCCATCTTCCTCTGTTTTTCCACCCATAGGGAGTAAGATGCCCCAAGATGCTTCTGAAGATGGATTCCCGGAGGCCGTAAGACAATCATCGCGAGACGTATACCAATACTGCCCAGCTTGTAAGCCAAATCACAAAACTCGCCACCTCGAACTCCAGCATCACCCCACCGCTCCTTGGCCATTGCATTCGCGGTAGCTGGTTTTAGAGCATCACAAGTACATATCATCCCTTCACCTTATGAAATATGGAGGAAAGTGATTGATAGGGAAAGAGAAAGTCTTCTAGGAGGACTAAAAAAGATAAAGAAAAAGACCGTCCGTCCTCTGTAAGGATAACGTTGTAAAAGTTGCAATCCCTGAATCGCTAACCCTGATTTTACAGAGGACAGAGAAGTGAAGAATGGCTGCGAAAATCAAGCCTTAATGTATGCGAGGTCGCGTGGAAAGGCAAAGCTTGGTATAACATTTCGTAGAGGCATACGCCAGTTGCCCAGATATCGCTTTTGAAGTGTTGATATCCATTCTGCCTCCAGGTCTCTGGAGCCATAAAAGCAGCGGAGCCAGCGATTAAAGATTAGAAGTGAAGATAAAAGCTGTGGGTGGCCCGATCGTACTTGCAGACTTGAAAGCGAAACGAAATACATAAAGACCAACGACGCGCAGTCTGGCGATGCGGGCAAGCTCTGCCTAGGTAGTTAGATAGCATCGACTATGCCACGAGCAGCGCCCACGAAAACTAATAAGACAAAGCAAAACCCAAGCGAAAACCCCACCCGGCGAGCCAGTCCAAGCTACGCACGCCCCGCCATCCATTTTCTCTAAGCAATTCTTTCACAGACAAGCCAAACAATATCGAACAAATGCGCCAGCTATGAGCACCACAAAGGGGCCCGCCCCTGGCTGAGAGAGAGAGAGAGAGAGAGAGAGAGAGAGAGAGAGAGAGAGAGGAACCCCCCCCCCGATCTGGGGAGGGCGGTCACCTGGCCGCGACCTGCTGGCGCTTCAGGTGCAGGGGGTTCCCCTCTGGACACCACGAAGCCAGCCCCTGAACTTGAGGCCTTGCCCCGGTGGCACCCCTTGCGTTTTTGCATCGCCCCGCCCTGCCTGACGGCACCGCACCCACGCGGCCCATCTTGTGGCCCGCCCCTGGCTGGCCGACACTAGCGCGCAGATCCGTCCCCCTTGGTAATGGACAAGAGAGAGCCGCGCGGTATGCTGAGACGCGGCTGTAGTTGCGTTCCAGTCTAAAACCTCCAGCCCGGCAGGTCCTTGCCTTTTGGTGGCCTTTGCCTTTGCCTTTGTTTACTCCGTCCGCTTTGGCCCTTGTTCCCTCTTTGTTGTCCTTCACCGCTTTGCAAGTTGCCCGCTTTGCCGCTGTCCTTTTCGCCTTCCCTGTCACCTCCTACAGCTCTCGAAGCCCGTCCCTGTCACTTGCTGACGACCCAACAGCCCACGCGCGGGCCTACTTCTGTGGTAGTTTTATCTCCCTCGCCGTGCGCTTTGCAATTAAGCGCCTCCAGCTGCATGGAACACGCCAAAAACCGCCGGGCAGGTGGGTGCTGTAATCATGTGCCCACTCGCTAGCGCTTCAACCGCGCCGGCCGTACTGCCTTGCGTTACGGCGTTGCCCCCTGCCGCTCCTCCCTCTGTGCCCGCCTCACTCGCTTCCGCGTGCTCCCCTGATCCTTCTCCATCTCTAAGCTAACCGCAGCCACCACTTTGGTGCACGCTCGAGGTGTCGACGCCAGCACTTCGAAGCCTTGTGGCCCGAGCTTGCGAGCCGCGTCAAAGCCAAAACCACCCGCGGCGCGCCCTTTGCCAACACCACCCGACCCGGGGGCCACGGCGACCACCACCCGAGCCGGCGCCAGGTCCTCCCAGCAAAGCCGGGCGGCCTACCTGCTTGCCCACTGTGCGCGCCCTGTTTGTCGTTGGGTACAGACACCACCGACCGAGATACCGCGGCGCCCTGCTTCTCTTTGCGTCTGCGTGTCCGGCTGAGTATTGACAGCACCACAAGCAAGGCACTCTCGTCCCACCCAAGAGAGAGGCAGACGCGTGCGCCATGGTCTTCGTCCTCTTTGACCGACTCATTGCCCCGCCCCCTTTCTGGCTCCAGCCTCAAGCCTGGAGAGCTTTAGCCACGGCAAGCCATCACAACAGCTTGGCGACCCGTTCCCCCGAGTTGCCTGCCGCGACCGTGCGGCGCACCGCCTCCTTCGCCTCCCAAGTCCGGCACAAAACCTGAAACAGCTGCGCCACCATCTTGCACGCACCCTCTCCGCCCTACTGGGTCGGCCCGCCTGCAGGGCCTCCCCCTTTGTGGCAATCGAGTAGCGACCGCGGGCCGATTTCTACCCAGATCCGCGCGGCCATCGCGCTGGATCTTGCTCTGCACTACTGCCGGCGCCCACACGTCACCCGGAGAGAATGGAAAAAAACTTAACTACGTCCGCCCTTCAAAAAAGAAGCCAAGAGATGAGATTTGCTCATAATCATTACAAACGCTTCCGCGATGTTGCATCTGCATAGCCATACCGAAGTCTCCCACTACAACATCCGGTAGCAGAACTGGAGTGAGGATGCATAGAAGTCAGTGAGTGGTCGAAGCTTGTTCTAAATAGTCAAATCACAATCCCAATCTCCCCGGTGAGGATGTATCAGCGGCAAGAATGGGCTACACAAAATAAAAGTTCAACAGTACGTGGATGGTCAGGATTCTTGAAGAGGATATTTTCGGGTTTGATATCCCGATGTATTACGAGCAGCTTGTGAAGATGCTGCAATGCGAGCAGAACTTGAAAAATGACTCGCTTCGCAACATTTATCGGCAACGGCCTCGAGCTCGTATACCGGGAAGTAAAATCTCCGTAACACCGCTCCACTACGACATACCTTTTTTATTTTTCAGGGTGAAGAAACACGTGGAATACTCATTCATGGTGTCCCATTTAGTACTCCGAGCCTAATGAGGGGACAAATCAATTCCAGCAGTGTGTATCCAAGACTGGAAACGGCCGCGGAAGTGGAAAGCCTGGTAAGGGGATAAGCAATCTATTCAATCCTGGATTCCAATTACAGAATTGGAGGAGAGAAGAGCCTGCAGAAAAAATTCATGCAGAGGAATATACGGTGATTGCCGTATAGTCACTGGAATCTAAGACCTAGAGGACATTGCGCCTCAAAACAGTGCCAAAACTAATCGGCGTTTATTTCTTTTCTCTTTGAGACGTCATTCTCCATCGACCAAGAAATGTATTCCGTCATTGATTTCAAATCGTTTGCAACTCGCAATACAGTGCTTTGTGTTTTTCTTGCAAACCTTGGCTGCTTTGTATTGAACGCGAAATGAGTGCCAAGTTTTCCATTTTTTCTCTACTTCATGTTGCATGTTTTGTATCACCATACGATATACCAGACGGCTATCATGTCTTCCGGAGAACAGTATTGAAGAAGAAACGCAACATCTACTATTTTGATACTTTTTTGAGAACACTCGTGGATGTGAAGCATGAGAACCTTACCAAACTTCGTCGTATGTAAAAAACGGTCCAAGTTTTCAGTTCCTTTTGGCTAGAAACTTTTTCCAAAACTTTGTAATTAAGCGACGCACTAACGAAGTCAGAGTCTCCTTATCTGTCACCAATCGTCAGAGCGTGAGATGTCTTTATAAAACTTTTCTTCTCCCGGATAAACTTCTCAAGGCAAGCATTGTACTGCTGGCCATCAACATTTTGCAGAACTTGTTGAACTTTTTCTTGAATGTCGAACAGGGGGAATTCGAGTCGCTGGCTCTCGCGTTGGCCTGCAGTTGCTAATGCCACCTGCTAGGAACTTGTGTACTGCAGTTTCTACCGTCGCCTGCTAGTCGCAAAGCGTGCTGTCGCTCAAGTTTTCCATTTTTTCTCTACTTCATGTTGCATGTTTTGTATCGCCATACGATATACCAGACGGCTATCATGTCTTCCGGAGAACAGTATTGAAGAAGAAACGCAACATCTACTATTTTGATACTTTTTTGAGAACACTCGTGGATGTGAAGCATGAGAACCTTACCAAACTTCGTCGTATGTAAAAAACGGTCCAAGTTTTCAGTTCCTTTTGGCTAGAAACTTTTTCCAAAACTTTGTAATTAAGCGACGCACTAACGAAGTCAGAGTCTCCTTATCTGTCACCAATCGTCAGAGCGTGAGATGTCTTTATAAAACTTTTCTTCTCCCGGATAAACTTCTCAAGGCAAGCATTGTACTGCTGGCCATCAACATTTTGCAGAACTTGTTGAACTTTTTCTTGAATGTCGAACAGGGGGAATTCGAGTCGCTGGCTCTCGCGTTGGCCTGCAGTTGCTAATGCCACCTGCTAGGAACTTGTGTACTGCAGTTTCTACCGTCGCCTGCTAGTCGCAAAGCGTGCTGTCGCTGGCGTCGCCTGCTAGTCGCAAAGCGTGTTGCTGCCGTCGCCTCCTACTCGTAGAACTTGCGAACGTGCGTTAGCCGATCAGAGCCAACTGCGAAGCAGAAGTTAGACCGTATGGCTCTGACTTTCCCTATTTTCACTTCGGTTCTCCTCCATTCGACTAGCGCAGTACTCTCCTCCTCCGCGGTCAACAGTGGCAGCCGTCTGCCTTCAGGTCATCACAGAGATAATAAAGTCCTTCATCTTTCCTTGAGAGCAGAAGTCCAGAGAAGTTTATCACTTGAGTGTTTTAAATGGTGTTAATAGACCACTTGAAGCTCGCTTGAGCCAAAATGGATTTTTAGCATACTTAAAAAATGTAATTTGTTTGGCACAGCTTATTGAGGTAGTGATTTGGAACGTTGATGTTCTCAAAGAATTTGAATTATGCGGATACCAGTTCATGATTCACGTACTTTCTCCTATATTCTCATGATCAGGCACAAATAATAAACTGTAAAGTGGTACATCCATCTGTCATCTTCAAAAGCCTCCACGAGGTAGAGAACGTTTTTATGTCGGCAGAGCGCAAGTAATCGCAGCTCCTTCAGCACTGCAGACTCACTGACGGACTTGAGATCTTTCGTCATCTCCTTTTTGCGCTGTCCCAACTCCTTCAGCTCTATCTCCAAGGCTGTGCGAAACAACTGTGAGGGGAAGAAATGATACTTCTTGTGTTTTTTTGAGGAGATGATGAGGCTCGTCATCGTCTACCTGCTTCGCTACGAATACATAGATGTAAGTGTAGCGAACAAATTCCTGCGTCAGTCGAATTAAGCCTCGTTGACTCAAGCGCATCATTCTATCCTTGATATGGTCTCATCTCGTCAGAAGTACCGTGCTCCTATGCGGGAGTCTGAACTTATTTTCATTGTCTTATGCCATCCAGAAGGAAATAGCTATACTTTCTGGTTCCCGTCGTACATGTCCACACTGAGAGGCATTCCCTTTTCTCCTCCGACTAGAAGCGGCGCGCGCAGTATGCTTCCCCGCGAACCCGTATGCGTATTGTTCAGGTAACTCCGACGACCCTGCATGCCACCCGTTTGTTAACGCGAGACACTCACTATCTGCGGTTGAGTGAGTTGCTTCCTTTCCCACCATTAGCTTCGCTTTTAAATCAAGGGGATGCACGTCCCCACCACTGAGAGTAGTGGGTGCCTCACACCAGGACATAGTGAGTGTCTAGCCTTAACCTTGGTTTGCTACAGGTAGACCCAACTGGTTCATTGTAATGGCGCCAGCCTGAGATCCTCGTGGCGGAGGCCCACTGCCTGGCACAACTAACTGCGAAGCTCCGTCTCCGGCACTAAGCATGAAAAAAGAAAAAGAAAAACCAAGTGGGTCAAATAAGACTCTTAATCTAGTTATTAATAAAGAATTACACGGATACACTTCACTTTCATCCGTTCTAGATCTAGTACTAGAGGAGTAGATAAAAAATGTCTAATTGATGTGCATAACTCCCAAGCCTCCGAGGATGAAGGAGAGTTTCTTCTTGGCACCTCCCGCAGCCGCAGACAGATGCTTGCTGCTGTTTCCGCTACTGTAAAAGTCTGGCACCAGGAGAAGATTCGCACTTGCAGCTGCGTTTGTGCCCTTAAGCTTCACTAACGTATCTTCAGTCGTGTCCCCTTCAAGTATACGCAGAAGGATTTGTATCCGCTTTTCTATACATTCTGAAGCAGGGAGTGGATCACGACGTTGGTCAAGATGTGGGACCTAATTCAATGTGGTATTTCTAGGGCTAGGAAAGTCAACCACGTAATATTTCTCAACAGCACTTCTCGCAACTGAATGAGTCGAAGTTTTTCCGTTTAACCAACATTGTGTACTATCATCATCACGCGTCTTACTACTACTGGCAAGACAAGATAGTAACGATCGGTGTGTCATTGAGACGGCCTCGAGACTATCATCCCTACGTGAGGGGACAAAAAACAGACCTAAGCCGGAGTATTACTGCTTGAGTCGAGTTTTTCAATTTAACTAACCTAGTCAGTGTACACGTTGCCATACAAGTTGTATCGTTTTCGCCTCCTCCTCGACTAAGGCCACTTTCTTCATGCACTTGACTGCAAAGGTCCAAGCTTGGACAGGCTGTAGCCGCTCTAGTAGACTCTGCTGTTCAGACCATGCTTGCTTTTTGCTTGCTGTTGCCGCTCGCCGAAGCGCGTCATTCGGCGAAGGTCTTGGGAAAAATGAACCAAACTCTACTTGGAGGGGAAAGTGTCTTCGTTCTACAGAGGAGCATGCTCAAGAACTTCTACTAAGTGGTAAGTGTTGACATTCATACAGTAGGTTCTTAGAACCTATGCCTCACACTGTATGTGTTAAGAGTACTCCCTGACCCTGTGTTGTCTCTGACTACATGAAATAGTCTTACAAGAAACGGTCGGACAAGCTAAAGAAAACTCCGATATCTCCTTCACGATCACGTTCACCAATCCTTGTTTCATAAACGTAAAGCTGCTTCGTCGTAGGAGCATATCCGTTTGACGAAACTCTCTGAAGTGACAAAAGACTGCGCACCTGCGAGGCTGGTTCTGCTAAAAGAATGCCCTGGCACCAACGACCGAGTCATTAAAGACATACGCTGACGACCGCCTATGTATTGTTTTTTATTGGATGAAGGGACTAGATCTAGAATAGAATATATAATTAGAGGGAAAACTAAACGGTTGTGGAGGTCATTTACATGTGGATGTCAGTTGTGAAGGTCATTTATACATTGTTTCTGTTCTTCTTAGACGTAGTTGATGAAAATGAAAAGAGTGATCTCCGTTGAATCAACATTTTCATGTTATTGAAATTTCTAATTCCTATCTAGATGAACAGACTGATTATCATGCATTCACATACCAGTACTCGCCCGTCCACCGTAACCGCCGCCTAGACTGGCCTTGGAGAACCGTGCTCCAGCTGTAACATCGTCTTCATTGCCTATTGAAGGTAACACAGAAGCGGGTGACATTCCCCCAGCCCCCTTTAGCCTTTGAAACAGGCTGATGCGGCCGGCTTGTGTGGAGCGTGACCCTGTATGGTGCTCCATCCCTCTAGCCCGAGCGTTTCCACGATGAAACTGCGATCTTTAAAGCAAGTCAACCTCAATCACCATCCGTGGTTACCTGAGTAAAGGAACAACCATTAGTTTGTTAGCAGCTAGCGTGAGATAAGAGAATCAAAAGGGAAAGTGCAGCGCTTGAAGAGCTGAAGCAAGAAAACAGGATTTCATCTCTCCCCTTCAAGAAAGCAAAGGGTGCAACGCCTTCACTGAGGAGAGGATAGTACCTCACACCAGAAGCAGATGTCAGTGACTGAACAAAAAAGCCTTAAGATGTCCGCGGCTCCACTCCTCCACCTGATGCGCTTCTTGGCGGGTCTATTCTCTCGTCTTCCGCGTCGTCAATCACACTGCCACGCACGCCTCGTAATGGCATTGATGCACCGTTTAGAACAAGCGTTGAAATCGTACCAAGATTTGACAACGTCCTACGAGAACCTATGGATGTAGGTGTATCACAGGAGAATGTCCAAGTAATGTCCTCTAAGTTGTAGCTGTAGTTACTTTAAGTCAGAAGATTCCATGTACTATTTTGAAGTACGAATTCATCATTTTCCACTACTGCGAATCCGTTTAGGTTTAGTACTTGATCAACTACATAAAGTAGTTAATACCATTTATATTCCGTTTATTTCGAAAGGAGTCGATTAGTTCATCCAGATCTGGCGCTGCTATGATCGCCTCCACTCGTTTCGAACTAAGGCAACATGCAACGCAGACACCCGAAAAAAGCCTAGACCTTGGACGCAGGCGAGCCGCTACAACTTCTCCGTAAGCGCCTTTGCCTAACACTTGCCCAAGCTCGTAATGGTCCGTCAAAGAGCCTGAGTACGGATCGTAACCGACCAACCGTGAAAACAGCTTCTTCGACGTGCTTGTACTTTGCGATCGCACCACCCCTGGCGTACTCGCGTTGACCGAAGACAACATGTTGTCCTGATCCTTAGAAGTAGAGCAGGAAGTGAAAGGACATAAAGCCCACTGCAGTACGAAAGAACTGGAACAAGTCAAAGTTGTAGAGCTTGCAAATAATAAGCGGCTTAATTATAGTCGAGAAATTTCAACAGTGGTAATGACAGACTCTCGACAGTTTCATTTTCATAACCGAAACGTTTCCATTTTGATTTCCGCCTCCATCCCCTGCTCCCGTTGCAGTGCTTCCGACAGGAGAAGCACCCGCCTTCTTCTTCGCGCCGAAGAGCTTATTTCCAGGTGGCGTGCTAGATGACGACGCTGAGCTGCCACCGGACTGCGCTGCAGAACTCGCAGCTGAATGCGCCGAGCTAGCGACTGATCCGGCATGGGGAATGATGTTGATGACTGGTGGTGTTGTTTTGGCGGATGTTTCCGAGACCATCCTCGCATTTCAACGAAGTTTTTGGCACTCAGTCTTCGGTAAAATCGGAGGTCTAGCGCATAGTCAACATGGTACGAGAAAACGAGTGGTCATCTTCCGAGGAGACATTTACTTTTATTTTGTTCTTCGACAAGAGCGAGGATTTCTAGTCGAGTATTCTCTAGCTGAGGAACCTTGACGGGCAACGTTACAGAGATACTCCCTAGATAACTTCGACCTTCTACGCGTCAACTAGTTGTAAATCAAAATCTCTAAATTCTCAATCCTTCGTTGTTTCTCGGAGTGGCATCTTCGTATGTCCTAGGAGTCTAAATTCTCATCTTCGTATGCCCTAGAACTTTAGACGTGATCTCAACCTTAAAATCCGTGTTGCAGAATAGAGCATGGTCGAGCTTGCCTGAGTTATAACACTTGTTCTTCGCTTTTTCAAATCGTTCGCTTCCACAAATAAAACTGGCATATTCACAAGACTCTGTTGTTGCATCAACATCTTCGATGAAGTAGAAACTGTCTTCACATTCAGCATTTGAATTATCATCATGTTTCTTACACCCCACCAGCACCGTTGGACCCTTCTGTGATCATTCCACTGCTCTCCTCTCGAGTCACAACTCTTCAGAGTAGGAGCCACCGTGCCGCAAACAGCGCGGCGCACACCAGCGTCCCAAGCCCAATCAGGTGCGCGGTCGCTGGAGAAACTGATGTCTTCTTCGGCAAGGAGGCTGCGACCGCACTCCCGTGACTCTCTTCGTCTGCGCCAGACTCGCCTAGCAACGCGCTTTCTTTGTTCTTCCGCCTTCGTGTGAAACCCATTTTTTGATTTATTCCTTGCTAACTTCAAGGCGCACACTTAACGAATCAATCCAGAAATAGATGATGAAGAGTATCCTTTTCGTTCTGAATCGTATGTACTTGCATCAGCATAGGCTAGATTGAAAAATTTCCATCCTACGTGTCTGGCACTTGTATCTACTCTTAATCGACGAAGGAGGTGTGACCGATCATAGATATTGACGTACATAAGTACTTACGCATGCGACCGAATCTTCGGCGTTGCGCTCATCCAGCTGTACACATCAGCAGTGGTCGTTTTATGTGTTGGGCTGTTATCAGATCTTACCACGCTTTAAGTGCACTTGATTAGCAACGGCATGTGGACATCTACTGGGGAACACCAGATCCTGTGACGGAGCGCCAGCACGCCGATTATCAGATTATATGGCCATCATTTATCGTAGTGGTGAGGAAGCCATAAAACTCAAGACTTGTTGGAATGGAGGACTCGGGTTGGAAGGAGCGACTGGAAGGAGCGACGCATTTGGTCTTCACGAAGAGGTTTTCTGACGCTTCGGGGGTGGTCTAGCACTAGCATCGTGGTCCATAATTTCTTCCTTTACTAGTTCGTCATCTCGCTCTCGCAGAGACAGAAGTCGACTCCACACTAATTCTATCCGTTCTTGTGCTGACCGCTCAAGAGCAACATTTTCATTTTCTATGTCTGCCACGGCAGATTTAGAATCTGCCACAGAGAAAATCGTGTGTATGTGCACGTCAGTTTGTTGTAGCAACGCTTCCGTTGCGTGGTACCACTCCGTAGCCATCGCGCTGTCCTGTTGGAAATCGCTATGCCTCAACATCGGCATCTGCACGCGTACACTATCTTCCCTGTAGAAGAAACTCTCTTCTTGTTCCATTTCGATGTTGTCACTCTTGTTCTTCTCGCTCGACATCTGCGAGGAAAGAACATGTTGATCTTCATCAACTTCATCAATATCAAGTCTATGCTGATCTGTAGTCGGAGAAGAAGATGTAGAAGCTGCTTTCTTCTTTACTTCCTTCGGAGGTCGTTGATGTGTTGACTTTTTTCTGTTATTCTTGCTCCTCTCCTCAACTGCTATTTTGGCACCCAGTTTGGCCTCGACGCGCTTTCGAAATGTCTCGATATCGAGCAACTGCGTACAAAGACCAGCAACCTGCCCAGCGGTGTGGGGTCCCGCGTCGACAGTTATATGTCCCAAAAGCCTCAAGGAAGAAGAAGACTGCGCAACATCATGGTTCGTGTTTACCCTTTTCCCACGATGATTTCGATCTCCATTGGGCACGAAGACGAGGATAAACCGTACCCCCATCTGTTTCGGAAAGCTGACGTGCAAACACGTGTTCAGTTTGAAAGCGCGAGGAGCCTTGTTGCCCTGTTGATCCAAGTGTTGAGGACATTGATGTAGTTGAGCCTCAGAGGGTTGAAAAAATGCCTGACTTCCGTAAGCCAATGTGATGTGCCCAAAGCGGTTCATCACCTCAGGTGCAATCGCCAAAGCCCTGGTCTGATGGAAAGAAGGAACAAGATCTTCAGAGAGATCTGGAAGTTTTATCAACGAGAAGGATGGTGATGTTTCAGTTTGATCGTGATTTCGAGAGAGCATCTTCACATCGCCACTCTTCTTGGTGTGAGTGATGAAAAACTCTTCCAAACGACACCACGACGCAGCAGCAGTGCGGTCCCCCCCGCGGCCTCGCTGACTTTTATTTCCCCCGTTCGCGTGCGCCCTTTGATCCTTGTTGCTGACCTCTTTCTCCGGGAGGGACTCTGCACTACGTGACACAGACTCGCTCTTAGACAGAACCTGAGGTCGTTCTTGTCCTGTACTTGCCCTAGAAGATGACTGCTCGTCAAAGAGCAAATCGATAATAGGTTGTTGTTCTGTTTCGTTGTTAGGTCCTCCTGCTGATTCGCTGTTATTACCTTGGACAGAAGTTGTATCCTGTTTACTGTTCTTCTCCTTTTTTCCATCTAAAGTAGAGCCTTCTCGCTTGTTAAACTGTACTCGACGGTAGTAGACAACCGCTTCTGCTTCTTTGCGTAGCATCTGCGCAAAGCGCACGTTTTTCGCAGATAGATCAGTGATCATTCGGACAAATTTGCTTCGTGCGTCTGGGCCGCCGCCACCCGACACAGCCCAAAACCTACGCTCCAACCGCTCGTGCACACACGCTTCCACCAAGTGCTTCTGCGCATATTCCCGCTCTAGCTTGGGACCCGGTAAAAACGCAACGATTTCGACCTCTGCGCCGCCTAAGCAACTACGAAGCCACGAACGCAATCGCAGATCTTGGCCTCCGCCAATGACTCCTTGATCACCTCCTCCAGCGGCCGAGTCGCTACCGAAAAGCACCCCGCCACCAACCGAAAGCACGGGAACTTTTTTTCGCACGTAAAGCGCCTCAAAAACACGAAAGAAAGTCAGCTCCTGCCGCTCTCCCTTCAACTTCGTGGACACATCTGTCACCGTCAAGTTTCCGCCGTCAATCAGACCTAGCTCGTCGCCATCGATGTGTTCGAAAACCTCTGGGAAACGTTTCGCCAGTGCACTCCCAAGCGTCGACTTCCCGTAGCCTACTGGCCCAAGCACCACGACGACTGTTGCACGAATCTTGTCCTTCAGGACATGCCGAAACAAATCGGACTCGCCCTGTAGACTACCTGCAGTAGACGTTGTCAAACTTGAGTCAGCAACAACTTCCATACTGCTGTTTGTATCATCTTGCTTGCCCTCATTTACGACGTCGACGCTTCCTCCAGAAGAAGAAGTAAAAATAGCAGACCCCCTCAAATGCGAGATCAGACCAGCAAGATCTTTGCTGCTTTTGTACGCGTGGCGACCGCTACGCGGGACTATAGTGCAGGCGCCGCTCGTCGCATTGCAGTAGCGACTCAGTACCGCGAGAGCGTCTGCGGTGTCTGCTCCAACGGGATCTACTTCAGTATCTTCCAACGCCACAGCATCATCTTCCAAACCACCCAGATCACTGGCAAATACCCGTGTCGTAAAGTCCGCAAGCGCAATGTGCCACCCGCCTGCCTCGGGGTGTTTTCCTCTATGATCCCTTCTGTTTCCGAGAGCAACTACGGTTTTATTAGCTTTCTGGTCCCTTCCGCTGTCATTCTCCCCGCTTTCGAGAGCAACGGTTTTACCACCCTCATTAGCCTTCCGAACCTGAAAACCCGAAGGCCCAAGCATTTCCCACGCTAGCGCTGCCCTGAGAAACCACCGACGCCACCAGGCGCCGCCGTCTGACGTGATGCACCACTTATCCACGAAACTGGAAATTTTACGTTCTACAGAACCACAAACGAGTGTCCCCTTCGATTTCAGCCACTCGCGCAGCGCAATGCGGCTAACGTAGTTCGGGAACTTCTGCTTTCGCGTGACAAGTTTGCCACCGTCTTTATCATAGAAGTGCACAACCAGACCTTCAAGCACGTCGCCTAGGATTTCCGAGTGATCAACATGACTCCTTCTAAAGGTAGAGGTTGTAGAAGAACCGGTGCGTTCCTTCGCAGAAGGATGACACTTGGAATGCTCATCTTCCCCGATTTTGATTGCAGCAGCGAAGACCTCCTCAATATACCTTGACTCCCGTGAAAGTGATTTTCCGTTTGCTCCCTTGGATGCTGCATATGTGCTTAGGAGTATTGCTGACGACCCTGAGGACGCTGACGACCCTGAGGTGGACGTACAACTAGTCATCGTATTTGTGAGCTCGAGTCCCTGTGATCTTGTGCTGGTCGTGCCCCCGGATGGAAATGAAAATTCCTCCTCCTCCTGCAATAACTCCACGTTGTCCTCCAAAAACTCCTTGTACTTGCTCTCCGTGAGGAAGTCTTTTCTTGCTTGCAGTGCGGTCCAGAATGCTAGGACGTTCTCCCTGTCCGCGACAATTACCGGAGGTTCATGCGGCAGCCCAAACGCAGCACAAAAGCGTCGCAGAGTCAACGGGTCAGCCGCCGCTGCTAATCGCGTTTGCTGCTGTGCTGGAACGGCAAAAGGCTCTTTCATTTGCACCGCATCTTGCTTCCTCACTCCGTCGTCGGTGCGCAGAGTGAGACTGAGGGCGCCAACACAAACTGCCGTGGTCACAAGCGAATCGCGTAGAACTCGCGCCCCGTGGACCTCATCGCGGACCGACATGGCTTCGGCGCACACGCAAATCCTAAGCTTAGCCATAGCACGCATAAGAGCCGACGTTCCTCCTCCGAAAGAAATCAACGCTCTGCTTGAGCCGGAATCAGCTTCGACAAGAACTCGAGTGCCATTAGTACCATTTTCCAAAACAGCACAACTAGAAGATGATGAAGATGAAGCAGCATTGTGTGCAACATCTTCTACGCCAACTGGTACTTGGCCAGAAGTTTCTTCTCCACTATCGCCGAAGAGCTGTCGTCGCCACATTTCTGCTGCGTCACGCACGAAGCGACTGCCCGCATGATCCGCTGAATTCTTCGAGGTCGCCGTCCAGAAAAACTCTGTCTCTTCTTCTTGAACATCTACTTCAGCGTCCTGCCTAACTTGCTTCAACTTAGGGTTGTTGCCTGACACGAAGTCGCTGCGTCGCCAACAGAGCAGGATCGACAAAAAGCCTGAATACTTGCGTAAACACACCAAGCGATGCGCACGAGCGTCCACCGCGTTCGTGTGACCCGAACTTGCGTCGCTGAACTTCGGATAAAACCCGTAGGACTGGATTACCCCGGTCGCGGGACACCATAGCAGAGGACAACCGCGGGGAAACGAGATCTCTCGCCCTAACCGCAGCAAGGCCTGATCGCTGTTCACTCGGAGCATCACTAGATACAGGCGCTCCTGTCTCGGATACACACAGGGTCCATGATCTCGCATATTGTGTATGTCCTCCATCCACCGAAGCCGCTCTGGCTCCTCTGTCAATTCCTTCCCACTAAAGGGTGGCGCGGCTTGCTCGTAAGCCACTGGAGGACGCCAAAACTTTGGCAGCTGGCTAACCGGTGTTCTCGGATCAGCCGCTCTTTTACTTTTTCTCCCCTCAGGCTCGCTAAGTGTGCTCAAGGCCACGGTTCCTGGCAAAGGAGGCACTTTCAGTGTGTGTATCACGATCGCGACCTCCTTCTTCTTCCGTCTCATCTCCTCCGCAAGCGATTTGAGCGCAGGGCAGCTCGAACGCGAAAGTTCTTCGAGAAAAAGAAGGCACAAAGGTCCCTCCTCCTCTCCGCGTAGCCGCTCTGCCGGAATAAAAGTCGCCGTCATCCTCCTCGTTCCTAGCGTCTAAAATGAAGTCGTGAACAAAGACCTTAGCATGATGTTGATGGATGTTGTTGTGATACAAGTACACAATGTTCATGTTGCAGTTGTTGCACCAGCACTGCTCCTTTTTATATAAAGTTACTCTTCTACTTCTGCGAGACTGTGCGCCATAGCCCATATTACATATTTGGTTGTAGCTCCTCCTGTGGGGATCACGAATGTTCAAGTTGTAGGTTGTGGAACTACTTTTGATAAGCACTATGCGTGGTCATCCCTACAAGAACCTTACCATCTCAGCAAAACGACTGAAGCTATAATGATTAACGGGCCATATCCATATCAGTGGGCTTGTTTCAGGGGGATCGTTGAAAAAGATCCTAATCGCAGAAAGATCAAACCGAAAGGGGTGAATACTATGCTGATTGTATGTTTGTTGTCAAGTAGGATCACACCGTAGAAGACTCTACACATTCAAGACCTCTTTCTTGTATCGGAAACAACCACAGAACGTTTTGAAACCTCCACGACATAGTGATCATCTATTTGAGAGAAGAATATCTTGGATGATTTTACGCTTGAATAGTCGGTAGTCGTCTACTTTCTTCGTGTTCTTTTGGTCCAGCCAGGCACCTTTGCCAGCCAAATTTGGATGCCACATGTGCGAGGGCCATCGAAGCCTTCTCCATCGGTGATTCATTCACATGATTCTAGACGATCATAACTGTGTTGCGCGCTGTAACATTTCCTCAGATCCTTTTCGAGACCAATGATCCAAATTTCTGAGCCCTCCTTCGCGCCATGCAACCGACAATTGTCAACAAGACGAGATCGAAGACGAGTTTTATAAATAGTTCTACTAAAAACAACTCATGTTCGCTGTACAAAATTCTAGAAGATCTAGAGTTTGCAGTTGAGTTCTAGTTTTTCTACCAGAAGCGGCTGAAAATGAAGTCTCTTCAAGTCTTTACCATGTTGCTCGTCCCCGTCGAATGCCTAAAATCATTAGTCTAATCAGTCGATGGATTACGATGTTGCACTCCTGATTGAGTGCAAAAAGTCAGAAAGCCAAGACTTCTCTGACTTGTGCATAGATGCTCATGAATGTGCTGATTTTTATATTAAGTATATACACGTAAGTAGCATTGTACAAGTAAGTAGTAGTGGAGGCCCTTCTCGTTGTGCTATCGCAGGTAATAGTATGCTTCCTCCTCGAGACCACCTAGATATCTACCTTGTCCAGCTACTTGTTTGATAAATGCAGGAATGTTCTTAGAAGAATGTTTTTGAGTTTTTTAAACCCTAAGCCCTACAATTGTATCGGGCAAACAGCAACATCAACCGAGAACCCCCCCCCCCCAACTTCAAACCTTCTTGAGGTTAGCTACAACATCCTTAGCATACAAGTCAAGGTAATATCCATGTATACGTATTCATACCGGTTCAGGTTCTCATCTTCAAGTATAAGTTATCCAGTGATACGCCGGCTCTCATCAAGTGTATAACATCCTTTGAAGTACGGTAGGCAACATTCTTTGAAGCAGTGCTAACAATCTCCGAGAGATGAACAGTACTAGTGCTAGAACTACATGTTCTTATTGGCGTCCGTCGCATGCCGGGATCGCATCCTTCACGTCCATCGCATCCTGGCGAAATTTGCCGCTATCGCATTGACATTATCATAATCCACTGCATCTTGAAGGAGTCCGCGCAAGGCCAAGATTGTTCGATACGCTTCACCTTTGTCAAAATGGATTTGCTTCTCCGCAATCTCCTGAGTCACGTTTCTTTCCAGCAACTCCTTAGTCGTCATCGCAACAATGTCTGCATACGTCGTGGTTGTTGATGTAGTTGTTGTAGGAGCTCTCGAAGAAGATGAAGAAGCCACATCTTCAAGGTTGCTCCGCATCGGCATGCTCTTGTTGTCATCTTGTATTTCTTCCTCTTCGGAGTCGGAAGATTCATCGGTGGGATTTCGAGCCGATAGGTGGACAAGTAGGTGAGGGTTCTGCTTTAGTAGATGTACCTTCCAGAAGTTCCATATTTCAAAGTACATTGGTAGGGCGTACGATATGTCAGAAATTTCTTGTTCTTCTGCTGCATGACGCTTTCCGGGGACCTCCTCTCTTCGCTGACAAAAGCCTGGAGCATCCTGTCCGACATGTAGAAGCTGTTGTCCACCTCCTCTCGTAGAAGCCAATTGCTCCTCATCAGACTTGCTCTGCCCCGTCAAGCCAATGCATGGAAAAAGGGTTCTATGGCCATCTCCTCCGGACGCAGATGAGTAAATTCCTGCCATCATCCATGCCTCGACAACATCAATTTTGCGATCATGGACAAAATGTCTCATCCATAGCTTCCATCGTGTAAATCTTTTCCCGTCTGTGTATGCCTCTCCTCCAAGACTGCTACCGTAGTACCAAGACCCGCCTCCAGCTGTAGTTTTGATCAAGATCGGCCCAAAAATTGGACCAAGATGAAACGACGGCACGCTCGATGCTGTTCCTGCTTGTTGTCCCTCCTGTTGTTCTTCTTGATGTCCTTCTACTACTTGTTGATCCGGGTGTCCTAGCTGTGCTTGATGTCCTTCTTGCTGTTCCGCTGGTACATCATGATGTTGATCGCCACCCTCGTTGTCTTGGACATCAGAGAGGACTTCTTCTTCAAGCTTGTAGTTGTAGTCGTATGCGAAACCATCGAAACGACTTCTACTAGACGTTGTTGTTGTTGATGTTCTGCTCAAGGCGGACCTGAAAAATTCCTCTGCATCCTTTTTGACTAAGAATCGCCGTAATTGTGGATGGTCTTTCATCTGCTCGCCCAAAAAGATGGTCCATTTTTCCATGGATCGGGTCCCCTCAGTCGTTGCGCGATTGATGAGCCGCAGGTGCCCGAGCAGCGGGTTGTAATCCTGAAGGTTGGCGACGTAGTGGAGGCTGCCCTTGTCCCCATCTTCTTTTTTTACGAGACCTTTGCTCCAGAAAGTTTGCTTTTCGAGGGCAGCAAAAACTCTCGAGCCAAGGTCATCTTTCCGGTAGCCGAGCTCTTGATAGAAGAATCGGGCCCAGCAACTGGCTCTTAATTGGAAACTTTCGCTAAAATCGTGAAGCTCCTTCTTTTGTATTTTTTCGTGGAACAAATTATGAGGAGTTCGAAAAAACGCCGGAAAGGTGTTTTTGGGAGGAAATGAAAGACGAATCGCAGTTTTCAATGCCAATTTTGCTGCTTCTCGATCGGAATAACCGAAATCGAAGTCCTTCTGCACCGCATATATTTCCTTTTCGTCGATGCCGCCTTCTGCCGATTTCGTGGTCTTGGAGCTGAAAAATTCCTTCCAAAAATCCAAAGAACTTTTGAAAACTTCTGCAGTGAAGACCCGTGCATTTTGAAGATTATCATGATCCCGTGTAGGTCCTCCAAACAAGCGCTCTTGTTCTTCTTCTTGGGAATGCAGCTTTGGCATACTTAGGGTTGTAACGCTTCCTCCATCTTCATCCCACATGATCTCTCCCCGCGTGGAAGCAAAAGCAAGGGAGTAAAGTTTCTCGTCGGAAACCAATTCTTGCGCTAAAACGCTTTTGTTCCTGGGCAGGAGCTCCTCCTTGAGAGGTTTTTTCTCCACAAGAAATGGCCGCTTTTTGTCATCCGTTTCAGCTTCCAGCTGCTCCCTCCAAAATTGCATCCACTCAGCGACACGTTGCAGACGCGCATGGAGTCTCGGAAACATCCTGTCATATGAGTACGTCCTCTGGGAGATTTGGTGGGACTGGGAGGAACCTTCACGGGGGGGGTCTGACCTCCACAGACTGTCCAAATTTGAAAATTTTAGCAGCCAGTCGCGGGCTCTTCGTAGAGTACGTAGTTGCTTCAGTCTTGTTTTCAACATATCGATATCCCTTGTTTGAAGCGGATCTCCGTGAAGATGTTCCGGGTGATCTTCTTCTTGTTCTCCACCACCACTGATGACATCATTACGTATGCACTGTTGCTCGATTTCCTTCCACCACGCTTTGTAGAGGTAAACCAGCGTTTGAGCCCAAGTTTGCTTGTGTGGGTCTCGCCACGGGTATTCCACAAAATTATCGCGGCCAACGCGTTCCCGTTCTGCGATAGCCTGATGCGAGTCGCGACCGATCATGACGATGTTCTCAGCGTATCTCGTCGGCCCGCCTAGAAGATGCACGACAGGCAACCGCGCTTCTTTTACAACCGCAGTGGGGATGTGCTTAGTCAGCCATTCCCACGCCTTCGCTAGATGCGCACTATCTTTCTCTAGCATTTCCCCAACCAGTTTGCGGGTGTGCCTAGTTTCTTGAAGGTCTCGCACTGCCTCCTCTGGCTTGTCGTTTCTTCCTTGGGGATGTTTTCCTCGAAAGAGGATCCTCCCCAGTGCTTTGCTGCCTTCTTTTGCGTCCTCGACTCCTGCACTTTCTTGAAGTTGCTGCAATTTTCGAAGGCTTTCCTCTTCGTCTCCTTCTGAAAGTCCGAGTCCTTGTCCTTTAGAAGCCTTATTGATCCGCATTATTTCTTCTGCTTTCCAGAGAACATTCGCTGAGTAGGCCTTGCTCAGTGGATAGTCACGAGCGTGAGAGTCTCCTTCCCCCAGAGGTGATGAGAGATGGAGACCATCCGCGATGTGTTTATGCACCATATCGAGAGCATGCATTATGGCGAATAAAGCGTCAACGCTGACGCTACAACGTCTCGAGGATCCTCCGAGGACTGCCCCTACTTCTAGGAAGTAACGGCTGTATCTCTCCACAAGACTTTTGTAGTTATCCACGAATTTCATCTTTTCCAGCACCACAATGTCAGCATCAGCAAGGACAGCCAACGCGCCATCGACGCCGAGGGTACTATTTTTCGTAATTATTTTGTCCTGGTGTTGCCCAGATGACGTCGATGAAAGAGGAGACAGTACTTGAAGATAAAATGCCTTTGCGCAATAGAGCCTCACCTCTCTATTGTGACCTGCCAAACCGTCCGCCTTCATTAGCTCGTACGTCAAGTCATCACATGCAGCCTTCAAAATCTTTGTGTCTGTTCCTGCTGCGTCTGCGTCAACAAGGTCAGGCGCAGGAAGACTACAAGTAGGTGATCCAGTACAACAGACACCATTCGATATTGGCACCGCGACAGGCAAAAACGGAAAAATAGAGTCTGTCCACAAATGTGGACTTTGCAACCTCTCCAAAGCCTGCGTCACAAAAGCAGGTTTCGACACAGCAGCTGCACCAGGAGGAGCACCTCCATCAAAAGGAGCGCCTCCGGAAGGAGGAGGCATCTTCGAATCATCTTCAACTTTTGGTGGGGACGATTCCATTCGATTCGATGGAACCAGCGGAAGTTGGGGAAGAAAGGCAGCTTCGACTCCTTCATAAGATGATCCACCAAGGAGAACCATACGGTGAAACATCAAATTCTTGAGGAAGTAGAAGGAGGCTCCGCCCAACATCTTTAGGAGAAGTGGGAGGTGTCCTCGGGAAACGGAAGAAAGCCATGACATTTTCAGTTTTTACCGCTTGTTCGCTCCTTGTTTTTGTTATCAAAGATTTGAAATAAATTAGATGTGTTTTGTTCTTCAAGTCGTAGTCGTGAATGATTGTGGTTTTCCTAGTTCCTGATGTTGATCTTCTTCTAGTTTCTAGTTCTTGATGTCGGTCATCTCTACAAGAACCTTATCACCTCATCAGAAGCCACTGAAAATCGTGAAGGAAGAAACCATTATGACGGACCCTTCGTATTCAAATCACGGGGTTTGTTTCAGGAGGATAGTTGAAAAGGATTATCATCTGAGGAACGAAGGGTTTGATACTATGATGATTGTATGTTGGTTGTCACGACGTAGGATGATCACGTTTTGGAAGACTCTCCAAATTCAAGGGCCCGTGCTTGTATCGGAGACGTCGAGGACCACAGGAGAATATTTCGACACCACGACATAAACATATATAATGATCATTTTTAACGACAGAGTGATTTTGAATATTTTGCGCTTCAAGTTTGATTCGTTGTCTAATTTGCGTTTTTTCGGACACCGAACTACAAGACCAAATGTCGGAAAACGAGGGCACTACGAGCCTTCAAGAGATAAGATGGAATTGACGAGGACAAGAACCAACTACTCAATTTTGAGTTCATCGAGTTGAAATAGATAGATGGCATCGGCTCATGGCACCTCGTTCATTAAATGGCAACTCAAATCCATGCACGAGGCCAGCCATGATCGACCTAGTATGCGCCGTATTGTTCATGTGCAGTAATACACGGCCATGATTTCGACCATGCCAGCATTATCGGTTTTCATGGCGACAACGAGAACCGAGCAACAAGGATTGATGCAATTGCACAGTAGTAAGCTATGGTCACAGCTGCTAGTAGTAAGTATGATCGCTAGTTTTAAGGTCGTATGACGAAGCAGTAGTCGATGTTTTTGAGGGTGTGTGAAAATTTATTGATTTTGAAGTTCTTGTAGGTACGCAGGACTCTGAAGAAGTTGCAGAGCAATCTATTTGAAGTTGCGTTTATCAAACAGAGTGACTGCACTCTTCTTCACAGAGATAGGACTTTACTTGGCAAGCAATATAAAGTGTACTGCACCACATCACCCACAAGTAAGAACTGAGAAGTACATGGAAAATTATGACGAACTTGATCTATGATTTCTTCAACTTTTTCTTATGATTCATTTAGTCAATTAATGACACCCCAGCCACGAGGAAGTCTGACAACACTCTAGCGCAGGGCGATGAGCTCATGAAGATGAAACACATCCAGATCACCCTGCCCCCGCCAACATTAATCTTAGACATGCCCTGAGTTCGAATCATAAACATAGATTATTAGATTTAGATGGGCTCCCGCCTCAGCCCTACATGACATTTTTTTGTATGCCAAGATCTCCGGAAGGGTGATCGCAGGGATATCCGGTGTGCCTGCCGGCGACGGGTGGAGTCCATTAATCTCCTTCTATTACGATGCACTACGCCTGAAGCACCGGATCACAAGAAATTTCCATTTGACTCCACCGCGACTCCCCTAGTGGTTAGAGCCTCACTAATATTATGGTTACAGCCTCACTAAAATCGACTTCTTCGATGCATCCCATGCGGAGTAGAGCACGACTACTAACTTGTAAAGCTAGTGATATTTTTAAGAGACGAGATGGAAACTAGTGGTACTAATAGAAGTACTGTGAGGACGACAATAGCATCAGGAAAGTGATGACTTTGTATGTTACCTCCGACAAGGGAATGCTGAAACATATTCTGTTCATTGATAGAGAGCGAAGAAATGTACTAACGAAAATTGAAATTGAGCAACCCTTCTATGTACATTTTCACCCGACCCCGGAGCCCGCTAGCGATGCATTCATCAAGGGCTTCCAGCTATTATTATCATTATGCAGAATGGCCTTGCATTGTATTAGCACACCCCTGGCGGGAACTCTTCGAGGAGAGGGCGCGCACGCCGACGACCGAATGGTCTCGCGTTCTAAGTTCTGGGGTTAGCCGCGTCTGGCTATTCCTGCCCCCGCAGATTTGGATTCAGTATTCGCGCTAGAACGGGCTTCCAGCTATCAAAAGATCTTAGTCCCCAGCTATCAAAGGATCTAGGTCCGTTCAGGCGTTTTCGGAAAAAGTTTAAATTATTAATTGAAGAAACATTCGTCGACACGAAGTTAGTGTCTTTTAGTAAAAAGAATGGAAAATAGTTGCTTCACGTTGCACCTCGCAGATCTGCGCGAAGAGTCAATCCATCGCATACACAAGTACAGTACACCTGTGCACGACTTATCGACTCGATTCACACGGTACGCACTCGGTTAGCACAGTACTACGAGGTTTTCAAAACATGTAATCATGCAGATTTTCAGGTATGTTTACAAGATTTCAAAGTAGCAGGCTGTAAACCAGGAATGGAATTTAGTCAAATATCCATAGGATGGCCTATAGAAAGTGAGGATTCGCTGAGTAGTATAATTAGCTGAGTGCCACGACGTACACGTCGCAACGACCTGCTAATACAGTCAGATGTATGAATTCCCATGCTCTCTACGATGAGACTGACAGCACCCTCGTCCCTCGTTTTTATGCACAGTGACAAAGACATAGAATATTTATGCATGAAAATGATTTGCTAATACAAGAACAATGTAGATTTGCAAAACAACTTTCCAGTCTTCCCACTAGATTATCTATCTATCAAAATCCACTGGAAAAAATTCAGTATCAAGAACAAGAATAAGATAGGTAGACGTCGACAACGCGAGTATGACGGACAAGAACGACATGGACACTGTATTCACAAATTTACAAAAGGCAATTAGATAAGTATATGTATCCATGAGCATTACAACTATGAACAAGATAGAATTAGTGTTCTCCTCTGTCAAAACTTCCAAATTGTTTTTTGTCGTCCTGCTGCTTTGTCCGGGCTATGCTGACCCTCTAGCGTTGAGGCTGAGTGATTGGCGATCGTGGCATAGCCGTATGCACTGCTGGCGAGCAGTGTCGCTTGGTTATCCGAAATTGCACTTGATGAGGATGCGCCACGACTCAGAAGCGGGCCACTGATGAAGATGTGCCACGTCTGCATCCCTGACACCATCCTTCGCGTCGTTTTCAAGTAGAAAAAGATGAACAACCAAGGATGACGATACTAGGGAACACATGCTTCAGCGGTGGCCTTAACACTGTCTGCCGCTTGATGACCGCCAGAAGAAAGACTACTTGTTCCAGTCTTCTTGTCATCGTCCTCGACTTCCACCGAATGCGAGAGATGCGATTTCTCAGCTTCCGGCTCTTGCTTTTCGATGCTCCGGCTTTTCGATGCTCCTTCCGGCTCCTGCTTTTCTTCAGCCCCTCGAGCTCCCGGGCCCCCTCTTCTTGCGTAGCGCCTGTATACGTCGCGCATGAGTGCCACAAGGTGTCCATCATGTAGCACCGGAAGAAGTTGATCACTCACTACAGGAGATGCTACTGTTAAAGCTCAGCACTCAATGGCCACTGACTCTGAACGGAAGAGACCCCCTTCAAAGCTCTCCCCTTTCCCTTCGTTTATTTCCCCTGTTGGTTCTCTCAAGAAGGGGTCGCTTCTTCGATCTCAGTGACCAACCCCAGGGACCATTGAAAGTTGAGCCTTAATATTGGCACTATAGAAGAGGCTGTTCCTCGCTCTCCGGCTCCAGCTTTTCCAAAAGATTCTTGTGTCGCTGTACGCAAAAATCGACGCAGGTTTCGCAACACAAGAGCATCGTATATTTCCACTACCCTCCGATTCCAAACACGGTCAATCCACTCAGGTAAAACGTCCAATCGCAGTCGAAAATTAGAAGAAAATAAACAAAGATGATACTAAAGGAACAACAGTGGGCTATATCTGACCTCTGTCGTCACTCTTCGATATAAGGCGGTTGTAGGCAAAGCAAATTGAGCAATGCGATCTAACACCGTCACGAACATGAAAAAAAAGCTTTGAAGCGGAGAGAACAGGATAAGTGCTAGACAACGATTAAGATAGGATAGGATAAGTGCTAGAAAACGATTACTTAGTTGAGGATAGGATAGGATAGGATAAGTGCTAGAAAACGATTAGGATAGGATAGGGCCGGATACGATAGAATAGCGATAGGGCGCCTCGACTTCGACATTACACAAGGGATCAGAAATACTCCAGAAACATAACTACTTGGCGTGCCTCCTCAGGTCCTCCTGCACTTTTCGTGAAAAGCTCGTCCTCATCGACCGGTTTCCACACAAAGCGATGGCGCATTCTTGCAGCCCTTTCTTCAGCTGGGCTACTGCTCGCAAAGAGGACTGACCCAGCACTTCTCAGGGACTCGTTCGATAAAGGAGGCGTAGCATGATGCTTTAGACGACGAGTCCGAACTGTTCTCCCTCTTCGAACCAACATTTTAAGCTACATAGAGGTAGATCCTCGAGGTGGGAGGCCTCTTTTTCCCCTCGAGGAACCTTTCCAGGAAAGTGCCCCTCGAAATCTTGTACATCCTAGAGAACCTCCCTTATCCCCTGGATGGGCCTCTCTTTTTGAAACCTTTCTCCACATATGATGTCGACTTGTCCGAAGATGGACTAAGTAAGTAATTAGAGAAAGCCTTAAAAAATGCTTCTTGGAGGAGGAGGGAGATGATGATGCTTGCTCGTACGAGGCTGGAGGAGACTGAGGCTGGTCTCGTCTCTGGAGTGCACTCACCTCCAACCATTCCACGAAGGTCGTGCGACCATGGAAGAGCTCAGATAGGCCTTCTCGGGGAGCGTCTATGCCAACGGCAAGCATAACGTCGAAACGCACAAAAATTAGCAGTAGCTTTAAGATGAATCATGTAAGTACCTACTAGTATTGTGATTCTGATGATGGTAGTCAATGAGAATAGTGGATCTCTCATGAGTAGTAGGTCTCTGCAAGGATGAAAAGATGTTAATCATAGATTAAAACAAGTTCCTACTTGGAAATATCTATGACTCAATGGTTCTCTTCATCTTCTGGAAAAGAAATGCGCCGAAAACTACAACGAAGCCTTAACCAGCGATACTCTGGCTTTTTGCCTTTCTCGACGCTAAAAAGCTTCGCAGATCGCTTTCCGACGATCGTAAGCCGCAACAGAGGTTCCCCTTGCCCGTCGCTCGTATTCAGCCGCCTGTTTTTATCTTCCTCCGCCCGACCACAAGTGCGACTTGAACTACTTGGCTCTTCCTTTGCAATTGGACACTCTACGCCACACCATGCCCCTACTGGCACACCCTCCAAATGTGTGATCACGTCTCCTGCGCGTACAGCTCTGTCGAGAAACTGTCCTCGATTTCGCTGCACCGCGTACAACCTACTTAGAACGAGGTTGTCATCACGTGGGTCTCGAACTGTACTCCCGGCGCATCTTCCAAATCGCGATACCGTGTTAATGTGCCTAAATCGTTTTTGGGAGAACGGGATCGCGAGGTAGAGAGACAGAGAGATAACGCACAACGAAAACACAAAGAAGAGGCAGAGGACAGAGCAAACAGACGAAAGGCGCCCAGGGCTGTCGGAGCACATCCATGCCGCAACTAAGCCTGAAAGCCGAGAAGAGACGACCGACGAGACCGAGTGAGGCTCCCCGCAAAACCTTCCCTCCGCTGTCTGCTTGGTACATATTGGCTCACAGTGCCCGCGCCATCCCCTCCCCACTTGCCAGGCATCTCCGTGCGCAGCAAGCAGCCGCGTTCGGCGTTGCCTTTTTCCCCTTGGACTTCTTCACCCGATAAGTTGGACGACGTCGAGGCACCGCAAACAGAAAAGCGATAGCTCCCCGCGCTGAGAGGCGACGCGAAAACCCACAGTGACAGTTGGCAAGCAGGGTACGCAATTGCCGACAAGGAACATGCGACGGACCCTGTCGCAGGGTGTCCTGGTAAGGCGCAACTGCCTGCTCGCACGCACGCGCTATCCTACAAAATAGAATTGATTGCCCGCATGCTCGGTGGAAGCGTCCTGCCCATCTCGGGGGCCCACGCTGCTACCTCCAAGCTGCAGACACGGCGCCGCCTCATGCCACTTCTCGGGGCTGGCTAGGTGCCTGCTGCGCGCTTTTGCAAGGCGCTCCGCAATCAACCAAACCACCCGGCTTCCCCGTCGGAAGCGCTAGGCGTGGCCGTGACCGTCTTGCGAATCTCCAACAAGATGCGCCGGCCTTCAGCCAGGCCCCGAGGGTGCGCGCTAGACAGACACCAGCGTGCTTGCAGTGGTCGCGCCCGAGCTGTACCAACGAAGTCCACACAAGGGGGAGACGCGTGGCACGCTGTCCGACCGGTGCCAACGTACGCCGGGCGTGACGGGTCTCGGCGTCAAAGACACCGCCTCGACCCGACCGCCGTCGCTGTCGCCTGCTCGCCTCCTGCTTCTAGTAACTCTGCCGCGCGGCTGCACCCTGGGAGTGGTGGCGAGCAAAAATTTCAGAGGCTGCGGGCGGGAGCTTGGCCTGACCACTGTGACGCAAAAACCACCCAACTACCCGAGCTCCCGAGCCAGCTGGGCTTGATGATCAAAGAGACGCAGTAAAGACATCCATTCCTTAATCGCATAAACTAGAATCCTACAATCCTGCAACTACTACTACTTTATCTGTGTCTACAGATGTAGGGTGATCACCTCTGCTCAGCTAACGCCCCCTCGCAGTCTGTGACGTAGGTGGACAATGGAGCGGACGGCTTTCCCCGTAGTCCCACTCCTGCGCCCACGAAACCTGGCGTCCAAAATACGGGCTCCAACACTCTGGAAGTTTCTTTAGGACTTTCTCTAAAAATGCCTTTTTCAGCAGCACTGTCCTGAGTCTGAGTGTGGTTATTCAATCCCCCATCTCCTGTAGCACTGGCCCGATTGGAGTTCTTCAATCCTCCAGCAGCGTTGCCACCATCGAACGCAGCTGTGTCATACTGCAGAGTATTCTCCAGGAGCTCAGAAAAGGCAACTTTATTAGAGATCCTAGTAATCCATCCCTGTGCACTAGGTCAGACGTGATGGCATGGAAGCTCTTTTGTACCTTTCTGTGCCTATGCATGAGGCCGTTCGATGAAGTAGTGCCTCCAATGATAGCAGACGTCTGGGGATCTGTGCATACAAGGGAAAACCCCAAGCTATCTGGGGTTTTTCCCATATTTATATTTAAGGTACTTGAGGAATCTTCTTCCTTATAGAAGAAATCAATGGACTAGAGATGGAAATGGATTAAAAGTGGCCTTAACTCCAGTCCCGTACATCGACACTTGACGACACCTCTCAATAGATTTCATCAAAGTCGCCTCTTCTGTTTGCACTGCTTCCAACCTCTGCAGCCAGTATCGAGTAGTATGGGAACACCATCGAGACTCTGGAAGTTTGTCTGGAGAAGGTGCTTGAGGTTGTACATCAGCAGGAGGTATCTCCTGCACTTCTGCTTCATTAGTGCCAACAGGTACAGGTAGTTGCACTTCAGTTACTTGTAAGAACTCAGGTAGCTGTACTTGATGAACCTGGCACTTCTTTGGGGATTGGTTGATGGAAGTAGGCAGCGGGGCCGACACTTCTGCTCTGGGAGGTGTATCTTCACTACTTACTGCAGCACCCGGCACAGGCACTGAAACTGATGCTTTGCGTTTAGGATTTGCGTTACACCTGGTGTCACTGAGTGCGGCCTTTGTTGCAGTAAAGTCGATGCTTCTAGAAGTAAGTGCAGAACTGCTGTCCATGCCTGCAGAAGTTGGTGTACGAGCGCTCGACGACGGTGTCACCCGAGAACGGTTCTCGACATCAACAGTGCCCCCCGCAAGTAGATCTAGACGCGTTGTCCTCGTCTCCTGCGGAACACAGGTCTCCCGCACATGACTGAGTCTCTCGCTGTGCTGTTCGGCCGCAGCCTCCACTATTCGAGAAAGGTGGTTCATCCTCAGCATATTACCAAGTTCAATAATCTCCTGCTCATCTTCTACACAACAAGGCCCCTGATCATTGCTTTGTTTTTTCACTACTGTCTGGTCTAGTACGGTGGACCAGTGCGAGGCTGCCTTCCTCACAACCGTAGGAAACTGCCGACTGGCAGGGGACGGAGACGGTGTGTCCTGCTGTTTTTCCGTAGGAAGCTGACGACTGGCAGGACACGGAGACGGTGTGCCTGGCTCCCTCACGACCGTAGGCAACTGCGGACCACTGGCGGGAGAGGCACTGACAGTACCCGAACTACTTGTACAAGCAAGCCCAGGCGAAGGTATTCGGAACGCACTACTTCGAGTTGAAATTCGCAGAATTGCAGCTGCTTCAAAACTACCATGCTCCTGTTGGGGAGTTCCGCTTGTGCTGTCATAAAGCCCTGATGGTGTGGTGCCGCTCGTTGCGAGAATGCTCATCCGTTGTAGAGCATCCAGAGAGCCTTTAAGAGCTTCAAGTGCAAGGCGTCTATCCCGAGATAAACACGAACTACTGCTTGACTCTGCTAGAAGCAGTTCATTCTGGTGCGCCAAACCCCTGAAAAGATAATCACAAACCTCTTTCGAGCACGACCGCAAAATATGAGATATTAGCGGTAGAGCCACAGCCTGGTGACCGTACATGATCACAAGGAAAATGGAAATACTACATGTAATTTACATACAACACTAACCTCTTCTGGATAAAGAACATGATCATATTCATTGCACATTCTTCGTAGCCTCGCAACTAGAAAAGAAAATGTAAAAGATAATAAAAATACGCCTCACATTAATACGCATAAGTGTAAGACAGCTACTATCGCCATTCGACAGCTCCGAGAATCCTCGGAAGAGCGATCATGCTCGTTAAATCCTCGTAGAATATTGCAGCCCGTTTCCAATGCTTGCACGAGCGATCGAAGTGCCACCTCGACTTCTGCCGGTTGAGTCGTCGTAACGGACACTGGCAGGCTTAGCAGACCACGCTCCTGTGCCGAGGCCTGATATATTAGTGCTGTCCAGTTGTATTCATCTGTTAGCTGTATAATCCTCCAAGAGTATCATTTTCAGGCAGAATATCCGAAGTCATACTTTTCAGGGATGCTTCGAATAGACATGCATTGTTGAGAGCCTTACATGTAGATCCCCTAGCTGCAGCGTCTGTGGCAGCGCCTGCAGAATACTTTCCAGCAGGTCCGGAGGTAACTGCAGCAACATGTCCTGCAATGATATCTGCGCTTCTACCTTTCGGTCTTGCTGAACTGGTAGAAGCGGACCTCGGTTACTCTGCGGAACTAGTTTTTTCTGCGAGAAGGACTGTGCCTCCTGAGGAGAGGACTCCTGTGCCCCCACCTGGGAGGACTCCTGCGCCCCCTGGGACGGAGACTGTACTATTTGCGAAGACTGTGATGCTTGGTGGAAAAGCAGTCGCGGAGGAACTTCTAGCTCACGAGGAACGCAATCTTCGAACGTCACGCCAGGTTCGAATAAGTCGTCGCATCCTAGTACTCGACATGTAACGACTTTCTCCGTCGGCACTTGCAAATTATCATCTACTTCTACACCAATGATGCTATAATTGTTGATGCTATGCCCGACTGCCGCATTAGAAAAAGACGATGATGATCCTGGTATATTTGGCTCCTTGCGGTCTGGGTCCAGCGTAATTCGCGTCCTTTGGATCCACGCCTTTGATGAAAAGAACAGCTCCTTTTCGTACCTATCACGCCAGACTGCCAAAGAAGCATCCTCGGTTTCCTCCCTCACCTTCTCGTCTCCGAAACGGAGGGGCGCGAGCTGCTCATGTAATCGAACCAGGCCGGCGCCGTAGCACACACGCTCGTACTCATCATCAACGCTTTCATGTGCAGGATAACCGAGTTCCATGCTGTCTTCATACGGTTGATCCCCCGCCAGAGGGCTAGCTTCTATTGGAGGTAGGGTTTTGGTGTTCGCTTACCCCGCTTGTTATGCTCTTCCCCCTTGGTAGAGTCAAAACAAAGGGCAACGCGAACACCTAAAACCTACCCTTAATTCTCGCCAGGCGTTCGAGTAATGGCTTCCTCCGCTTTGTTCCTGGGGGGAGAGAGACCCGCCTGCAGTCCATGACTCGCTCCATGACCCGCCGCTAGTAGAAGTCTGTGGAGACCAGGTTGCAGGCGCTCGACCGGCACTTTTTGCTATAGTATCACGACTAATATCCTCCTCAGCACCACGAGTTTGCCCAGCCGGCAGTCCACCTCCTACTACACGAGCCTTGCTCAATATTGACCGCGATGTACTTGTAGTATCCTGCTCTTCATCACCATGTTCGGTTATAGATTCCAAATCCCTCTGCTGGGCTGGTGGATGCTGTTCAGCTTGACGGCCTAGAGGTAAAAAAGCTATTAGCTGAGATGGAGGTGGAGGTGGTCTTCTAGCTGGAGATGAAGAACCTTCTATTGGCTGAGATGGAGGTGGAGTTGGTCTTCTAGCTGGAGATGAAGAACCTTCTAATAGCTGAGATGGAGGTGGAGGTGGTCTTCTAGCTGGAGATGAAGAACCTTCTATTGGCAGAGATGGCGGTGGAGTTGGTCTTCTAGCTGGAGAACCTTGATCCCTTCCCGAAGGAGGTAAAAAACCGAGTAAAAGTTGCTTCCTACGCAGCGCTCTCCTCTCTGTTGCCTTTTGTGCCCCACGGCTTACAACATGCTGCGACCCAGGCTCAGAAGGTCTTCCTACTGGCGCTGGAGGCTCTTCCGCTCTAGTACTCGTCGTACCAGGAGTATGAGATGTTCTTGTACTTGTTGTATCATATCTATGTGGTCCTTCTTGCAGCCTGTCCCTGTCCCTACTACCATGATGATGCTCTCCACTACTAGCACTAGAAGTCATTTCTGATGAAGCAGTAGGTCCTTGCTCATCTAAATAGGCTCTCGGACCCCATCGGAGGTAACTTGGCCGACTGCCAGGCATCCCCTGCAGTTCAATATCACCCATCTGGTTCTTGTTCCTGGTGCCAGAACAAGCTCTCCTAGTATTCGGATTCGCTACAGTCGTTGCTGCGCTGCTTCTAAAATTGTGTTGATCATATGTTGCATCCGCATGATTCCAAGATCCCGGTGGCCCCTGCCACGTTGCACCATGAGGAGGAATCTGCGCTGGTCCCTGCCACGTCGCTTGAGACGGAGCGACTGGCCAGGCCTCGTGAGACGGAGCGGGAGGAGTCTGCCACGTCGCTTGAGACGGAGCGACTGGCCAGGCCTCGTGAGACCGAGCGGGAGGAGTCTGCCACGTCGCTTGAGACGGAGCGACTGGCCAGGCCTCGTGAGACGGAGCGGGAGGAGTCTGCCACGTCGCTTGAGACGGAGCGACTGGCCAGGCCTCGTGAGACGGAGCGGGAGGAGTCTGCCACGTCGCTTGAGACGGAGCGACTGGCCAGGCCTCGTGAGACAGAGCGGGAGGAGTCTGCCACGTCGCTTGAGACGGAGCGACTGGCCAGGCCTCGTGAGACAGAGCGGGCGGAGTCTGCCACGTCGCTTGAGACGGAGCGACCGGCCATGCAGCTTGATCAGAACCGAATGAAGGCTGTTCATATTGTCCTTCATATTGTCGGGCAGCATACTTGTACGGAGGACCAAATGAAATCTGCGACGCGCCTTCATATTGTCGGGCAAGATAATCCGTACAGTCAAACGGAGCAGTATAATCAGGAAAGAGCGGAGATCCATCATGTCCTGCAAGACCAAGATGAGGACCAATTGAAATCTGCGACGCGCCTTCATATTGTCGCACAAGATAATCCGTACACTCAAACGGAGCAGTATAATCAGGAAAGAGCGGAGATCCATCATGTCCTGCAAGACCAAGATGAGTGCTTTGCCAAGAAGATGCGCGGTGGTGGTCAGGAGTAGCACCTCCATAATCTGTTTCCGCGCGCTGCTTTCCTGCAGCGACTGAAGCATGTCCATGCCTGCCTCCGCGTGGCCCTAGGAGCTTCTTTCCCCTCACAGCAGAGCTGCTCCCCAAGAGGAATACGTAAAACAACCAGCGCCACGACAACATCATACCAAGACCAGCAACGTATATTTTAAGATGAACGCACGTCGGCTCCTCCTGTGGAAGACTTACAGATAGAGAAAAAAACACTAGACGTCGGTCTCTGCAGCAAAATTGCGCAACGGTACCTTCTGATGCAAGCGACCTGTATCGGCCATCAGCAAACTGTTTCGAGCAGTACGATCTCCATCATTGTTGTCTAATTCAACGAACAATATTAAATGATCATATAGTCTCATTCATTTCATGGTCATACAAAACTCATCCACCCACATCAAAAAATTCTAATCTCGCAACATTCCTGCGCTACTATGCACAATTAGCGATGCGGCGAGGCTACTAGACACTTTTGTTTCATTATTCTTGTAGAATCTAACGTTGCAGAAGTTGTCCCGCACGTGTGGTAACAACCTGTTCGTGTTCCGTTAAGATAACATCTATCTATCTTTGTTTTTTCACAAAACAGCTTGCTGCAATCTCAAAATGAATCCATGTATGTTGGAGGACCTCAAAATCCATCTGTAGAGGACGCGAGAAGTTGTCTGTGTAGAGCAAGCAAGTTCATCATGGCCGCGATATTGAGACTCACAACCTTCAGTCAACGTACACTTTTACATTAGACACGAACATCGTGTGCCAGACAGGAACATCGCATGCTAATTCGCGGATTTTTTGGTTGCCCCAGAGAAGTATAGCAGTGATCTTCGATCGAGGTACTTACATGAGCGATACGTGTAGAAGCTGCTGTATCCGTTTTCGGTTTTTAATCCATGAGCATAGAAAAACTCCTTGTCTCTGTTGTGACAGGAAACATATTGACATCACTTGAGACTCAGTCGGAACCGTAGATAGGTGTCTGTTGTAGCTCTGTCGTTTTTGAGACACCCAGCCACAGGCTCGTAGAGCTATAAACCATGCTGGCAACAGCTTCCACCACTGCTCAGCACTTAGCCCTGCTTCAAGAAAATTGTATCAGCTCTAGTAAAAATCTTAACTATATGGAGGGAGGTTTCTCTAGCAGAATGTTCGCAGCTGTCACAGAATATTCATAGTTCTGTGGGGGTTCGATAAAAGGGACGATAATATGCGGCCATGTGGACTTTATTATTGATTATGCGGTCATGATTAGGGTCCTGGAGTTCAGGGTTGTGGAGTTTAGGGTTGTGTGGAGAAGCAATCATAGGGTTGTGTGAAGATGAGATGATGCTTTACCTGCTTACGAAGGTTCTTCTTGGTATCTGATATCGTGAGGAGATATATTAAAAAGTCAAGTAACGTCCAGTCAATATGCATAAAATCAGCAATGTTCCAGTTAGATACAGAATCTTCTAGCTACGTGTTGCAGCTCGCACTGCGGTTAGGCTGTGTTAACGTCAAGTGCACACACGACGTGTAAACAGTCATCAAATCTCAATGCTGGGTAGCATCTTTCTATATCAATACTTCTAGGCTGGGAAGATTAATTATTATTCTGCAAGTATAGAAATACTATGCTAACGTAATTGATCTTCTACTCCCCGCTAACGTAATGCTGGGAAGATTCATTACGTTAGCGGGGAGCAGAAGTTCAGGGGGAAGGATGGAAATTACATACTAGTCTTTCTTAGAAGAAGTAAAAGTTTTTCAGTCCTCTTCACTGTCTTCACTGAGTGAGACGGACACGTCGTCCTCGTCCCCCGCATTTTGTGCATTTTGCTCCGCTCCTCCTTGGCCCTCCAGTTGTTGGGGAGCCGCAATCCTGTTGAGGACGTCGTTGCCGGCAGCAACGTTCCCTGCTCCGTGCGGGTCCGCGGCAGCAGCGCGCAGCTCAGCTTCCAATCCGGGAAGTCCTCCCCCACCTCCTTCCAAGGCGGCTGCAGCTAGTTCCACCGGCATCTGGAGCACAACCACGCCCTCACTCGGCGACAGCCGGTAGTAAAGGCCGATCCTCTCGGGTGATGGCGACCACGACGGATACAAAGTGCCGAAGAAGCACACTACTAGCTGGTACAAAAACGTCGTAAGCCAGCGATCTTCTGGTACCTCCAGCAGAAAGGGACCGCTCAAATCCAGCTTCCTCTTTTTCGCAACAGAAGTAGTTGTAGCTGTTGTTGTAGCTGAACTTTGAGTCGGAGTTGTTGTTGTTCCTGCAGCTCCAGCCTGGTCTACTCCAGAAGTTGTTGTTGTGGTATCTGCTGTAGCCTGCTCCTTTTGTTCTCCCGTTTTGGATGTTGTTGTGTCACCTCCACTACTATTCAATATTGTAGTACTACTAGTTGTACTGTTGTTCTTACTATCTTCATCTGCACCACCAGCGCTTGTTGTACCACTCTCAGTAGCGGTGGCAGGAGCCGCTGCTTCTGCCACTAGTTTGCGATCGCGCAAAAACTGGAGTAGCTGTTCACCTCGCAAGAGTCGAAGTTCATACATTAACTCCGACAAGTTCCATCGTGGCAATGGCGGATCGTCCAACTCCTCTTTGAGGTTTTCTGGAATCGGCTGATTCTGCTCTATCAGCTTCTTCCGCTTGGTCTGTCGTTCCTCTAACTTGTTCAAGTCCATCCTTCGCTTCTCCTCTAAGGACGAAAGAGCAAGCAGCTGCTCGCTAAGTGGCGGAGCCTTCACGGAACTCTCGCGCAGCCAAGAGTACAGGGAGTCGAAGTACCTTGGTGGTGGTGAAGCATTCATTATCGCGAGATGATCATGATAATGTTGAAATTTATTTTGCTTTAAGTGCGAGGACAACATCAATGAAAATCGTAAAAAACATTTTCTGGACCAGAGAGACGACATTCTGAACGCAATAGTACCCCCCGTAATCGCTATTGCATGCTGAGTAAATAAATAAGCACAACGATTATTATGTTGTAGATCAGTAGCTTGTAAGATTTTAGTAGTTACTTGATGCTCGCTGAGCTATTCAAATCGATTGTTATTACCCACAGAGAAAGAGTCCGACTACAAGTCCGTAGAGGAGAAACCAGCCCAGCTTTACTTCGAGGAGGACCATGGTCAGCATGACTTTCAATAGCATAGGCACTCGATAGCGACGCCACCAGCTGTTTCTTGCTTTCAGTTTTTCTATTGTCTTCAAATCCTTCTCCTCCTGCGCAGTGAGGGTCTCTCCTTTCGCCTTTTTCTGCTCTAACATCAACGCATACGGGGTGCCCGCTTTCACGTCTCGTGCGATCTCCTCTTTTGGCGGTGAAGGTTCTGCTCCTGTGCCTTCGCCCGAGCCTGTTGAAGAGGACTTACTATCTTTCTTCGTCTTCTTCGTTTTATCTTCTACTTTGCCTTTCTTTTTGCTGTCCTTTTTAGACGCAGAGGAACTACCTGCTTTCTGCTGTGTCCCTTGACCTTGATTTCCTGCAACTCCTGCAGTCTCAGCATCGTTTTTCTTGCTCCAAAAACGAGCGAAAAAACCACGATTGTCTGCTGCGGCAGGTCGGTTTTTGGGACTATTCGCCTGGCCGAGAGTCGACGCTCGATGCCTTAAAAACCGGGCATACCTGATTACGATTCCTTTGATGAAAATAACGAAGTCCACGTCGTGTAATTGAGTACAAATTCTTCAATATGAACAAAGAGTGGTTGATCTTCTATAATCATCCACGTCGTGTAATTGAGTACAAATTCAATATGAAAGAATGGTTGATCTTCTATCTATAATCATCTTCTCCCTATAAAACAAATCAGTACTCTTCGTTGACTGCAGTCGTCCGGCTTCGTTCATCGGAGGTGCTTTTCCCCAGAGGACTGGCTCCCACGCACTGTGTAGCCATCGCAAAATTGCATTTTTCACTCTGGATCGCATCTCCGATCTGTTCCTTCAGTGTTTGGACTCGAAGCAGTTCTGCGCTTGCGAGGACGTACGCGTTTTGAGCGTAGAGCAAAGTCATCATGGTCGACTGCGTATCTAGTTGCAGGGCTACCGGATCTGGGTGCGCGCCGGCTTCTTTCACGCCACCCAACAACGACGTGTAACTCTCGAGTTGCTTCTGCAGTAGAGCCTGCGTGTAGGCTTCCGCTGACATCAGACTCGGATTGCTCTTCGAAGCATTACCCTTCTCACTTTCTTTAGGATTATCCTCCCCAGATGATGCTGTCGAGAAACTTTGTTGCCACCCTCCAGACGACAAAGCGGCGCCGATTGTTGGAATGCCGGTTCCACCTGCCGTTTCAGCCTTCGCGTTAGCCTGTTTCTCAGCATCCAACTTGCCCGCCGCTTCCTCCATCCTGGCTTTCAGCTCCGCGAGAGCAACGAGAGGGTCCATAGCAGGCTTGTTGGCGCTCATTTTTGTTTCTGTATGTCACCGATTCTGAAGACGGGGAGTGTACACAAACTGTACTATAAAAATAGACGTCCAAGTTATTCTGCTACAAGTCCAGATCCAGATGACTCCTGTATGACGAACCAGTGGGTGCTAGTCCATTTTCTCTTGCGAACGAAATCGAGGTACTACAGGAGGATGAGAAGCAAAAGGTACGTACTAGTTACAGGAACTCGAGTAAGTTCTGATCCACCTCACACACTATTCCAATCTATCAAAGCGATAGATGAGACTTCTAGAATCAATAGAGCCTGTTGTAATTTCATGTTGTACAAAGAATGCTCAAGTACATATTTTTATGCGAGAGTACATACTAAGAGAGGCGAGTAGAGGAAGGTCAGCGTAGGAGAGAAGAACTGTAGGAGTTCTTGCGAGGACGGGACATGAGGAGGTACTGAGCTGCAGCTGCGACTTGATGTCATACATTTACAATTCATTTCGAAGGCGTCGATACTACCTCAACATAATGTTTTTACGAAGAATTTCCATTCCCGGTAGAAGAGCGCTCGTTGCTTAGAGTAAGCCTCGTCCGAGCATGCAGCTCCTTTGCTACTTCAACAAGAACGTTCAAAACTGTAGTTACATGTTCATACTAAACATACGAGGAAAGCCGCTTCGAAGAACGAACAAGTGCATTTCATCCATTCCACTTTTTGAAGTTCATCCACAGTGTGAGTGTGCGCTATTTTGTCCCGGACGAGCAGTCAATCAACGAACACACTGTTCCAAGAAGGAACATACACGAGATCTTCTTCCACGAATGCATCCTGTTTACGGCGAAATAAATGAATCCTATTAAAAATGAGATTGATAAAATTCACATGTTGTGATTTTTCGATCAAGAAAATCATTCTCGTTGTTAAAACATTTGCCTGTCCATTACGATGAAAAATTTGCCTATTCAACAACAGTCAACATGATGTCTCACATGGTCGCTTGACTGTCCGCGCTCTCTTTGAGAATCAGTGAGTCTATTCGACTCACACCTATACACGATTTTTTACGCAACGACTTTTAGTGCTGAAATAGATTATTAAGTATAGGAAGAGATTCGATAGACGGCGTCGGCGAAACGTCGGTCGAATCACGAAGGAGATCTAGTCGTGTACCGAACGCCATTATTTCTTGTCTAATGAAACTCTAGTGGTATGACGAATGCCTTTGGTCTAGTATACCTATTTTTCAGTACCTGTATTAACGAGATAAAGCTAGTAAAAATGACTGCATTGTTGATCTTACTCGGAAATTAAGCATATGATAGTACGTGGGTTTCCAGTTGCTAACGACACTCCGGGGCCAACCGTTCCGCCGCCTTTTGGCTACTTCCAATTCCATGCTTCTATTTCACTCTACGACTATCGAAAAGAATCAGTACAAATTACCCCAATGGATCGAGTATATATTACATCAAAAAGACTATCAAGAGGTCTCAAAAAAGTTCATCTATGGACATGCCCGCTTAGGCAATGGAAGACGCGTAAGCTGAGCGCCGATCCGATTCAGCTAGCTCCGCTTGATACCTCCTTTACTGCAAAACTTTTTACGAAACTTCATACTCCCATAGAGCACACCGTTGAGATTTCAATGCAGCAAAGATGAACCGATCACGACCCAACTCAGAAGATATTATAACGACGATGACCTATGACGAACATGATAAACTAGCATTTTCAAATTTCGAATCAACAAAGCATACTTACACCACTCATCCAAAAATACAGGGAGAGCAAAACATCCTGGAACATTGTGAATTTAGAACCGCCGCCCACTGAGGCCGTTGACTGAAGGTCTGCGCTTACTCGTTACATTTCCACTGCCAACGACCTGCAAGCCGACTGCGGCTAGATTTTCTGCGTCCGCGGGTCTCGAAGTCGTGGTCATGTAAAGTCCTTTTCCCGCTGACGGTGGGCCCATGTTGCCACTAGGATTAGAGCTCAAAGAACTAATCCATTGCTAAAATCATCGACCTAATCCATGATCCTGAAGACTAGTATTCCGAGATGCAGCTTGTTTTTTCCCTTGAAAAAAAAACGTTTCCGAACTCAGATACAGACGTTTCAGAAGATGTGGATTAGAATCATTAGAAAAAAGGAACCTTAATGGAAGTAGCAGGGGTCCCTGAGTGCACGGCCGTCGCGGTCGATCCCCCGAGAGGCACAAACATGGTGTTATTTGCGCCTCCTCCTCCGTAGTGATTTCCGAGATTACTACTATAGCCAACAGATTGTTGTGAAGCGTCTGCAGCAGTGAGCGGCGCGCCGGACCGCTCCGTGATAACGCTAGACCCCGCGGGGGCAGGAGCCAGCAACGAAGAAAGCATCTGCTGTTCGTCTGGTGCTACCGTCTCGTGCCTGCCCTCTGAAGCCACTTTGGCATTCAGTGCAAAACTAGTTAGGGTGGTCCCCGCTCCTGTTGGGCCAGCGACTCCAGTGAGTGGGAAACTGCTGAAATTCGGCGCACCTCCAGCAGCGGCACTGCTCCCCGTCACGCTCGAAACTATGCGAGACTGCAGAGCTGCACTGGCAGCTGTGACGTTAGAGGTTGCGATATTGCATTCCTCAGATCATCGTTGACCCTTTTCCTACTGCGAAATGAGTGGAGGATGGTAGTGAGGAATGCAATGGCGAAACCCTTAATGACGCCACCGTTAAATTGACCACCGGCTCCCGCACTACCCCGCTTCAGCGCCTGGCCTACTGTGGTCGTGTGATTCTGGTTGCTCGCACTATTTGGCCGCCGACTGGTCATAGACGATGCATTATTCGACGCATTTTGAGCACTGAGGCTTCCTGGCAGCAGCGGGTTGCCCCCGAGCACGAAAGCGCCTGACGTGGGCTTGCGCATACTCCCTGCTGAAGATCCGCCTGCGCTACCTCCGCTTAAGTTAGAAGTGAAGATACGAGCAAGCCATAGACTCGACAACTTTGAGTTGAAATGGCTCGGGCTACAAGATTGATAGAGTCTAAAAGATGAAATTGTCTCTGCCCTTAATTGACCCTCCTCCTTGTTGCTCCATAAAAAAAAACATAAAGATTAAGATAGATTGTCTCTAGCCATGATTGACCCTCCTCCTTGTTGCTCCATAAAAAAAAAACATAAAGATTAAGATAGATTGTCTCTAGCCTTAATTGACCCTCCTCCTTGTTGCTCCATCCCTGCTGCCTGGCGCGCGTGCTCCGCGATCTGCTGCTGGAGCTGCTGTTGTCTGTTCTGCGGTAGACCGCCACCTGGTTGCTCCAGCAAGGCGTCTACGGTTACGACTGCCATTGCGGCAGTAGGGTTATTCTCCAAGTGCTGTCGCACCAAAGCGGCCACGCGTTCCGTCTCCTCCTGTGTGATTGGCACAGAGTCGATAGCCCGCAAGTTCGGGCAATGGTTGATCAGCTGGTACCGGTACCAATTCTTCCGAGAAAACGGGTTGTTCACCAAGGAAAGATTAGAACCTTACGAGCTGTTGCTTAACCCTAAGAAGCCGAAGCTTACGAGTTGTTGTACGACCTCTCTGATAAACGGCCATCTTCAAAATCTCTTTGCTATTGTCGCGACTATACCTCCACTACATTGATGTACGAGTTGTTCACGTACATCAAACTCGCTGATATAACTATTAGGCCTACATTCTTTATCCTTGTACTAGTACTAGTTCCCTCGCAGACGCAGGACCATAAAAACCGTGTGCAGACCGCGCAGCTCGGAGATGCGGCCAACGTCCCGCAGCTCCTGAATGCGGTTGAAGGCCAGATTGAGAACTTTGAGCCGCACAGTGCGAAACCAGGTGTGTCGACGACTGGGTGACCCATTGGGGCTCACGCCATGCTTGTCCTCCGCAAAATAGTTGATCACGCCATTCTTCGTCACAATATAACCCTGCGTTTTTGGGTTAGAGCTACCATGTTGCTAGAGTAAAAGTTAAAAGGGAAATGATACCGAATTGTCGACGTAGTGGGTTCTAACTAATTACCATCGCCTTCCAGCTTCTTGCTAGGAAATCAAACACTACTAGTACATGTAGAAGTTACATAGATGAAATGGCAATTGATCATCATGGATGATCATATAATAGCTCAACGAGTAAACAGAGCCGTAAGAATTGCGTCGCTTTGTCCGAAAGCAGGTAGCCTGTTCTCCTCGAGATGGAGCTCTCGCAATTCTGTAAGGCCTAAGAATGCCTTGTCAGGTTCGATCACGCGCAGTTTGTTCTGGCTCATACTTAGAGCTCACCCTAATCCATCCTGAGACGCACCCTGATCCATGTGAGAGAGCTTCAGGATGCTTCTGGAGATGGATGAGGGGAAGCCTTAACATATCCAGGAACTGGAGTGCCTTCAAATGCGCAAAACAGCCGTCAGGGATAGACTGGAACTCGTTTTTGCCCAGACGCAGGATCTTCAAATTCCGCTGCTGTCCTAGGGAGTCTGGTACGAAGGAAAGATCCGTGAGGCCCATATTCGAGAGCTCAAGCGTCTCTAGACCAGGCACGCCACCGAGATCCAAACGAGAAGGGTGCAATCGAGCACAGCCGTTCAAACATAGCTTCACGAGTTTTTGCAGAGGCGCGGAATAGATTAAATTGAAGCCTCGCTGCAAGGCTTCTAATGAAAAATTTACCTGTCAGTTTCAATTTCACAGGAACTTGTGGTAACGAAGTCGAAGATATCGTTAAATATAATATGAGTGGAAGTACGCATGATTGTGGTAACGAGGAAATCGTTGATATGAGTGGAAGTGCGTAAATGTATCTTATGGGTGAAGAAAAATCAGGAGCGTCATTCTTCATGTTTAAGCAGTAGTAGGTACCTCTGTAAGTGAAGAATTTCCGTCGAGCACGAGCTTCCGCAAGTGGGGAAACAGGGTTGCGAAGCGCACGTCCGCAAGGTCCTTGAGCCGTTGATTGCTCAGGTCCAAAACCTTCATCTGCGAAAGAACCGAACTGCTCATAGGATGGAGTTCGCACTGTAGTAATTCCTCTACCATCTCCACCTGCAATCGCATGGCGTACATCGTCGTTGCCCTTTGCGTTTCCTCGGCGGTCACCGACACCCCGTTCAACACTTTCAAATGCTTCAGGTAATAAAGTTAGAAGCTCCGACATTGCATGAAATCTTTCAGGAGAGCATCCCTGTTCATGTGTTTTCTTCTAAGATATATGCACTTGAAACTACTCCGTCCCCGCTAGTCATGAGATCAACCTGATATTCTGACCTCGGTGGGCAGACCTCCTTAGAAAAATTCAAGGATGCAAGTGCAGAATTCCACGTGCGAGCCCTTAATAGAGAGTCAGAAGGCGCGAACGGACATCTGCAGAACTGTTCCTGTCTTGCTCAGTTGTAGCACTACTGCTGCCCGATTTATTGGATGTGGACGAAGCGGAGCCTCCGCTTTGATACTGCCCTTTCCGCGAGGAGGGACCACTGGAATCCTCATCGCCTCTGCTTGCCTGCCTGCCGTCTGCGTCGTAGTCTTTGGACTGCTTGTTTCCTAGGTTAGAGAGAAAGTCAAGAACTAGCAAAAAAAATCACTTCATCTAGCAACAAAAACCATGTTCGCATTGATCTGCATGAATGCCGTTGATTCTGCACTTCTAGTGTCCCTCCCCATTGCAATATGAATCATATACAACATGCATATTTCAAAAAATCATGAAGATGATCGGATCATCTTAACTTTTGTCCCATCCGCATCTCCGGTCGGCCCTGCTCGATTGCGCAACGCTTGAGTAATTTTCTTCTTCGTGGCGCTAGTGCCTGATGGTTGTGCCGACACCGTCTCCGAACCCTTCATCTCCCTTTGTTTGTCTAAATCGGCTTGTAGAAGCGTCTGCACGAATGCAGCATCTTCGTCGTCGCGAATGTGGATGCGCTGCCGTCTCTTCGACACACCTCCGTAATAATTTGCGGCCACATCGAACCCGGCAAAGAATGCGTCCACATCGAAGCTTAGACTTGAGGAAGACGCGGAGGATGAAGAACGACCTGCAACGACCGCAGAAGTTTGGTTGCCCGAGTGCGGCTGCGCGATTGCGGGAGTGCTAGGCACACTTGACACGAGTGGCGTACTGCTCGGATCGCCTGGTGTAGTAGTCGAGACCGAGGTTGCGCCTTGGTGGGTCTCGCTTTCGCTGCCACATGATCCCTGCGACGCTACTGGAGCACTTGCAAACTCCACTTCGTTCTGCTGGACACTACAAGAAATAGCGCCAGGTCGTCCTGGCGTTGCGCGGTCTTCATGCTGCTGCTCTTGCGAACTTTTCAACATCGATGCAGAAGTGGTCCTAAGTCCACTACTAGATGACGGGTCCAGTATCATCTCATCTCCGTGTATGGGCAACGGCGAAATCCTATTTGCGCTGCAGAGACCAACACCACTGCTTTCAGGGTACCAGGAGAACAAGCCGGTGCGTCGCGACGGGTAGTACATATTCAGCTGTAGAACCCAAAGCCGTGGTAAGTTTTTCAGGTATACCAAAACGTTGCGCTTCAGAAAATTTTCTGGCTCGTCTTCCGCTAGCATTTCCTCTGTCCAGACGTGCGCCTCCGTGTCCTCCGACATGTGGTCGCGTAGAAGACGTGCTCCGCAACCAAAATTAGAGCTGCTCACGATAATTCATAGCCTAAGGATTCCCTAATCCTAAAGATACATGCCCAGAAAGCTCTGTGGAAACGAATCATTGTGAGCCTTAACAAAAGCGCCTCCTTTCTCCTGTGCATCTGCGGCACTGCTGCTCCCGACTTCGCTGACCGTCTCCACCTCCGACGCACTGCTATTCGCTACGCTATTGTCAACCGATGTGTTATTCCTGCTGTAGTCCTCGTAAAACTTGTACGGCTTGGTGCGGACAATGTCTAGATACAGTTCCACGAGTGACGGCAGCAGCTTGCTGGCTACGTGGTTGCCGCCGACGCGGCAAATGATAAAGGACTCTAGCGGATTGCGCTGCAAGCACAGATACTGGAGTCGCGAGTACACGACTACGTACTCCCGAGACTGTTTCTCGCCCGTCTTCTTAGAGCTTACGACCATAATCGAACTCTGTCGCCTCTACATTCTTCTAGGACAGTTTTTCCCTTCAAAATGAAAATTCTTCCCGAACAAGATGTTACTTCTCACGAGAGGGATTACGATTGCGGAAGGCCTTAACCTTGCTTCCCGCTTTCGCTCCCCCTGCATCTTTGTCTGCCTTGTCCGAGGGTTTGCTCTCGACGTACTGGGTATGCGAAAACAAGTGCGTGATTTCGCGAATCCGGTTGCCGTTCCCTCGAACGCGAATGAGCGTTTGACACTTGCTTTCCAAGCCGGACAGCGAGGTGACACGATTGTCGTCGAATACCACCTCCTCTAAGATGGGAAAGCCATACCGCAAAAACAAGAGGTTAGTGAGCGTGTTGTTGCACAAGTTGATCTTCAGTACATTCTTGAAATCGACCAGAATCTGTGTCACATTCACTAATTTCGGTCGTGTGTCAATGCCACAACTCCTGGAAGTGGCACTTCCACTTGCGGCGGCTCCACTACAACTGCCACTACCTGCTTGATCCACATCTCCGGGTGCTCCTGTCGTGCCAGTGCTTGAGGCGAAATACACCTTTGCAAGCCAATTCCAGGTCATATTTTGAGGTATATTAATTGTTGACCCGCTTAGTGGCGTTGAAGAAGACGAGCTAGTCTCCTTTGCGTTACCTGCTGCCTGTGTCGCTACAGCGTCATGAAAACTCCCCAACATCGTGTGCACAGGATTGTCCCCTCCCTGAATCTTGCCCAGGTCGGCGAACAGGTGCTCGGTGCAATTGCGCAACCTTTTACCTACTTCCTGGTTGATAATGTTCAACGTCGACAGCACTTTCGCCACACTCATGTGCTGCTCCTTCCGCTCAGTGCCCGTTTCTGACCCACTGCCACTCGAAGATGACGCCGATCCAGATGTTGACCGCCCACTCACATTGCCTGCGATACCACCTGGCAGCAAGGATGCATGTGGTCCAGTCTGCAGCTGTAGCCCAGATAAATCCAAAACATTGACTCCTCGCTTCCAGACACTCTGAGTCTTATTTGCGCTTGCACTGCTGCTACTACTTCCCCCTCCTCCAGGCGTACTAGCTGCGCCACCGGTTATAGTACCCGAAGTACAACTAGATCCGCCTGGAGTACTACTTGCACGACCTGTAGTTGTACTACTCTCTGCTGCTCCGGTACTGTTACCAGAGTTTGATGAGCCACCTAGTGTCGATGTTGGCATTGCGTGATTAGCGAAAAGCCGCTCAATTGCTGCTTGTCGGATGCCTGGAAGGAGAAAGAGGGTGTCCATTGTGGCACGACATTTAGGATTGATCGAGAAGATTCGATTTTCCAAAAATGCCAATTCACTCCATTGCGTGGCATCGGTCATCACCGCTTGGGTGCCACTAGCACTGTTATTCAGCTTACTACCATTTGAGGTGGAGGAGGATGATGCAGGAGCTCTAGCTCCACCCTTAGCGGAGGCCACCGTTCGAGCGCTGCTGGACAGAACGCCATCGGTTGTACTACCATGATCGAGGGCACTCTCTCCCTGGTGACTGGAAGCAGTCGTGCTCTGCTCCCCTACTTCGGTTGACGGCGTCGCTGCTGCGGACGACGGCAGTGGTATTACGCTGCCTCCTATTAGTCGTGCTCACAATAATTCATCTCGATCTTCTACGTTCATCATAGTCACGGAAAACATCCATTTAAGGAACCTAACAGAGACACAGACAACATGTCTCCAACAGAGGAGGTCGATGAGTTACTATGAGCCTTAACTCGAGCTTGAGAGTGCTCGCGGTCGCTCCAAGACGAATATGCGGCTTGAGAACCGCCCAACTGAGGTGGAGCCAAGACACATACAGCTCCAGAGCTATGTTGCGTCGTGCACTGGAGAAGGCATGGCTGCGACGATCCAGCGTTGTGCGCTGCAGATCCAGGTGCTGCAGATTCGGGAATAACTGGCACACATCTGCCCTCGAATAGGCCAGCGCGTCGCTGCACATGGGATTGCCCTCAAGAAGCAAGTCTGTCAGTGCAGGGAAGAAGCGCGCAAGCACGATTATTTCCGAGAAAGAAAGTATTCGGTTTCCGCCTAGGTTGAGCTTGCGCAGCCGCGGCATCACACTCAGCTCAAAGCCGGGTCGTGGTCGTGGCGACTTCTCACCGCTGTTGCCGCCTCCTATTGGAACACACTACAATCCACCTTTTTCCTTATCTGTGTCCATTTTTCAACGACACACAGATGAACTCAGAGATCGATTAAGTGAGGCCTTAATTCTAGCGTCGTCGTGCCTGCTCCATCATCTTCGACCGGACTTCCGTTCGAAGAACAAGCAGATGCGGACCTACTCTTCGCAGATAGGTTCGGCGACTCCAGATGCAACTGCTCTTGTTCGTTCCCAGAGGCGGAGCGGCTGCCGTCCGACAGGTGCTGCTGAGCAAAGCAGCTCAATCCCGCATATCTTGATGACGCTCCAGTTGTATTAGAACTCACTACTCCATTTCTTGCCAGATGTGAACTAAGAAATGGACCATTACGTGTTGAGGCCATAATTGTACTAGCACCTCCTGCAACCCCCGCACCTGCAGCACTGTTCCCGAGCAATGACGCTGCGGAAACTACCACATCGCCGTTTCGCAGCAGGCCTGCTCGCGAAAACGCTAGCTCCAGTTTACCACGCGACCGCGACACGACGTCAATGATGTTGAAACTGAGATCGAGCTGCTCCAGACAGGGAAGTTCCGCTTGTAGCTGATCTAGCACAGTCGTGAGACGGTTGCAGGAAAGATCTAGGACACGCACATTCCGGAAACTCACTGCAGCAAGCGGCGCGATGCCACGGATGCCCTGCTGAGACAGGTTGCAGACCGGATTCGCGCTGAAGTCTGTCAATTGCTGCACCTCACACTCTTCGTTCATTTGCACAGTGCGTGCGCGCGGCTTTGCAGGCGCTCCACCGCCCAGAGCTCCACCTCCCCCTGGAGTACTGCATGAGAGGTGGTGGCCGAAAGCTCCGCCAGGAGTCGTCGTGGCAGGTGTGCCTACGTTTTGCACACTCGCGGAACTGCTGCTCAGGCAGTCGCCGAACAGCGCAGACGAGTCTTCATCGTCCGACGGGTCGTATCGAGCAGCCGCTTTCTCCGTCTCTAAAGCTGCACCTCCTACAGCTGAAGTAGCTTCTCCCGCTCCAGAAGATGCAGCTCCTGTTGCCGCGTCGGCTGCACCAGACGCAGATGCTAACTGCTCTATTGGTTTGGAGGTTGATGCTGTCGTCGTGGTGGCGCCCACGCTAGTCGGAAGCGGCACCCTGCGAATGAGGCGCTGGGCGGCGGGCCCTGAAACCAACGCGCTCGCGTGAGTCTGCATGATCGTACGCAGTCCTCGCATCGCTAGCGCCATGTTGTAATCCTACTTTAAAGCTAGTTCTTCACTATGCCTGGCTGAGTGAGTTTCCTTTTTCCCTCCCATTTTCCCGTTTAAATCAAGGAGAACTCCGCTTACCATAGTTCCTGTGGGATACTTATGAACTAGCCTTAAGTAATGGAGCGCGGAGAACCCGTTCAACGGGTTTAGCTGCACCTCCTTCGGCAACGACGGAGGCTGTGACACGTGGCCATACTTCACGTCTACTAGAAGTGTGACGATGTAACACGGCACCACGTCGTGCATGCGGGCACGATACAGCATCACCCTTTCTCGATTTCGCCCGCTACCCCGTCCTTTCGAATTAGGGCTAGTGGCATTTGCTCCCGATGCCTGATCCGCTGCGCTGGTTCCGTCCGTTTTGCCTGGTGTGAGAGTCCGGCCGCCTCCCGAGTGGTCGCCCCTTTGCACCGCTGTGGTGACCATGCCGAACGGGCCACTAGATGTCGCTGACATCCCTGTTTTCACTCCAGAAGCTGCGCTACTACTGCCCGCCGCTGCTGCTCCTGCATCTCCCGACGCGGACGAGCCCCCCGTTTGCTGCGTCGAATTGGGCGACTGCGCGTCGCTGCGCGTCGCTCCTCGCTTCTTCTGGCTGCTAGCGGTGAGAGCACGATCTCGTCTGCGCCGGTCTTCTATTTCTCGTCGTCTTGCATCCTTCTCAACGCCGCTGGCTCGTCCGCGCTCGTCGGTCAAACTCGTCTCATTGTCCGAGTCTGACACTTCCGAGGTGTTGTCCGTCGTCTCATTCTGTGAAGCCTTCTTCTTTGACGACGTCGTCGTGGTACTGTCTTTTTTCGATGCTGCGATAGGACTGGTCTTCGGCAATGTTAGAGCTACCGCATTTTTGACATCCTTGAAACAAGCATACTTCGCTCCCTTAGAAGAGGAAGGAAAAGAGCCACACATGGTGTTGAGGATGCCCTCTTGGTTGCCTTAACAGTGGTGCCTTCCGCGGCATCGTCAAATTGCTAGACGTAGCTGTTCCACTGACGGGCTGTTGTGTTTTGCCCTTGTCGTCTACACTGCAAAACCGGCTACCGGTGGCCCCGCGGCCCGCGGTCGCACTAAATTTCGGTCGGACGTACTTCCCTTAGAGGTAGGGTTTTGCTGCTTCTGGTTCCCGTTTATTCTGCCTTTCTCCCTTAGAAGAGGCCGAACAGACGGTACTAACAGGAACACCTTTAGCCTGTTCTTAATTCCCCTTCGCGCCTCCACTGCCGTCGGTCTGGTCCTCCTCAAACGCGCGACGACCCGGTGAAGTGATAGGCCGACACTTTTCGTTCTCTGACGAATTTGCCGACGAAGACGTCAGCACTGAAGTGAAGACATTGTGACTGCGTAAAACAACGTGTGTTCCCCTTCGAGGTAAAAAAACACATTAAGTACATGGTTAGGGGAGTTAGATTCTTGCATCATGCTTGGTCTAGTTCAATTCTCAGATACAGGTGGCTCAGATCTGCCTCCAACTATATTGGACAAACCATCTACACCATTATCTTATACATGAGTTTTTCCTACCGCTTTGGTCGTTCCAAAGGCGTTTCACTGGGCTTTTTCTCTGCGGTGATATAGGCGAAGCAGCTGCTTTGTGAGTAAGCGCTGATCCACTCAAGAGCTCTCGACAGCTGCTTTTCGTGATCGGGACTAGAGAGTGCACACTCGGCGACCCCGAATAAAACCGATCCGCCGAGCTACCGTCTTGCCTGCCCTGAGATCGTGGCGTCGCTCCGTGTCCTCCTGCACCGCCAGAATTAGAAGTAAAAGTCACCCAAAGCGAAATCTCCTCCCACTACTTTTACGAAGTTCTCATCTTGGAGCTGAAGCTGTAGTTTTTCCTTATAAGAAAGTTAGTAACATGGGACATCAGCTTCAACACGAAGGAACTAGATAGCATCATGTATGCTGGACCACAAGAAGTAAAATTTTACAATAGGAGCTGGACAAGTAAGATTCTAGTAGAGGAACAAGTCTTAACAGAAGTACTCCCACCTCCTGATGCGCTCCCACCTCCTGACGCGGTGCCCGCCGTGTGCACGAGATCGACCTCGCGGTGAAAGCAGCGCTCCAAATTTCGACTCGTTGGGTGCTGTAGTGGCTCAATTTCCTCCATTGTATCGGTGAAAACTTTGCACACTACTACGTCGATCAGCATCGGCGATGTGCCGTAAATGCTGGACCCAATGGAGGTCCCTGCGCCAGAGAGCGCGCCGCTGGAGCACCACGACTTGGAGCGAATGTTGTTTTCCGCAGCGACACGTTCCTTCGCGATCAGCTCTAGAAAATATTAGCAAAGTGCTTCTGTTCAAATCTCGAACTTCTCATCGTGTTCGTGGTACCTTTCCAGTTGTATGCCATGGTAAAGGTTAAAGGGTAGATGGACAAAAGTTCTTGGCCATAACTGTTGGTCAAATACGTGTACTCTGGAGGGCGCTTGGCGGAGTGATAGGCGTGATAGCTGCTGCTCCCACCGTTACTCTGCTTCGGACTAGCGCCAGGGCTGTTGTAGGCCGTCGTTCCTGGGGACCCGCCAAGCAGATTCCGTGTGCTCGTGGGCGGGCTGGCGGGATGCGGTTTCTGTGGGCTGCCTGGGTTCGACCTGCCACCAAGGATCTGAGCCGTTGACCCAGCCGAATTGAGAAACGCGGAGACGCGAGCCACTGTCCCGGTAGTCCCGGATGAGCAGTTGCACGCAGCAGCGCTCATGGTAGGCGGAATCGCTCGGGCACTGAAGAAACTGCTATGCAGGTGGTAGCTTTCTCCTGCAGCTGCACTAGCACTGACTTCCCATCTCTGTGAAATGGCCGTCGAGAAACGCACGCCGCCACTTGAAGTGCTGGCACCTAACGCTGAAGAGCCTGCTCTAGCAGTAGTTGTACTATCGACTGGCTGCTGATCCCTACAAAGCGGATTCGCATGTACTCCACCACCGCCGCCTCCCCCAGCAGTGCCTGCTGCACGCCCATGATCTTGGAGTGGCCCTGAGCCTCCCCAGCCAGTGTCCGTCACTCCGCATCCGGCAACCGTTGGCCACGACTGGTGGTCCAAGCATGCTGAAAACTGGCGTAACACTGTTTCCACCGTGTTTGCGTCCCCACAGGACATGATTAGAGCTATCCCGACTTCATCCCTGAGGGGATCCCTCAAGAATCTCCCGTGTATTTGGATGGCCTACTAGACGTAGCCTTAACATGAAGAGGTAGTCCGGCTGCTCATTCCCTGCCAGCTTGCGACGTAGCAGCACGTCGTCCTCCTCGTCACCAAGCATGAGGTCAGCCGTTGTCGGATTGGCGGAGGTAACAACCCCAGGCTTCTGGCTTACCCCTTCCTTCTTCGGCCACACTGGGCCGTGCGATGTGAAGGTGACACCCTGTTCGTGGCGATTGAGAGTACGGCAATGGTGCTCGACGGCCATGGTGACGATGATAGCATATTAGGGAAAGCGACGTCACAAGACTACTCTAAGCATCAGAAACTGACGTTCAAAATTCTCTCAAGTACTAACAGAAACAATAACTCCAATAACTCATCTGAGAGGGCAAACTATCCTTTTCAACTCATCTGAGAGGGCAAGAAATTATACTTTTAGCCAATTCTTTTTCTCCGCTTCCGATGTCATCCGTTCTTGCTCCGCTTCCACGCGTGCTTGCCAGAAGCGGTTCCTTAATCTTGCTACTTGAACTGGGCGGACGCTCAGGGTCGTTTTCCCCTGTTGAAACGCGGTTTGCTGGAACAAGTCTTGTAATGTTGCGAGTCCTAGCCTCTGGTTCGCGATAGGCTCAATGGCACAGAGGGCCACTGATTCCAGCTCCAGCAATTTCACTAAGGTGTCACGCCTCGTCAAATCGTCTAATGTCTCGGACAGTGTTCGGTAGGTGATTCGCAGCGTCTCGATGTCCTGTTGTATGGTGGAAAGTAAGTGATTCGAAGCGTCTCGAAGTCCTGAAACAATCATATCAGAGGTTTTAAGTTCTTCTAGAATACTTTCCTCATCTGTCTGCTCCACTTATGCGGTGGTAGCCTGTGCACTAGTGCGGCGTGCACTTTGGTGAAGAGTGGCAGAAGCGCTGCGCGTAGCTCGGATGCTATACTTGAATCCAGATTGTCGCGCATGGAGTAGAACAAGCGTTTCTTCAGATAAGCGATTTCTGCCTGCCGCAGTGCCGGATGAGAAGCCTGTGAGAGACCGTCGTCTTCTTTGTTCCCGATATTCGCCTCTTGCTCCTGCTTGGCGCCTTTCTTATCGGGTGATTTTGTGCGGCCGTCACCGTCTGCCCTCTCGCTGGCTGCTGCTTCTCCCTTTGCACCTCCAGAGGAAGAGGACCCACTTCCGTCTTTACATTAGACGATCAAATCATTCTTCCGCAGGCATCCAGTGAGTCGACATTAAGTACAATGCTGTAGTGACCAGAACCACCAATCACACACTTTGTTATAATGTAGTAACCAGAACCACCAATCAAAGATAATGGACGACCTAAAGAACAGTAGAAAGATTACTTCTCATAACTGAGCTTCATCTATTACGCTGCAAACATCGACATTACAGAAGATCATTGTTTTTGATTGCTCTCAGTCAAAAATACTAACTGCCATACTTAATACTATTCCCGCTTGACGTCGTTGAATCCACGCGAATCTCATCCAAATGTTGCAGTTGCCAGCCAATATAGCGCAACACGAACATCTCTTAGGCCTCCCCAAGAATAATCTCATCTTGAAAAGCATCCTTCATCTGGTCCTTTCTTCGCTTACAATCAAAGGAGTCCACGAAGCCATAATGGTCCGCGTTTTCCCCTTACAATCAAAGGTGTCCAGACAGGATGCTTCAGAAGATCAGCTGGGGCAGCAAGCCGTAAATCTCGTAGTTCTGCAAAGAGCACAAGGGATTGCGCTTCCAGTCAGGGTCTGCAAAGCTCAGGGAAGAAAGCGTGCCTCCGAATTTACTCAGTTCAGAAGTTAGAAACGGGCTCATTTTGAAAAATGTTGACACGACTTTTTGTTGCTTTATTAGGCACTCATGGTGCCCAACAACGGCGAGGCAAATCTCCATGATAGAGTCCCGGTGACTAGTACTCCTAGTCAATCATGTACTCAATCATGCCACTTTTAAGTAGTGGTGACTCAGTCCATACTAGGAGGTCTGCGAAGAGCGTAAGCTGGTTGCCGGCGACGTTCAACCGCTTGAGAGTGGGGGACAGAAAGGCTATGTTGATATGATCGATCTCATTGCCAGCAACGTTAAGGTCCTGCAAACTCGTAAAATAGTTCGTGCCAGCAAGAGGCGAGTTAGAAGTGAGCATGATCGTCCGAGAAACTGAGGTTTTGCAAGGTAGAAGTTTTGCAAGTGCTACAGCTATTAAATAGGTAGCAGTTTTGCAAGGTAGTCTCCTCTGTCCTCTTCATAAAAGTCAGCCGATTATCCATGATCCAGAAGACCTTTAGTTTTGTCATGAGTTTCAGGTGCCACGCTGAGTGCAGGTTACGGATGCGATTGTGGCCTACGTAAATTAGAGCTCGCCCTGTTAGTACATCTTGAGCTTCATCCCGGATGATTCTCCCCGTTGAGAGCCGTTCTAGGATGGCCTCTCGCAAGATGAATTGTGGAAAACCCTTAAGCAAAGTTGCTCCAAACTTCGAGAAAGCAGGTGCAACCCCTTGAGACTCGTAATGCGGTTTTCATTGAGGACCAGTTTCGTCAGCGTAGGCATTAGCTCGCCTGGAGGGCCACGCCGTGTGTTGGGACTTAGAATTAGAGCAGGAGGGAAGACAAAAGTGGCTTTATGGAGGTATGCATCTTGCATTTTTGAAGGAGACATCCAATTATGCCCAACTTAGTTATAGTCACCTACTCGAAAAACTGAAATAAGCGAGTAACAGACGAGAATAACCGAGACACTGACCAGAAGGACGAGTAGCCTTGCTGTTAAGCTACGCCCCTTATTTCAGTCAGTAACTCGGTTATTTTCAGTTTTCGAGTACACCTTCACCGCGTGACTACTACTAAGACTGGCGCAGACACTTGTCTTCAGACATAAAGCAGCTGCTTCGAGGACTGGCGGTGTGGGCTGGGAGACGTGTTTCCCATCTCGGGAGGGACTAAAGACGTTGAGATTTTCGCGTCGAAAAGGGCTGCGCTCTTGGGCGCTGAGTCCTAGGCCATTGAGATTCTGCTGCACAATCGTTAACTCCCTCAAATTCCGAAACTGGGACAGCTCAACCATTGGCGGGACCTAAAGTTATAAAGGTGTGGTCGCTGTGGTCCTCAAGTTTCCCTTCACTAACTCGAGGAGAGGGAACACTAGGAGCTAGTACTGATAACAACAATACTACTGATACAACCACGTAATCGTAATCGAATATGTACAAAATATTAGATTAAATATTAAAGTTGTAGCTCCTGGAAGTATTAGAGTAAAGTATTAGAGTAAAGTCTGATGATATCCGGGAACAACACCTTGAGCTTGGTCCTGTCCCCAACGCTCCCACTGCTGCTTGCCGCACTTCCAGCGGCGCTCGCAGCGGAGGAAGTTCCTCCTTCTTCATCGTCGTAGGGCTCCGCTGCTGAACCAAAGACCCGGATCTGAGTCAGATTGTCTGGTTCTGCGAGCTCCTTTTTCGTGATCCCCGCGAAAGAGCAGAACTGCACGAAGTCCGTGTCGGTGTGACTCAGACGCTCCAGCGTCTTCTTCACAATAAACGTCTCTGGATTGTGAATAATCATCCTGATGTCGGAGTCGGGTCAAAGCGTCTCCTCCTGAAGCACTCAAACAGACTTCCCTGAGTATTTTCGTCGTCTGGAGCAGCCTAACCAAGTTGGCTTCCCTTGGAGAGCAAGCATCCGGTTTCGCGCGGTTTACTCTACCATGGTCACCACTACACAGGCAATTGCTAGCGTGTCTCGTCTCGCTCTACTGTAAGAAGCGAGCGAGAGTTTCCGGTTCTCCCGTCTGCACTGGCATCTTCTACTGCGCTAAGGCTTTCACTCTCCACTGTTGTGTCGCATCGCTTTTCCCGTAGTTTGCGATGGGTGACAGAGAACTCGTTGACGCATGGTAGTCACCACAAGCTCAGTCTTTTTTCGGATGATACTTAGCACTAAGTCTGTCTCTTTTGAAAAACTGTGATAGTAGTTTTCAGCCTTATACTTTTCAAACGGGTAATATTAAAAAAATGTCTGCTCCTATGGTTTTCTAATTTTTGTTTCATATCTAGAGCTGCAGGTCCTTTACCTTTCATTTTGCGCACCTGTACTTCTAGAAATTTCTTCAATCAAACTGCTACTGAATCCTCCATTTCTACATGAACAAGGTTTCTCGGTCTTACTGTTCGCTCCTCCGGCTCACAGCTTCGCTCGAGGACAGATTACACTTATCGAGTCATGTAGAAGACTTTCAAACTGTCGCTTTGGACTTGACCAGCAGACCGATCACTTCCATTTACCATAGCCTAGCACATAACACTTGTTCGCCGTTGTATGAAAAGCGTACACAATCTGGCGTGCGCCAAAACGAAGGTGCCTTCTATCTTTGTATGTTTTACGTCAGAAGTTAATCAGTATCCATTCGTCCACGAAGTGTTGTGTTGCGAGGAGATCTTCGGAAATAGAGAAGGTCGTAATTCGCTTCTAACATAACAAACGGATTGTACATTGATATAATGTAAGCATATGATATAGACCTTAGAATTTCAAGAAATATAGTTCTAACGCAGGTAGTTGTTGTCTCTTTGAGAAATTCCATACGTGAAAACCCCATCCGTTGCGCGGTGGTTTGTACACTGGTTTGCCTCTTTGGTTGGTACTTCAATTCTGCTTCATCAAAACAATGTTCTTCTCCTCCCATGCGTTACAAATCAATTCACATTGAAATACGATCATAAGCGAATATTCGTCAAGCACGCCAACAGCGAAAAGCGCGCACTAGAATATCAAATGCGAATAACTCTTTTTGTCGCGCAACAGGTATCCGGCTGCGCAAACACCACAGCGTTGCGTACAGTTAGTTTGCGGATTTTTCGATTCAAACCTCGTCGAGCGGGATTTCATGCAGCCATTTGCACTTATCACCTAACGATGGTTTTCATTTCGAAATCTTTTGGATGACTTCAGAATGAATAGGTTTAGGTCTTCTTCTCCTGCACTATATTAAGAAAGTATCTGTAGTTGGTTCCTGCAGTAGTAATAGTAGTTTTAGTTTACCCATTGGGCGGGTAAGCCCACCAAAAAGGGGGAAAGGGGAAGTCCTACAAAACTGCATTTTAGTAGGTACCACGCTTGCACTCGCCAGTGTTCACGAAATCCCAGCAATAGGGATAATCATCTCCCTCCCCGTTGGGTCCGACTAGTGTTAAAGCGTGCCTGGGTCCATCTCGGTCCCCCAATCCTGATATTTGCAAAACTACAATAACCGAGTGAAGGACTATCCTCGAATTTCCTTGCTTATTTTGAGATTTCATCTACCTTTTCTTCTGTCAAGTTGATGGGAGAAGAGTACCAAGAACAACACGAGGGGACTGAGATGCAAGAAAGCTGACCATAATAGTGGCTTCTTTTCTTTTCCTTTTTTTCCCTTGCCTTTTTTCTTACCCTTGCCTTTGCCATCTCTGCTTTCTCTGTTTTCCTGGACGTTGATTTTCGCGTAGTCGCCGCCTTTCTTGCTGCTATACATGAAAGAAACGTTAACAGTAAGTACATCAGAAAACAAACAATAGGTGAGGAAAATACATAAATTAATCAATTTCCATGGTTCACTTCTTTGTGGTTCGAGTTTTCAGTATCCGATCATAACTTTTGATCCTGCTACCATGAGGCTCTCGCCGGTGGTTCTCCTCTCATGCGCGTTTGCTGCCTTCTTTGCATTGCTTGGCGAAACGTCAGGCACGTCATCATGACTCCAATGGCATCTTTCTCCCCGCGGGCAGTAGCCTGAAAGAGGGTGGGCAACAAAGTTTATATATTGGTAGACTTTTAGCGCAAGCTTTAGCTAAAAGGAACACGCCCCACGCTGAAACAGAGCGCCACCGCCTCGAACCGAGGCCGATCGACCTTCCCACACTCACACAGTTGCCTGCGCGCCACGGAGCCCACAGGCGTCACCCTAGCCCCTCGCGACAGCGACTGCCGAGCACGTATGCCGATAAGCAAGGCGAGGCGACACAATCAATGCAGCACACCGCCTAAGTGGCACGCTGCGACAGAAGCCCTCAGCCTCTTCATGTAGTTCCTGGCCGCACGCGGCTGATAGACTGGCCCAGGCAATCGCCAAAAATAAGAAAGGCCACGCCTAGCTCTAAGGCCTTGCGGCATTGACAACGACGCAAGCGCTGGAGATTCCGCGAAAAAGCCCCGCCATGGAAACAGCCCCCCGCGACGGACTGCTCTACCCCACAGCCGCAGCACCTTCACCGTCAGGAGATAGCCTCTTTTGGGCCGGCGCCGTTGGGTGCAGCGCTAGGCGTGGAGCCTTCAGCGTGGCAACCTAAACCGAGGGGGACAATTTACCAAAGCGAGCGCGTACCCTTTTCCCCCAGGCACACCCCCCCCAAAACGCCCAAGGGCCCGCATCCGCCTGGCGCCGACCAGTCACCAAGGCCATGCTCGAGGGGCCCCCGCTGGTCGTAGACATCGCAAAACGGCACCGCGGGGACCGCCGGCAAGCTACGCCTCTCAGGTAGTGTCCTCCATAGAGCTGCGCTCTTTACAACAACAGCGACAGGGGCAAGCTCTGTCGCTATCTATGTCGCTGCCCTGCGTAATCCGTCGGAAGGCGCCAGAGCTTCCAGAGCTGGCCCGGTGCCGTTTGCCTCCGTTCGGCGCTGCGCCCTCAGCCGCGAAACTTTGCCAGACGGAACCAACGCCGCCTCGAAGTGGGCCGCGCTGCCGTTATCTTCTATCAATGAACGCGCCCGCGCTAGTATAGCGAGCAGAGCCGCCAACACTTTAACCCGCAGGCCTCAGCCTTGCGGCGTATCTCAATCCACGCGCCCTAACGCCTTCCGCGGTGGTGTTCTGTCACCATTGACACCACCCCCGCGGCCGGCCCTGCCGCTCCCCCCGCCTGTAGGCGCGCTGCGCCCCTCTGCAAGCGAGGACGGGCATGGCGTGGCCCCTCACCTATATATTGGCCGGGCCCTCCTCGGTTGTGCCTAATTTCCTCTCCCGCCCTTTCCAGATCCCTAGGCGCCAGCTTTCCCAGGTGAGCCTTCCGAGCCGCCCCTCTTCCCACCTTTGGCACCGTGCTCCAGCCAAGCCTCCCCCAAAAGGTTCTCTGCCAGGAGGTAGCCAGCAGAAACGGCGACCCCGCCCCCCTGTGGGTCAAGCACTTCAAAGCAAACTAACTGGGCCAGCGCCGAGGCCGCTATCCATCAGCGCAAGCGGGCCGCTTGTCAGAGCAGGGCGCGCGGCGGGCTGACCCGGCCCTTCTCCCAAGGCGTGGAAGGTCGGAGACTTTACGAAAGAAGCAACCAACGCCAAAAACTGGAGCAGCTCCTTCAAAGTGTGCGGGTTGAGGCGCGACAGATCGCAAAAGACGTCGCAAGGAAGCACCCCCGTCCGCTGTAAACGCGTGGCGCGACTGGCCTTCTTCCCGCAGCGATTGCTCTGCCGGAGATTGTAGCTTTGCCCCACCACTTAGGCGCCGCGCTCGCAGAGCCCTCACGAGGAACCCGCGATCGCGAAAGTTATAGGCAAACCCTTGAGCGCAGTAGTGCCGCCTGGGCCGATACATGTCGACAAGTGCTGGCTGTCCTGAAATTCCACTCTTGGCAACTCCTTGTCCTCCAAGAATAGCGCAAGGCTCGCGGAACCCTGGAACCGCAAAGGCCCTCCTTGCTACGTTCAAGCCCAGCTCTAAGCCGCCCGCCCTGCAGTTTCGCTATGAAGTCGCGAAGAGTTGGCGCCTGAGGGTCGTTGGGATTGGGGCCACCCTGGTACTCCATGGTCGCCCTTTTGATCTCAGGCATGGCGCACGTGGTTCCTCCTCCAGAGTTCACGCAACACCGGCTGACGTTGCTAGCCCAGGACCTTCTGGGGTGAAAGTGTTACGCAAAGCTTGACCCCAGGGCTCCACTTGTTTGCGTCTGAGTGGCTGTGGCTCCTCTTGATCTTGTCGCGCAACTCCTCCGCTTTGGCAAAAAGCTCCCCAACTAGAAAGGAGACACTCGCCGCAGTGTGCCTCTCCGTGCATGCAGTGGGTAAGTACATCGCCGCTTTTTCGAGTCGGAAGAACTGCAAAACGGTGAGGCCCCCAGCGCAATCGCTGCGGGAAGGACGTCGCTAGTGGTCTGCCCGACGGTCTTCGACACCAGCGCGCGCACGTAGGCCCACTGGAAAGGCTTGGCCCAGGCCTTGGAATGTCTGCCCCAAAGTTGTACGTAGCCACGCCGCGCGAACCCATGGGCCAGCAGCTTACTCTCAGCCGCGACATAGTTAGCGCCCCAGCCTCCCACTGCAGCGCGGGAAGACGTTGGAGGAGTGTCGACCCCATGCCAGCACTGACTCCGGCTGGATCTCCGTGAGGAGATAGCTACTTCATACTGGATAGGCAAACAACTGCACGCAAGCGCCGTCGCGAAAACGAGGAAGAGCTCCAGCTTATTTGGGTGAGCGTGCTGCAACATGTCAGCCTACGGCCCCCGGTCCGGGAGCCTCTACCCAAGTAAAGAGGCCGCGGGACTTGGAGCCCTTGGCGCTTTGCGTTTGCCTTCCTCCATCGTGGTCGGCCTCCGGCGATCCTTCCGGCGGAAACCCAAGGCCACGCCCTGGCTTTGTTTGGCCGTGTTCACAGTCAAGCTTGCTGCCACGAACCCAACGCCAGGGCGGGCCGCGCTACGGGTGTCGCCAGCGGTAGCTCCCAGGTGCAGGGCAGGCCCGTCCACCTCCTGCAGCCTCTAGCCGGTCCGCGCTCTCGCATGGGGGGAGCTGTAGGAAGCTGTGGGCGCGCCTACTCTAGCGGGGCCTCCTTCGCTCGCGCACGCCGCGGCGCCTGCCCCCATTAGCGCCGCCCCGACTCGGCCCAGCGTTTCGCCGCGCGCCGATCTAGTCCAGGCCCGACGGAGAGGAGGCGCAAAAAGCTGGCGGCCCCGCGCATTTTCGACGCGAATACCGCCCAACTACTTACCACGAAAACGGCCCGGCCGCCTCATAAACCTCTTGCTTGTCACCAGAGCTGTGGAACTTAAGAAGTCTTCGTTCTGTGAAGTACCTTTACTCTTCCAGTCCAAGCATGTCAGATCTACTTCGGTCTCTCGTGCTGTAATGTCCCGTTTTTGCATCGACTTTATTACTGGCAGTTTCCTCGGCGCTACCTGTGTATTTGCTCAAATACGTGAAGAGCAAACTCATAGCACAATGTTGAGGGTGAGAGATATTTTACGAGATCACCAAGAAAAACAAATACGATAGAACTAAAAATAAGAACAACAGTGATTATAAGCAGATTCTGGCTCTTGGCATTTCATTCAAGGTGTCAATTGCGTCAACCCAGTACTACAACTACAAGGAAGTGAGTATAAATCTTATACGGCCGATCCCTTGCTCCCCTTCGCGGCGCCCATCTTTTACGATTGGATTAGCGTTAATCTAATTAGCACTTACTTCATACATTAACTGAGACATCGAACACGATCAACATGTACTCGTTAGTTTCGTTACGATATCAAGGTCGATCCTTCCGTAATTCTTACCGGTAACATTCTGTGACAAGAAAAGCGTCTCTCTAAATGGAGGGAACTTAGTGGAAGAGGGGAATTCGCGCTGCTGGTATAGCACACCACTACACCTTCTTCTGCCTGGAAGGCCACAAATGTCATGCCATGGCACCTCTTATGTAGCTATTTTTGTCTACCTGTGAGGCGCGAATAACCCAAAAATAATTGTGCTTGGTGCTATGAATCTGGTCCCAAGTCCCGGGATTATACATTGATTGTATATTTCGAGAGGTGCTCCAGATGAACACGGGTGACTTATATAGCCTATTTCTGTACTTGATCGGATGAATCATTTCAAGGATCGTGTGGTATGTTGATGAGCCTTTTCTTCAAGATCTCAACCGATTCTGAAGCCTTCATCTAGATCCTAAAAATTTGGATTTCTCATACGTTCTCCACAACTTCGGCCTAGATTTATATGAAGATGCGGAGTCATTGCGCGCCCAGAGTCAGTTTTGAACACATCCTGCTACTCTGTCCTCGTGAATGGGCAAAGGAGCCCTAGCAGAGTCTGGCTTTACTAAAATCACTCATAATGTACGTTCCACCAACGAGTTTGAGTACATTCTTGTTTAATCTTTTCTTACACAGGAAGGGCTATCAGCGCATCCATTTCTTTTAACAACGGCTAGTCGCGTTTAGTTTGCGTTCGGCAGTCTGGTCGTTGATTTGTACTATCAGTAGCAAGCGAAGTGAGATGAATGAAAAACAGGTTAATTATGATCCAAAAACGGGTAACCAATGAGAATCCTAAGTTGATGTTTGTTTCTATTTTATTTGCGTGAAGCAAAAAAATGCAAAATGACTGTGCGAATCAGGTATACTATAGAAATGACAAGAAACGTTGATGCTGCGATCTTAACGACTACGACAACGACACGTGAAGATGATTTTTCTGGAGAAGCAGAAATAAACTAGCAGAATTTGTTTCCTTCGTCCAAGACAACCTAGAACGAACGAGGTAGCAAAATATGGATTATGAACAAGATTTGCAAAACCAATCTAAAGACAAAATTATCATTCTATGTATAATCAGGATCATGCTCATGTTCACGTTGATTGTCCATCGGTCTTTAATGGAGGAGGCTGCGTTCGCGTAAACTGCAAAAACATTATTACCTAGTACGGAGAATATCATAACATTAACATTTCCCCCGTATGGGGCTTGTTCATGCTATGAATCAAAATGACGACTTCAAAATCAATAATATGGCAACATTATTATAGACCACAGCAATCAATCATAGCTTCAATTTGGAACAATGTTACAGCGAAACAAGACTTCTGGATGAATAAATTGGCAACTTTATGACACTCAGCGAGCCATACCCACAGCACGGAGACCATCGGCACGCGACACTTCACTCCGCAAAGCGTCTAAGTCCTTTGCTGCGTTTCCTACTTGCATTTTTTAGAGTTGGAAGATGAGACAAGAATCTTTTCCCTGATGAGGATGGACTGATCTTGAGGAAGACATAAATTTTGAGTAAAGCGAATTTTCGCAGCAAGGCAACATCCTCGTCGCGGCATACGCTACTCTCGACCTGCGAAAGACACACAGTTTTCTCGGTCTAAATCAAATTAAAATCAAAATCTCCATGGAGGCAATGCAGTAGGAACAAAAGTCATGTCAAACTAAGAAGAGTGAGTACTATGACTCATCCAGGGGCCAGGGCCTACCTTCAACAACAAATGATAATCAAAGCGTAGAAAACTAGTATTGGTACTTCATCAAGCTCCTCTAGGCATGATAGGAATGTATCTTCTATCTTCCGCAAGGTTTCCCTTGTACGCACTGCGGGTCTTGGATTCACGGTCTGTCTTGGGTCTACTCGCTGAGGCGGCAGCTCTGCACCTGGAGGTAGTCCGTCAGAGAGAAACAAATCAAATTTAATTATCGATTTTTTAATGTGCCAGTGCCATCATATTAAGCTCGACGTACTAAACGTCCGCATAACAAGAAAATGTGAGAGTCAGTTGTCGTAAATGCAAGCCACAGGTATATTTCGCACTTCTAGGGGGGGATCGAGCCATATTGCTGAAAAATAATTGGATTTGGAACATCTTCTTCAACTATGAATTGGAACATCTTCCTCAACTATGCATGATGTCGTCTATGAAGTCACTGTTTGTACTACTTTTTTCCTCTTGCCAACTCGATGGTCTTGGTAGTGCACTACTTGGTCGTACTCGTGGCGCAGAACTCGGTCTCTGCAAAGTCGTTCGAGAAGAGTTGTGTGCCCGAGAGGAGCTTGGCCGCCCACCACCGACAACTACTGACGCTCGTCTTGCACATATTAGAGGTTACGGAATTGCATTCCTCAAAACATCCCTGACTTATTTCTCACGGCGAAAAGAGTCAGGGATCTCAGTACGGGATACAATTCGGATGTGCATTTCCTTAAACATACTGGCGTCCCACTTGTCATCATTTTCTTTACTGGAGACCTGTTTGTGAAAAGTTGAATGGGAAAAAAAACGGTATTAAAGTCTGGTCATCTTAACAATCTTCGTACTGATGGTCTTCATTGAGTGTGGGGTATGCTGGAGGTTGCGAGTGTGTAATTGAGATCAAACGAAGATACAATCCTTACTAAGTAAGCCAAGATCGAATATTAACATAATTTAAGATTAAGTTCAGTCGATGTACATAATTTAAGATTAAGTTTTCCGTTCAGTCTCTGCGCATACTAGGACTCAAAAAAGTATAAGTACATGAGAGTCTTCATGTCATGGCGGTGCTTCGTGAGGGCTTTTGTCCACCATGTCGCGTGAACGTGGGGATTCGGGTGCAGCTGACCCGCTCTATGCCGCACGTAGTCGTTCATCAAGTATTTCCTTGCGTCGACGACAACCAGAACTTCTTGAGTGCGCCAAGTACCTCCAAGTCCAAAACGGAGGTCCCAAGTCCCACGGTTTGAGCCTCGTCCAGCGTTTCGAACCCCGGTTACGACGAAGCTAGAAGAAAAGGATAACTAAACAGAACCGGCGGTTGTTAAAAATGGTGATGCTGCAGTTGTAGTGGCATAAAAGTTCAAATAAATTATGATTGATAGAGTGAATAGCCGAACAGGATATGCGAAGATGTTCATTCGAAACACGACATTCACGAGCATCCAAAACAACAAAGACTCATGCAGTGGTAGACATGAGATGAAAATACAAATGCAGCTTATTGGTAACTGAGAGATCCTGAAACTAATCCGTAATAGGAAAGATGAAACTTGTTGGGAATCAAAAAAGTACTTGCGGGTAGGGGTGATCAAAACGAGTTCCGTAGCTGAGATCGCAGAAGAGATCGTCCACAGAAGAGAATAGATAAATCCGAATCTCAAGAATGCTGTCACAATACAGAAAGATGCTTGGATGCTTCCCAGGACGAGCTATTGCCCCCTATCTCTGTTCCTTCACACATGTTGCAAAAATTTCACTCAGTTAGTAGCTGTGTGTCGCACTACCAAAGAAAATTCAGACGTGTTTCCGACGAAGAAAACCGATCAGTTGTTCTGATCACTCAAGGGCAAAAAAAGTACTTACTCAGAATTGCAAAAAAAAGTAAAAAACCTGCAATCAACAGAGAATTTTCATCTCTATCTTGCCTTATAACCTGAGTGAGGGAACTACCTTGTGATCGACGAAAAACCGTTCCATCTTCCTGGTAGAAATCCAAGTACATAGGGTTTCTTCCTGCATTTTTCGTCCTACGTTCTTGTTCTATCTTCAAAACCGCACTGACGTGCGAATCTTCAGTTTGTCTTTTCAGAAAATGTCCGACGAACCAAACACTGAAAAAAAACTAGAAAGACTCAAAACAGTTCGCAAATTCTACAACACTATCTTCATATACCACAGGCTAATTCGCATAACAAATATTTTTGATCTTTGGTTTATTGTAGGTTTCTAAGTAAATTAGGTTTTGAAAATTTGTGATATGGTTGAATATTTGTACTAGTAAGTCTGTCTATGAGAGGAATAAACACTAGACAAACGAGTTCTCAAGAGAATAACACTGGACCCTTTACGTAATGATAAAACATGCCTAATTGATGAGTACTTGCTTTGTACCATAAGAGGAACGAACTCCAAGCAAACGCGAGGTGCAATATTTTTACCATGCCCACGGCAACTAGTAGATACGAGGAGGAAGTACTTCCAGAAGTGTATCCAGCGTAAGACACATCAGACATCCTCAACATTTACTTCTTTTTTCCCTTCTTCCCTTTTTTGCCCTTCTTTTTGGCATTGATTTCGGCCATCTTCGCAATATAGGCCCTCCCCTCTGCCTGTAGAAAGATGATACTTTGCACCATATCCTTCTCTTGGCCACCGCGAAACTTCTCCACCTGCAACAAAAATCGCTCCTCCTCCTCGATAGCTGTCAAATGATCATAGAAAGATTGATTGAGTTACGTCTCAAGTGATTGTACTCCTAGTGATAGAAAGATCACCATACAACAATATTACATTTAGACACAATCCATAGCAAGACTTTCGATTACCTATATATCAACATCATGTTGAAGAAGTAAACTACTTACCTGTCTACGACCTTCCTATCCAGCATGAAGTAGAAACTACCTGCTCTTTTTCCCTCCTCTTCCTGCTGGCGTTCTCTTAACTCGTGCAGCCGTGTTCGGCAGGTATGACTCTCATCTCGAATTTTCGCAAGCACCTCTTGCTTAGCCGCGTAGTCTTTGTCGTACCTGGATTTCATGATTGTATGGTGTATTAGAGTCCTCCTAGTAGTGTTCCCGTTTATTACATGATAATCATGATAATGATTAACCTAGTAGTGTTCCCGTTTATTACATGATAATCATGATAATGATTAACCTAGTAGTGTTCCCGTTTATTACATGATAATCATGATAATGATTAACCTAGTAGTGTTCCCGTTTATTACATGATAATCATGATAATGATTAACCTAGTAGTGTTCCCGTTTATTACATGATAATCATGATAATGATTAACCTAGTAGTGTTCCCGTTTATTACATGATAATCATGATAATGATTAACCTAGTAGTGTTCCCGTTTATTACATGATAATCATGATAATGATTAACCTAGTAGTGTTCCCGTTTATTACATGATAATCATGATAATGATTAACCTAGTAGTGTTCCCGTTTATTACATGATAATCATGATAATGATTAACCTAGTAGTGTTCCCGTTTATTACATGATAATCATGATAATGATTAACCTAGTAGTGTTCCCGTTTATTACATGATAATCATGATAATGATTAACCTAGTAGTGTTCCCGTTTATTACATGATAATCATGATAATGATTAACCTAGTAGTGTTCCCGTTTATTACATGATAATCATGATAATGATTAACCTAGTAGTGTTCCCGTTTATTACATGATAATCATGATAATGATTAACCTAGTAGTGTTCCCGTTTATTACATGATAATCATGATAATGATTAACCTAGTAGTGTTCCCGTTTATTACATGATAATCATGATAATGATTAACCTAGTAGTGTTCCCGTTTATTACATGATTAATAACATTGGAACGCGAAGAGAAAAGTGTTAACAGCTTCATTCATTCACTCATTACTCGCAAAAAATCTGCGTTGTTTTTTCATACACGTGGGCCTTGTGGACACAAAGTTTTATCGTGACAACAGAACAAGGGCTAATAAGCAGTGGCTGATAAGCCGCTGCCATCAATAATCTCATTGGCCTTAGAATTCAAGAAACTATTTCACTTCAAAGAAAGAAACTGACTGCATCTGTGCAGAGGAGTACTCCGCTCGTTCTGCTGCCGGGAGGTCATTTTTAGGTTAACAGCTTAATGCAATGGCTGATAAGCCGCTGCCATCCATGAAGTAAAACACTGTACTTTTCTGCCCATTCGACTCGCTGCTGTGTTAGATCGTCCAGCTTATGTGTAAGAAATTCGTGTGCCCGTTCATGCGCTAGGGTTTCCAACCTCTTGTTCTTGTCTAGCTCCGCTACTTCACCCGTGAGGCTTACCTGCTTCTATATTTGGATGGCTTCTATATTTGGAATGCGAATGACTCATGGTTACCTTACCTGCTATATTTGGAATGCGAATGACTCATGGTTACCTTACCTGCTATATTTGGAATGCGAATGACTCATGGTTACCTTACCTGCTATATTTGGAATGCGAATGACTCATGGTTACCTTACCTGCTATATTTGGAATGCGAATGACTCATGGTTACCTTACCTGCTATATTTGGAATGCGAATGACTCATGGTTACCTTACCTGCTATATTTGGAATGCGAATGACTCATGGTTACCTTACCTGCTATATTTGGAATGCGAATGACCCATGGTTTTTGGAATGCGAATGACTCCTTACCTGTTATTTGGAATGACTCATGGTTAAACGGCCTATACTCATGATGATAAAGAGAGAGAACTTTCTACGTATGCTAAAGAGATGATAAAGAGAGAGACCTTTTGGATATTTGGAGTTTTAGACTATAGATGATTTAACAAGAAAGTGTTTCAAATGACCTCCTTCTGCTGCAGCATTCGTGCCAAGCCTTGCTCTTGCGCCTTAAGCCGCTTTTCCTCGGTGTTAAGCAAAATTTTGCTCTCTGCTCTGTTTTTCGTGAGCTCCTCTTTCAACGTGCGGATCTCCTCCATCGCGAGCTTAACTTCCCGGTCATACTCTGTATACTCGGTTCCGTTTAGAGCAGGAAAGTCAGAGGAGAAGGCGAAAGGTTAGGTTAGGTTAGGTTGGGATCCGCCATCCGATGTGGCAGACTTCGACGGCTACTGCTCATTCGTATTTTTACAGACCAGAAATAGACACAGTTCACGTTAAATTAAGAATTGAGTACCAGAAGAGAGAAAGAACTAAAATCATGCATCCATCAAGACATACATCAAAATTCTCATAACTGCAGTTCTGCCTCTAGTTGCTTCGCTGCCAGCGACGCCTCCTTCTCCCGTTTCTTCACTTCGAACAGCAGCTCCTGCAGGAGGAGAAAAATGCACGTACTAGAGAGGTTAGTACTTTAGCAGACGCTACAACCAGTAGTCGTTCTTAGTTCTTACTCATTGTTACTGTAATCATGAGTCATCCTATCTGCTGATACTTGATCCTTCCTTTCCGCCTCTGCCTTCGCGACTAGTTGCGTGAAAGCCTGCTCTCCTGGTGGATTTTGCAGTTCCCTCTTAGCATCTTCCATTATCGAGAATACCCTTGTTCGCTCCTGCATCATCTTGGACATTAGATCCTGTATCTGTATATGAAGGTATCTCTGCATCAATTTGGAATAAACATTCGTGAAGGTCTATCAATTTCGTTAGTCTTTCAGCTCTTAGCTGATGCCAGAGGAAGTAGAGTATCTTTTAGTACTCTGTTAGAAATTGTAGATACTCGAAAAACTGAAATAACCGAGTACAGACGAGAATAACCGAGATACTGATGAGAAGGAAAAGTGGTCTTGATGTTAAGCTACGCCCCTTATTTCAGTCAGCAACTCCTGCAACTACTATAATCGGTGGAACGCACCATAAAACAAGATTCCCCGCAGCATTTGGATTTTCCTTGAGATTTCGGCAGAGTGACTGATTACTCTCCCGCAGGTTGCCAGATACTTCCTCAATTTGCTTCTGTACCTCTTCACGCTCTGCCTTGTTCACCAATCCCTTCAACGATCCACGCTTATGGATCAAACTCTCGTACTGCTTTTCCAAACTGCGTTGTTCCTGTGGGAGAATTTGACAGCTGCAATTCGTGTGTCGTGGTGTTACAACCTAACATAGAACATGAACTACCTACTTTCATGGCTGTTCTTCAAAATGGAACTTGTTGATATCTGGTATGACAACACATGATCCACCATAAGACATGATAGACTCACCATTATAACCATAATAGAACATACAAACACAAATACAATACAAGATTCACCATACCATAATAGTACATCATGAATACCTATAAAAAAGAGTAAGTATAACTACAACTAGATGAGCACCTTGATAATCCGGCTGATTTCGTCACCCATGAATTGGGTTAGCTCATCCCGCTGATCGTTGCCGCTGCTGCTCAGGTTGCTCAAAAACGAAAGCTTCTTCAGTGCATTTTCGATGAGGATCTGCCCTCGCAGGGCTTCCACCGGATTCAACTTATACATCCTTGCTCCTCCACGACAAAATTTTTATGGTCTTAGCACGACAAAAGGCACACGTCGCACCCTCAGTCAACACTAGTGGAAGCAGGAAGTAGTAAGACGTTACAGTGGGTAAATGAGGTAGGGGTAAGTAAGACGTTACAGTGGGTAAGTAAGCTAGAAGTAGTAAGACGTTCCGGTAAGCTAGAACAAGTAAGACGTTCCGGTAAGCTAGAAGTAGTAACTCGGTAGAAGAAGTGCTTGCCTCTCTTATCGTGGACTTGTTCCTCGCTGCCGAGGACTGCAGGATCACCGCACCGCTGGTGCGACGGACCTGCCGCGTCCTGGCATCCAGCGACCGCGCATCGTTTTTCTGTCTATGAAGAGGTTTTCTTCGTTCTATGGACTATAAAGGAACAACCATTAGTATTGGTGATTGTAGTTAAGTACAAACTCAAGAGAAAGTACCACGCTAGAAGAGCTGAAGGACTATAAAGAAATGCACTGGTGATGCAATTGCTTATACAGTGACACAAGGACGACCCACCAGCTTTAGCCAATCCACAGCGTAAGATACAGCTAGAGAAGAATGTGGCTGCCAAGAAAAGTATCTATCGCTCAATTTGCATTGCAGAGTCGCCTCCAAATCCTTTTTACTCCATGCTCTCCCTCATCTCCATTTCCTGTCATCATTGTTGACAATAATCTTCCCTTTTTTCTCGTATAAACACTTTCACTTTCTCCCACCCTCAATTGTTTTTGTACAGTACTTATCTCACATAAGTCTCCAGCTCACCCACGCGTCCTCAGGTTGTCATGTACGCCCTAATACTACCGGACTTAGAGGTTGCAGAACTACATTCCTCAGAACATGCCTGGCGCCTTTTTCAAGTCGAAAAAGAGTCAAGGATGGTAGTGCGGGATGTAATTCGGTAAGCCTTAACGGAAACATCACCTGCAGGCGCCGGCACAGGTGCCACATCAGGCGTCTCTGTATCAATAATCCAAGTTCCCATCCAGGTGGTAGAGCAACTGTGGATTTTTGCGAACGTCACATAATATGATGAATTCGTCACAGCATTGATCTTCGGTGTACGGTAACACCACAATTTTCTGGAGATTTCCACTTGCGACGCCCCTCCCTGCTGCTCCCGAGTACGCATTCTGGGCTTGCTGTGTTAGAGGGAAGAAGGGAGACGCATTCCTGTTTTGGAAGTTCCAGTTTCTTGAGATTGGCAAACTGATAAATATCAATAGCTCAGAAAGAGGATATTAGTATTTATAGTATTAGCAATTGCCAGAAATCTCTTAAGGGGCTGCCTTAAGGAGCTTCCTTAAGGGGCTCCCTTAAGGAAATCAGTTTCCTTAAAGAATTTTTATTATAAAAAGTTATTATAACTTTCCTTAAGAGAAAAAAAATTTCCTTAAGGAGCTCCCTTAAGGACAAGCTGTTATAAACTTAGGCTAATAACAGCGGCTCCTTAAGGACCTTGCTAGTACTACGAGTTCAAAGGTGTCACGAACGTGCTAGCGTGTTCGCGGCTGTTAGTTTGTAGGCTACTCACGTACACCAGCCACACCCGCAGCAAGACACTACGCGCCCACCCCTAGCGAATCGCCCCAACGAACTGCCAACCGCTACCCTTGTCATATATCGCCCAGCGCCTTTACTTTTTTTCAAAAACTTCAGGGAGGTCATTCAAATACAGAGAAAACTAAACGACCTCCCTGAAGTTTTTGGAAAAAAGTTAGCTCGCTCCCCTTCCGCGACTACCTTCCGCGCACAGCAATCGACCACGGCACAGGAGCGCGCGGCAGCCCTTGGAGATGGTTGACCGGTATACTTCTAACCAGCAGCACAAAAGCGGGAGAATTGTAAGCGAGAGGGTGAGCACTTGAAAAGGTAGAAGCTGACGAGCGTGATCATATTGATCGGCGAGAAGGCCAAAGAAATACATCTCGGCGCTTCAAAGTCGCAGCCGTTGAGGATGTCGATGGCTGTGAGAATGATAGCCGTGAGCACTTGCGTGTCTGAAGGGTGGACCCTGGTGAGCATCATCATATCCATGAGAAGGCCAAAGGTGTGCAACTTTGCGTGTGAAAGTCGAAGCCGTTGAGGATGTTGATGTCTGTGAGAATGATAGCCGTGAGGACTTGCATGACTGAAGGGTGGACCCTGGTGAGCGTCATCATATCCATGAGAAGGCCAAAGATATACATCTCTGTGTATGAAAGTCGAAGCCGTTGAGGATGTCGATGTCTGTGAGAATGATAGCCGTGAGGACTTGCATGTCTGAAGGGTGGACCTTGGTGACCGTCATCAGATCAACGAGAGGGCCAAAGACACACATCTCTTTTTGTGAAAGTCGAAGCCGTTGAGGATGTCGATGTCTGTGAGAATGATAGCCCTAGCCGTGAGGGCTTGCATGTCTGAAGGGTGGACCCTGGTGAGCGTCATCATATCCATGAGAAGGCCAAGGGTATACATCTCTGTGCTTGAAAGTCGAAGCCGTTGGGGATGTCGATGCCTGTGAGAATGATAGCCGTGAGGACTTGCATGTCTGAAGGGTGGACCCAGGTGAGCATCATCATATCCATGAGAAGGCCAAAGATGTACATCTCTGCGCTTGAAAGTCGAAGCCGTTGAGGATGTCGATGTCTGTGAGACTGATAGCCGTGAGAACTTGCATCTCTGAAGGGTGGACCCTGGTGAGCGTCATCACATCCATGAGAAGGCCAAAGATATACATCTATGCGCTTGAGTGTCGAAGCCGTTGAGGATGTCGATGTCTGTGAGACTGATAGGCGTGAGCACTTGCAGTTCTGAAGGGTGGACCTTGTGGAGCATCATCACACTCATGAGAAAGCCAATGGCATACATCTCTGCGCTTGAAAGTCGAAGCCGTTGGGGGTGTCGATGTCTGTGAGAATGATAGCCTTGAGCACTTGCGTGTCTGAAGGGTGGACCCTGGTGAGCGTCATCACATCCATGAGAAGGCCAAAGGTGTACAGCTTTGCCTGTGAAAGTCGAAGCCGTTGAGGATGTCGATTTCTGTGAGCAAGTAGATAAGGGTGGACCCTGGCGGGCGTCATCATGTCCATGAGAAGGCCAGGCGCATGCATCTCCGTCGGTGAAGGCTGAAGGCTGAGGACGTCGATGCCTGTGTGTGAGAATGATAAATGTGGGCCATTGGTTGCATGTCTGAGGCGCGGACCGTGGTGGGCGTCTTGCGTCATGTCCATGAAACGGCCAAGCTTATAGACACATCCCCACGCCTGAAGGTTGGGGCTCAGCTTCTGCCTCTGTCTGCGCATAGATATGCCCAGGCGTGGCTTTCTCATGGGCCTCGTCCATGACGCTCGCCAGTGTCAGCCTTTTGCCATCCCATGGGTATGCTATGCTTTGGGATTCTCCTGGACATGATCACACTCAAAAGGGCCCAACCTCTGTGCCTACATATGTCCAAGCGTGGCCTTCTCATGGACTCCATGACGCTCAGCGGGCCAGCCTTGGCGCCCATTGGCTTGCCCCTAGCAAGCAAGTTGGCCAAGGCAGTAGCCATCGCGGTAGTCTCCTCACTAGCCTCGCCACAGTGGGGGCCAGCTTCACAGCCTTGGCGAGCAGACTTGGCGACTTTTTTCGTTTGTCTTTCTGTCTCTTAGTAGTCAACCTGTCTAGTTGTTAACCTATGCCCAGCGCAGCGGGCCCTTGATGGGCCCGCTTTCTGGGCATGTACTTATAATGTATTGTTATTGAAGACTGGCACATCATCCAATGGTAGACAAAGTATGGAGTCTTTTCTAGTGGCTAAAACTGATGTAGTTTTGGAAGTTCAATTGCTTTTTCTCCCGAACAAAACGAAACATCCATCTTTGCTCTACCTACAAATTCTACACGGTACTCAACTACAAAATACTATCATATGAACAACTTCTAGCCACAAATTCTACAAAATACTGTTGCTGCCGTACAGTAATTCTTGTTCAGACAGACTTTCTCATAAAATGTCAACAGAATTACTACACGGTACTCAAGTAAATGCCTCACAAACTCTACGGTAATGGTGCCACAGAATTCTCATAAAAATTTGTCTCTACCTACAAATTCTACAGAAGTCTACTACGGAGGACAAACGTCATCTCATAAAAACAGGCTTCCTCCTCCATGTGAAGGATAGAAAGCACGCGCACTGCGCGACGAGCTCCGTGCAGACGAGCTGCGCACCTCGTCGTCTTCCTGTGCCTGTAATTCCACACGCAGATTCCCCACTCTCTCTTCATGCGAAGCGTCCTCCACAGCGACTACCGCGAAAGTTTCGTGACTTGTTGTAGGTGAACGACTTAGAGAAGTGGTCGTGAGCTAACTTGTGAACAAAGGTGAACTTTTAGGTCTATTTTCGACTGTTTCCTTGTGGCCCACAAAGTCAGTTTTCCACCGATGCATATCAACAAGGAACGATGTAGCTTTACCCAGCATTACTTCTAGTTGTACTATCACAACAGAAAGTATCAAACTCCTGTCGCGTAACCTCCCATCCTCTTGAATGTCGGCAACAAAAGCGCCCCCCGACCCCCTTACCTCTGAGGCTCCCGCTGCGTCGCCCTGCAGTCCTAGCGGATACAGATGCAGCTCAATGCCGGTACCTGCAACTCGTTGCACAACCGTGGTCTCCATGGGCGGAGACTCTGAGTCACAGCTAGCGTTGTCATCAGAATTCGTTGTTTCGCCGGATTTTAGAATGGTGTACGAAATCTTGCAAAGAAAAAACCCGCTCTAATCACAGTAGTCGCAGCGCAGTGATGTGTTCGTCTGAGCATATCTAATACCGACATGTGTTTTTACCCGTAGTTTACTCTTAATCAGGGAGGCCCAAATTGAGGAACCTCAGAAAAAATTACCAAACACTGATGCTTTGCCACAACTCTGTTCATAGTGACACGCTCAAGCTCGTCTCTTTCTTTCGACTAGCATCGCTGATCCGCGCAATAGCTTTTTTTCGCATATTATCGAATCCTGACACCCTCCACTCCACGCGACGCACTAAAGACTCCAAGCTTTGTAGCTTTTCAGCCAGCGTTGCCATTGTTTGTCGCATCAGTGCCCATTCTTGCTCCATGGCAGATACAGTAGCGCGGGTATTCAAATACTCCTCGAGATTCTGCTGGTTTCTGGGACGAGTGGAAAGGGACACAAGACGGTCTCAGTGAAAAATGCTTGTATTGTAATCTAACGGATGCTCAGCTTTCATACTCTTTTAACGATTCTTAGGTTAGTAGAAACTTAATCATATGCACTTCCTCTTTCAAGAAGCATAACCTCTCTGAAATTACAACTGTAAGAGAAAAATACCGTCCGGTCCAACGACTGGTGCTTGGTGGCGTTCCTGTTCGAGCGGAGATTGGAACTGGACCCACACGCGGCAGTACCCTTGGCGAAACGCCATTGTTTACAGCTGGAGAAACGCTTAGCTGTGGACACGACATTGTCAATGCTCACGAAATTTCTGTTTTTACGCGGAATCAAAATGAGTCGAAGAGAAGGACCTTTCATTGAGGCTCATAAAACTGACTCGAAAGTAACGGGAAAGTAGCCACCTGCTTTTTCTATCGTTCCTGGGTGAACAATCATACTACAATTTAGAGTCTCGTGTGTGGAAAGGGTGTCGAGCTGACATTGCTACAACTATTTCCCACTAGTGTAGTACTGCTACTAGATTTGTATACCCCTACGCCAATAATTCTTTGGTAGCGCCACTGCAATTTTCCAAATTTAAGTGAGAATTGCCGCAAGAAGCTCGATGGATTGCTGGGTATACTCTCAGTCTCAATCACACAGCAGTGTCCAGCCCAGGAAACTCATCCCTCTCTTCATCCTACTCCACATAACAGGCGATCTCTTGTACCGATCGTTTAGTTTTTCTCGGATTCTGCTGATCTGGTAGCATCTTTTATTTTTCAGTTCAATACTTACCGAGAAAGTAGTAGAAATATCTATGATGCAATTCTCTCCGTCTCTCTCAGACAAAGACAAGCTCCTTCAGACACTTCTCCCATCAATCGTACTCGTACAGAAAGCTCTGCTGATCACGTAAAGATTGAGCCTCTACTTGCAGGACGAAACATCCTCGTGTTGAATCGCAAGCTGCTTCTGACTCGAAAAACGGTACTTAATCGACAATCTAAAGAGCATTGGTGCTTCTAGTCTACGACAAACATTTGAATGGGTTTCATTTGATTTGAAGCGGGTACCTTGACTTTGAGGAAAAGGGACGGGGTGGAAAGTGATGATACAAGTCGCGAAATACGATGCCTCGAATCTATTCGGCAACTTGCCTGACGCTTCCCTGATGGTATAAGTTGCGAGATATAATGGTGAACATTGTTTTCATACCTCTAGTGGCCATTCATAGATCCAACAATGGGATCCGAGAATAAGCGCAATTCAATTGAAAAACAGATTGATTTTTGAAGTCACCACTTTACGGCAGAATGGGCACTTTTCGAGCCCGCCTGGTCCTCGTTGTTCTGCGATTTTATCGACACATGTGGCACAAAGTTGGTGCCCGCACGATAGCGCTACACCGACATTATCCTTCAGACAAATTTTGCACTGCAGCGGCTCCGTAAGGGACTCCGTCAGAGACTTCACAATGCGTCGGCACTCGCCCACATCTGACGTTTGCGCAAGCTTGTGAATTGTATCTTTCTCGTGCAGAAACTTGTAAACTGGCGACTCCTCCCCACGAACAGCTCGAGCGACTTCTTTTGGCGTTTTGTCCGAGTCATCCGTTGCACACAAAGCAGTCATGGCACTCGGATGCACAAACAGCGCTTCTAGCAGTCGAAGAGTGATGTCTGGCGTCGACTTTCTAGCGGCACAGATATGGAGTATGTTCCTTCTTTCGCATTTGCACGAATATATCTGCTTGAAATCGTCCAGCCGCTTCGTCGCAACAAGCATCCCTACGACATCAGGCTCTCCATCTATAACAGCATGGCGCAAAAGATCGTACCCGCACGAAAATGCATTTATGTCGAGATCGTTGTTCCCTCCTGCAAATTTCAAGAGTGCCCGGATAGCAGTGTAGTTGACCTCATGAAACCCAAAGTCTTGCGCCACCGCGATGGAAGAGACTGATGTGAGCTGTTTCACGAGCTTAGCGCACTCCTTTTTGTTACTGCAAGCCTTCAGCTTCCAACGCGGCAGCCAGTGACTCACAAACACCTGCGCCGACGCTTTGTCCGGAACGAGCTCCGAGTCGGGATTTTCAGGAAAAACGAACTGGCGCGACCGCTGAATCAAATTCGCGACGCGATACTGGCCGGAAGACACTGCCAACGATAGCGGGGAATGACCGCTGTGATTTTTTTTGTTGATGTTCGAGCACGATCTCTCAAGGTCATGCTCCACAATTCTCTCCACCAACGCTTCATCATTCTTGAATACCGCCCAGTGTAGCATTGTCCAGTTATCTTCGTCCTTGGCCAAAACAAATTCCTTTGCGGACGCACTGTCGAGGAGGGCATTCGCTGTTACGGACTTAAGCTTCTCTGCCAGGCCGAAGTTGCAGAGTATATCTGGCTTCAGCTCGTTACGGTCCTTCAAGGCTTTGAGTGCGGTGCGAGCCGGTACTGCGCTTTTTGTCGCAAAAAATTTTGCGAGTCTTTCGCGCTTGGCGGATCCCCGCAGAAAGTCAGCCAGTTCTGCGTGTCCCGCTTCCTCTGCAATTTTTGCCGCATCCGTTACCGCTGTTCCGCACTTGAAGTCCCCACGCTGCAAAGCCAAATCACAAATTTCTTTGTTGCCATCACGGGCAGCGTGGTGCAAGATTCCCCATCGATTTTCGGCGTTAGGGTCTTTGACTTTCACGACGAAGCGCTCATCCTGTAGTACGCACGCGACCGCGTCATAGTTGATTGGCCGCCCCAAATCAGTGCAGACGTTGATTGATGTCACTTCCCTGCGCCCAAGCTTCTTCACAATTTGCCTTCCTCGCGCACGCGTCTTCACACCCCGCAGCTTTGCGACGAGAATTTTGCCACCCATATTTTCTTATCTGAACGATATTGATGGGTTAATGACTGAAAGCCACAAGCAGGGTAATGAAAATATCACGCAGGAGGAGTTCACTGCCGTTTTGGAGAATACTGCTAAATCTAGACCACAGCCAGACTATCCTATGTACACTCCCAATATTGGAGAAATGGCGTTATTTTCAAGTAATCTCTACGAGGTTCCCTTGTAGTGAAAATAATACCATCAGCACCTTTCCTATAACGAAGACTTTTGGAAGGAAATCAACCTCACGCGTATTAGTTGATGATGTTGTGAAACAAAAAAACAAAAAGATGATAGGGCGACAAGAAAAAGATGAGCGAATGGGTTACAAAAGCGATCTTCACAAGTTTGTAGCCTCGATTTAGAAGGATGCATTTTTCAAGGAGATAGTCTTCAACTTTTCAGACAGAGACACGCAATGGAGTACTTGCTCTACAAGCAGAATAGGCGTATCTGGTAGCTGAATTTCGAGAAGGACTACCCATTGCTGAGGGCTGTGAATTTCGAGACTTCGGATATCAACAAAGATACCTCCGGTCGCCACGCTGTTCATCCACAAGCAGAATAGGCTACACTGTTCATCCAGAAGCTTCAAAGATCAAAGCTTTTCACATCCCGGGGAGAGAAATTGAACAGGTTAGTACGCAGTACTCTTGAATGCTCATTATTCAAAAACAAGCAACTTGAGGTCAAGCAACCAAAACAAGCACCCTTGGGCTCAACACGAAAATTTCGTGTGAATCTTCATGATGTAGTACTGCTGTGTGTTCTCTCCGTCTCTTTCACACTGAGACAATCTAAGGGCCCTGTCTCACAATCGAACAGCGAGATCTGCAAGTGTGAAGAGACAAGTACTACTTGCGGGAGCAAGCATCTCCATGTGGAGCCGCAAGACATTTTTGACGTTTTTGATTCGAAAAACCGTAATCTTACAAAGCGCTGGTGTTTGTAGTCTACAGCAAACAGAAGTTGAGTGGGGTCCTCTTGATGGGTTCCTTTGATTTCACAAAAAACTGACGGGGTAGAAAGTGATGATACAATTTAAGCTCCGACATATAAAGATGAAGACTGTTCTAGCCATTGGCCTACATCAACGGCCTCGGAGAATAGGCTGACCTCAATTGAAAACAGATTGATTTTTGACGAAATCGAAATCCTGCGAACCACGAATCTTTGTAGTCTACAGCAAACATTTGAATGAGGTCCTCTGACTTAATGGGATCTTTTGATTTCGAGGAAAAGCATCAGAAGGGAAGGTGCTGATATAAGGCGCGATTTTACTTTTCCTCGGATTCCTCTGATCCGCGGGTATCTTCTATTTTTCAGACGGTGAAAATACTAATGAAGTAGTAGCAATATTCATAAAACGGCAAGCGGAATTCTACAAACCACGCGTCTTTGTAGTCAACAGCAAGCATTTGAATGGGGTGGGGTCCTTTGACTTAATGAGATCGATCCTCTGACTTCGATGAAAATTGACGGGGTAGAAAGTGATGATATAACAGAGCAATTTATAAGGTTTCACGGCTCGCATGGCATGGAGTGCATGGATCACATGGAGTAGCATGGAGCTAGAGGGGGAGCTTCTTGCGCCCCTTAAAGCTCTGCGCTCCATGCACTCCATGCTACTCCATGCACTCCATGCTACTCCATGCACCATGCGTGCTATAAACTACTCTGATATAAGTTGCGAGATACAATGACGAAGATTGTTTTCATACTTCTATTGGTCATTGACCTATCCAGCACTGGAATTATCCGAGAATATGCTTAATTCAATTGAAAAACAGCTTGATTTTTGACGTCACGGCTGCGCGACAGAAAGGGCACTTTTCGCACCCACCTGGTCCTCTTTCTGTCATTTTGGTGACACATGTGGCACAAAGTTGGTGCCCGCACGATAGCGCCACGCCGATATTATCCTTCAAGCAAATTTTGCACTGGAGCGGCTCCGTCAGGGACTCTGTCAGAGACTCCACAATTCGTCGGCACTCATCCACTTCCGACGTTTGCGCAAGCCTGTGAATCGTATCCTTCTGATGCAGAAACTTGTAAATTGACGAATCCACTCCATGAACAGCTTTAGCGACATCTTTTGGCGTCTTCCCCGAGCCATCGGTTGCACTCAGAGCCGCCATGGCGCTCTGATGCAAAGACAGCGCTTCTAAGAGTCTAAGAGTGACATCTTCCTCCGTCGTTCTGGCCACACAGATGTGGAGTATGTTACTTGCGTTCACCGGGGGAAACTCAGATCCGACTCCGTCAGGGTATCTCTGCTCGAAATCGTTGAGAAACCCCATGCCCATCACAAGCATTTCCACGATGCCAGCCTCTCCGTCCTCCACAGCAGAGCGCAAGAGATCGTAACCGTAGGCATACTCATTTATCTCGAGGTAGTTATAATACTCATCGATGTTGTCGACATCGAAATAGTCACATCCCCAATAGTCATCTTCTTTTTTTTTGGCAAAGTCCAGGAGTGCCCGGATGGCGATGTAGTTGACGTCATGCCACCCAAAGTCCATTACTAGATCTATATCTTCGAGTGTTCTAAGCCTTTTCACGAGCGATGCGCAATCATCCTCAATCCTGCACGCTTTCAGCCTCCAAAGCGGCAGCCAGCGATCCTCTAGCTCCGCCAACAAGTTCGGTGGAACACTGGAAGTGTCAGGTTCCTCAAAAATGAAATGATCCGAGCACTGAATTTTATGCGCGATCCCGTACTCTCCAGATGAGACTGCCATAGAAAACGCCGTTTGACCACTATCGTTTGTAGCATTAATGATTCCACCCGCGTGCCGGCTGTGATCATCTACAATTCTGCGAACCAACTCGTAATTGTTCTTGAATGCCGCCCAGTGTAGCATCGTCCAGTTATCTTCGTCCTTGGCCAAAAGAAACTCCTTCGCCGACGCACTGTCGAGGAGGGCATTTGCCGTGATCGGGGTGAGCTTCATCGACAGGCCGAAGTTGCAGAGCATCTCAGCGCTCAGCTCGCTGTTCTCCTCCAACGAATTGAGTGCATCGTCAGCCTCTTCTTCGGTTTCGGAAGCAAAAAATTTTGCGACCCTTTCGCGCTTGGCGGATCCCCGCAGAAACTCGGCCAGGTCAGCGTGCCCCGCTTTCTGCGCAATATCTGCAGCTTCCGTGACCGCTGTTCCGCACCTGAAGTCCCCTCGCTGCAAAACCAAATCACAAACATCTTTGTTGCCATCATGGGCAGCGTAGTGCAAAATTCCCCATTTGCCTTCAGAACCAGTGTTGTTGGAGGGTGTCGCGGCAAAGCGCTCGTCCTGTAGTACGCACGCAACCGCTCTGTAATTGATTGGCGATCCCAAATCAGTGCACACGTTGATTCCTTTTATTTCCGCGTCACCAAGTTGCTTCACAATTTCCTTTCCTCGCGCGGGTGACTTAACACCGCGCAGCTTTGCTACGAGAATTTTCTCGCCCATCTTTATCAAATGATTTGTAGTGAATAAGTGCCTTCGTTGTAGTAGAAAAATTACTATTTTCAATGTAAGTTTTCCTTTCTTATGATGGAATAAACGAGAGAATTTCTAGATACTTCACGAGAAAGTTTAAGATTCGCTTGTGGACAAAATCTAGTGGGGTCAAGATTGCGCAATGAACATAACCTTGTTGACATTAGAGAGTCAAAAGACCTATTCCACAGAGGAGATGAAAAAACTTCCTGTCTATAGGAAGATGAGGGAGACCACGATAGAAATAAATGATTTTTGTTGGAGGATAGCAATCCTCCTTGCATTCTTGGTTCATGATGTTACAAGAGATGATAGGGCGACAAGCAGGAGTTACTGCTTCACTAGCCCTTGTCGAATCCTGGGATCGTCTAAGAAAACGGACTCCGTGGAGCATTCCTCTTTCAACATCTTCAAAGTCAATCAATCAGGGCACCTCTACGGGGCACCATTTTTTTTTGCCTCTACAGGGCACCAACCTCCCCGCAGCTGCGACTGCCGCACCTCTACATCCGTAAACGAAGCTTCGACTCAGAAGGATGCATTCTGCAGGGAAGAAGTCTTCGTTTTTTCAGAGAGAAGCATCGGATGGAGTACTTGATATACAACTCGTCGCCACCTGTCGACGCTGCAAGAGAATGATAGGCGTTCTGACAGGTAAGGCGCAACAGTATCTTTACGTCTTGTTGAGCTCACGGCAGAAGAGAAAGGCCTACTTGAACAGCAGTCAATGCGATGACATATATTTCGGATTCGAGTTGCAATATCGATTCAAGGCGATTTCGCCTGGATATTCATAAGTCTCTGAAATCTTGTCATATTCGCGAATAGGCGAAGTGATTCTCTGGTTGCTGGGGTGCTTCCTGTGAATGAGGATGGGTGTTGAGCATCTTTTCATAATTATTCCGTGACGACTCTACAAAATCGAGTGGGAATCTCCTTGTCGGTGATCATTCTCTTTGCTTCAAGCACCTTGTCCTGCTAAAACAATGCGCAGTGGACGAGCGGGTGCACGACCAATCAAAGTATCCTCGAGCGACTAGCTGAAGAATAGTTTCACTTTGCGTGTAATCGGTTCACGACAAACCGGGCAAAGTCCTCCGTAGGGCCCGCGAGTCTCGCTCTTAGTGACGCAATGGCTGCAGAGCTGGTGCCCGCAGAGTAAAGCGAAACCAACTTGATCCTTGACAGTGATCTTGCACAAGAGGGGCTCCTTCAGCGCCTCCACGACTTTTCGACGTTCCTCTTCGTCATTCGTCTGCGCGAGCTTACGTATTTGATGCTTCTCCTCAAAGAACTTGTAGATTGGTCATTAGAGTCAACCCGTCGATCACAAACCTTCAGTACAGAGACGAACCTAACATCTTTTACTCTCAGTATTTCATGTAGGTGGAAAGTCACCGAAGATTATCTGAAATTCCAAGATAAACTGTGAAGGTGAGATCGACATCACTTTATCGCTCTTAAGCTGAGTCAGCGCCGCGCTTTGCCTTCGCCATTTCCAACGGAGAGTCTCCGTCCTCGTTTTCAGCATGCAAAGCCTCCATCGCGCTCTCATGCATAAAAAGAGCCTCTAGAACCTCCTCAGTGGAAGGCTGCTCATCAAGCGCCGCACGAACGTGAAGAATGTTTAGGCCACGTGGATCCTCATCTGAATCTTTATCATCGCCATCAACACAGTCATAGGTCGCCTCTCCGAAGTCCTCCAGAGTTGGCAAACTCACCAACTGCTTGATTACATCCGTTTTTTCGTCATACACTGCATGACGCAACAGCAATGTTTAAGCTCCCAAAGATCGTGCCACCAGTTTCTGAAAAGACTGTGACGCGATCTCGAACGCAGATTTTCCTGTCGTCCTGCTTAATATTGATGACGCTGCTACACGAGTATCCGCCGCCGTGTTCTACTATGTCCTCAACAATGTCCCCATATCCGTAGAAGGCGGCCCAGTGAAGCATGGTCCATCCATCTTCATCTTTTGCTTGGATGAAATCCGCTGCTACATCACTCTCGAGAAGAACCTTGGCGGTGACTCGCGTGAGCTTCATAGCTAGTCCGAAGTCATTCAATATGTCCGGCGTTAGTTGGTTTCTCCTCGCGAGTTCGAAGGTTGCCTTTACTGCCGCTTCGCTTGTATCTGCAGCAAAAATTTTGCGACCCTGTCGCGCTTCGCACATCTGCGTAAAACCGTATTAAACCCTGTGCGTCCTGCCGCCACCGCCATGCCCGCTGCGTGCGTAAGAGTCTCACCGTAGGAGAACTGTTTATGCTGCAGCACGAGCTCGCAGATATCTTTCCTACCGTCATAAGCGGCGCACTGAAGTATTCCCCAGTGCATATCGCAGAAGTAAGCTAAAGGAGCCGTTCTATTGATCGCATCGGTGTTGAAGCGCGCGTCTTTTAGAACAGAGGCAATGGCACCATAATTCAGTTTCACGTTGACGCATGACCTTTTTGCTTGATCCAGGTCCCCGCAAAGGTTGATCCTTCCCACATCCTCAGCAGTCATCTGGTCCAGAATAGCTTTGGCGCGCTCCGGTGATTGAACGCCCACCAAGCGCTCCCTAAGGACATCTCTACGGGGGCTACTCATCATGTGTGTGGTCGACCACGCGGGGTCAATATGAGATGAATGACGAACCACGTAGTAGTTACGCAACAACTTATAATGCGATAAAATCACAAGTGCTGGGTACGAAACGATATAAGAAAATGTAAGTGTAACATGAACATAATGATAAAGTGAGACGAACCAGGAAAGAATAGTTCTCAGCAGACAACTCCACTTAAGTCATCATCGAAATTGACTGAATGACACTAACAGGAAGTGTAGCTTGCTACTATTATTCTCTTAAGCACGTACTACGAATAGAGTTCGAAGTCCTCACATGACTTCACCTTGACCTCCTCTGTACCGAGTAGATATTGATAGTGCTAGAGCCATCCTATCTAGGAGAGATAGAAAAAAACATTATTTTTAATAACCTATCAGTATTTTATGCTAATGACCGAGTAAAAGAATATTAATTAAAAGTTGTTGTAGGCCCAGATGTAAATGATCTTTTGCTCTTCTTGTTGTTGAATTTGCGTGGAAGATTTCGGACGCAAGCCTACAGTATTTTCTGTAAGAGGCAGAGTGTCAATCAGCGACCGATATGGAACAACACAATCTGGGACCAAGCAAATCCGGATGTCAAAAATTTTCCATCAAAATCGATTTGCTATCAAAATCGCGTCCACTCGCTATCCCATGCTAGAGAAATGCGGATGTTTGGGAAGCGCCAGGAGAACTGACAGAGCGCGGAGAGACACGAAATGCATGGATAGTGGCTCACATACAAGCGGATCGATCCGTGCCACTCAGGTTGAACTCCTAACTTGTGACAGCTTCTACTTGACTCATAATGATTGTGACCATTCATTACTGGAACTTGCTGGGCGATGGCTGCACTAGTACCACTAGCCACGATACCAAGATCGTGTGCGGTCAGAGGTGGAGGAAATTCTGCTGAGCAGGTAGAGCAACCTGGAGAGTCTACTCTGTGAACTTCTGGTGTAGAAGGACTAGGAGGTGTACTTACACAGGAGACCTTTGTCTGCCTATTGAACTGTCCATCAGACGGAGAAGTCCTGTTGCCACATCCACTGTCTTCATAGCATCGCATTGCAGCTAGCACTTTGTGCATTGCTGTAATTTCCGCGTGACTGTGGTTGCTGTTGCGGCTGCGACACCCGCGCACCGTGTGCGGCCAGCGTTCACTAGGCGAGCACGACGTCGCACTGACGTCCTCTCGAAGGACGCTCTCGCCACTCACTTCAATGGGGAGCCGCGATAGTGGATTTTCTCGACTTCCGAGAATCTCCGTGTGCGACGTGCGAGAATCTTTATTAAAGGTTTAAACATTTCACTTTTCGCTAGCAATGGTATAATGGAAAAAAGCATGTAGAAATGAAATGCTTCAGCCCTTAACTTTAAGCAGCGGCGTTTCGTTGTTTGTCGCTGTGCCTACTGGAGATCGCGGTGTTTCGTTCTTCAAACTCCAGGAAACAAACCCGAAGACCTGCGCTGCATGTGGCGGTCGCGAAACAGCTAGGAGACGCTCGCTTACTGCACGACTAACAACTACATGCTCTTGGTCCTTCTTCGACGTGGTGCACTTGTCCTCGCGCTCCTGCTGTACAGCTGCTCGAGCTCTTTCTAGAAAGGAGTCGCCTTCGTGATCTTCGGTGGAATTTCGGTGCAAATACGATATGCCGAGGTCAGGGAGCACCCAACGGGTCGCGATGTCACCCAAGGACTGAAATCCGCTCGCTAGTCTGCGAACCCCCGCAACGTCCCCTGTATCTACTACTTGCCGCAAAGCGGCCAGCACCGGCCACAATATTTCTCTTTCGTGCACGGCCAAACCCGACAAAAAGGTTGTTCCTTCGAGATCGGAGTTGACACGCGTAGGTGAAGTCCTACAATCTGTATTGCGCATGTACGCTCTATTACCAACACTCTGGTGTTCTTGTAGAGATGCATCGGCATCGCAGAAGCGCATTGTTTTTTTAGCACCCATGCTTTTTACCTTATCTCCTACATCGAGCAACGCAGCCAACCCAGCTGGGGGACTCCTGGCAGAGCAATCCCCTTCTAGTTTTATTTCTTCACGAATTTCGTCGCTTTTAGGGTCGCTCGTAGTTGTATGTCCTCCTTGGAAAGAACTTTTCCTTGTGTTTTTTGTACTTGCATTACAGCAGAGGGTTGTAAAGGCTTGCTCTGCCCTACACCTGAAATCTGGAAAGCCAAGAAACCCAACATCCCACAGGCGGATCCATTCACCTATCTTCGCTTTTTCCCCTTTTACATCGCGCATTCCGAGAAGACAGTTTTCCAAAACCTCAAAACTGAAGGGCGGAAATGAGCTGGGTGCCGTCTTTGGGCTTGATGCCGTTTTTGAACTGGATGATGTCGTGTTTTGAGGAATTTCATGCGCACGGCGAATATGCAATAGAGCTAGTCCCCAACAGAAATTGGTGAAGTCGCGAGAAGTGACAGCATTTTTTCCAGCTGGATTTTTGCAACCACTAGCTCGGACTTTTTCTAGCTCGGATATTTTCTGCTTGTTCGATCGCTTAGATATAGATATAGCTTGCTCTACTTCTGTATCTTGAGGAGCAGCAGGATGCACTATATCATCTGTTTCGAAGGATCGGAGCATCGCGACTGCATCTTCCCATATTCTGTCGTTGACAAGCGCGGTCCGAAAACGGCCAAGGACCGGAATCATGTGGAGAAGAGGGCAATGACCGTCGCCAGAAGCAGAATCCTCCAAATAGCGCTCTTGCATCTCCAATAGAACCACGGCTACCTTGTCTATTCTTCCAGCCCGTTCAAACGCATTAGCTGCAACATTGTAGCTGAGCACATCCTTTGTTTGCTCTGGTGTTGCCTCCATACTCTGTTCAACAGCACCAACCGCTGCTGGCTCATGTGGAAGCCCTTTCCCTGAAAGCGAGTCCCAAAGCGCTTCTGCGGTAGCGAGTGCGTCTGGGCCAACGCAGCAGCGGAGCGCAGCATTGTGTATCCCCACGTAATTGGACACGGCCGCGTAATTTGACGACACATTAGGAGTCATCTTTGGGCCTCCACACTGTCGACGTACTATGGCAAGCGCTTCCTCGCTAAGACCGCCAGCCTCACAGGCCTTCAATGCCGCTAGCACGCACTGTGTATCCGTCAATGCTGGTGCTAAGTTGTATCCTGATCCTGCAGTAGTTATAGAACTACGTTGCGAAGATTCACATTCACTCTGGAGCTGCCGGAAAAGCTGAAGCGACCAACTCCACTGCCCGCCTCTCGTGCATGCATCCATTGCGAGTGTGGTCGCGACCGTCAAGGACTTGGCAAACCCTTTCGATACAGCGAGTACCGAAGCCTTTTTATCGAGGATACTGTTGTCTCCAACACGCTTCGAAGAAGCGGAAGAAGGTGGGTTCGCCTGCTCCAGTACTGGTGAAGATGTTGACGTCTTGCCGCACGATGCCACGATAGTAGTACCACGATTGGTGGAGTAGTGCTGCTGCTCATCCGTGCTGGAGGTTACAAGAGACGAGAGTGAATTTCTTGTGTCTAATATTGACGCAGATCTGGTGACCGCATTAGGCAATGCAGACCGAAAAACCTCTTTCTTCCCTGGCTCCCCATTTTCATCTATTTCGAACAATGTCGCTCTTATCTTACCGTCTGCGCGAATAGGCTCTGACGACTGCTCCCCGCACACCGTCTCTGCGGTGCAGTCCACGTTCGTTCCGCCTAGCTCTGCTAAACCGTAGGCCCGTCGAAAGTCGCGCAAGACGCGGAGCGCTTCCCGCCATTTCTCTCCCTTTTGACAGGCGCGGATGACAGCAACGAACGTCTGCGCGTCTGGAACCGAGTTCCCGTTTCGGATGCCAACGTCAAGCACTGCCAGCGCTTCTCTCCATCTACCCGCCGCCTCGAGCACCGATAGAGCTGCAGTGTAACACACGTTTCGTGATTTCTCTCGTCGCTGAGACGAGGCAAGATCGGCATGAGGACCAGTGTCACGTATCGATCCCCCACCATCACGCATTGTGGTCTCACGGCCATCGCTTTCGCCTCCAAAAGTAGTACGCTGCTCATCATTGGTTGTTGGCGCTTCGCTATTTTCCCTTTTAGTCGTACTCGAGAAAGTGCCACCATCTCCTGTTGTACCCGAAACATCTCCTGTTGCAGCCACGACTTCCGGCGTTGCGTAAAGGCTCTCAGCTTCTTCTAAGAGCCGAACCGCGTCTTGCCACCTTCGTCCTGGTCGACATGCTTGAATACACCCGCAATAGAGGCGCCACCAGTCACATGCGTCGACTTTGACAGCTTCTTCTCGTGGAAGTCCATCCTCTCCATTGACCTCCTGAGAAATCCTGTAAAACGCCTTCGCTTGGCCGAGTACGGCAGTTGCGCGCCGCACATCACCAGCAGAAGCGCAGATTTGCATTGCTGCGGCGAAAACGTGGCCGTCAAGGCTGCCTTTCTCTAGTGTGGCCTCGTAGAGAGCAAAAGCCCTTTCAGGACTACGTAATTTACCGTACATTGCAATTGCGAGTGAATAGGTGCGTCTCGCATGAGAGGACACGTGCTCAGCATGAAGAATTCGCTTGTTACTACAGGGCGCAACCTCCGGAGACGAAGAGTTCTTACCAGCATGCAGATGTGCAGATGCTTCTCGTCCTCCAAACTGCGTTTCTCTCCCACCTTCATCCAATGTGCGAGATCGAGAGACGAGCAGCGAGGTTTCATGTAGAATTGCCAGAACTTTGTCTACATGCCGCGTTGCTGTACAGTGCGAGAGCGCCAGGGTAGCCATCTGAGAGGCCACTGCGGGTTCTAACATTTCCCAAACCTGATTCTGGTTAGAAGATCATCACTTTGGCGTCTACATCTACAGCACTAGTTGTAGCACTGGTAGTAGTGTGAACAGAGTCAGGATAGTCTGTAACTGTAAGTAAGTATCTGTGAACTAAATGTAAATGAATTATCGTGAGCCTTAACCCAGTGACAGAAAAATATCTTCAACGCCTCGCCACTCTGTCCCGCAGCCGCGAATACCTGCATTGCCCCAGGCAGGTGGCAACCTCGCTGACCTCCTGCACTCACGATTTCTCGTGCATATTGAACTGCGATCGAGACTGGGATTTTTTCCTTCATTGAACCACCTTCGCAAGATAGTTTTATCATCTTCGCAAGCTGGGTGAGGACCACAGCTGCAGCAACATCCTGCTCTTCGCCCCACAAGCCCACTGCCAGATGCTTCAGAGCATAAGAAACTTCTTCCGAACAACTATGTGTTGTTTCGGAGCAAATTTCGGTGAGTCGACGAAGGTACACTTCTGCGATCTTGTTGGCGTTACGGCTGAGCCGTCTGGTCTCGCAAGCTTGCCCGCTCTCGCGAGCTGGTCTGCTCTCGCCCGATTGTCTGCTATCATTAGATTCCAAGCTGTGGCTTAGCTTCTCCAAACCCTGCCTTGGCTCGATCGCACCAGCCGAACATGGCCACGCGGACTCGACCGGCACAGCAGAAACGAACGCTCGAGTCCCGCGTCCGCGTCCTTCTGCCGAATACCGCGGCCGAAAAGCACGGCGTGGCTTCGGCCGCAGGTATAGATGAGCCAGCGCCATGTTGATATTAATGAAGTTGTCGAACTTTGCTCCAATACATGCTACGAACTGTGTAAAATACGTTTACCAGGATGTCTTTAAAGCGTACTTACATTTGTAGTGCAACAGCATAGACTGCTTATTGTAATTTGCAGAATCCCATTTCTAATATCATATCTTTTTTCAGGAATATTAGAACTTTTCAGAAGTTACAATACTGAACCTATACATACATCTTTCACCATCTTCTGCGCTTTTGACCACCACGCGCTAGTTCCTTGTGCAGTGGTAGTGCAGCCTGTAGTACTTTCTGCTGTTGTAGTTGTTTGCACAACGAGCTGCACTCCCACAAAAACAGGCACTACGCAGCAAATACAGAACAGTTTTGATCTACCTACTCCTAGGTTCGGACGAACCAGAACCTAGGAGTACTTATCGATATCATCTTGTTCATAATATGGACGATGAACTAACAATTCATGTTAGCGTCACATCATGCTACAGCGATTTCGTTCGCGTGAGAGAGTATCTCTCTCAACAGAAAGAAGGACATCCAAAAATATGTCCATCTTCTCTTGGAGTTGCGATGTCTATGCTGGTGTTCCGCGTTCTCAGGTAGCGCAATATGCGACGTGTACAAGTATATGGAGTCAGGTCATATTCCATTTCATCTGGATGTGGGTTTTTGGTTACTATAATTTGTTAAAAAACTAGAATAATTGAGGTTTGCACTGCAGTTTGTGGTACTACTTGTCTAGTCCTCCGCCAAGATAACACTTGATGGATGCAACCCCGCCAACTCTACCCTAGAGCCAGACAAAAACTTATAGCTCTGAGCTTCGGTCATATTCGCCCTTCTTCTTCATTAAAGCCTTCCAGGACAGACTCGATTCCCCACAATCATTGGTAGCGTACATCTCGAAGTCTGTCGCTTTTTTGTAACTCCCTGTGAAGTTAGAGTATGTTTTGAGTTTGATTCATCTCGGTCCCCCTATCCGGATTCCCTTGCCCTGGCATTCCGTGGCTACAGTATGGCATGTCATGTTTGTGCCCCTGATATCGCCTTTCGTGACGACCGTAGGGGACCACAGTGCTAGGAAAGTCCTTACTCGATCACCTAAGGAGCTATATTATATAGAAGTTCTAGAACACTAGCAGCTCCTAAGTATCTTATAGTGCTAGGAAAGATGAACAATAAAACCCGATCATAATGAAAATCCATTTCATCATCTGCCTACTGGTTCCAGGATCCACGCCTCCCGCACAATGGAGACTCGCCTGCGGTCGTACCATCAACAGCGTGTTTGCCTTCGGATTAATGCGATGCTTCACACCTTGTGGGTTTGAAATCTTGTGGGAACACTGCTTACTTACGTAAATGTCGAAGACGAATCATGTTCATCGTAGAGAAGACATCATCCAGTATACGACAGAGGTTTACTTATACTTTCCATCCTAAGTAGACGAGGACATCGAACTACCTTTTAGATCAGGAAAGGACACATCTAAGTACCTTTTAGATCGGTGAAGGTGACCTCGTGGCTGGGTGAGGCGTTGGCAACGGTAAAGGCGAACTCAGCATCGATATACGCGTCCCCATACAATGCGAGATCTCGATGGCTCATCTTAGACCAACATGCGTCCTGCTCTGTACAAAGTACTGTGGTTCGTCCTCCATTTCTTCCTTGAGTCATCTACACACCTGGCACTTTTTCCGACTCCGAAAAAGGCAGAGATATTCTATATCAGAACATGTTATTCGCATTTGTGAGCCTCCTAATACTACTTCTTATACATAGAACAATCTGTCGTGACTAAAGCCTTAAACGACATTCCACTCGAGCCATCGCCGTATTCTCGCAGTTCAAGTGGAAAATCGGATGGCCACATACGCTTGGAAAAAATCGAGGATACGAAATGCTGCAAAGCTGGATTGCGATAGATCAGATCGTAGAAACTGCCACGTCGGTCCAGAGATTAGCGGAGGATATCGTGCTTCCTTCGCTCGTACCGAAAAAACTTCAGTCACGCGTTCAAAACTCAATTAAGGCAACGTGACTGACCAAGATGACTTAAGGCACTAAGAGTGCTGTAAGTGACTTAGTGACATCAATTTAGTACTTGTCATGAGTAGCAGTACACTGTACTAATTTGACGCTGAATGTCAACAAAGTAGTGCCGCTTCACGTACGAAGCGGCACTATGACAGTAGTGAATTTTTAAGGTACCAATCCTACAAGTGGCAAGATGAGAAAACTTCAATCACGCTCCTTATTTGTGACGTACCGAAAAAACTCTAAGTTGAGATTCTCATCACAAAACTCAATTAAGGCACATCACATCCCCAGAATCCTATAAACTGAAATTGTGGATACAAAGGCAAAACGTAAATAGACTTTCTTCTTAGAAGGGATGAAAATGAACACTCCTTCTGCGAACACTACTGCTTCTTCGATAAATACTACTGCGAACACTACTGCTTCTTCGATGAATACTACTGCTTCTTCGTAAAGATCATCCAGGACGTATCCTCCCAAGCGATTTCGACCGTCCAGGTTGCAGTTCGGCTCCATCTCACTCGCACGCCACAGCCGATGACTTTCTGCTTCAATCCGCGCAAAAGTCTCCTGGTCGAAAAAATTCTCCATGATGATTAGATCTTCGTTTTCATACCACTGCTGCCGGTACCTGTTCGTGAGTGGAAAATTTCGATACTTCTTTCAGCGTACATTTTATTCTACAATATAGGAGAAGTCAAGGTTCAAGGTTCGAGGTTTAGGGTCCGCGGCTCTACGGCCAGGCCGTGCTGTCCGGGACGAAACAGGCTCGAGTAGAGCCAGAAGTTCAGCCTATATTATTCTACAACAGGAGAAGTCGTGCTGCTAATACCTTATCAGGAAGTATCGAGAGAGGATTGGAAGGAGGCAGAACTACCATTCAGTAAGATTTACTCTTCGATTTTCTCCAAGTGCACTGGGTTGATTCCACCAAGGAAAGTCGTGTTTGCTGCCTGCACCAACGTCTTGGGAAACGGGATCGACAGGATATCGTACTTTTCCTTTGCTAGTTTCGCTTCCGCCTCTAGCGTAGCTGCAGCGGGCAACACGAAACTCGCAGCCCGCAACCACTGCTCATCGGTTTCCTGCTGAACCGCTTTCGCAGTGTCGATCAGTGTTGCAGCATTTCGAACAACCACTGGTACTTCCTGGATGTCGGCAACTACAGCCTCAAGAGGAATCTTCTCTCGGAAAGGGTCTGCAAAAAGAGAAATATAATGACGAGGCTGTACTTGTATGATGTCTCTACTTGATTATGATGTAGGGGTGGCGATGATGCTAGCTGACTCGGATTGGGAATGTCCAGGAACTACAGCTATAAGGATCTAGTCAGTACAATGTTGAACAAGTTAGACACCGTCTTATTTACAAATCGTTCTAATCAATTATTTCAGCATTCCAATTACCATCGCCCATGACGTCATTCTCCGTAACGGCAACGGGACTTGCAAACAGCATAAAGCCGTAGTCGCGCAGGAGTTCGGCATTGCATGGTTTCAAAAAATCGTGTCTGGCCAAGACATACCGCAATTTCTCTGTCAATCCAGCTTTTTTCAGTTCCGTCTGCAGTTTCTCCAGCTCCTTAGCCGTGGGACATTTCTCTCGCCTATCCAGGTAGACGCCGAGCTGCACCTTAGAGGATGAGCTTGCCAGATTCATCTTCTTGTTTCATAAAGCATCTGCGAAAGGTGCTTTTGCTTTTTACAAAAGTATTAATTGCCGGCCTTTATATCAAATACCGCAAGGATATTTCCCTCTTAATGATAAGCACCCTTCGCAGGAGATGCATTTCAACAAGATGATTTGAGGAAATGCCGCTTAAGCACTTCCTTGCTATCGGCGAGTCGCGCTGCAAGCTCAGCTCCCGCGTCACTCTGCACCCAGCGCCGCGGCACCACCAATAGATTTACAGTCCCGTCCGTGAGTTGAGTCGCTTCGTCGAAGGCAGCGTCGGTGAACTTCGGATAGTCCTTGCCGTCAACAACAGTCGTGGTCCATACAGAGCTCCCCTTGTTCGGTCCAACAGATTAGACGCGGAACAACAAAAAGTGTTCTACCTGCAAAATAAGGAACAACCATTAGGTTTAGTGTTGATCACGTCAAAGAGTGAGACCAGCAACCAGTTGTACCAGCTAGACCAGAGAGAGGGAGATCAAACGATGACAAAGAGATCCTGCTTCAAAATCATTTGATTTGATTTCAAGCTCAACATTCATAACTTGGTTCTAGGAAGCTGTTCGCCTGAGACTTGTGTCGACTCGAGAAAACGATATGCGTCGCTGCGGCTGGAGGATTCTTCGTGTCGGTTAGCTCATAGGCCATGCGCGGCATTGCAGTCGTTCCACTAGAAGTCTCCTTAGTCCCGATCAGCTCTATCGCGGGAAACGACACGTCTGGGTTAGTTGCTTCTTTGAGTATCAGTTAGAGCTCTTCACAAACATATTCCATCTTCTACGAGGACGTTCATAGTTGTTATTTGTTGTCTCAGCATTTATTAAGTATCTTCCAGGAAGGAAAAGGAATATTAAAGTGGGATAAATATAACTATGAACACTCTATGAAGTAGAAGATGAATAAGACGCTTCACTCTATGAAGTAGAAGATGAGTCATTATGAGCAGAGCCGTAAATCAGAGTTAGGTGCTTTTGGAGCTGCGTTAGCGTCTCCGCGACTGATACCTTGAGGCCGTGCCAGTAATACCACTCAGCCGAGTTGGAGCCATAGTCTTGCAACTGCGCCAGCAAATCTTTACTCCTATCGACAAAGTAGGCGTCGGCAGCTGCTCGCACATCCGCGTGATGATACACCCGGCGCTGTGGTGGTGTTTGTCAGAATGAGAATGTGGAAATAATAAGTGAGATAGACGACAACTCTGAACTTTAGGATGTTATTTTTGAAGAAGTGAAACTTTCGAACATTTCACGAGGACGAAGAACGTCAGCCTATCTATCTCAGTACCAACAGACGCGCCGCGCGCATGAGTCTCGGATGCATCGCAAGCAAGCATGGTTTCATCTCTACCCGTTGGCGCTGCATCCGATCGAAGATGGGGAGACTAAATTAGAGCTTATAACTAAAAGATTGATCATCCTCGTTTTTAGTCCCCTTGTTCGTCTTGCTTCTCTCCCTCACAGAAGAAGCAAAACGAGCGGCACAACAAAAACTAAGAACTGCCCATAACTGAAGGTATCGTCCCACTTGGCACATTTTGCGAGAGCCGCTTGAGCGTCATCCACAACGAGATCGACCGCTGACCTCAAAAAAGCATTCCCAGTCGCAGAAGCGAGGCTGGCCTCCTGCGCTAGCGCAAGTAAGGACACAGAGACGGCACGTAGCATTCTCATTCGTCGAGGAGATCAAATGAATTGGAACTGCATGTGCTCAGTTCTATGGTTCCTTTAGGCGGTTGTTCTATGAGTACGTTGGTACTAGCGCGGCCAAAGCCAATGCAAGCACCTGTCTATTGTTAGAAAAGCGTTACATTTGAATATGGAGTGATCATGGACCTTCACGAGCGCAGTCATCGTGCAAGTCTGAAAAGACGTGTCACTGTATTTTGTGCTACTTCCTACGGGGCATGATCACTGGGGGAGGAAACACGGCAAAAGACCGCTTTTCAACATCGCTAGGTTTCCAAATAGTATTAAACAACGGGAAACACGCTTTTTTCCTTCTGCAACCATGATGACGCATTCCAACAGAACTGTGCTCCATTACAGCACAATGGTCGGTAACTGGTTAACCTTGTATTACACTTGTTTCCTCAAAATACTACCCGTCTCGTCGGCAATACCCTCTTGTCCTTGTTGCGCGCGCTGATCCCATTGAACCAACTATTTTCAATGCTGCTATTTATCGCTATATTTCCAAGACGATACATTCTTCACTATATTCCAACTTCAACAAGTTTTTATTCTCTAAGTGTTGTAGCTCGTGTAAGTCAGATGCCCAACATATCGCATACACACCTTCATATCTAGAATATAAGAACTACAGGCGAGGACTTCATACCTATTGCACACAACAAAGAACGTAAGTATCATTAAGTTTAGGTGCAAGTGCTGCAATCTTTGGCAGCTGTTCATCCGATACTGCAAGGCTGCGATCAAAAATACGTACTCGAAACTGATCTCATTCTTGTTCTGTCTTGTTCTCGTCTCTATGATAATATAGCGTCTCCGTGCTCCTAGAATCCCATACTTATTCTGTTTTCTCACTATCATGATCTACTAGATGTGGTGATGTAGCTTACTCATGTTCGGGTTCGAGGAACCACATCAACGAGAGTTAGACCGTTTTCAAAGTTCCGCCCGCTTTTCTCCCGGTGCACCGAGTTCTTCGCGATAGAAAACGCCACAGGGTGGCTCATTCGGACGAGCATGGTCGTCCATCAGCTGCATTGCTTCTGGGTTTATCGGATGCAGGAACGCTGCATCCAGGGGACACTGTGCATTTTCTAGTCTGAATTTCGCATACGGCAATTCGATTTTTGTCACTTCGAAAGGCAAAAGCCACCTATTGATGGTCCCTGTCAGAGAGTCAGTCACTCGACTTCGACTCAAAAACGTCGCATCCGTTAAGACTTGAAACAAGTCGCGGGACAAAGAACTTTAGAAGGGGAGGGAGCAGGGGGACTTTTTGTAGTGCACACTATCTATAATCACTGAATGGTCGAGGGAAAAAAAGATAAGTGGGTAGATGTACTCTATAAGCATGTTCATAAACAAATGAAAGTCCGTCCACCATCTTCTCCGGTCCCATCCCCGGTTCGTCGTAGAGTCTGCCTATGACCTTATTTTCTGGCTCTCCGCAATCACCCAATGTATCCAAAAACGTGCCGAAATTAGAATTTTTTCGTCTTGACAAGAAGCACTTGAAGAATTGCCATCTCTTACAGGAGCTGGAGATGAAGCTGCATCTTCGTATAGGACTGAATCAAATCATCAAGGGCCCTATCGGTTGTGCATACACTAAGAACTTCTAGAGGCGCAGCTCTTACAGTCATGTGTCATGGAACCTCGTTTGTAGCTGCGCGTGTCTACCTATGAGGTCACCCAGTAAATAAGCTCTGTTTTCTTATAAGACTGAATCATCGATAGTGATAAGTGAACAGGCCAACGCCTAAACAGCTCTTACAGTTAGAAAAGCTCTGTTTTCTTATATGACTGAATCATCGATAGCCTTAACTAAGTGCAGATAAACGTCATCGTGCTGGACCAGGATCCAGCGAAATTGAAAGCGTTTCCGAAGAAACTCGAATATGAACCTCAACATCCCACCACCGAACTCCGTAGCCAAAGGCGCCCCACCTGTTCCTCCGATGAGTTTTGCTGTTGGATACTTTCGCTCGTACGCATCTCGTTCCGGCTTAGGCGTCCATTCGACATGCGGCGCAAAGACCATGTCGTTCCACTGCGCCTGCTCTGCCATCACTCCCGGAGTCTGGGATGGATCTCCAGGTATCACGAAGGTGTCACATGAAAGACGAAGACGAAGATGTATGTGGAGGAGGTATCACGAATCTTGTTGGACAGTGAAAGACGAAGACGGTAACAGAAGTAGGAGAAAGGAAAAGTATAACCGACTTCAAGTAGTAGCTTCTTTGATGAAAGTCGTGATCTATCGAATCCACAAAGAAACGACTGGCTTAGAACGCCCGGCGTTTCTCCCAACGAGGTTGCCACTTCTGCCTTCGTCTGGCTCTTCTCTTTCGCCCAGCGGCCTAAGAATTATGCGACGCGAAGTGTTTCTTCTATCGAATATAATTAGCTCTACAGCCTTGCCATACATATGAGAGTTGGCCCATTTCCTGTAGCCGTCGGAGCCACGAGTTCTTACCGCTACGGAGATAATTTCGCGTCTGACTGTTTTCTGGTGACGATAAAAGCGCCACGAATAGAACAACGAAAGGCGCTACCGGTTCCTGGCTTGGCCCACATGTGTCATCGGATATATCCCAAGGCGCCACCTCCCTGTCCGCCAACTCGTCAAAATCTTTTGTCTCGGTCATCTACGTTTGTTTGCGAGTAAAATTAGGGCATGCTCAAGCTGGTCGTGCAGGGTTACAACTACGACAACAAGAGTGGCCATAGGATATTCTAATCTCAACAAGTATTAGTATTCAAGGAGCAGTAATTTTATTATACCTGGTACGTGCGAAAGAGGTACATCACACGCGTGATTCCGCCGACTGCAAAAGCTCCCATCATGAGATCCAGAAACCTATCACGTCTTGGTTGATAGGTTGCTAGAGCGGTCTGAGGTTTGTGTCTTGCATGCGCGAAACTGCTGTCAAAGCACACACCGGTTTGAATGCCGCGTAACTTGTTTTAGAGCTGCTCTTCTAGTCCATCGCTTTGAGTGTAGAGTATCCCCGTGCTAGGGAGAGCTTTGTATATGCTAAGCATTCTCTGGATTTTGATCACTGCTCTCTGGCTTTTACTCGCTGTGCAGGTTCTCCTTTTCATATGCTTGAGTAGAAGCTCGCTCTTGTATAGATGGACTAGCGAATTATTTGTAGCCTTAATTGTTGGTGTAGAAAAAGTATTCGTGTTCTCCGACTTTCAACTCCGGTTTCCACACGAATTGCTTCATGCGTTCGCGCCTAGCTAGATACACCATTGGGCAAAAATCCACTCTGATACAGCCATCGGGCGCGTTGCCGTGGTAAAACGGTTCTAGGAACAAAGCCGTGTTCTGCAAACGGAATTTACCACGGTAAGCACCGAAATTCCGCTCGTCCTCCAGAACCGGGAAGCCGACTGATGGACGAGGAGGGCGATGAGGATGATTAAACAATTACATCCCCAGTAGGAAAGAGGTGAGGGATGTTCTAAAGAATGTAATGCTGCAACCTTTAACACTTACTTGCGAACAATGATCACTCGTCATCCTTGTAATTTGTCGATAACTAGAACTGCTACACCTAGATCAAATGAGCACCTAGATCCAGCGGTAGGAAGCTCGTGTGCCAGTACGAGTACATTTTGGCGAGCATGCACTCGATACACGTGTGGTGCGTCCGCACGAAGTCGTCGTCCAAAATGAGAAGATACTCTGTCTTGCTCAGCTCAGTCAGCCTTGTTTTTCCCTGCGACAACCCAAAATCATATGGCACAGGATACACCGTGAGCACGTTGTTTAGAGGAACAGAGTAATGATTAAAACTTCATTTTTCACAAGAATTAATCATAGCTATGTTGTTATCAGAATAATTTTCAAGAACTGGTGTCATTATTCGTGAGACTTATAGCTGCATCCAAACGCAGCTTCTATATCAGAAACAACGTCAAAGTGTTGTTACCACACCTAAATCAGATTTCTGGATTGGTGTCGCGTCGCAAACCGTGTCTTCTTCCGCGCATTCACAGGTTCCTATGATGGGCATTGTAGGATAGCTCGTTTTCAGGCTGTCTGCGAGCCGCTCTAACATCCAGCACCGAGATGCAGAGTGTGCAGCAATCGTAATCACGGACTCTGGGTCGTCTAGAAGTAATTTCAGTCCCCTAAAATCTAGTAAATTGTGTCGCGGCAACGTAGTTTGTCCCGCAAATCGGTCCTCGGTGCCTTCGAGCGATGGCGTTGTGACGGTGCCAGCCGTGCGCATCTTACTGGCATCCGATGCTGTCTGCTGTTGATGTTGCGGTGAGTCACCAGATGAGCTAGAAGACTGCTGTGCTGCTGTTTGTTGGTTTGCTCCGGCTCCCCCTCCTGCACTAGTATCTCCTGTTGCTTGTTTTTCCGCTGCTAGTACCTTTGCGTAGTCAGCAAGAGTCATCTGCTCGTAACCGGGTTCCACTACGTCACAACCCTGAAACAGTGCGAAATAGCCTAGTCCATAGTGTGCTTCAATCTGCTCTCGGATTGCCAAGTTCTTCTCATCCGTCACTCGCGCCACTGCTGTGCTCATCTCCTTGACATAGTTTCCTCGGTAGCTGAGCAGTCGCACCACGGAATTGATTTCTGAGGACGACGCGCACATCTCGAAACGCTGCGCGCCCTTCAATGCTCGCTCACACTTTTGAAACCAAGCCTCATCTCGCCACTCGAACTTGGAAGGCACTGCCGCATTTCGGCAGAAGAGCGCCACTTGTTTGTTCACGCGAATCACCAGTCGCAGTCGCTGTTTCATACTGCCTTCGGCCTGCGCTACGGAGGGATACGGAAATCCTGTTTTTAGAACGAGGAGGCTGCGACAAGACATTGCACTCGGCATGGTGAGAGGCATCCATTCTTGACGTTTTGCTTAAGTAGATGTACATTAAAAAAAAGTCTGTAGAGGATGGCTAAACAAAGGAGATGCAATGTGAAAATGACTAAGTAAGTAGCCTTAATGTCGGAGCTGCCCCAACATCTCCACTTCCTAGCATGCTTGCCATCACCTCGTGGCTCTGTTGGGCGCTTTGCGTGTCCACCTGCTGCGCTTCATTTGAATTTGCGCCGCGCACCCATGCCTCTGTCCATGGCCTACCGACCACTCGAATACGCCCAAAGGTTCGAAAGCCACCCACAATACCTGGATATCCTCCCTCGATGATGCCTGCTTGTATCGTCTCGTTAACTCCGTGGGGCGCAAAGTTCTTGTACGAATCGGAAACGCCCATAGACAAGTGGTAACCCTGTCATTTGTTGGGACGTGGAAGACAGGAGTATGAGTAGGCGAAATTGCTATAATTGTTAATCTAATTTTCTTTCGTACAACAAGTCTGAGTATATGCGCGCTGCTCTCTTGTATTGATTTATCAGGGTGTCCCATGTTAAGCACTGTGTGGAGGTAGTCACTACTTAAGGAACCCTTAAACGGTGATGTCTTGGTCACTGCTTAAGCGAGTTCTAAGTGATATCTTGGTCATTACCTAAGCGAATCCTAAGTGATGTCTTGGTGACCACTAAAGCGAGCGCTAAGTGATGTCTTGGTCATCGCTTAAGCCACCCCTAAGCCGAGTACCAGGGTCACCACTTAATGCGGAAAGCACTACCATCACAAAAAGATGCATCGACTTCTACCGTTTAGCGCTAGACTAGTAGGGCTAGACTAGGGGGCTTAGACTAGTAGGAGTAGTCTCACTCGTCGGGTTAGACTAATACGGTTAGACTAGTAAACTTCTATTACCTCAATTCGCATTCGATGCTTTTCGTAATCGTGATTGTGGAACGCGGTACGGTATGGATACGGCGATATGTGCAGCGACTGCCACATTAGAAGTCCAAACCAACAACTCTAAACTGCTTCGATAGACACGGCTATTCTCTCTCTTTCGACGCAACTCCCCTACTTCACAACACTTTTGTCAACAGTGAAAAATGTCAGAGGACCAAGAGGCGCTCAGAGTCTTCACACACCAGTTGGGAGGCCTTAACAAAAGCAACGCCGAATCCATCACGCTCCATCGGAGGGCATTTCTTGCTGAGATCTGCCCGTAACGTAAGGGCAGCCACAGTTTCGCGGTGCTTACCAATGTCCAGTCTGAACTAGACCGATGGAATCGAGGGGAGTAAAGCTCCGTCTGTTTTTCGGGTCCCACCAAAATGTGCGCCGAGTAGGGGGTATGAAGAATGCTCGAGAAGATATTGAAAACAAATCACTATGAGTACTGCTCATTATACTCACTTCTGTCACGGATAGAGTTACAACGGCTTGAGGACATGATCATAGGATGCATCCACGTCCGCACCTTTGCGAACCATATGACCATGCCGATCGACTTCCCTTATACGCTTTACAGATATCAATACTCAGTATCAAAAAAAAATCGCCATATCCGTCAGCAAAACTAGGTTCCTGAATGACCCAATGAGGCAGAAGCAACATACGATCCTCGCGCATCCACGTTCTCATCATTTCTGTACCAAATTTCTCTAGATCAGGGCTGCCATTCCTCCAATTTCGCACCTGGTCTAGTATGTGCACAACGTACTCGTGCGCAACTTTCTCGATATCCACACCTCTCTGTCGCAGCTTAAAATGAAGCAAGGAAATAAGAGGCAGCTTTCTTGTGCTGCCTGTCGAAGATGTTGTTTTCAGAAACTAAGTCTACTGATGCGAAAAAAGAAGCTGTAATAATTCCACGAGGAGAAAGATGTTATCTTTAATATCACTCCGGGTATATCAAAAAGATTTTTCACAGTCAGTTTTTGTTTGTTTGTTTGTTTTGATGCGCTCCGGGCGACGCGTACGATCCCGCCGGATTTCTTTGTGCTCTGTGTGTGTAGTGCTATGGTCGTCATTGCGATCGACTATGGTATGTCCGGTCGCCACAGTCCCCGCCAGCTGCGGCTTTTGTGTTAACGTAGTTATCATAAAGTTCTTATCAGTGAAGAAATTCCATTCATAAAGTTGTCTCCGCTCTGGGGCAGGAATGTGCCTCAAGCACATCTGGACATCACCGCAAATCCCAGTTTCCAAGTCAGCTAGATCGGTAGGAGAACGTGGTTGCTTTACCTCTTCAAGTTTCAGACCCCAGTCGAGCTTCTCTGGCAAAATGCGTTCCGTGAACATCAGGGTGTCAGCGAGTGGCGTAGTCAGAAACTGGTCCACTGCGCCAAGCAACACGCCATCGAGCGGGACGTACAATCCACCGTACAGGTGCTGCACGGCGAAGATGAAACTGTTCCACACGACGCCTCCCTTTAGAGGCAGCTTGCGCGTCACGGTAGCTGGTGCCTCACGATAGAAATTGAAATTCCTTTTCATCTGCATACTGTAATATTGCTTCATCTCCTTCTAGCTGAGGTTCATTTTCTACAGTTTCGTTAGTTGATCTGAAGAAAAACGGTGCTGCACAAGGGGCGTGCCCCTTGTCTTCTTGAAACAGTCATACTAGCTAGTAATAGGTCATCTCCCCCAAACATAGTTCTAGCAGCGATTATTCAGAGATCATTTTCCCTGCACGTATTACCTACCAGCAGTACCAAAGATTGAGTAAACCTAAATTCTGAGTCATCATCAACATAGTCCTTATTTGAGTTATAATTCATAGGTAGAAGTTGAATTTCCTAACATTGTGATGGCAGGATCTGGTGTGTTCTGCATGGTGTAGAGGAACTCCTGAATCTGATCCCGCGTGAATCTTCCGCGACTGGCCGCATGGAGCACGTCACGGATTCCATTCCAGTCCAACGGCACGGCGAAAACGCAATAGCCCTCTTTACGGTACCGCGCTAATGTGGTTAGATGCTAACTAGAGAGCAAAAACGGAGAGAAACATGAAGGAACAGGTCGGATGCAACAAGGAGATAAGGCTCTGTGGATAAAGGGGGAACAGGCTGGGTACAAAAGAAGCAAATAGTACTAGCATGCTAATAAATAACTAGCGAGCGGGGAAGAAGTAAAGAGGTGCTGCGGTAGACGCTGCAACTTCGAACCAGATTCAAAGCTGACAACATTCAGGGTATGGAAGCTCAATACATTTGAAGGAGTTAAAAAGAGCTATACTACCCGTTATCTCCCTGCCAATGGACTACGGATTCGGTGCTGACGTTGAGCTCAAATGAATGTCACCTCTCAGTGTCATAAATGCCCACGCGGGAGGTTGAAGACGTAGACATTGAAATCGGGGTGGTGAAACAGAAGACTCTCGAGAGTGGCGTGTGCGTCAACCAAAAACGATTCAGGCTGCCCTGGCCACTTCATTAGAGCCCAAAATATTAATTCTTCTTTTACTGACGGAAGGCGCATACGCTCAGAATCCACGAGGAAGGCTGAGAAAGAATAATACTCTCAGAATCCAAGAAGAGAGCGGAGGCCGATATACGTCAATGCTTCTTCTGGTACTGTACTTGCGAGTATAAGGCGATAGTGTTCGTGAGTGGCTCGCGTCCTTCCGCTGATGGCGCTCCAGGCCATATGATCTCCCGTGGAAGCACAGGATTATGCTAAGTGTTCTAGGAAATTATGCTACTCTAGAGAGGAATTTGATAAGTGAACAGGGGAACGCCTAAACCACTAAGCCAACTGCGCAGTTCGACTACATCGGCAAACTTGACCGCCATCGGCAAACTTGACCGGTCCCACCCAAGAAGGGGGGGGCGCGTCCTTCCGCTGATAAGGCGATATGATCTCTCGTGGAAGGACATGATTATGCTACTCTAGAGAGGAATTATCGTGAGCCTTAACATCATCAGTCCGTTCACCCTCCCCGATCCACATTCTGGATGTGCACGAGCCTCTGCCAACAGGTCGACTGGCGCTCGCGCTTGCTCTGCGGGTGCTTGTTGTTCTCCTGATGCGGCTACAACAATATTGTTCATCTGCTCACCACTAGCGACACCGGCTGCGACGCCGGCTACTCCCTGTCCTCCTTGCTCTTTTCGGAGTTCCCTTGCGTAGTCCAACTTGATGTTTCCTCCAGCCACGCTGCCTGAAGACCGAGGAAACATTTCCTGCGCCGAAACCTGGATTGGAGAGACAACTGCCCCATATCGAACACCTCCGAGTAGCAGACATCCTGCGACAGGAGGTGTGAGAAACTTCGGGATGCGCATCGTGTGCAACTGTGTGGGCAACCGCACGTCGCGGTTTCGTTGTCGTGCGACTCGATGACAATGCACCGGTTTGGTCGTACTCAGGAAAACAACTACAACTGTCCGTATAACTTTCCACACCGCATCAAGGCAAGAGCAACTTCTTCCAGGCTGCAGAAAGCAAGTGCGACCAGGAAACCAAGGCACACGATGACTCGTAGCTTAGCAGAGCAAGTACCGCACACAAACTTCTACAACAACAACGAAGAGTACCAAGAACTGTAGTTGTTCACTCGATGTTTCAAAATTTTTGTTGATAAATCATTTTTCTATGAACTCTCAGAACATCATGATGTAGTTTGGTACTAGGATTTTCGATGAGCAAGAACCCCTCTTATCTATATCTTTCAGTCTTACCACCTGGGAGACCAATCTCTCAGCACATCGATCATTTTGATCTAGATCTAGCAGTCCTTTCTCCTGCTGAAGGTGACAGTAAAAGTTGTTCTCCTAGTTATTTATTAAGCGCACCGACGCGCGTTCCCCTGAAGAAGCGTCTTTTTCGGTAGGCCTAGAACACACACGTGAGCATTCCTATGCTGTGATAACACTACTGATGAGAACAAACTCTCTGGGTAAACATCCGTAGCCATCGCTCTCAAGTTTGGACGTGTCCTCGTTGAGTTGGAGTCTCAAGTACATACCCGGCGACGTCACAGTATTGACCTTTAATCACTATCACAAAAGTAGGTACAGTTTTCTTTTTATCCCATATCAACTAGATACACACTTCTAAAAAATATGAAGAATATTTTATAAGGTACAGTTTTCTTTTTGTATCACGTGTCTATATGAACAAGTGCGATGCATGCCAATCTTGTCTTGGACAGATATTTCATAGAATGCTTCCGTAGGAAAATGTGTGGTATGACAACAGGAGTAGTTTTCGGTAGGACAATGTGTAGAAGTGCAATAGCTTTGTAGTATTTTCTTTCCAGCGTAGGAGGCTCACCGTTGTTGCAACAATACTTCACTTTCACAACTCTACTATTTCTTAAGAATAATCACGACCGGTCCTTTTCATCGTCCAGCTTCCTTATTGAGCATATCTGTATCTCCCCCGGCTCTACCGTCTGAGACCCTGCCGGAACATCACCACCAACCCAAAGAAACTAGAACGCCCTGAGGAGATGACGCCAGGGCGCCATGCTTCTACGAATCCTCTGCAGCCGCAAGTGCGCCGCTAATGGTCAGCCTAGTCTGTTAGAGGTCGTCAGTTGAGTTCCATGGCGCGGAAACATTACTCAATTTGTCAGGGAGAGGATCCGTGGCTGATTTCGGTAGTAGCTGTTCGCAATTTGTTTCATTATTGAGGCGCCTCTTCCTTTGCTAATCTGAAGTTTTATCCTTCCAGGGGTAGGCGGGCGGGTAAGCAAACAGGGAGGAAAACGGGTGGCAAGTGGGTGCGAATTTGGCAAGGCGGGAGTAAGTGGATAGGCAAGAGGGGGGTGTGCGGTTTCGCCGGGGGGTGTGCAAGTGGGCGGGGGGGTACGGTCGACACCACTCTCTTGAGAGGCCTACGGCAAAACCCGCGGGGGGTCGTGTTCCACCCCCATAGGCTTCCCCGGCCCTCCCGCCCCTGCCTCCAATGGGGTCCTTGCGGGTCTCCTTGCAGCCACTGGCCTCCCGGTTACCTTTGGGGGGAGACCAGTAGGGACCCCGCAAGAGGCCAAGGAGGCAGGGGCGGGAGGTCCGGGAAAGCCTATTGGGGTGGAAAAAAACAGCCATGAGTTTTCCCGCCGGCCTCTTTAGAGGGCGACGCCGACCCGGGGGGGGGCGGCGGACAAGCGGGCGGGGGGCTACGGGTAAGCGGGCGGGGGGGGCGGGTAGGCTCCAGGCGACCCTCTAGCGAGGCGCACGGGCGCAAGTATCTTAAATTTTCAATGGAGAAGTTGCAAACGTCTCCACTGAATTCTGCAGCATTCCTATTTTTGCAAAGTTTTACCGCGTCAGGCCGCAGGTTGTCGCGACTTCGGTGAGCGTTGTGCCACTTCCAAAGGGGCGCCGCCATGGCGTAGCTGTTGAACCCAGATAGCGCTGGCTTGTTGCGCGAGCGACTTGATGCCGCGAGCGATGTCGCCCAAAGTCGCGGCCTTTGGCGTTCTAGCGTTGGGAGCGTTTAGAAAGCCTCGGCACTTTGGCTGATAGTTAGCTCACGCGCAGACGCCGCGAGGGATGGCGACGCAGCCGCAAAGCCCGCTAGCGATGACGGCCAAAGCTGCGACCTTTTCGAGTGTTCAACTTGAAAACCTTGCAAAAGTCGGGGCCTTTCAACCAATCGACAACCAGCGCAAGAACCTTGGCCGCCGTGTCGGCTTATCGCGGTGCGGCTGCGAAGCCGTAGGGCCATGGAGTCAGCAGGCGCGCGCGCAGTCTCCTTGGCTTCCAAAGCCGCGACTTCTTCAAGTGTTCAGCTTGGAAACCCTTCAAAAGTCGGGGCTTTTCAACCAATCAACAACCAGCGCGAGAGCCTTCGTCGCCGCGTCGACTTATCCATCGCGGCCCGGCTGCTAAGCCGCAGGGCCATGGAGTCAGCAGGCGCGCGCCGCGTCGGCTCATCGCCATCCGGCTGCTAAGCCGCAGGGCCATGGAGTCAGCAGGCGCGCGCCTCGTCGGCTTATCGCGGTCCGGCTGCTAAGCCGCAGGAGCATGGAGCCAGCAGGCGCGCGCGCGCGGTCTCCTGGCATCCAAAGCCGCGGCTTTTTCGAGTGTTCAACTTGCAAACTTTTCAAAAGCCAGGACTTTTCTCGGCCAATCAGCAACAAGCGGAGGGCATTCGAGGAGGCAGAAAGCTGTGGAATTTGGTGGGGGTTTGCCTCGCATCGCAATGAGATTCACGAAAAGCAGCGGAGCCCCCATTGCATTTCCCCTCCCCGCGCGCCTCTATAGAGGGCGGCCTTGGTCTTAAGGGGGGGCGGGCAAGGCATGGCCTCGGCCGCCCTCCATAGGGGCCTACGGGAAACTCATGCGGGAAAGTGGTGCGCCATTTTTCCAATTAGCTTCGCACGAAAGAGCAGCTCTCTCGCCTCTTTTCAGCTCAAGTAGCGAAGTTTTAACATTGGCCGCGGGGCTTGCGCTTGGATTCTTCTTGGCCGTCGCTCGTCGGCAAGTAGGCGCTGGCGCTCATAATGGAGAAGGGGCGCGGGCTTTTTTCGTATTAGTCCGCAAGAAAGTGGGACGCTCCTACCAGCTGCGCGGCCGGCCTCTCCGCTTGCCTTCTGCGGGTCGGAAACTATCAGGGTTGAAAAAGCCGGCGGCATTTAATTCCCAAACGTTTTAGACTCGTGAAGCGCCGCTTTCGTAAGCCCATCCTTCCCCTTTCCCTTCTGCGAGTCTAGTCAAAAACTATTACGGATCGGACACTTATCGACTTTTCGCGGGCTGCGCGCCTCTTATCGACTTACCGCGGGCCGGCCGCGAGACAGCCCTGCGCCGCGCGTCTGTTCTCGACGTATCGCGGGCCGGCTGCTGGGCGGCTCTGCGCTGCGCGTCTGTTCTCGACTCCTTGTGGCATGCAGGGCCTCGAAAGGCGGCGCCCTTTTAAGCAGACCACCCTCCCCGCTCGAAGACAGTCGCACTCTTCAGGGAATTGCGAGGGCTGCGCGCCATCTAACGGCGGGAGCAAGGTTGTCGGCATCAGGTTCGCACGCAAACAAGGACACGCCGCGGCATCTAGTGCGTGGCTTGCGCTGGCCTCGGCTGAGATCTCAGTAGGGAGAGGTCTCGGCGGAATCTACGGGGGACCCCATGCCAACCGCGCGGCAGTTATGTCAAGCCAGCGCTTCCTCTGCATTAGTTTCCCGCAGGCAAATAGGGAGGGCGGCCACGTCCTCGGGGGCGGGCAAGCGGGTGGGGCTGCGGGAAAGCGGTTGTGGCTAAAAGCAGGCGGGCGGAGCGGCGGGCAAGCGGGTGGGCGCGGCGGACAAGTAACCGGGGCTGCGGGCAAGCGGTTTCGGCGGTGGAAAATCGGGCGGGCAAGCAGCTGGGCCATTTGGTGGGGAGGGGGGACTTGGGTGGCTTGGGAAGCTGAGGGGGGGGCGACTAATTAGCTTAGTAATTTGGTGGGGAAGTTGATCGGTAAGTGGTTCATTAGGTAAGTAGGCTGATTAGTAGCTTTGTGGCCTGGTCGAGGCCGGGACCCGATCGCCCTCTATCGCGTCCTATAGGGATCTAATGAAGAAGAGCGGCGGCGCGTTTCCCCATTAGTTTCGACCAAAGAGGCGACCTCCCCACTTCAATCAGACGGCTGCAGTGAGAAAGCCGGAACTTTGGAGGCAGTTGGCGGCTGATAGTGCCAGCCCTAGAGAAGAGAGAGGGAAGAGATGGCCCCAAAGGTGGCAGCCCTTCCTACAAGTCTCTAATGTTTAAGGCCTCAAAGTCCACGACTTCCAAGCCCTGAGAGTTTAAGGCTTACAGAAGGCCAGCCTCGGCCCTGTGTGGGCTTTCTCTCTGGCTCTATCAAGTGCACGCGTGTCCGTGGGCTCATTTGCGCAGAAAAATGCATCCTGATGCCATATAATAAATCTTCTGACTCATGTGCTAAATAATACGGCTCAGCTTGGTGCCAAAAAGTCGGCAGCTTTTATATAGCGTCAGCACTTTCTCAAAAATTTCCAAAAATTTTTTCGAAAAAAATGAAAAAAAACTTTATTCCGACCAACAACAGCAGTCCCACTCTGTGAAAAAATGCTAAAAATATAAAGCGCAACGAAGTAGCTTCGTACTCCTAGGCTTTGCACCACTGGCCGCCGATTAAGAACTTGCCGAGACCCCTTCCAGCGCGAGGCTGCCAAAGCGCCCAGCGCTCACGCCACCCCTGCCCAAGGCCTTCGCGATGAAGTGAGCCACACGCAAGAACGAGGCGGCAAGAGATGCCCGCCCTGTGTCCCGGTATCGCTACCCAGCCGTAGCGAAACCGATGACAAGATGCCAGAAAATCACAGAAAAGAAGAGGAGGCAACACGCGAAACCGATGACAAAGTGGACGGC